ATGATGAATGGATGGGGAGTGCTACGATACGATACATGAAACGATATAACATTCCAGCAAAAGGAACAAGCTGTGTATAACACTATACTACAACATCTGCTCCTGATACACCCACCCCACCATCTTCATCCGTATCAGAAAACAACCCCACAACACCACCCCCCACGCCAAACCCCTCCAACTCCCGCCTCACATCCGCCATCCCCGCCCCCCGACCCTTAACATACCGCCTCGCCATGCGAAACAAGCGCTCGCTACTCTCCCCCTCATCCCTATACTCCTGCAGCTCCTCCGCCCAGCGCGAGCTATCCACCTCCCCATCCCCATCCCCCTTCGCCCCCTGTCCCCCCCTCCCGCCCTCATCCCCATGCGCCTCCAGCCCCCGCAGCGCAACCCCCGTCCTCAAAAAAATGAGCCCAACATCCCACGCGCCCACCACCTCAGTCAGAAAATCCTCAAACTCCGTATCCAGCGCATCCCGCAAAATGCGAATAGAGCGCATACCCCAAAACGCCGCTTCGCCGTAGTCTTTCAGATACAGATGCGCGGCGACATACCGCGCAACGAGTTTGAGGCGCAGGATGATGCGCACCGTCATGCCTGTTTGGCCCGCGTAGAGGCCGGCGGGGATATGCGCGTGGAAGAACGCGTCTGCGAGGATGCGGCGGGTGCGTGTGCGCGCGTGGATGAGGATGTGGATTGCGTGGAAGGCGCGGGTGTATGTGTCTAGAGCTTTGCGGGGTTGGGCGGGGAGGAAGGCGTCGGCTGTTGCGATGAGGGCTGTGCTTGTTTCTAGGCAGGATTGCAGGGTGGGGAGGGGGAGGGCCATTTGGGTTTTTAGTTCTGCGGTTATGGGGGGGTGGTAGTTGTGGGTTTGCATGCTGTAGAGGCCTTTTACTTTGCCGAAGGGGAGGAGGAGGCGCCGTTGGAGGGGGGGTGGGGAGGACGGGGTGAGCAGGGTGAAGGTTGTGGAGAGGCGGTCGTTGAGCATGGGGTAGGAGAGGGCGCTGTAGTGCCAGGTTTCGGCGAAGAGGTGCAGGTCGTCGAGGAGGAGGATTGCGGTGTGTTCCGGGACGGCTTGGTGGAAGGGCGCGCTGATTTGTACGATGGCTGTGTGTGCTGTGAAGGCGTCGGAGGTGGATACTATGGGCACGAGACCCTCGCCTGAGATGTGGTTTACTGGTGGTGAGAACCCGTGTTAGCTCTTGTAGCTGGGCGCGTCATTCGACGACATACCCTCGTCCGTGTCTCCCCATTCCATCTCCCCCATGAGGTATACGCGATACATACCCGCGCTGGGCCACGGCGTGGCGATCTTGACAAATACATTCTCTCTCCGCCACACTTTGCTGCTTTCCTCATAAACCTGCTTGTTCACGCGCCATAGGTCGAAGTCGAATTTGTATACGCCGCCGAACAGGCCTTGCGCCTCAAGCGCGGGTGAGGTTATGAGGCGGTCTGCGGGCTTGAAGTAGAGCGAGTAGATTTGCTCGCGCAGTTCGAGGGGGAGCTGCAGGAATGGAAAAGGGGTTGCGACTGTCATTTTGGAGACTAGCAATCAACAAAGTGAAGTTACGGGAACTGTGTTCAATCGCAGGAGTTGGAGATATGTGAAACACGAACATAACAAGACGACCCCGCAGCAACCGCCGTTAACTCCGCGTGCCGAGGCCGACATGAACAAAGCTTTTACACATCAAACTTCGTGGTGCATAGCTGGTAGGAACTCGTATCCTGGCCCTTGATGCCCTGTGATCTAGGCTTCAGTCGAGACAAGCTCCTTCGTATGCTCTATTTCAACATCACTTCATGCTGACAGCTTCATGTCGGTGGGGCCCCACATCCCGATATCTCCGCACCTCCAGAGGCTGGACTCCAAGTGCCGGGTTCGCTATGCAAGAGGTTGATAGAGGCTTACGACATGCATTTAAGGGCTTGCAAGGTGACTACGTAGCGGCATGAACGACTTGAAAAGTCGCATCCGGTCCCGCCCTAACCCCCACCATCACTCCGTCATCGCATACCGTCAACATCAAAGGAGCTCAACTCTTCGACAACCCACCAAAGATAAACCGCAACCATGACCGTCTCCCCAGACACCTCGTACACAGTCCCCCTCCTCATCAACGGCAAGGAAGTCACCACTACCACAACCTTCACCGTCACCTCCCCCGCCTCCCACAAAGACCTATGGCAGTCCTCCTCCGCCTCCCTCGAGCACGTCTCGTCAGCCGCCGAAGCAGCACAAGCCGCCCTGCCGGGATGGGCCAAACTAAAACCCAGTGGCCGACGCGCCATCTTCATGAAAGCCGCCGACATCCTCGAGGCGCGTGCCAGTGAGTTGGCGCAGTACATGGAGATGGAGACTGGTGCGCCAAGCGCGTTTAGCAGCGGTTTCAACGTGCCCAAGACGGCGGATATGCTGCGCGATGTAGCTGGACGGGTGGGCGGGATCATGGGGCATATCCCTACGTGTGAGGAGGAGGGGACTGGGGCGTTGATTGTGAAGGAGCCGTTTGGCGTTGTGCTTGCTATTGCGCCGTGGTGAGTACTCTTATATCCATATGGCTATGTCAAACCATGTATAGATGTGAGTTAGCAGTACGTATGTTGACATCTGCCAGGAACGCGCCCTACATCCTCGGCCTCCGCTCCGTCCTCTACCCCCTCGCCGGCGGAAACACCACCATCTTCAAAGGCTCAGAGTTCTGCCCACGCACATGGTGGGCACTCGGCAGCGTGCTGACCGAAGCCGGGCTGCCAGCAGGCGTACTAAACGTCCTCGTCCACCGTCCCGAAGACGCAGCAAAAGTCACAACCGCACTAATCGAGCACCCCGCCATCAAGAAGATAAACTTCACAGGCTCCACAGCAGTAGGCCGCATCATCGCGTCGCAAGCAGGCAAGAACCTCAAGCCCGTGCTGATGGAGCTAGGCGGCAAAGCCAGCGCCATCGTGCTCGACGACGCCGACCTAAAGAACGCAGCAACCCAGTGCGCGCTCGGCGCGTTCCTCAACAGCGGCCAGATCTGCATGAGTTCGGAGCGTATCCTCGTGCACAAGGCCATCAAGCCGCAGTTCATCGACGCGCTAAAAGGCGCCGTGGAGGCTATTTTCGGCGGCGACAAACCACCCCTCGTCACCGTTACCAGCGCTGCTATCACGAAGAACAAGAAGCTCGTTGCTAACGCGCTGGAGAACGGCGCGAAGCTCATTCATGGCGATCATGAGAAGGAGGAGCTGCACCCTGATACGAAGGAGGTGAGCGGCACGCGCATGCGGCCCGTCATCGTCGACGGCGTCAAGAAGGGCATGGATCTTTTCTACACCGAGTCCTTCGGCCCGTCTGTGTCCGTCATTGAAATCGCGTCCGATGACGAGGCGGTGGAGATTGCGAACGACACCGAGTATGGCCTCAGCGGGGCTGTGTTTACGGAGAATCTCGCGAGGGGGCTGAGAATCGCAAAGCAGATTGAGACTGGGTATGTTATTTTTTTTTCCTTACTCGAATTTCTTGGGATTAGATGGCATTGGAACTGCGCTGACCCCTTTCACTGTCTAGAGCCGTCCATATCAACAGCATGTCGGTGCACGACGAAGCCAGCCTGCCCCACGGCGGCGCCAAAGCAAGTGGATTTGGGCGCTTCAATGCGGATTGGGGGATTGAGGAGTTCCTGCGCACAAAGACTATCACGTATAGATTGTAGGCGTCTAGCGAAGAGAGCTTTGCCCATCCGGGAGCTGGATGGTAACGCTATGATTGGGGATACTGCACCTTGAACGCGTCAAAATGTGGATTTGACTTTGTGGTACTGATAGCGAGATGTTTAGCACAGAACAAAGACCTCACAATCAACACTTCCTAAACTCTCCACTTTCATCCCATCCCATTCCATCGCCGGTCAGCCAAGCCTTCGCGAGATCTCACCGGAGCATACTCAATCAGTCGATCTACGTACTCCCGCACATCCCTCCTCCGCTACCTAACTAGCTAGTCATAAGGCTAAACTAATCACCGACGCGCGCGCTGCTTTCCACCCTTTCTACCTACTCCCCGGCTCATGCGCACCCCGAAGTATAATAAGCGAGACGGCGCGCGAGGTAGAGCCAATGAGACCACGCGGGCACGGGAGTGATGTGCGTTCGTCTGTTCGTCTGCGATGTATGTACCAACCTAGTGGAAGGGAGTTTAGTGCGAGATCTGGCGATGAGGCGTGTGATGGTGTGCAGTAGTACGGTGTTGAACAGGAGAGGGTCGTCCGCGGGGAATATTAGGGGACGTAAATGTAAAACTCAATGGGCGAGAAGATATACATACAAGAAAAGAAGAAGATGGACTATGTAAATAGACGTGCGAACACGATGAAAGACGGAAAAGGTGGGAGGACAGGGGTATATACAATACGATGAGATAGGTACGGTACGGTACGACACGACGATCATCCCAAGACGTCAGTGCGCTTCCCGCGCGCGCGCGATGACAAAAACCCCGTCCGTCCTGCGAAAACTAAGAAACTCATGATCGCATGCATTGTGGCGTTGGCTGCATGCAGCCCCGCCCAGAGTCCACAATGGGTATGACGGGGCGCTTGGGCTGGGCGGATATTCATGTTGAATGGCGCTGTGTGGAAGGGCTAGCATACGGGCGTGCATGGCTGAGCCCTTTTTTCGTTTCCAAAGATAGGCTGGAGGGGTTCGCCTTGCTGAGGAGTTTAGTGGAGTAGTGGACTGGACTTTGCTGGGCTGGATTGGTTGCGTACAAAGCCCTGCAGCGCCCCTCCCATGCATGTAGCTGAGGGACTTTTCTCGCTCGACGGTTTCTTAAGGTGGTAGATCGGACCTGACCTGACCTGACTTGACCCCTCTTTTTGGATTCTTGTGTATCGACCGACGGCTTTGCACATCGACGGCCTCTTTGGAAGATTGGGATCTTGGGTAACGGCAATGGCTATGGATTACCCGCAATCGTTATTCAAGCGCACATCGCTGTTCCGCCGCTTCTCGAAGCAGGGCCGGAAAGCGCAGAACGACGCTGTATATCCGCCGAACAGCGAGACATTCCGCCCTCCACGACGAGACTCGACGCTCCAGCTACGCACCCCGCCGCAAACCCCGTCATCATCCTCGTCGTCGCAGCACCAACGACAACACAGCAACAGCAGTAGTCCCGCCGCCACCGCCGCCGCCGCCAAACCCGACCTAATAACCCACATCCACCGCATCGACCTACCCCGCCACCCCAGCAGCAGCAACACACCCACCCACACCTCGCCCACCTACCGCACCCCCCGCGTCTCCCCAACCGCGCTCCCCACCCTCCCCTTCCCCACAACGCAATCCCGCACCATCCACACAAAACCCTGGAACGTCTTCCTCCCGCCCACGCACATCTTCGCGCTGTACCTCGGCGCCCTGCCCACAGATACGTGCGACAAGTGGTTCGTGTACTCTGAGGGGCCTGATGCGGCGGGGAAGCTCAAAGTGCATTTCCATCAGCGGTGGACGGGGGTGAAGGTCGCGGAGCTGTTTGTTGTGGTTGATTTGCGGGGCGAGGGCGCGGGGAAGGTTGTCGGGATTAAGTGGGATGGGGGGGAGGGGATGAATTGTATGGGGGTTGGGGAGGCGAGGTATCTTGTGAGGGGGTGTTGTCGGTGGGCGTTGGGGATTGAGGTTGAGGAGGGGTGTTGATTGAGAGTGGGGGTTGGCTTTTTGCTTTTTTGTGGGAGCGTTTAGCGGGTGGGGGCTTGTTTGTCAATGGCGCTTTTTTTGTCTTTGGGGGGCGTTGGTGCTTCTTCTTCTTCTTCTTCTTCTTCTTCGTCTTCTCGCCTTCTTCTCGTCACGACAATTTCCACGTCTTTCTTGCTTTGTCGAACGACGGAGCGCGCGCTGCTCGCGTTCGGCATTGGTAATGTAATCTTTTTTCAATCGGTATACGACGGACAGAATGATACACGCAGAATGACGATTTTCCACAGCTATCCTAAAGGGTCAAGCAATATGTCCTAGTCAAGTGCGAGGACAATACGGTGTCTGCCAAGCTATTGGAAGCTTCCGGAGGAAAGGAAAGAGAACGGAATTAGACCCTGAACTATTCCGATCATTCTAGAAGATTGTCTGGAACACGGCGCGAGAAGGGCTGTTACACGAGCAAATGAGCGCTATGCCAGTTCAAGAAAGAGGATACACAATTCGAGGGGTACTTGTATATTCCACATCTCACCTGTTAAAGCGGGATATCCTTTTATTCCTCCCTCAACCCTCAACCCTCAAGAAGCTCGTCACCCAGTCTCCAGCTTTACACATCTCATCTACAGCAGACAATCCAACCCCCATTGCTCTCACAACTCGACCCCGAGGCATTCCGCCTCACACCTCAGCACCCCGTAACCCCCCAGTACCGCCCCTCAATCAACTTAGTATCCCAATTCTTCTGCGAGTACCCCGTGTTCTGATCCGCGCGGCACGGGTAGCCGCTGTAGGCGCGGAAAGTGCATTTCTTGCTGCCTTCGTTGTTCCAGACGATCTGGTGTGGATTGACATTAGTGTTGGGCTTTGGGTTATGACGTGGAGAGGAGGGGCTGTGGAGTGAGGAGAGGTGTGGGGGAGAGATGGGGAGAGAGGAAATATATAGAGAAGAGGAAGAGATGGGAAAAAGATGGGAAAGAGATGGGATGAGACATACACGATCCCCATTCCCACACGTGCTATCTCCAATCTGCGTACATCCCCGGTTCTGGATACCGCCGTAGCTGAACGAGCGCGGGCAGGCCGCGGTGAACTTCCATGCTTGGGTTGATGCGATGAGGAGGGTGAGGGTGAGGGTTGTGAGCTGCATCTTGAGAGGACGTTGCTAAAAGCACGGCTCAAGAGTGATATAGACAATGTATGTATGGCTGGAGGAGAGACTTGAAGATGATCTGAGTACCTAAATCAGCGGCCATCAATGCCCTTTATATCTTCTTTCTCCACCCATCCATCCGTCTCTCATACCCCATAAACATTTCCATAACACAACACCCAAGCCTCGCTTCATTACTTACACCACAAAACCCGTGACAAGCCACACCCATGCACCTCCGCTCCCACAACAGTAAATATAGTGCGGCTGAGCGCCCCCCAACCAATCACACCACCCCCCTCCGCATCCCCACAGCACGACGTTTCTCCTCCCCACATCGTATGTATGTTTCATATGTAAGTACTCCGCAAACGCGGTGGTACAGCATGTAGTACAAAGTTTGTGGCTTGACGGAGTTTAGCACCAATCAGCTTGTGTGGTGCGGTGTATGATCTGATTCTTGGACGAGGGGACACGGGGGAGGAGGGGGTTCGATGAAGGTTATGCGCGTGCGTGCATTGCGGGGGTTTGAGGTGGGTGGGGGAGGGAGGTCTGGGATGGACGTGGTGGTGGTGGTGGTGGTGGTGGACTTGCTTTTGCTAGAGCTGTTCGACGAACGCGAGGAAAGCGACGACGGGACTGGGTAAGTGCAGTGTTTGAAACGGGTGGAACACGGCGTATGGTATGCTACTGTCGCTCTCGATGCGGTGGTCCTGTCAATGTGTTCTCCTTCTACAATTGGTTGGTTTGAGTTGCTGTCCGGGTTCCTGCGTTACCATCCCCCTCTTGAGTCCAGCCTCTGCTTGCTGATCATCTTGGTGGATCGGCCAATGAGAATGCTCGGCTTGCGCCTTATGGAAGTCTGCATGCTATTAGTAGCCTTTGAGTTGTATTTTGGAGGGCCTTGTGCAGCTGTCGTGCCACTGTTCGTCTAGGCCTGCTACTTACTTGCTACCTGCCCAGAAGAGAAGATGAGTGTCTGGACCTCAGCTTGAACCGTCAGAATCGCTGTCAGATCTGGTAAGTTCTGCGAACATCCTAGCAAACTGTATTCTTCGTACTTCCAGATCGTCTGTAGGCGGTGGTTGCCAGGAGCCATGTATTGACGTTGGATGGTTCTAGACTCGTCGTATTTGCTCTCTCCTATGTAGTACAACGTTTTGAGCATCATATTTCCGCGGAAGTTTATTAAGGGCCCAATTCGCGAGACATGGTAGTGTGTGTGAGAGCATGCGAGATATTTTGTTTCAGTGCGCAGCACGCATACCTCAAGACCATACTTCCCGTCTGAAGTAATTGTAGTCTCGACACCGGTCTTAGTCAATATATCTTCACGGAGGAGGTCTAAAAGTTCACAAGCATAGCGAAATGCCGTGTTGTGAGCAGTACTCGCTTTACTGAGATTGTGTCTAACAGTTATTCACCGCGAATTTACATCAGCAGGCAGTGTCACACCGAAGGTGGATTGAGGTATGTTGCAGTGCGAAGGCAGAAGCAGAACTACGCGCTACGTAGACTGAAAGGCATATGTGCTGGACAGAGATCGAGAGGCTGAGCTGTTTCTGGCTGGAAGCGCTGGCGAGCACAAAGAAACTGGATGAATGGTAGAGAGATATAGGAACGGTTGATTTTCGATACCATAAGACGAGCACTCTAAAACATACTCATAGCTTATGCTACGTACGTCAGAGCAAAGTGCAGAGAAAGCACGAAGCACACAAACATGTAGGTCAATACGAGGTAGATATCAATTTCAGAGACTTGGAGGACAAGACCTTTTCCATATGATTGCTATGAAACTCACTAGGACTGCGATTCCTGGTCATTAAGCCACGAGAGTTGTAGCTGACTATAGCTGTCATTACAACTTCAGTCGGCAGAAGTTCAAAAGTAGTGATAAGAGAGAGAGAAATGGCGCAAAGAAAAACAACACGCCTCCCAAGCATCAGATATGGACACGAAAAGCAAACAGAATGCAACAATGTTTTGAATAAAGGCAAGACCGGCTACGAAACACAAGTCAAAGTCGAATATGCCCTTCTGCTACTTGAAGTCCCAGCCCTTCCATGAATGACGGACGAGTACAGTCCGATAGATGTTCATGTTGGAGCACATAGTGTGTCTGGGTACGTCGATGTATGTCGGGAATAAAACCTGGAACCACAGGGAGCAGGGAGACCCAACGGATTGCAAAAAGACGGTCATATCGTCCAACCGCGAACTATTCGTAACCTGGTGTTGTAGATATACGAAGAGAAGTATACGGCTTCGCGAACCTGTTGCCAAGTTCATAATCGGTCAATCGATAGGTGTCATTGCGCAATGAGCATAGCTGGCCGCCTTTGGATTCGAGTGCCTGATGATGAAAAGCCCTTCATTGCGTGTATGACCAGGTCTTATTTGGATCATTACCACAAAACATCGGCCAGCGCTAGTGTCGTGCCAAGCAGCGTTCCAGTCTCTTCGTCGATGCCACCGTAAGCTTCTGTAAGCCTTTGGATGCAAGCTTCGGTGTCCAAGATAAGACCCCCACAATCTGCTTCCCCCTCCAGGACTATGGGATTCTCGAGACGAAACTCAATTTCGCATGGCAAACCTCTGTAATCGACCCAGATGTCTGGACAAGGTAAAGATCGCCTGGTAGGGTGTTGATCCAAAAGTGCTTCGAGGACCAACAGACAGCGCCGCTGAAGTTCATATAAAGATGTCACACCAAGTTCCTGTTTGATGACCGAATCCTCTGGACATGTCAACTGAACACAAATAGTCGTAGATGTATCGAGTAAAAGCGACGCTTTCCGGACAAGGTTGGTAGCTTGATATCGGACACTGTTCAAGTTCACCCTCCCAGCCAGATCATAAAGCAAGATGATGGTCGGAGCGTCAAAGACTTGCTGAATGCCATCAACCTGACTAAACGGCCTTATGTTCTCAATCCATCCATGCAAAGCATGGAAGTCTCCAAACGTAGCTCTGGGCTCTTGTGTGGACATCTCCACAATAATTTCCCTCTTGAAGTAATCCAATGCAAGTTCCCGGATTTCTTTGTTGATTGCAAAAGTTTCCGGAAGTGACTCAGATAACGTGTTCTTGTTCAGATTATATTTGAGTTGGTGACCAGCGCCCCCAACAAGGGTCGAGAACCTCTTCTCGATCCTTGGATAGCGATACATGAGCTCTGCAAGACGGATCGGTTGACGTTTTGAGTATACTCGCTGCAGTCCTCCCGTGTTGGATACTTCCAACACGATTCTGGCAGGGTCACGCGATGGCTTATGAGTATCAGTGCTGAGCAGAAATGTAACGCGATTACCGTCGTTCGACAGAATGACGCTTTCCAACACCTTCGAAGGACGTAAGTATAAACCGATGGTAGTTAATCGCTCCCTTTCTAAACATGCGAGCATTGAGTTCAGGACGTCGACACCGTAGTTTTGGACCGTTGATGACGGATGCAGGTGACGACTGCTCGGGTCATGGTCTGTCCTATCTGTTTCCACAAAAAGAATTTGCAGCTTCGAGTTTGTTCTCGACCAGATCCAATTCCCAAGGGGGGCTACATCGAGTCGCCGAGGCAATCGTGCTGGGCAGGGAGGGCCTAGGTCAATCGATAACCTCCGGAGCAGAGCCTCATGAGTTCCGATCTTGTATAGCCACTTTTCAATGCGATGCAGGTACGGAGTATGTTCGCAATTGGCCATAGGAAAGCAGACCAAGAACGTGTTCCGGGAGTAAAGCATTGCTGCGGCTTCCGACCACACTTGATGACAAGAAGAGAGAAAATTGACACCAGGGATTGGACAGGCTAGCCTTGGACTTGCCCAGGGATGACGTCCCATCAAAACGATCGGATCGTCGTATTGAAACAGGGTCTCGTAGATAGCATTGCGTATTTCCGCCGGGCGGTTGAGGAAGGGTGTGACATACCCGTCTGGAGCGCCAGACAGGCTGTTCGATTTCGCGAGGTCAAGTATCGGTAAGGTTGATTGGTTTGCCGTAGCCGTATCGCGAAGTAGTGGTCTCTCGATCGATGTTATAGAAGCTGACGTGCCTGTAGTCTGAGCCTCAGCTCTGACAGCGGCGAGATTGCCTGTCATTTGCAGTTCTGCCATGACAAATGCAGCTGCGATTGCGATAAGACTGTTTTTTGGGTTTGAGCGGACAGGTATCGATGTTGTGGGTTGTGTGGTAAAGAGTGGTTAATAAGAAAGTTGTGGTGAGGTCAAGTTCAGAGGCGAGCGTCAGATAAAGGCAGGAGCTACCTTATTGGAGTTATGTGACTACCCTCACCCTGGAAAGAGACGAGAAGGAGATGAAGATCTAGTATCGCTAGGAGATTGGGCAGTCTGTATGTGAAGCAAACGAGGAAAGAACTTGCTTACAGGCTATTGGAGGAAAGTGGATCTAGTTGAAAGTATGAAAACACAAACACTCACCTGGCGGTCTAGAATAGTGATTGACTCTCAGATTGCCATCTACAAAGAAAGTCGTTTAACTCCGAACCTAAGATACGCTTAACAAACCCACAACTCTTAGTAGTTTATCCAGTCATTCTCATCCCTCTCTTCCCTCTCCAGCGCCCTATCTCCACATATCACTTCGCACTCATCTCTGCTTATCACACTCCACCCTCCCTTTGCATGAACAATCCCATACCCAATCTCCCACTCCCTTTTCTTGACAAGCTCCACCATCTTCTTGCATTCCCCTGTATATCGCCTCAACCACGGCTGCAACGGCCTCATGATGCCGCGTGATTCATCATCCATCCCATAGCTTCTGTGCTTGAGGAAGACAAAACTGAATTTCGGGGCGCGAAGGTGTTCCGCCTCGCGATGGATCATCAATGTATTTTGAAAATTGTCGAGGTACTGCTAGTACCACGCAGTGTGGTCATGGAAGACATAAAATGTCGGCGGGAGAACGAGCGTGAAATGACAGAGTGCCGTGGTTTTTAGTTTGTTCAAACAGTCTTGGAGTGACTCATTGTGCGACCAGTTTGTAGGGACAGAGAAACCGAATCGTCTGAGACGGGCGCGAAAGTACATCGTTTGGTCTGCAACGCGGTGTCGTTCACCGCGAGAAATGGAAAACCTGGGGTGGGGAGCACATATGCGCTCGTGGAACTAATCATTTGTTAGCTAGACTTCATGATGAGGATCCTTAATTGAGGAGGTGTATACGTACATCAACCGTTCCATACGTGGGAAATGCGACATAATCTTTGCCAAGGAATGGCACATGTACCGTCACTGTCTTCAGGAACCGGAAGTGTCGGAATTGAATGGTGTTCAACCAGCAGCTCATCACCATCCACCCGTTGATCCCGCTGAAACGCCACTCATTCTCGCCATAAAAGACTTCGCTTGCCTCTTCGTGGATGAGTTTACTAACACGTAGGAGTGCAACGCGAGGTCTGTTTGTGGACTGGTATTCGCGCATAACCGTTGCGCGTTGAAGGTTGCAGTTGTACATCATGTTGTACCTGATATGGGGCCAGAGATCGATAGGTTCGGGTCGTACGAGGAGCTTGCGGTAGATCTGAAGTCGCAGCTCAGACGGCAGTCTTTCGAATGGGAAGGGTTTGGCAGTCTGAGTCAAGTCGACACATTGTTAGCAAGTCGTATAGTCAGGGAACTGCTGCTGATGCGCACCTGAGGCCGACACTACTTGCGCTCGTTGTGCAACACTGGATAAAACCAGACAGGGTAATCTTTCTTTATGTCATGGATCTCGCGTGACGTGTAAGCCTGCCACGGTCTCTGTGGGCTCGGTCCTTTTCGTCCTGGAAAGCGTCCGCATTTTTGGATATCCGCTGAGTATCTCTCGACATGATTGCCATGGGGTCGTGGTGGTAAGCTGGCAGGTCGTGGGTCGATTTGCAAAGGACGTTGGACCCTGTTCGCCGGCCGCGCTCGAGATGGCAGAATTGACGTCTGCATAGTGATTTACTATTGTTTTGATTGATGGTGTATGCAAACCTGAGCGAAGGAAGGTGATAGTAATGGTAACTACAGTTGAGGTACCGCGATGGTGGACAGGAGAAAGTTATACTGAGACCATCGTTGTTCTACGATCGGTTGCGCCTTCTTGTCACAACACAGTCTCCTGCCTACTTCCCCACGTAGTGTGTTTGCCGATTTCCTCATTCAACACGTTACAAACTACGTCCATGAGAGTCAAGCGCTCGACACGAAACACACGTCGTCGTGACGATCAAGACAAACAGAAGCGTTGACCCAGGCCAACGTTGTTTCAACTCATACAAACAGTGGCTCACTTCCATCGGCCTATCGACCTCAAGCCCACGCCGCGTGCCTGCTCAGGTGTCAGTGTCTCGAGCTTCCACTGGTTGAGAACATGAACCACTTGACCATTTGTGCTCACCCCATGCCTCCAGTTCGAACCAATGTTATATCGTTACAGGGTTTTCATACGGCGCATCGCAATATCGCTATCAACTGTTTTACATGGCAAGTGAAAGAGCGTGAAGCAGTGAAGAGAGTGAGCAAATGGAAGAACAATGAATACCAACCACCACAATTGTCCACTTCACCGGGCGGCAAAACGCTCACCCAAGATTTTCAAAAGTTCCACTGGCGGCTCCAATATCACCAGGTTCACCTTTTCTTGGAGCAAAGAGTTGAAAACCTGCCCCATCCACTTCGAACCAGCACAACGATCAACCGCACTACCGAAGAAGCATGTCGGAGCAAGCTCAAGCCAGCTATTCGTACGTCCTCAGCACGAGTTTCGCCCGGCACAGTGCCACTTGGTCACCACAGCATGTGCGAAACACATCAGCGGAACATAGCGCAGCGATGAGAGACATTATCCGGTCATGGTGTCCCCCGATTGTGACACCCCCATCTTGTCGAGCTGTAAGCTTCAGCAGCTGGTCAAGATTCACCACATCGCCGTCGAAGATCACACCCGTTGGAGAGTTGAAAGCGTCGATCGTCTGCAAAGCGAGTGGAACATCACCGGGATATGATCCTCCGGAAGCTGAAAAGACATATTTGGGGGCAGATCAGCCTGTCAACTGGCAGGAGATGGCTAAGCCGAGAGTTGGCAATCAGAAAAAGCAGAGTCCCAAATCCGGGGCGACGGGCTCAACCATGGACAGCGTCGAAGAGAAGATTGAGCCTGTTCGGTTCGAAAAACAGTTGCCCAAGCGAGCGAACACAAACTCGCAGCTGACTGATTCGCTCAAGGCGTCACCGCCCAGAAACACCGAGCTACCGCTAGCCAAGGGCGCTCAACATCGATCATCACAGAGGATGACACTGGCACAGAGGCTGGGTCTGGACGGGATGAAATGCGACGAGCTCCCTTCAGCATTTGATTCGGACAGCGAAGACGAAGCGGATTATGTGGCGACACCATGAGTATGCAACGAGATGAGCCACAAGACGCAATGAAAGACGCTGGAGACGAAGCTACGATCGCAGCACAAGATTGAGAGAAAGAGGAGTCTCTTTTAGCAGGAGAAGAGAAGAAAGGTTGGGTCCGAGCTGGTTAGCTCTTTACTTTTTGGATGATATCAACGCGTTAATGGAGTTTGGCAAGGTAGTAACAGTGGAGATGCCTGATGGTGGAGAGAAGGGAGGAATGGAGTGTGACGAGCGCATCATAGCCTAGACAAATGGGGTTAGCTCGGTAGCCTCAGAGTTCCGTTCGATGACGGCAGCACCTTTTGTAAACCTAGCGTTTCTTCAGTCGCACTTCTCACGCAAGAACTACATTCCAATGGAACAAACAATGATGAATTGCACGCGCTCTTTCTCACAGTGTCTGAAGCGCACTACACAACGAACCCCGATCACTTCGTCAATACGCGCCAGAACTACACAACCCATACTCCTCGCCCACAGAGCTTCCCTTCGATGCATACACAGCTCCCGCGTTCAGTTTCTCGAATCCCGACCCCCTAAATCTCGCGACCGCGGCCCCAAGAGCGACGAAGACACGCAGACCGACTTCAGCGCTCTCGATGTCCTGCGCAACACGGCGGTGCCCGCGACCTCAATCGATGCATGTACAAACGATGGCTTTGCACTTAACAACCAATTGCGAATAACTGGGAGCGGGGTATTGCTTGTGGGCGGAGAAGCTTTTCGATGGCGACCCTGGCTACGAGAAGGGGTCCAGGGAGAGGATCATAACGGCGCGATGACAGGGCAACTATTGAATGCAAAGAAGCAGTGGGAGGTGCAAGATAGTGCCTGGGGGGTCTTGGAGTTGGCATGGCCAAAGCCTGGTATGTTCTAACATTCTATGCATTTATGTTATGGGTGTAGACGTGAACAACAGCTAATCTTAGCCGCAGACCTTCTCATCATCGGGACTGGCCCTCAGGTCACACCCATCGCACCTGCGGTTCGCCAGTACCTCAACGACCTCGGTATTCGGCTCGAGATTCAGGACACTCGAAACGCTTCCGCGCAGTTCAACCTCCTCGCTACCGAACGCGGCGTGGGAGACGTGGCGGCAGCACTCATACCTATTGGCTGGAAGGAAATACGGCAATAACTCTCGAGGTGAGTGCATCAGACCAACACTATGTAGCATATTGTAGCCAGTACGATAATTGCAGTCTGGAAGTGTCTTCTGCAATCTCTCTTGAGCAATAGTTCATGCCACAATATGCGTCCAAGTGACTGCTTGTGTCTTTCCATTGTTAAGCTCCACGTCACTCACAGTCAGTAACGATTGTCTCACTAACAGTGATTTTAGAGCAAACAGATTTTTGCATTCTCACTGGCATCACACCTTGCACAACGCTCTCACCTATCAACCCTACAAGGTTCTAGGTACAAATTCATGTTGGCCAAATACATCCCGCAAACGATCACGCGTCTACTTACATCATACGTGCACTCCTTCGTGCGCGCCGCAAGAAGAATGTGGGATTCTGTCGTCCGATTCGGATTTGGTCCGCCTGGTCGATCCGTCGATGAGGAAACCCCAGATGAGGAAACTACGAACGTCAAGCCGGTCAAGTCACCACAGGATGGCGCGCCCGACATGCCGCTTCTCCATGAGCAAACAAGGAGTCACGACTGCACGATGGCCAATGATAGTTATGAGTTCGCATCATCTCCTCCCAAGGCACCAGATGTATCGCAACACTCCTCATATTCTACCGAGATAGAATCACACATTCCTAGCCACATACCAGAAGGCAACATGTCTTTTCGTTCATTCCTCAAAAAAGCCAAAGACAGGAGGAAACTTATGCGCATCGAGCTGCCTAGCGACGTCGCAAATCCAGACTCAGACCACGCGGGCCTTCTCGCCAATGCACGTCGTGTTTCTTTCAACGAAGCGCCCCCGGAAGACGACCACGACTACATCACCCTCACTACCTCAGAGGATCAAACAGACATGGCAGTATTACTCACTCCCATCCGCGGGAAACTGCAGAAGCTCCGAGAAACCACGCCCGATAGCCTACCGCCATACAATCCCAGCGTACGGGCTAAGACCCACGCGCAGGTGCTGAAAGTGAGGCTGCTTCCCATCGGCGAGTTCATCGTACATGAGCTTCTAGCCAAGGTGCCTGCGGAGAAGAGGGGCATATTGGAATTGAAGTTGTGGTGAGTCCTCCGCTTTGCACACACTCAGAGAGTCTATTGTTTGAGTGTATATTAATCGTGCTATAGTCGCTACATTGCCGATGAATATTGGCCTCTCCCCGAAGGCAAAACAACACACATCCACGTACAAGCTATGTATCGCAATGTTATGTTCAAGGAAGCTGTGCTCACGGCACGACAAACGCATCTGCAGACGGACGCCATACACCTGGCTCAGGAAGCACTAGTGATTTTGCTTGAGTCGGAGATGGACAAGCGGGATTCGGGGGTGGATGTGGACGGGATGGACGTGAATCGCGAGCAGCTGGTGGAGGATGGTGATGAGGGGGAGTACCTACAGCTGAAACGCTTTGATGTGAAGCAATCAGGCGGATACAGCGGTGTAATGAGTGTGGAATCGGGTAGCAAGCGGCACGCCGACTGTGAGGATGACAAGGGCGAGAACAAGGAGATGAAGACTCGGCACGTAGGGCAGTTTCCCAAGGGAGGTTAGGGCCGTGGCGGTTAGAGTACGAGGCTGAGAACCTGAATGTGTCCTCATTTCTGATCAGAGTGTGCATGTCAAGATACGGTGGTGGGGTTGTTCAATTGAGCATATTCGCCGAAATGGGACGCTACGCGGATATGTGGTCTCGACAGATGTGAATGGAGGTGAGTGGTGAGTTAGGGACGCTCGGCTGATTGTGTGGGAAAGAAAAGAGAAGGGAGGAGAATGACATGGTAGTTGAAACTAGAAGTGACTTCGACTCCGCAGGAAAAGCCTCTTTCACTCACCAAATCGATCCGAGGATCAGCCGCGCGCAGTTTTGACCCAAACAACAATCGCGTCTGACCCCCACTTCTATTCAACACAACTACCACACACTTGAGACTCACATCACTCGACGCCGCCTGGACAACTCCTTGGTAAGTGAGACGCCCTAGATGTTGATAGTCTGACACTCACACCCTAGAGGCACGCTGGTTACGCTCCACTATGGCGACTCTCATAGACCTGTTGGACGCGCGGTACGCTCCGATCCAGACCTGCATGCTTCAGTATCTCGGTGTCGGTGAAGTGGTCGCGCTCCAGCGTACTTGCAAGGCGTTTGGCGCTCTTCAAGAAAGGTTGATGGCAACGAGCTACAATATCAACCTCCGCCTATCACACTTCTTCCGCGACCCCCGGGAGTTTCGTTCCTTGCTGGGAAAGTGCAACGCAGTCATCGCTGATGAGTTTGCGCGCCGATTCTTCTCCCGTCTTAACGAAGCTGAGTATGAACTTATGATATTTGTTGCAAAAGACATGTATGCTGTCTTAGCAGAATACTTAAGAGGTGAAGGATACACGCATGAAGAAGGGTTTTTTGAGTTCGTCAGAGAAGACTCAAGTGGATGCGGTTACATTGTTTACATGGAAAATAATCCGCGTGACGACACTTGGGCACCTCTAGCCCAGGTCCTCGACAGTGCTTACACCACCTGCTGTTTGAATCTGATAACCTGGAACAAAGCGTACTCCCTCTTTCCGTACAGAATCTTCATGAAGCAGGAGTCGCATCTTTTGGTCGAATTCGATCCAGATATCGCCTACCACTGGAGACGCCTCGAGCACGAGGGCATCAAGAGTAAGACTATTGAATGGAGCCAGAAAGAAGACAGCCATCCCATCACATGCCCTCGACGCGTTGGTGACAAGTACACGTGGGTTATCAACTTGGACACGCAGGGCATCGAAACTCCTGAACTACCCGACGAGGTTCTCGAAACAGCTACCTTTCAAATTCGACTTTGGGATAAAGATCATGACACCGGTCGGGGTCCTGTAATGCGATACATTCTCGACTTCCGCGAACTTCGACATCCAGTACTCAAGTATCCTTACATTGTGTTGAGGGAGCCAAGCACTGTATCACCTTCGGCTTTTCGACAGAAATGTAAGGCACTGGAGAAACGTCTTGACGAGTTGACCTTGTTTCAGTTGTTGCTGATTCATCCGGCATGCCGACCTTCTGAATACGATCAGCTTGCGAACGATGAGGTCAAGGCAAACCAACTTCGCGGAAAGTTCGAGTTACCTGCCTCGTGGACATTCTACGATGCTGATGTGGTGGAATTTCTGACCGATGCATGGAACGACTGGGAAGAAGGGGGCGGTAAAAAGCGCGCCTAGTCATCGTCAGGTCGAATGCGCCAGGTTGGGTGGACGACATTGCGCAGTTCTTGTCGAGTGAGTAATGGGGGAACAGTGAAAGATTCGCTGCAAGTCACTTCATTGCCTATCTGCTATATGAGAGGCTGCTGGGTCTTTTGAGGCGTGGGAAATATTCTCAGCCTGGAGGCATCAACGCGGTATGTACAGTCGGCAACGATAAATTGGGCGTTGGACCTGGTTCAGGATGCGACGCGACTAAACGAAGACCGGCAATGCCGACAGGTAGCTAGACGGCCATTAGCAGACGAAATCGAAAACCAGTGTCAAAAGAAGCCAAGAAGATCGGGTGAGTGATGAATGCACTTGTGGTTGTGATACTTTGTAGCAGTGACGTAGCGTCGGCGAATTTCGGATAGCCGCCGATACGGACCTGAATTCTACATGACTGCCTGAGGCATCTTCACAGTCACAACCACCCCTCAGACCTCTTGTGCGTGATGGACCCTCTTCTAGAAGAAGCGCTCGCTGCTGGAAACCCAACACCAGCCATCTCAAGCGCTACTGCAGTCTTCCCGAGCAAACTTTTAGCGATCAGCGACATCCATCTCTCCTACAAAGCCAATCGCGAGGCCTACGAGAAGCTGCAGCCGCATCCAAACGATGGCCTTATACTGTGCGGAGATGTGGGTGAGTCAGCCGAACACTGCCGCATAGCTTTCGAGAATGCGACGTCGTGCTTCAAGACGGTGTTTTGGGTGCCCGGCAACCACGAGTTGTATACGATGCCCACACAGAGAGAACACGGGGCGAGAGGCGAGAAGAAGTATCTCGAATGCGTCGATATCGCGCGCGAGTTTGGCGTGCAGACGCCTGAGGACGACTACATGCTGTGGGAGGGAGACGGAGGGCCCTGCTTGATCGCGCCTATTTTCACGCTGTATGATTACAGCTTCCGTCCCGCTGACGTTAAGCTCGAAGATGCACTCGATTGGGCAAGGGAAAAGGATATAGAGGCCACGGATGAGCACCTGCTACATCCCGACCCATACGCGTCGCGCATTGAATGGTGCCATGCACTTGTAGAACAGACCGAAAAGAAGCTGTCCGCAGCTGTCGCAGCGCATCCAGGCATTCCACTAATCATAGCAGGACATTGGCCGTTGAGAGAAAGCCTCGTTAAGCTTCCGAGGGTTCCACGGTTCTCTCTTTGGTGTGGCACAAAGAAGACGACGGATTGGCATAAAAGGTTCAACGCGAAAGTCGTCGTCAGCGGCCATCTGCACATTAGAAGGACTGACTGGGTTGACGATACCCGCTTCGAAGAGGTCAGCTTAGGCTATCCCAAACAGTGGCAGGAATGCCTTGAGCATGGTCTGGGTGTCAATGATTTGCTACGAGAGATTTTGCCAGGCCCCGAGACGCCTTCAGCACATATGAGAGACACAGTATGGAGGCGCTACGGCTGAAGCACGTGTAGTGCATAATGCAAGTTTGATTGTTCCGCAAAGTTGTCATGAGAAGCTGCATCCCTTCTTTTCAGGGTAGGTCTCGTCTTTCCAATTATGCTGTCTTCATGTTCCACGTTTTACGTTTTAGCCCCGCAAACACTCAAACACAGCAATCCTTCAACCGGTCTATGGTCAACTCGCGCACCTTCCTTGTTAGGTGCCAAGTTAGCCCCGCAGCCGAGCCAATCTCTCCGCTTCACAGGATCACGTTCTAATTCTCCATTCGACTACACCAATACACGGATAGACTCGATATTGAGCATGTCGATCTCGACGAAGCTTATCCTACCTTAGACGTGTTCTCCGGGGTCGCAAGGCGCCAGCCGACAAACGTCCCCTGCTACTCACTTCGAGCTCCGCTGTCAACGTCGCTCATCGCGGCAACGTAGTCGTTTGTTTACGATCGTGCCGAGGATTCAACCAATTGGTGTGATGGTTCAAGGCCATGTGCTCGGTTGCATGCCTGTATTGATGTACCTGCATAATTCTATGGATAACATTCCGCATATGGCACAAGCAACTCGAACGCAGCAAAGACACAATGTTGTGCAAGTGGGTTCGTCGCAGATAAAGCGACATGAGGTTACTGAGTATATAAACTGACCGGTCAGCATCGATTAGATCTCTACAAGCAACATTTAGTTCACTTCTGTTCCTGGTTCTGCATCGTGGTGAATCGACTGTTGTCCTCCGACATTCAGTTCTTCGACGACAGAGAACACTAAACACATCAAGATTTTTGGCCAAACAGGAGATACTGAAGATTTGCCAAGATGTTATTTGACCTCCGTACTGTGTCGGTCCAGCTTCTTGCTGCTGCTGCCTACGTCTCCGCCTCGCCGTTAAGCTTTGGCAAACGTGCAGTCATCAGCCACGATGCCGTTGTTGGCTTTGCCCAGACCGTACCCTCTGGGATCAACGGAACCCTTTACCTGAAGTACAAACCACTCCTCAAAGTCTTCAACGGCTGCGTGCCATTCCCTGCCGTGGACAAGAACGGCAACACCGGGTACGTCTCTTCTCCTCTTTTCTCCACACTGATTCTAACCTCCTTTCCAGTGGCGGCCTCAATACTTCTGGCGATTCAAACGGCGACTGCGCCTCTTCCCCTGGCCAAGTCTACGTGCGCGGCGGCTTCTACGGCGGTTCCTACGCAATCATGTACAGCTGGTACATGCCGAAGGACTCGCCCGGACCGGGCCTTGGGCATCGACACGACTGGGAAAACGTCGTCGTGTGGCTCTCGACAAACTCCGCGTCGGCAACTCTCGAGGGGGTCTCCATCTCCGCGCACGGCGACTACCAGAAGGATACGTCGCCGGACTTGTCCGGCACCTCCCCTCTCATTGGGTATATCAGCTACTTTCCAGTCGATCATCAACTGATTGCAACGACCACCGTGGGCGGTACACAGCCGCTTATCGCGTGGGAGAGTATGACACAAGCGGCGAGAACGGCGATTGAGAGTACAGACTTTGGGGATGCTACGCCGAGTTTTAGGGATAGCAATTTTCAGACTTATCTAGCTAAAGCCGTTTTGTAGATTGTGCTTCGCTTGGACCAGTACGGTGGTCTGGATAGAGGGAGAGAGGAGCGGAGCTGAGCGTGAGCTGGTTTCGGTGTCCTCTAGATCCTCTTTTGCCTCTTCTATACTTCTCGCGGGTCTAGCAGCTATGCTGTTTAAGGCTTACGGCTCGTTAGACTGCATGTAGATACAAAGTTTCGGTATTTATTTTCTGTCAGTCGCAATTTGCTGAATACCGGTTCCATGGGTCTGAATGTTGCAAATGAGTCGCGCTCTACACTTGAAAAAGTTACCATGTGTTCGAAGTATTTGCCTACGATTGAACTGCTACAAGGAAGTCAAACGTCGACGCCAACCACACTATATGTCAACCCTTCTAACCCGAACACGCAGGCGTTGCATCATTCATCGCACTGTATTGTCCACTTTCCAACACACGCCTCATCGCGTCTTCCCGCGTTCCCTGCAAGTCCAACCTGGCCTCCTTCAACTTCTTCTCCCCCTTCCCGAGCTTCGCTTTCAAGGTCGCCTCCCGGCCCACACCATCTTGCACTAAATTCCCACAGAGGTTTCTTGCCTTGTCGATTTGGACCTCGCTCGCCTTGATCCGATCATGCATGTCCATATCCGAGAAGATGTTATCGAAGTACACATCCCCCCATATACTCCCACTAGCGATATTCATGTCGCCCAGTGTAGGCAGCTCGGGTGCCAAGTGGCACAGCTGCTGCTGCAGCATACGCACTTGCTGGATGGACGACTCTGCGCGCTCGAGGTAGTTGCGTTTCTGCGTCGAGGTGTGGGAGCTCCCACCGAACATGTCAAGGCATGAGGCGTCGTACGCAGACTCCATATGATTTCGCGCTTCGGCAAGCTTGGTGCTGGCCTGGCGGAGGAGGAAAAGGATATGTCTTTCGCGCTCCAGGGCCTGGTTGAGAGTTTGTACGTGCTGGGACGCGGCGATGCAGGTGTTTTCTTTGGCGTCCTCTTCGGGGAGCTCGGGGGTAGGGCCGTCGAATATGTTGTTGTATAAATTGTCCAGTTCCGTCTTCAAGATTGTGTACCGCTGTGCACTGGTTTCAAGTTTCCCCACCTGAATTTCGGTTTCGGCTTTGAGTTCCTTTGTGTATTCCAATTCATCTTCGGCGGTCCTCTGCGATTGGATCGCGTCGAAGTACTCGCGTTCTTCTTTTGCTGCCTTTTCGGCGAAACGCGCTTTTCGCCCGCTGGCTTTGTGTGCGAAGCGTCGGTATCTGGATTCTGAGTACTTTTTGTGGTCTTCCAGCTCCTTGTTTGTTATGCGCGTAAGGTCTTGGACGCGCTTGTGTGTTCTGGCGATTTGCGCATTGAGTTCCGTGAGGTAGGCAGTTTGCTGTTGGAGTTGTGAGGGCGAGGACTCTGTTTCCTGAAGTCCTTGAAGAAGTTGGGCATGCTGGCCGGATATGTGTTGGATCTTTTCTTGGACAGAGGTCATGATGGCTGTTGCGCAAGTTGTTTAAGTGTTGAAGACAAATTAAGTTCATGTGATGGATCGAAGCCGGACGGTATCGGAATGAAGCCACAGTGGGTCTAATTATGTACCTACGTCCCGACGCCCGCTTTTAGTGATGCTGATACCTACACCTGGTTATCGTGATGCTACACAGTATACCTCGAACTCAGCCTTGTAGTCGGGAGGCCCGATCGCTCCGGTTTGATGTCAGCCAAGTAAGGCGGTGCAACGCTACCAAGCCACAGGGCGATCGTCCCGTGACCGGCTAACTCGGATCTCGGGCGTCAACTTGGTGTTTGAATTGAATTGGATGATAGTTTTGATGGCGTTATTGAGTGCGAGATTAGACATTCAAGATTGGGCTCGAAACAGAGTTCTGTTTGGTACTTTGGAAAAATACGCTAGGCAAGAACAAGCGAGGGGGCGAAAAATGGCCTAGTTTTATTGAACATCGCACCTGTGAAACCTTGAGACACGGCCATGGCGTGATATTGCAAGGCTGGTGGTTGTAGTGATATAGTATAACATGGAGGGCTTCACGGTCCTCCACAGGTCCCCACTAAAGTCCTCATCCTTCGACCTGCCCCTTTTTTCTCCACCGCTGACCTCCGAGCCTCCGAGCATCCCATCATGGCAACTGAACAGCTGCAAACCTACCTGCAGAAGCCGCGTGTTTTCGTCACTACGGCCATTTCAGATGACACCGATGGCGCTGGGTCGCTAGCTCGTTATCTGCTATACTCAAATCAATTCGAAACGGAAGGATTGGTTGCTTGCACGAGTACCTGGTTGAAAGATACAGTGTGCCCGCAAAACATCGAGAAAATCATCAATGCGTACGCTGGTGCAGTGGGCAACTTGAACAAACATGTTCATCAGAATTGGCAGTATCCAAGCGCGGAGCATTTGAAGAGCCTGGTCAGAACAGGTGCCAAGGTATCTACAACTCTCGCGATGCCGAACCCATATGTCACGTGTGCGAAGTACTAATAGAGTATTAGGCATATGGTATGACTGCAATCAGCACTGATGGTGAGCTGTCTGCGGGTGGGCAGCATCTATACGACCGTATCATTGCACCTTCAACACAGCCGTTATGGGTTCTATGTTGGGGCGGTACGAATACACTCGCGGAGGCATTGCTCAAGATCGATGACAACTACTCTCCCGAAGACTCGGAACGCCTGCTGTCCCGTTTACGTGTCTATGCTGCTTCGGATCAAGACAACTCAGGAGCATGGATTCGCAACAATTTCCCTCAGATATTTTATATTGTCTCAATACACGGATGGAACCATTACAACATGGCCACTTGGGCTGGTATCACTGGCGACAAGTACTATGGCTTCGATCAAGGTGGTCCTGACTATACGAAGATGGAGCGCAGTTGGATCGACGAACACATCCGCATCGGATCCTTAGGCAGCGCGTATCCAGATCATCCATGGGTTCCAGAAGGCGGCACGCCTACGTTTCTCTATCTCACTCAAAATGGTCTCGGTGTGCCTGACTGCCCTGAGTACGGATCCTGGGGCGGACGATATGCCCGCACAGATGTCAGCTCCGCAGGCTTGAATAGCAATCATCACGGGGACGTCGTAGACCGAGTTAAGGGAATCGATGGCCGGATGCACACCTCCAACCATGCAACCATCTGGCGCTGGCGCGACGCCTTCCAGAACGACTTTGCTGCGCGCATCAAGTGGAGCATGGAGCCTGACTTTGCGAAGGCGAACCACCACCCTGTCATCACCGTCAATGGTGATTCGGGTCTGGCACCTATGCGCATCGACGCCGAAGCTGGATCCAAAGTTACCCTTGATGCGTCTGGTACATATGATCCAGACAACAACAGCAAACTCACTTTCAAGTGGTGGCATTATCGAGAACCAACCGCGACGCAGTGGTGTGTGGAGATGGAAGTCACAGAATTGAAGATTGAGAAGCTCGACGATGAAGGTAGAAAGGTTGAGGTAACGTTGCCGCCGCCAGAGAAGTGTGCTGTGGAATTAGAAAGCAGCAAACCTGTATCGATGGGACAGTTGCTGCATTTGATCCTGGAGGCCACTGATAACGGCAGTCCGAACTTGACAAGTTACCGACGGGTGTTGATACAGGCCACGAATAAGGAGTTGAAAGGTGGTGCATAATGGAGCTGCTATCGATGTTTCCGTGCAAAGTTTTATGAAGCATATACTTGGCTTTGAAGCTGGGTATCGTGTCCGATCTTTTAAACCGTAATGCCGTAGGGCGATATCGAATTTTATCTACTCAACCAGAAGCTTGAGCGAGACGGCCAAACGCCAATTTCCGTGTTAAGTCGACAAGGTTTCCGAGGTGCAGTGACAGATGTAGCTGTGCGTGCATGGGTGAGGCGGGGTCGTCTCATCACATTGGTCTTCTCAGTACCGAGGATTCTACTAAGAATTCTATCAAGCTGATGCCGATTAGCGCTCCACGGCTGAGCAACGCTTTAACGACAATTAACACAGCTTGATAAAGATGAGCATCGGTATTTGAGGTACGTACGTCCTGCCACGATGAGGTCGCTGTCGTCTTTCAACACCTGTATTTACCGAACATAGGTCAATTCACCCCTGCGCGGATTGCACGCTACGCTTCCAAGCTAGGGAACACTGTATGACAACTGCGGATCATAACGATATCCAGCGCTTGGAATTCCCCTCGATACGCCCCGCGTCCATGACTGCAGCAAATTATAGGCTGAAACACGTTGCCTTCATATGCCGGGACGGACATCTGCGCTCAAGGTTGTCAAAGGGGATGCGAGCTAACCGAAGAGAAGCATATGCTGCATTAGGGCTGCCAGTCCTGCAGTAGCTTACCGCGCCGTAGGTTTGCGTAAATGTTCCTATATTGCAATATGCGTCAGCTTACATGTTATCGCGATCGGTGAGATAGCATACCTTATATACTATGGCTCAGGCAACGTAAGACTGAGCAAACGTCTAGCCACCGTAATCATGTCTCTCTCATTTTACGCTTTTGTGGCCTCCCTACTGGCTTTGGCTGCCTATAGGCTCAGCAAAGTTGGTCGTAGGCCGGTAGGTTATCCTCCTGGCCCACCCACACTGCCATTGATTGGAAACCTACACTTGATGCCTAAGGAGAAGGGCCACCTTCAGCTCCAAAAATGGGCAGAAGAATATGGCCCAGTGTACTCGCTCATTCTCGGTACGAAGGTCATGATTGTGCTATCCTCGGATCAAGCTATCAAGGACCTGCTGGATAAGCGGAGTGGGATTTATTCCTCGCGTCCGGACATGTATCTTGGCCGGCTTGTGAGTGGTGGCCTGCGCGTTGTGCTCATGGTAGGCTTTGCAACCAGATCTACGTAACAGCTTCTGGGGATGGTTGTGCTAATAATGTCAGGAATACGGCGAAACCTGGCGCATGGTTCGTAAGATCGTCCACAACAGCTTAAGCCTCACGGCAGCAAGATCGTATGTCCCGTACCAGGACCTAGAGAGTAGGGCTATGCTTGTTGGTTTGCTGGAAAAGCCAGACCTGTTCATCGATCATATTCGGCGATACACCAATTCTTTGACGACCCAGATGACCTTCAGCTTCCGCACAACGAGCATCGATGATCCCAAATTGAAGCAACTCTATCACGTATGAACGTTCCAAATAGCTTTCCTAAAACTGCTGATTGTACCCCCAGGGTTTTGAGAAGTTCAGTGAGGTCATCGGAACCCAGACCGCGGCACTTCTTGATTTGTATCCCCTCCTTCGAGCACTACCAGACATCGTGCTTCCGCTACGGCGATATGCAAAGAAACTGCACGAGAAAGAAAGTGAGCTGTATATCGGTCATTGGCTTAACGTGAAAAAGGTAAGAGTTTAATCGTCAGAAATCTTGAGTGGGAACTAACAAAAAAGGCTATCAAGAATGGTACGGCCAGGCCATGTTTATGTTTTGACCTAGCCCGTGCCCAAGATGAGGAGGGGTTCTCTGATGCCCTTGCCGGTTATGTCAGCGGCTCGATGCTAGAGGCAGGCTCCGATACAACGGCTGCAACGCTCATCGGCTGTAGGTGTAGCCAGGCAATAACACCATACCACGCTGATCGCTGCCAGTCTTTCAAGCAATGGTCCTGTTCCCTGAAGCTGCAAAAGCCGCACAGGAGGAACTTGATCGCGTGTGTGGCGACCGCTTTCCGACCCTAGATGATGAGCCAAATCTGCCTTACATCCGCGCCTGCGTGAAGGAGAGCATGCGTTGGATGCCGACAGCCATATTGGGCATCCCACACGCCGTCATTCGGGATGATGAGTACATGGGCTACAAGATCCCAAAGGGCGCGGGAATCATGTGGAACGTCTGGGCAATCCACAATGATCCCAAGCGGCATCCTGATCCACGACGCTTCGACCCGGCCCGCTACATCGACGATCGCCAGACTGCAGCGGAGGCGGCGAACAACCCAATTGCTGCAAAGCGCGATCAGTTCGTGTTCGGTGCAGGTCGACGCTTGTGTCAGGGTATGCATATCGCTGAGCGGTCGCTTTTCCTCGCCATAGCACGTTTGCTGTGGGCGTTTGACTTCCACAAAGCACGCGATGCAGACGGTAATGAGATGATACCCGACGCGAGCGAATTAACGGAGGGGATATTGGTACAACCGAAGCCTTTCCCAGCTCGAATTGTGCCGAGAAACAGTGACAAAGCTGCGAGCGTAGAGTCGGAGTGGGGCAAGATGTCGGACTTGCTGGATGAGGACCTGCAGTGGAAGGTGCTTCCTGAGGGGCTGCTCTGGAAAGGGTATAGCCAGACCCCTAAGGCACCTTGATATCATCCGAAAGTCGAGTCGGTATGAGATGGCAATTACAACTTAGTCTCTAGCCCTGCCAATCTACGATGCGTTCTCTGAAGATGCATCAGACGATGAAGGCACATAGACAACTTCTGCGCTTTATGAAATGTCATTTCCCTTTTGCTCGTGCTTTGCGTGTCTTTCTGACCACTATCACTTCGTACACAGGAGACAAATCAAATGTGATGATACCGAGTACCTCGAACATCTTCAGACATCAGCTTCATTTGTACTGCACATTACTCAAGGATGATCCAAACCTGTATCTAACTGCTCAACCATGAAACTCGAGATCAGTTCCTCTCTAGCATATCCAGCAAAACGTTCAGGCCTTACGCCGATACTACTGTGCGAACCCATCTGCCATCGATACTATACCTGCGACGAAAGCATACCAATTTACATATGGGTAAGCTTCAAGATCTATATTAGATAACCTAAAGCCCTACTGTACTGTGAAGCTATACGTCCCACCTGATTGAAACGAGTGGAGTTTGGAAAGAGGATACAAATGCCGCGTTATTCTGGGATATGTGTTGAACCGTCTTACCATCACTGTGTAGTCTGAAGATAAACTAATATCATATGGTATTACTTGTGACCTCCTGTGCATCTCGTGATTGTCCAGACACAAACTTGGCCGACACTTAACCCTTCCAAATAACTGGGTTGAGAATCTCCCAGAGTCACTTTTTTCTTCACTGTCGAGTACATGTCGTAACATCTGGACTGGAGATGCTTCTTATATCAAAACTTCAGCGCGTTTCACAGTTTGACCGCGAAGGCCTATCCGTGTTTCGTTTTAGTACTTACGTGAGTCTCCTGAAGACCGCAAAACGAAGTCACAGAGATACCTTCACAAAGCTATGGTGTTATTGCATGTTCATGTATACTCACGCTGGTTGCTTGCATCTGATGGCAATGTTCAGTTTGCCTACTGATATCAAAACAGCTTACACCTAGTACACCTCGCTCCGCACATCTCTGGTCTCTTTTTTGTTCCGTATATAAAAACAACGCCAACGCCATGGTCACTCTCGACCGTTGTTGTAACAAGTTCGGTATGGGAACAGAATATCCTGGTGCTTTCCCTCGTCTTAACCGAGAATAGGGACAATCGGGGCCTTATCGTATCTCAATTCACTATTGCACGCCATGCACCTTGGTCCAATCACGAGCGTTCCGGTAGTGGTAACACACTTCCATCGTTGAACCCAAATACGACATAGTGGATTTGATCAGCCATGGACGTCATTCCCACGCGCTCGCAGTTGTTCAGTGGCAGGTCAGAATCACTGAGCCCTTTCACTGGTCTCTTTCCATACAGCGAACATGGAAATTCTGAACTGTCACCCGCTCTGCACGGTGCACCGCGAACATATGGTGAAGGTTTTAACAACCGTATCGTTAAGGTCGTCAAGTATTTGGGCTCCACTACCTAATGATCAAGACCACCCCAGCACGTTCGATCGTTAATTCTCTCATTCACTCAACTCTCAACTACCTGGAACTCAGCTCAACTTCTCGGCAAGGGAACTTCGTCACACTCGACCTCATATAATTCACATCCCCTGTTTGCTTACCAAAACTCTGCTATGTCGAACCAGCACGACACCAGCCCCTACTATCAAGGCGACAACACTCCGTATGCAACATTACAACCATCGCATGCTACCTGTCAAAGCCCTTCTCCATATTCACAGCTAAGTAGCGAGAGCAACCACGGTCAATATCAGTTTCATCTTGAAGGCCACCTGCATTCCGCTCCTTGCGTTTCTGATAGCAATGTGGAGCCGCAGCACAATATCGATCCAACAGTGCAATCGACCTTTACAGCTCCCGAAGAATCCCATATGTCTAATACTCAAACTTGGCATATTCTTGATGGAGAACTTGATCCTACCTTATCCGAATATACCTTCCATGCTCCCAACACACTCCACTCTGGAAGTCGACATCTTCGAGCCGGCGAGGTAGCGAATGCATATTACCATCACCAGGCTCTGCACGACGGTCTTCATACTCCGCTCAATATGGCCTCGTCTTTTCAACCAAGCAATTCCGCACAGTGGAACCCATCTGATTTCGACCATGAGCGTCATGTTGGTCTTAACAAATCCATCTTCCCGTCGCATCATCCAGATCAGATGGCGTACAGGTATACCTCAGATGCTAAGGTGTGTCCCGATCAGAGTGCGATGTACGTCAACCCCAAACAGCACAAGCGGATCTTGAATAGGCGCACAACGCGTGTCAACATCGAGGCTGCCACCAAACCTCAAGAAGAGCACCAAAGAATCCCGGGCGGCAATCTGACACCGCAAGAAGGCGAAGATCGTACAAGTGCCGAAGTAAACGCTACCCTCACCAATCCATCCTTGACACCAAAGCACCCTGTCATCGTTCCTCCAACACGAGCAATCGCAGCTCCGCGTAAGTCCAGCAGCAAGCTGCGACACCAAGTTCTAGCAGACGTCTTCACCACACCACTGCCAAACTTTTCTCAAACCACCTTACACTATGCGACCCGGACCGACGCAGCCAAAGACTTCCAAACCCGTATCAAGCTCCAGGCTACCTATTGGACGCCGCCACAGAACGACACCAGCATTCCCCAGAACAACGCAGAGCGTCAGAACATCGTCCAGATCCTAGTTGGCGCTATGAAAGATCTCTCGCGCGCCAAAGACATCAGTAGCAGTTCTTCTGCATCGCGATGGGTGGAGGATGCGCCACGGCGGTACAAAGAAGAGGACGTTGAAATCGCTTGTTGGGAAATTGCCGTAAGTCAAGCATTCTTCATGATAAAACATCTAACTAACCTAGCTTACTGGATCCAGGAGCTGGCAGAGCGTCTCCACCGCGAAGGCCCATCCGTTCTCTCCATCCGCGATGTGAATTTCCTCCAAAAAGTGCAGCATTCAGAAACACTCACTTTCACGGAGCGAATCCACGTCATCGCCACACTGCTGTGCGAGTTCAAGAGCCGATGCGATGGCCTGATTAAAGGCGGGAGTTTGCACACCGTTGTTGGTGCGCCGCAAGACGCGCTGCATACTTCGCGGTCGAATTTGGGGAATAATAGGTATCGGCAGGATCTGCTTACTTATGCGCGTAAGAACCAGGTGGTGGAAGGTGGTGGGAAGCGTAGTATGTTTGAATTGCTCACACATTTGAGTGACGGGCCAGTGCTAATTGTTTGTAGAACGAGCCGCTAAAAGGCTTTCTGTCGCACTTGCCAATCAGGGTGTTCATGATGCCAACACTCCTCCGGATAGTCAACATGGTGCAACTGAACCCGATACGTTCAATCACTCAGTTGCTGAAGCCCGGCGTCTGCGGTCTGGATCAACATCGATGAAAGACTCAGGGAGTAGACGGAAGCGCGTCCGCCTCTCATCTCGTTAAGCCAATTCCCTGGTTTCCCCCTATTTTCACGCTCAGGAGACTTTACGTAGATAATTCAATATCTCAATATCCTTTCTCGTAGTTGGAGTTGCCTGGTCTAATTACTTGAAGTTTGTTTCTATATATAAATATAATTTTTTCAGTTTGATCTCCGTGAGGTCGCACCTAGGTTTCGACATTCCAGTTCCGCCATCCCCTCCCCAACCCCATTCATCCGAACCTCTAGCTTCTCTCCCGGTCCTAAAAAACCCTCTATTCATCATCTTCGCGTACTAACCTCCTAATTATCAATCATCCCCGAATCTTAGTTTCTGGTTCATTCATACCCAGCTACTTCCCCCCCCCCCCTCCTCTTGATGTCGATACAATGCAACGGTGTCACACATGATAGATAGATGGATAGATAAATAAACTTCGAGCAGTAAGTCGTTACTAGGTTGTATGTATGTATATGAACAGAGATGAGAGCAGAGTGTATTCCGTGGAAACAGATACTCGGGGAGGATGGGGTGGTGTGGGGGTATGCGTTTTTATTGAATTTGAGGGGGGAGGGGGGGCTGTTTTGCTGGTATTGTGGGATGTGATGAATGTTGATGTTGGGTTCTACGACGGCCGCAAGACGGGATAGGATAGGATAGGATGGGACGGCGTTGTGTTGTTTGGTAGTAGAAGAAGAAGTAGTACACAAAGCACCAATTCAGGACTCAGAAAATATATAATATATTCTTCAACACGCCCTCCCCATCGCTGTATGGGCGTGCCCATCTATTCCCCCCACCTCAAGCCCTCCACCTCGAAATATCCACAACACTAACCGTAACCCTATTAATCTCCGTAGTAGGCGGCAGCACCCCCCCGCCCATAATCAACAACCTCTTCTGATCCCTCAACACCCTCAAATGCCTCGTATAACTCGCGCCCTCGGGCGTATCAACAATCGTCCAATTCCCCTGGCCCAACTTCTGATTAATATAAACCTGCGTGCCGTTCCCCCGTCCACCCGTCCCCGCCACCGCACCAGACGAGCTAACAATCAGCGTACCGTTTTTCCCGCCAACGGAACTCCACACCACGTACGGCGAGCCCGTGGGAATCGTGCCGTCGGACACGACGAGCGGGACGCCTGTCACTGCGCCGAAGGCCTCGGGATCGGCGGCGATTTTAAAGTACACGGGGAACTGGTATGCGGAGATGGAGGTGGGGCCGCCGCCGTACTCGTAGGTCATTATGAATTTTCCGTTGGGGAGTTGCGCGACGGTGGGCATGCCCGGGCGGTCGGTGTAGGTTGGGTATGCGACGTCGTCGACGACGGGGCCCCATGTCTTGCCATCAAGCGTGGTCTGGTGCACCATTTTCTGGCCGTGGGTCGCGTTGTCGCGTTGGTCGGAGTAGTAGCATATTAATTTATGGTTGTGCAGCATGAGGAAGGGTTCCCAGACAGGCGTGAGTCCATTGTTGGGCACAGCTTCACCGCCAGCCGCGATGTGCGAGACGAATTTCCACGTCTTGCCGCGGTCGGTCGAAGCGTACAGCTCGATGAGGGTCTGGCTGAGGTCGGTGGGGATTGCGCTGCCGGAGAGGAGCACGGTGCCTTTGGGGAAGCCGCCGAATTTCTCAGGCAGCACGTACAGGAAGGGTTGGTAGCGGAGACCCCAGTTCTTCTGTGTGTCTTGCACGCGGGACAGCTCGTGCCAGGTGTAGCCGTTGTCGCGGGATTGGTAGATGGGGAAGTAGACTAGCGGGGGCTCGGGGCTGTAGTTCTCCCATGTTGCGAGGAGCGTGCCGTCTGAGAGCTCTGCAGAGCGGGCGTACAGGACGCGCGGGTCGGAGTAGTTTGCTGGCGGGGTGAAGATGACGCGGCGGGAGAAGGTGGATGGGGCTCTGGACTGGAGCTGTGTCGATGGAGAAGCAGACACCGACACCGACAAAAGCGGCAGCAAGCCGAAGAGGAAAGAAGAGAGACGCATCGCGAAGGAAGTATGATCGACAAACGATGATACAGAAAAAAAAAAGATATGTTTCACCCGGGACGATCGAATATATAAACAAAATCCGGCAATCCATCATCTACCTTGCAGGCCATGTGCCAACCCAGCGCGCCGTCCACCACACTGGGCTCTCTCCTCCGTCCGCTAGTCACACCAAATCACCGTAACTCAGTAAAGAAAAACATGTAATTACCTCACCATCGCTGCCGCCCCCATGTTCGCAGCACTGATTTGCGGGGAATTCTAATCCCGTGGGAAATGTGGGGAATGGGTGCTGCTTTGCGGGGAAAGCCCTAGTGACAATGATGCTCCGAGAAGAAAAACCGCGTGCAAGGGTCGGTTTATATTGCGTTTCGCCGCACTGACAGGGCCAAGCCGCGGAGGAAGCTCTCGGCGGGCAAGCGCAGCTCAGTCGCACGAGTGAGGGCTCGGTGCTGGGACAAGGATGGCCGAGGGCGAGGAATATTTATGTCGATGTTGTGCCTGGAGGTGGAGTTGGGATGGCAGGTTGTTGGACGGCTTAACACGACAGGCGAGCAGGAGACATTCGCCATTATTTTCCTTCACGTCTGTCTCGCGCAGCTTTCCTCTCCGTTCTAGCGTCCTCACTTCACCTGCCGATTCACAACTTCCCGTCCGTCTCCGCCTCGTATTTCAAGTTAGTTCCGGTCCAAGTCACGCGGTCATTTTAGTATTGTTTGGCAGGCAAGATAATGGGTAATATTGTGTTCAATTCAAACGCCTTGCTATGCTTCCTGGGTATCGAAATATGTTCATAAAAAAAAGAAAGACAACCGACGCCATTGGTGAGTGCGACTAAAACCACGCCAAACTCCACAGCGCAGGCATGTGCGGCCACCGCTCCTGCCAAGCAGCGAGAATGTCGGGAACCTTCTCATCAAAGCCCGATCGAGCGGCTCCTCCGCCTGCCGCCCAGCCACTCTCGCCAAGTTCCTCCCTCTCCTTGCCTGCAGCCTCGTTGAGACTCAACGCTAGGTCGAGGATTGCTTTACCGCCAACGAGCGCCTCTTCGTGATTATCCCTGATGTCCACGTTGAAGACGTGGACGGGACGGTTGAGCTTTCCGCCTTTGTTGTGCAAGTCTTCTAGCACGGCATCGAAGCAGCGCTCTTCACACGTGAAGACGATATCGACGACCCCAGCCTCGGTACCTTCAAAGCCCTTATCCTCGCCATGTTCCAGGCGCGGTTTACCAGGAACCCAATCCTGGAATCGCTCTGGGAAACCCTTGATATTGAGATTGCGACCGAGCATATTCAGCAGGCCATTGTGCGTGTAGAGCGCAGTGTTTTGCTGGGCAAGCTCATCGTGGATAGCACGGTAGGTGGTACTGTTGAAGTTGTACACGTTGGGCTGGGTGATGGTCGGGCCGGGTAGGCGCACGAGCGACCCAGTGCCAAAAGAGATGGTAGGGAGATTGGCAGAGGCGAGCTGGAGATGAGCTTCCATGGATCTGTCCGCGTTAGTCGACGGCATAGCAATAAGATATAAGAAAAAGACATACCGGTTCTGGTTACTGGCGCACACGGTGCAGAACTTGAGCTTGAACTTGTCGTCGGGCACCATGTTGCTGTTTGCCGGCGCATCATTCGCGCCGTCCATAGCAATGGGTTGAGGCTCCATTGGCGGCGGTGGAGGAGGTGGAGGGGCAGGCGCAAGCACAGGCTGCTGTTGCCTCGCCCGCAGCCGGGGATCAGCGGACATGGTGAGGAATGTCGTGTGCTGTGGAGGAGGTGGGAGTGACGGCTTGGACACGTCTCACTGCAAATTCTTCAAAGGTCAGCCAAAGCTCGTCAATGAGTGAAGAGTCAAAGCAGCATTGAATAAAACGTGGATCAGAATTTTCAGTGTATATTATTATTAGTGAGTCCTCAACGGCTAATGCCTAGGACAGCTCCAATATTTGTTCATCATCACAGGGGAGAAAGCAAGAGAGGTGGTACATACGTGTGTGACGAGAAAGCCCCAAGGACGTCAATGCTCAGTCCATTGAGGAGGCATCAATCAGGCGACGATGCTGCGATGTGCTGGGGTGAATATGGCGATGGAGACACGAGGTGCCTGTGGTGTGTGGGAGCTCTGCGTGAAGCTCGAAAGTCATTGTGTTTTTCCAGCGCTTACTAAGGGCTGACACAGACGACAGTCGACCAGGCTGCTTGCGGCAAGTCCATGTTCAGTCTTGACCGATTTCGGAACATGAGGGGTAGAGACTACTTGGAGTCAATTTTTTGATGCTGGACGTTGGACTTGATGTCTGCATCTGGAGTCACTCCTGGCCAGTTCACGTCCAAATGAGAAGAGCCCACGACTCGTCATGGTGGCGACGACGTTCTGCTGGGCCACGCTGCTGCACATGGGCCCCGTGACGGCGTTCGGCTGGTGTGTTCAAGGAAGATCCGCGGACAAGCTGACTGAGCGGGTGCGCCATGGGCCTCGTTGCAGCCTAGTGGCGCTGACAGGTGAAACATGCTAGAAACATGCTAGGGAAAAAGCAGTGAAGAGGTGTTGGAACGGCGGCATCGCATCGGCTCGACGCCCAAAGCACAGCCCCTCGTGGTGCGGGTGCGAGGGCTGCTGTGGCCAAAATGGTTTTTCTGTCGAGTTCGCCTTGCAGTGCTGGCCGTGTTGAGTGACTGCCAGGCCGAGGTTTTGGCTGACGGCGCTGCCATGTCTGAAACAATGCAACGGCGCCTTGCTATGCCCACGCCGCCCAGAGATAAAAATAGCGGCCTGCATGTGCATTCTGTCGACAAGCAGCAACTTGCAACCAGACCTCATAGCCAGACCTCATAACCGACCGCCAGCTCACCGCAATCGTGCCGCCGTGTCTGTTGCCTTGCCGTCGCCTGCCCGTCTCAGACTTGACTGCCCCTCGCAGCGCCGCATCGAGCGTCGACGCCGTCCCGCAGTCTGCGCCATCCTCTGGCCGTTCACTGGTAGGCGTTAGCGCCAGGCGAACTCCCCACACCCCGGCGAGGGCCTCTCCAGCCGCTGCCCACTGCAAATATCTTCACATTCGCCCGCCTGCTGTGTAATTGCCGGGCGCTTCTTCGCCGCCCAGTGTCGTTCCAGAAGCCCGCACGCGCTACCGCCGCTGCCATTGGCGTGTCCACCATCGCCCTCGTCCGATCGCAGCCCACGCGGCATCTGCTCCAAGAGCCGCCCCTCGGGTTCAGCTTGCTCCGATTCGGGGCCGTCAGTGGTGCGCCTCGTGCGCTGGCGACTTTTGAGGTTGCGCTCTGCTTGACCAGGACACACACACACGCACACACTACGCACTCACGATAGAGCCGACACAGGCACGCCCGCCTCGCATGACCAGCGCTGCTGCCCCCCGCGACCCGCACCCACTGCACCCCCCAGCCGAGGGCGACGCACCACCAGAGCCTCGCACACAGCCCGCCATGGCCGCCGACGTGCTGTCCCGCCGCAGCGAGCCGGCCTCGACAGCGCCCACGGGCCCCAACCGCACCTCGCTGCCCCCGCTGCTCACCTCCCCGCCCTCCAAGGCCAAGCTCGAGCGCGCCAGCTCGTACATGAACAAGCGCCTGTCCACTCTGTCCACCGTCTCCAACGTGTCCGCCACACAGCCCTCGGCCCGCTCGCGTCCCCAGTCGACCGCCTTCCCCGTCTTCCACTCCAGCCTGCCCTACTCGCTAGTCCGCGACTTCGCCTACGACCCGCTGCACCCGCTCTTCTACGGGCCGCTGCCCGAACAACACTCCAATGTCTCCACCCCGGGGAGCGAGAAGAGCAGGAGGCTGTCAGACCCGCCGCCCGTGCCCTGGCGCAGCGACCGCGGGTGGTCTGCCGGCGCCGCCGACTCCAGCGAGCAGCTCCCGCAGACGTCCTTCGCAGACGGGCCGCCCTACAGCGAGGACGACGACATCTCCAGCCCCATCGTCACCAGCCACCACGGCGCACGCCACAAGAAGCACAAGTCCAACACGGTCGACTTTGACCACACGCGCGGGCGGCGGGGCTACCCGGAAGAATATCGGCGCGGCTCGCTGGTCGACCCCAACGGCGAGAGCAGTCGCAGCTTCCCTGCAGGCGAGGTCAGCGAACCCGCCAACGGCGTCAGCAGCGAGTACATCACATACCCCCCCGAGTCGTCCAGCCTGAGTGTGCCCGTGGGCGCCTCACGACGCGACTCGCACTTCGCCGCTACCCTGCCCCCGCGCACGTATGCAGACGAACAGGGCCCGCCCTACGACTCTGACGAAGACATGTCCGAGCCAGAAGACTACATACATAACGACAACCGCTTTTCGCGCGACTACCAATTCACCATTGCCTCGCCCGACGAAGAGATGCATGGCAAAGCAGTCGCCCTCTTCGACTTTGCCCGCGAAAACGACAACGAACTGCCCCTCGTAGAAGGACAGGTTATACTGGTCTCCTACCGCCACGGCCAGGGTTGGCTCGTCGCGCAAGACCCCAAGACGGGCGAGAGCGGCCTCGTGCCGGAGGAGTACGTGCGCCTGCTGCGCGACATCGAGGGCGGCTGGAACGGGCTCATGAACGGCAGCATACAAGCGCAGATGCAGATGCAGTCACAATCGCAGTCGCAGTCACAGTCACATACACAGACACAGACACAAACCCAACCCCAACCACAATCACAACCACCACCCCAAATACACACCCTCCCCCCCTCCCAACCACCACAACCACAACCACACCCCCACTCCCCCGAAAAACCCAACCCCCCCCCCCCCCCCCCCCCCCCCCCCCCCCCCCCCCCCCCCCCCCCCCCCCCCCACAAAACCCACCCCCCCCGCATCCCTCCCCACCCCCATCTCCGCACCCCCAGACTCCAAAACACCCACCCACCCAGAATACGCCCCCGTCATATCAACCTTCTCCACAAGCCACAAGGACCTAGAGCCCTACCCCAAAGACCGCCTCGCTACCCCGACGAATCCAGATGGCGGCACTATCGGCAAGGCGCGCGATGCTGGCGGTGTGGGGATGGAGGGTGTGGAGCGTGGACCCGACGCCAACGCTGAGGAGGCGCGGTGGAATCCTTGAGGGGGGGCGGGTTTCTACGCGATAGTTTTATCTTTTACGCTTGCCGCGGGCATTTATGGTGGTCCTGGGGGGAAGGGCGCGGGGACGGGGTCCTGCATTATCATTATGATGGTTCTTGGGATGGGTTGGGTATCTGAGGTGTTTTTCTGGCGGGGGGAGAGGCGCGCTTCATGAAGTGAGCTCGTAGTGCTTGGTTGGCTGGTTAGCTGGTGCATTGACTTGGCGTTTTTCTTGTCCTCTGGACTTTAGGACGGGACGGGTGGAGTGGAGTGGGTGTTTGTTGCTGACACTGTCGCTACTTACGCTTTTACCCTCGAACGAACGAATGAGCAAGCGGGAGGGGGACGGGGTCTGGGTTACTAGGCTATCAGCCCAGCCCAGCCTAGACCAGCGGAGGAGGGGGTTTTTACTTGTCCTTCTCGTCACACCAAGCGAGGACGGAGCGATGACAGAGCGAGGAAGTGCACGTCGACTCCAAGAGATGAAGGGGCTTGGATATTGGACGGGGAGTTAAGGGGCTGGATTGAGCTGGATTGGGCGGTGTCTTGTCTTTGTAGTTGTATGGTCATGGTCATGGATGGGTTCTTTCTTCTTTCTTCTCTCATGTTTCGTTTCTTTTGCGGTCTTGATGATGTTTATGATGATGGTTATGATGATGATGATGTGCTATGAAAGTTGGATGGGATGGATGAAGTGTGGGAATAGAGGAGATAGTACTATACTACACTATACTGTGTTCTGAGTGTGAACGGGGAGGCAGAGGCAGAAGGAGAAGGAGATGTAGAATGAACAGTCTATATGTACAGCTTCTCGTCCTGTCCTGTTTTGTGCCGTGCGGGTAGTTAGTCTATGTGCGTTTATATAGTCTTCAGTAGTTTTAAGGTCTGTATACCTCCGCGTTTTCTGGGATTTGCTTGTATCTCCGTATCTCGGTGTTTCTGGGCAGGCAGACAGGTGGGATATCCACGCTCTCAGTACAAATAGCTATCAGTATCCGTATCAGTATCGGTGCTATGTAGTGATACCTTGTACTACATGCGAAACCTCATTGCAACTAAAATTTTACTCTATTTCGGCGCATTGAATGAATGGTGTAACATACGCAGATGTCCACCGACCTAATTTTAGATTGGGAGCAGGGGGAAGAGAGGAAGATGGAGAAGAAAGGAGAGTGCTGCGATACGGGATTGTATTGTTGGGAAAGAGAGGAGAAGAGAGGATGAGATGAGAGAAGAGGATATGTGAGGTGCCTGAAAAGCAGTGCGGGGTTGTAAAAGATATATGGATGAGTACACTACTACCTTGCTGTAGCTTATGTGCATATGTATATATGGAAGGCACGACTTGATCTACATGTTTTCTTTCATCCTGTGTTGGTGTAGTGTAATGTAGTCTAGACACTAGTCGTCTACCTATCTGCCCATCCATGCAAGACCAAAGCACTCATTTCATACCAACGAAGCCCCATACCCAGTCAACACACCTACAATTCACAATTTATCAAGACCGTCCAGCCAATTAAGAACATAGTAGAAGTTACCGTCCCCAAGCAAGCACAAAAACCAAGGCATAAAGTAGTGCACCAATTCGAGATATCTCCGTTGCACCACAACAGCAAGATAGAAAAAGTGGAAAACTACAAACTGCAAACTGGAAATTTCACAAGCAGTGTCGTGTCTCCTGTGTCTGCGCTTTTCACAAATCCCATCTTTACGTCGTTGTGAGCGTAGTCTGACACTTGAGATTCATGTCGTGTGCTGGGTCATCTGAAGAGGATTGTTACACTATCCGGTGAGGGTGTGAGTGTAGATGCATCATATCATTGTATCGTGGTTGAGTACACAACGAGGCTGAGCACGCGTGCTACATATCCCGCGCCTTGCAGACGAGCGTGTTTGGTTCCATGGGCTGGACGAAAGATGAGGCGTGCCGTGCTGTGTTGGGAAGACGGTGACCAATTAGCGGGCGCGAGTGCGATGGTTGGGGTGGCTGTGCAGTGAACGTCATCTGCTGACTTGAGTTGGCTTGACTGTGAGAGGTGTGGGTGGTTAAAGTCCAAGGCTGCTGCTGTCTGTATTTGTCTCCTTTGATTGTATTTTTGTTAGGTTGGAGAGCGAGTTGTATGTATACGACATGACATGGTGAGTCGCACCACTTCGCTTCACCAACACGGCTGATATCCACGTGACACACCAGGCGTCCCCCATAGCAAGTCCCATCCCCCTCCGTTACGATACAAGTAGCCATACCGAAAGCGACATCAGAAGACGCGACACACCTCTCCCGCAGTACGAGAAAACGCAATCCGCGCCCTCCTTCACCCTGAACCTGCAAGAAGACAAAAGCAATCCAGGCCGTTTCCAACTCGTCGTCAACATCGATCCCAAGCACCAGATTCCGCCGGGCGATGTGTCTCAGAGGACTCCCACGCTTACCAAAGATGCAACTCCCCTTCCCTCGTCAGTGCTGTACCAAACGCAGAAGACTAGCCCGCCTACAAGCCCGGTGCAGGATAAGCATGGCTGGACGGACCTCAATACGCTTCCGTCTGAGTTTCTGCAGAATGTGGTGCCGGATTGGAATGTGACGTTCTCGCGCAGCGACTCGACGGCGTCGACGCAGTCTAAGACGTTGGCGGATATCAAGGCGAGGATTAAGAGGAAGGGCAGGGGGTATGTTGTGAGGCTGTTGAAGGGGTCTAGTCTGGATCCTGGAGATGTTGCGGAGGTCGATTTGGGGCAGAGTGTTGGCGGTGGGGACGGTGCGCCGCTGGAGTTGGATGCGAGTCCACTAAGGGCGGAGCTGGACGGTGGGCGGGTTGGGGATTCTGTGAAGATGGAGGACCCTTCGACTGGCGAGAGCGTGATCGGGCGACCAGATGTTTTCGAAATCGGCACGTCCAACGAGCCGGGTGTGGAGAGATCGCCGTCGGCCTTGAATAGCAGAACAGATCACCAACCGTCGTATCAAACGCTCGCGAGCCGTGTTTCAACACGGTCCGTCGTCGATGAAAGTCTGAGCGACGCCGAAACTCTGATTCCAGAAGTCCGTTCCATTGGCGGCCGCATGGACGACGACGAGACAGACTGTGAGCCGTTCTCGAGACGCAGCTCCCTCTTCCCCGTGAGGACAAATTCAGCGTCGAGTATTGTGAAGACGCCGACTCGAGGACTGTCTGTCGTGGGTCCGGTGCGAAGGGTAGAGAAAAGCAGCCGCATTCGATTGAAAGGAAACGCGGAACTGGGTCGATCTGGTGCGCACAAATCTATCAAGCGCCACTCACCGCAAAATTCGGTTATGTTTGCTTTACCCAGCAAGCCTGTTCAGGATGCCCATGTTGGTCTCCGACAACGACTTCGCACTGCTTCGCGAAACAGTGAGCAGCAAAACCTTGCACCGCAAGAAAATAGTACTTGGCAGCATACCATACGGGAAAGCGTTGAAAGGAAGCCAGGCCATTCGCGTCGTTCCTCTGTAGACGATGTTCGTCTCGCATCGAAGCCCAAAGGTAAGTTGCGGCTTCAAACAAATATTGCGCGTCCAGCATCTGCAAATACATCCCCGATAACCAGGCGAAAAAAGTCACCGAGAGTTTACAAATCCTCATCATCTTCTTCGTCGATGGCGAGTTCTCCTGAGACCCAGGGGCGTGGGCAGTCGTCGAGGTGGTCCGAGGTCGACGGTCCAGACGAGCTGCGAGAAGCGCTTCAGAAGGTCCTCGAGACTGCTCCTCAGAGCATCCAACGCATAGGAGAGACTTCTGAAAGGTCGGTACCGAGGATTGTAAAGCCGGACGATGAGCTCAATGTAGGTGAAATACCATTGCCAGCAGAACTAGAGATACGGCCTATGATCGTTAGCACGAAGAGTTCCATGATGACGTTCTGGGGCCTTGCGCTCAGTGCGTTGACGGAGAAACTTCACGATGGATTTACGGTGCTGCGGGACAGCTATGGGGCTGAGCCTCGAGTTCCACCGGGACATGTTCGTGTTCGATGGACGTGTGTGGGTGTTAAACCGTGTCATCGAACGATGTACTTTGCTGACGAGTCTCAGTCTTGTGGCGACAATTTGTACGACGACTTCATTGAGCGTCGGCCTGGTGCTGCACGTCTTCTCGAGGCGTATCTCAACCGGCCTCAGGCCCATGTGTCGAGCCCTAGCAGTCGGAGCAGCACTGCGACATCAATGTTCTCCGTCTTCGACACAACAAGCAGAGCCTCTACGCTTGCAACACCCTCATCGACGTACGGTGGTTCGTCACCATGGGGTAGAAGCGATGGTACTTCCAAGCCCACGCCACCACGGCTCAGTACTAGCAGCCCCTTCAGCGTACGCATCGGATCGTACGCCGAAGAATCATGGCTCCTTACGTGTGCCAACGAAGGTCGCTTCACGCCGAAGATCGTGCATCTCGACGTCAACGAAGCGCGCATCCGAAGTGACAGAGACCTGGCACTGGTCTTGCGCGAGCACTACGACCAGATCAACCGCCGGTGGCTCAGCTGGGCACGCCTCCGCAGTCTGACGACGATCGAGTTTGTTCAGTTCGAAGTCCACCGTAACCGCTTTGCTGACATCCGCGCCGCACCTTCCATGCCGCCCGTATCTGCCACTTCCGCAGCTCCAGTCTCGCCAACGAATGAGAAGTCTCAAACTCCTTCGCACCAGCCGTACAACTTCGAGCCCATCGATCTGCTCCCACCGGTTGGTAGTACGTATCTTCTTCATCTATTCAAGCATCCGACGGACTACGACGGCGAACTCATCACGTACCTGCGTTGTCCCAAACGGCGGCAACGTCTGGAGTTTGGCATGGGATGGGGCATCAATCTTGTAGAAGGGTTCTTGCCGCAACGTGTTTGGGCAGTCGCTGTGGTGATGGGTGTTGGGAGTGCAGTGTTTGCTATACTTTGGACGATCAAGAATGGTGATATTCAGGGCGCGTTTGGCGTCGCTGGGTGGGTGTTGGGGACTACAGGGTTGCTGATGGGGGCGATGCAGGCGTGGCTGGACTAGGTGGTAGTCAGCAAGAGGGCATGGCATGAACGCGGTCTTTTGAGCATGTTTCTCCTCTGCTCATCTCAGCACTTGGGATGAGGATACCATGTGGCAGGAAATTCTAGGAGCATAAAGGTACGGCTTTCGCTCTACGCATCTTGTTGTTGTTGACAACGCGTTACCCTCGGATTTCGGCACGCATCATTCATGCGACCGAAAGCTTTACTTCTCCTTTCGAAGACTGGAGGATTGTCTTGCCGCCAGAGACCCCCGTCTTGAAATTTTGAACCCATGCCTCGCATGACACCACCCAGAAAAAGCCAGACAACCGGCCTCAACCAAGACGATCGGGCCTGTTTTGAATGCTGGACCACACAAAGCGGAGTACGTCTTAGAACTCGCGATAGTAACATGTGGTTCTCGATCGTCATCTCTATCGATTTCGGTTGGCGCCGAGACGTTAAATCCGCTGCTGGGTTGGGTAGTTCCTGACGTCGGAACTATCATGCAAGCGAGTCCACATGTAGCATCTTGGCCCGCTCGCGATTGGAGGAAATTTGACTGTTTCAGTTTCGAAACTCTGACGTGTCCCTGACTAGGCTCCCGGAAGACGCACTACCTACGCCCACCCTCGCCTGTGGGACCGTTGCAGCGGCAAGGCGTGAGACGTGAACGGTGTGTTGCAGCCTCGCCGAACAAGAGTGGAGAGCGGTTCGATATCTGTAGATGTTGGGGGTTTTGCTTGTGGACCGCTTGTCGGCGACTCGGTCTGTGTTTCCTCCGACTGTCCACTAGCGACAATGTTTCACGCCTCAACATCATCGCATAAACGATCGGAACGGCAGTTCATCAACACGGCATTGACAGCTCCATTGCAATGGACGCCAAACCGTTGACAGTCGCCACATGTCATGCGGCCCGCTCGAGAGAAACAACCAACGTCTTGGTAACCCTGGTGTTTTCATGCCAAATTTCCACAGGAAGGGATCCGGGTGCATGTTTCACATGGGTTACTCTCCTGGATCCTTACTCCTGAACCGATGGGCGCGTCCAAGAGCGTTTCAATCCTAGGACTGCTGCGTACGACGGGTACTGATCATCGAAAATTTCATCACGCAGTGGAGAATTATTCGTTTGTACGCCTAGAATGCTGGCACGAAACACCCGTAGCCCCTACAATGTCGCTTGCTTCTACCAAGGTAGCATTTCCCGACCACGATTCAGCAATATGCAGGCGTGAAGTTTGGTTTGCGCGCGGCATTGCTTTACCGCTCTAGACCTGCTGTACCTGGTAGACGTCTTGAAGGCGTTGTGTTAGCGCCGAGCAACCAGGGCTGCCCACGATAAATAGGAAGAGCAGTGCCTCCAACAGAGAATCATCCCACAGCTCTTACTTTGGTTTCTACCACTTCATTCTTTCCATACACTCTTTCCAAGTCTCTTCACTGTGTGAAGCCGGCACGACACTCTTTACAAACTTTACCTTCATTCCCTCGATCAACTTCAAAACTCTCATCACTCTTCTCAAACAACTCCAATCCAAACATCAAGATGTACAAGTCTGTTGCTGCCCTCGCTGCCTTTGCGGCTACCGCCCTCGCCCACGGCACCACCCAGGGCGTCACCATTGACGGCGTCTGGTCTGGCGGCTTCAAGCTCGACTACTACTACGCCAAGCAGAACGGCCAGACATCCCCCGACCACATCGGTTGGTACGCCGAGGACCTCGACAATGGCTTTGTCGCGCCCGACTCCTACGGCGCCGCCGACATCATCTGCCACAAGAACGCCAGCCCCGAGGGCTCTTCCGACTCCATGGCCAAGGTCGCCGCCGGTGGAACCGTTGAGTTCAGCTGGACGGCCTGGCCCGCGTCCCACGTGGGTCCCGTCATTACCTACGTTGCTCCCTACACGGGCGACATCGCATCTGTCGACAAGACGTCCCTCAAGTGGGCCAAGATTGACGGTCAAGGTTACGAGAACGGCGCGTGGGCTGCTGTCACTATGATCGCCAACAACAACACCGTGGCCGTGACCGTCCCCGAGACCCTCAAGGCTGGCAAGTACGTCTTCCGCCACGAGATCATTGCTCTCCACAGTGCCGGCTCCGCCAACGGCGCCCAGAACTACCCCCAGTGCCTTAACATCGAGGTCACCGGCTCCGGAACTGCTGTCCCCGATGGTGTCGTTGGTACTGAGCTCTACACCGCCACCGACCCTGGTATCTTGTTCAACGTCTACGCTTCCACCATTGACTACACCGTCCCCGGCCCTGCCCTCTGGAGCGGTGCTTCCTCCTCCAACAGCAGCACCCCTACCACCACCAAGGCTGCTGCCTCTGCCTCTGCTTCGGCGACTGCTTCCGCTGTTGCCTCTGCTTCCGCATCTGCTTCCGCCGTTGTTGAGGCCACTCCCACCGCATCTGCTGTTGCCTCGGCCTCGGCCACCCCTACCAGCGGTGCCAGCGATGACGTCCCCACCACCTTCACCCTCGAGACCTTCATTGCGTGGCTCGAGGAGAAGGCTGGCTCTTCTTCCAAGGCCCGCCGCCATGCTCGCTCGTTCTTGTAGATGCATTGGATGTGAACATGGTTGATATGGTGTGAGAGAGATAGCGTTGTTCTGATGGAATGAATTGTGGTATGATTCTGATTCTTTGTGTATATACACTGTTTAGTTAGTGTAGTATTGGGAGAAATGGTCTACGGATCAGTTATTGAGCTGCTTTTGATACATTGTCTTCACATGTGAATTCTGTATGACATTGATCTTCCTGTTCGTGCTTATGATGAGATCGACATTCCTTTGTGTCGCTTCATTTTCTGCTAGGATACGATGAGTGTTGAATTGTGTGAGCGAGTTGATGTAGTTGTCCCCGTATGACTGGCGGCGAATTAGGTATCGTTATGGATGAGCAGGATAGGTTGCTTGGGACCTACTACATATTCTTCCATCTCACTTTCAGCCAGACTTCCAGTCACAACTCGCAACATCTCACCTCGCGAACTCAAACCTCTCCCACCACCGCATCGCCACAACGCCGACAAACCACCTAACAACCCCCTCCCACCTCTCCAAAAAGACCCTAAACTCCGGATGCCTAAGCTTCACACCCCTCACAAAATGGCACAGCATATCGAAATCCCTCTCCGCATCCTCCGTCCGGAAATTCTTCGCAAGGGAATGATACTTGGCCCCCGGCTGTAATAGCACATGCTCCAGCACTAGCTCCTCAATCATAAGCTTAAACTCGGCCTGCAGCAGCTCCGGCGTGGTGAGTCGTACGGCTTCACAGTTAGCTAGGTAGCGGCCCAGTTTCTGGAACACGGCGACGTGGGATATGTTCTCTGTGGCGAGTGTGGTGCCGTAGTGTGCGGAGGCGTCGTTCTGGAGGGCGGCGAGGATAGCGAGGGAGTCTGCGCGAGTGAGCAGGAGGGGCTGTGTGCCTGCGTAGTGGGGCGATGCTGGGTTGAGGATGGGGATATGTCGGCCTTGCGATAGGAACTTTCGGTGACGCGTGTTGTAGAGCGTGAAGTGTGGCGGTTTGAGCTGGAAGCCGCATGGTTGCAGGCAGGTGGGACATGTGATGTCTCGATGTGGGCTGAGGGTTGCGCCGTAGTGTGTTGTGAGGCAGGTGCGGCAGGTTGTGTGGTTGCAGCGGGGCAGCGTGTAGATGGGTCCTGGAGCGGTGGTGGAATTTAGAGGTGACGGTTGGAGTGAGGTAGCGAGGCATACTTCGCATATGGGGCTGTTGGCTGGGGAAGAAGATCCAAATAGTTCGGGGTTGTGTAGGAATAAAGCCATAGACGATTCGAGATCATGCAAGGTGTTGTTCGTGGATGGAGAGGCCGTAGTCGGAGACAGGGTGCGAGAAGCCTTCATCGGAGTGGATGGTGGTGAAAGGTAAGAGTCATGTCCAGAGTTCTGTTCCGGAGCGTGCGATGTTAGTTGAGGCGTGCCGCAAGCATCAGAAGAACACTTTGTAGTATCCATTCTGACAGAATGGTTGTAGAAGTGACGTTATGAATGCTTGTCTTCAATGTCGAATGCGTTGATGACAGAATCTTGTGGTTGAGAGATTGCCGTGGCGATTATGTAGAAAGGGATCGAACGATTGCCTAAGTAGTCGCGAGTGGGGACGATTCGGAGGGCGACGTGGAAGGAACGATTCACGGTGAATGCAGGTCGCTTTTTGCGGGTTATCACGCTTCACCTCAGAAACGGATTAACCTGGGAGAACTATCCATGACATGGTTTAAAAGACTGCTTGGGTACAAAGTCAGTTATCTCGTGCTTTCACCGTGTCAGTGTTCTTTCACGGTTGAACTTTTCATAACGACACTTGAGTAAGGGTGGATCTAATATCCACGAAAACCTTGTTAAGAAAATATTACCTCAGTCATCAGCTATACTCCTGGAGTATCTAGTCTTGCGTCCCATTGTCAAGTCCTAAGGGGATTGGTATTTTCGGGATGTGAAAACAATGAAAACAATGACCTTTGAACAAACATGGCTTTGATTGTGTGCTGGATATTTTTTGATTTCAAGGGTTGTAACATCTACAATGAGCAAATTCAGATTGTATATGGGGGCTACTTGGTGCGACAACGCGATCGAATAAAATGCGGGAACAAAAGGTCATATGCATTCACGACACAAGATAACGCACACTGACAAACTGTAAGAAGCATTGCTAGGAGATTATGAGTTATTGAATAACAGTTGACTAAGAAAATTTGTACTGATGATGCTAGGAGATAGATCCGAGTGCGTTGCGTGGAAGACATTGCATGAGAACAAAGGTTGCTCGACTCAAACTCTTTCCAAATTCTTCTCGTCCACGAGGGTTCTGGTCTAAGCTGAATTTGGCGCCTGCTCGAGAGGTGTCGGTGTCTGCTTGACGCGTTTGAAGTCGTTGGCAGAAGTATTCTCTCCATCATCCAGCCGCGATTCCATTGCCGAACGCTTGCGCCTATGATTGGGCTTGTTGAGGCTGATGGGAGTATTGTGAGTCAGTAGAGGATCTGTTTTGTCGTCTGCAGCGCTCTTGTCGACGTTATCTACCAGAGCCGTGCCTTCGGCGTCACTATCTTCCTCTTCACCCTCAGGTCTCTCCTGCCTCCTGAGAGCCTTTCGTCCCAGCTTCTGGATCTTCTTCCGAGTCGTGTTCTGCTTTCGATTGATCTTTGACTCTTGTAGCATCAGCTTGCTCTGCACCACAACCAATTCCCAAGAGTCGCCCTTCATGAGAATGTCGCATCGCGCCTTCGAGTAACGCATGAGTTGACACAAATTATCGATACGTTCTTCGAACGTCAAGTCTTGTGTCCTGGCGTTGTTCTTCAACGCGTCCGGATCAAACATCATCAATTCTGCAGGGCCATTCCTGTGCAGGCGCTCAGCAATGTGAGCTAGCTCCCAGCAGACGATTTCCATATCCTTGAGGTCGTAGAAAGGCTGGTCTTCTGATCGTGTTGCCCAACGCCTTTGAAAAGACCGACCCGAGTCTTTGGCTTCGGTGATGTCGATCATCGCAGCAAGAAGTCTCTGGACAACAACAACTCGGCCTGCATCAGTCTGCGGAATTGTCATATCATTCCTTGGTGACCGCCAGGTTATCGGCCGAATTGACATTTCTCGGAGACCTTCTCCACGATTGGCAAAGCGAAGACGTATCCCAGACCCGGAGGCCGGAGGTGCCTGGTTTGGTGGAGCCAGGGGAGGTTGGTGTTGTGAAGGACGAGGAAGAAGTTTAGGAAGATGTAGAGAAGGCTGAGATAGATCCTTGAAGCGCTCAGCTTGTTGATGTTGCTGGTAAGCGTTGTATGACTGACCAGCTATCGATCTATGTTCCGGCTGCATCGCATGGGAGTTGCGCATATGATTCCCAGCGGCCTTAAAGTGGTCATACTGAGGTGGTGGGGCAATTGTATCCGCAGGGAAATGAGGATAACCTAATGCCACCTCTTCTCTGGCAATTTTCGAGTCTCCAAGCACAGAAGGCGCTATCGGCTGCCGCAAGTAATCCTCCATATGACCATAAAACTGATCAGCTGGGCCGGCTTGGGAGGGATCATAGTGAAAGGAGTCGTCTTCATGTTCGTGGTATAATGTCTTTGGGGTAGCAAGACTATTGCTGATCGAGAAAGGGTTCATAAATGGATTAACGTAAGCATCCTGCCTCGCATACTGTAGAGGCTGTTTGTCCAGGGATTGGTCCAGAACTTCCGGCTGACTGTCATATGGTTTTTTGACAGAGGATACGACCATTCGATTTTGAGTCGCAGTCTGCGGTGTTGGTAGTTCGGTCAAGAACTGGTCATCAAAGATCCAACTATCGAAAGACTCGAGAGTGGAGCCGGTAAGATGACCACTGACTGGACGATCGTAAGCAGGATTTGGACTGGCCCTTGAGACAGGTTGTCGACTGGAGGTAGGTTTTGTTGATTCTTGAGACCTCAGGTCAGGATAGGTAGTGTTGTCTGAACTCTCCATCCAGGAATCATGCTGTTGGATTTCGTGGCCACCTTGTGAGACCTTCGTTGGCTCAGAAGAACCCGAAGCGTTTCGGGATACGAAGTCTTCAACGTGAGCTTGTTGAGAGTCTTGCTGCGACATATCGAAGACGTTCTGCAGATAAAATGTGATAGTTGACTCGGTGAGGTTGGAAATGATAACAAGTGATCCTGATAAAAGTGCAGAGGATCCTCAAAAGATCTGGAAATGCTCGAAGTAGACGATGAGAGTACGTTCGTAGATGCTTGTGCGGACTCGTTTTAGTGTAAGTTGAGGGATTGGATGGAGGATGGTGTGTATAAATCAGTTAGGAACACGTTCAACATCGTTCATATCATTCGAGAGAGGTCGGGAGTGCCCCGTGCACACCATTTCACAGTCGTCGCCGTCTGTGCTGAGGCGTATAGTTCACATGCAGCTGCTATTGCAGGAACATATAAGTGGTCTACCCTTTCACAGTTTGCAAGGTGAATGTGAGGTGTCGCAAGGTGGTTTCACGTCGCGAGTGAATGCTGACTTGAAAAAAAAGCAAGCGTGCCATAAGGCATGAGGTATCGTGAATAGCGATTATATATCGTTTTTTTCAAGTTTTGTTTAGACATGAGTGAGGATCAGGTACAATATTTATGGAGAGTTGAATTGTGTTTGTCCTCGAATGACCGCATGATGTATTGATACTTGCTAGGACACACAATTGAGTAGGGCAACAATTCGACTCAAGTGATGGGAAAGAAAAACATCAACTCAGCATGAGAGTTGGCAACTGTCTGTGGACATGAAATAGTCTATTTTTACATGAGACCATAGTTTGGTCGATTGATGCACAACAAAAAAGAGTGAGAGTTGACTTGAAAAGAGGATGTTTAATACCATTCATATGTGCAGAATCTAGCTAAGGAACACACTACACTTAAAGCAAGGAATTACTCACTAGACACTAAATCTTTCAGAAAGCACTCAGCCAGAACCATACCAACAGTTGGTAGAAAGAACCAGTGACTAAATCCATAATTGAATGACACCGGAAAACCCATGAATCAGCAAAAAACGAATGAGAATAGTTCGCAGCAACGTTCATAACCACGAGTTACCTCTAAACTTGTCCTTAGAGGTCTTAACACAAACACATGATGAACAGAACCTGAAATCAAGGCATTGTTGTAGTACGTGGCCGCTTAGAGCGAGCCGTTGATGAAGAGGGAGCATCGACTTCATCGCGAGAGCGCTTGAGGGACTGGGGTGCGCTCGGAGATCTTGCGTGGCCTGGTGGACTGCCATACGGCTCGTACCGGATCTGAGGTCGATTCTGTGCCGGGTCAGGAAGGTGAGGAGGCAGATAAGACGTCGGTACTGCGCTGCGCCTATCCGGATGTCCATTTGAGTCTTTTCCAAAATCGATATCCGATGCACTTGATGCCAGATGGTAAACTCGAGGGCCATTGCCATGTCGCCCAACCTGCTGATCCAGAATATAATTCTGAGCGCCAGTGTTGTGATGTTGAACTCCGTAGTCTAATTCGGCGTGGGTGGCCGGATGGACGCGTGCATCAGGAGCATGTTCGGGTTCCTCCGCGACGGGAGCCTTCTTTTTCCTTCCTTTCTTGCTACCGGTAGAAGTGTTTCCCTCAACCATGGGCCTTCCTTTTTCAATGTATTTCTGGCGTTTCCCATTTTGACCATGATTCATCTTCGAGAGCGATATCTTCTGAAGTGGGCAGCCGACGGCCATGTCGAGTCCTTCGCCCTTCATCATCTTATCGCAACGTGCTTTTGTGAGCCGAAGCAATGTACACACACCTTCCAGACGTTCCCCAAATTTCAAGTCACGAGACTTTTTGACTTCCTTCAGGGCCGTGGAGTCATAAACGTCTAGAGCCGCCGGTCCAAGCTCATGGAGGCGCTCAGCAATGTCGAGGAGTTTCCAGCAAACCTTCTCCATTGCTTGCGGGTTGTGGAAAGGGATATGTGGGTTCAACCAGCGGTTCTTGAATGTGTCGGAGTCTTTCTTGTCATCGCATATACTGGTATCTTGCATAGCGCCAAGCAGTCTTTTGACCCATTCCACACGATCAGAATCATTCTGCGGTAGAGTAGGGTCATATACGGGAGGATTCCACCGTTGTTCGATTACGCGGTCAGCCATGGCGGCTTCGGCTTGGGCCAAGTTCATGAACGCTAATTGCCGCGCTGCGGGTTGGGCAATACCAGAGTCTTGATGGTTGCCACTATCGTGGTATATTTGCGCATGAGTAGGGGGTCTTTGACCGTGATTGGCCACTAACCGGTTATTCTCATCAGGGGGATATTGTACTGAATGATTGGGTCGCGATGCAACGGAAGCTTGATCAAAGCGCTCATATGGTGACTGAGTGACACGAGGGTTTTGCGTATCTATACTGTATTGAACAGGTCGGACGTTCTCATCCAGCATCGCAGGCCGATCAGGAGCCCCTCGAATGTGTTGAGGATTTTGAATGCGCTGATCGTGACGGTGCAACAAAGAGTCGTTGCGAGAACGAAGAGGTTCTTTTCTTATACCGCCTGGTTGGCGAGCTTCAAACACATCTCCATTGAATGTAATGCTCTTGCCAAGATAGACGGGGGATGATGACACATCGTGAGAAATCGGTTGCTGATAGTAAGAACGAAGTGAAGGTCGCCCTTCTACAGCATGAGAATACTCCTGTCGCGAGCGAGGCAGTGTCAGATGATCGTCGCGAGGCTCAAGGGTGGTCGGAAATGGAGGAAGATGACTGAACGATCCTGGCTTGTTGCTGGGATAGCGCTCCCCAATTGGCTCATACTGACTACTATATTGGTGTTGGACGGTTGACGTGAACTCAGGTTGAATGCTGAGGAAAGTGTCATCGAAACCCGGTTCTGGTGGTCCACGAGGCTGGAAGAACTCGCCAGAGTCTGTACGATAGCCAGCACCAGGTTTGTAGGGGCGTTCTTGGTAGAGCGGGTCGTATTTGACGCTCGAGAAAGGACGATTCGGCGGTTCGGGTGCATTGACCGGTGGGCGAGGAGATGTAGTATTTCGTTCATTTCCAAAAGGAGGATGACGCACATGAAAATTTCCAAGCTGATGGTTATTCGGGTTCTCGAGGCGTTGCTTATTGTTGTAACCTTCGGAATTCAGCAAATGTGACATACTGCTTCGAGGTGCTTGCAAGTCTCGGATGGCCTGCATGCGTTGGCGTTGGATAAGATTGTCTTGTTGGCCATCGATATGATCCAAGTTGTGATGCGTAGGTTCGACGTCTTCAGTGCCTGTTGGATTGAGACGTCCGACCTCAGTACTTGCCTTCTCTTGATGGAATCGAGGAGGTTTCAACGTCTGATTTTGTGGATGAAGACCATCGGCTTGTCGTCCGAAATCAGCCAAGAGTGCATTGAATCCGGGAGAGTCTGAGAAAGGGGAGGGGTCTGCTGAATCTTTAAAGACGTCCTCGTTGTCTTGGAACCCATCGCTCATACTGAAGATATCCTCAAGTCCAGTGTCGTTGGTGCGGAGATGCTGCAAGTCGTCGGAAGTCTCTTCAGTTGGAGCATCAGCCGGTCGCTGCATCGTGGAGATATCCAATGAAACTTTGCTTCAGTCAGGGACAGATGAAGTGTTTTGTGAAGTGCGAGATTGGCGATGATTATGCACAGAACAATTGATCTCTGGCACAGATGGTACTGGTTCGGGTATCGTTCTAGTTAGGGAGAACTGGAGATTTTTTTCTATACTGTTGGTGGCGACGTGTGAAGATCGAATCGCGCGGTTACTGAGCACGACGCGTCCGGATGGAAAGTCGTGAAATGCCTTTCTGATTACGTGTGAAATGACCTCGTGTGAAAGCAAGTGTTTTTGGAACACCCTAATTGAAGTGCCGGCTTCTGGAGCACTATGAGTGAAGGGCCGAAAATAAGGTGACGATTACCTCTGCTTTGTCTTATAGAAATCACAGTCTTTGGTAATATTGATGACATTGTGCAAACACGAAGCAGGAAGAGCCGTACTTGATATCATGAACTTCTGATCCAGCGGACTTGTAAAACGAGCGAGGATGTAGAGCATTGTGACTAGACAACGCTTGAAGGAGATCAAGTGAGATGAGCTGTAAGCATAGCACAAAAACATACATAAAGGATCCATCTGCGTGAGAAGAATGTAACATACTGAAGGTAGATATACCAGCTCTGTCGACGGAAAGATTGACATTGTGATCTTGGGTCTATAAGTACTGACATAGCAAAAGCAGAACTAGCCTTCGTTTGCTTCTTACTTTGTGAAAATTGAAAATTGAAAATAGTGTCTAGCTGCATAGACCTTGGAAGTTGTCATTGAATATACAACAAGAAATGAGAGCATAATATCCGCATAGCGGGATGATACGATACATCAGCAGGACATAAGACAAAGCTCACGTGCTTGTGTTGTGTTGTGTTGAGCTTAGCTGGGGTGATACCAGGACATATGACTGACTTCCAACATGGGCTTGAGGGAGTTTGCTAGTTGGCTGGCTGGCTGACTAGTTGGCTGTTTGGGTGAGCAAAATAATGTCACGCCGGAAGATCGGGACCACAACGACACAAAGAGGAAGAAGAAGAAGAAGAAGAAGAAGAAGAAGAAGAAGAAGAAGAAGAAGAAGAAGTAGAAGAAGAAGTAGAAGAAGATAATCTGATCCAGTGTGATTTCATTTGTTATATCGACATAGCATGCGTATCGTCATGCCATCATATCATCGTATACCTTTCTTCCCAGCTGAACCCGAACCCGAAAACCCATAAACGCCATCATGTAAGCAATGTACTGCAGTGCCATGCAGTGCAGGGGGTATATCCATCTCATCCCGTTTAGAAAACTCATAAACAAACAACCTCCACAAACTCATAGCAGACGCGCACAGCGCTCCACGCAGCAGAAAAGTGGTAGAAAACAGAAAGAAAAAAGAACTACTCAAGCATACACACCCCTAAACCGCGCACCGTGTCTGTGGACTACTGAGCGGGGGGCGAGTGCGGCTGGCGCCGTGACGGTCATGGTGTAGATGTCGGTTACGGTTACGATGGGGACGGTGGTTAGGGTTACGACGGGGGCGTTTGTAGCCATGGGGAGAGACGATGAGAGTGAGGGTGTCAAAGCCGATGACGGTGACGGTGACGGTGTCAATGCCGATGATAACGACAACGACAATGACGGCGAGAGCGTTGCACCAGGGCGAGTGGACAGCGTAGGAATAGCCAACGACGTCGACGTCGCATTCCCAAACGGCGCACCAACACTCGCAGACACCGTAGGCATGGCCGACACACCGCCCGAGCCCGACGCAGATGGCGTACCGGTAAACACCGGCCCAACCTCGCCCTGCATCGCGTCCGTCATAACCGCCGTGCGCGACGCAAAGTCCTTCACCGCAACCGACATCGCATCCTGCTGCGAGCCGAGGTCGAACTGCGTCTCCGCGTCCGCTGCGAGCGCCGTATCCCCCGACGTAACATCGACATCAATGCACGTAGTGTAGTACTCGTCCTTGCCAGCAGGCAGCCCGGGGTCCTTGTCCGGCGCGGTATTCCACTGCCACACCCAGTAAAACGTGTAGGGCTTGCCTGTCGGCGCTGTGGCGGGGAGCTGGACGTCCGTCTCGCAGAAGAGGGGGTAGTTGCCTGGTCCGTCGCTGACCTGGCCAAGCGCGAAGTTGGGGTCCGACGCCTGCCGTTCCAGGGAGACGGGGGAGTCGTTTTTCTCGTAGCAGCGGCCGTCGTCGAAGTCGTTCATCGCCAGCAGCGTGCCGCGCTTATCGCCGCCTGACCCGTCTTTCGTCCACTTCAGCACGTTGACGATGCGCTCGTCTTCGTCTGGGGTCGTCGTGCCGTACACGAAGATGGTGCCTGCCTTTTCGGGCTTGCCGAGCTGGTTGTTGGGCTTGGTGATGTGTCCGTTTTCCATGTAGCGCATCGCGATGAAGCCGCCGGGCACGGCTTGCAGGCGCGGGTACTTGTCACTGGACTGTGTTTGCTGGCGCTGCTTCTCGTGGCAAAGTACTGTGCTCTCGTTGATGAAGACGCGGCCTTGGTATGCGGGGATCTCAAAGTTCATAGAGAAGCCAGTGAAGGTGGGGTCTGTTTTGGATACCATGCCCCGGGGGTAGCCGTACTCGCCGACGTACGAGCCGTTGTCGTTGATGTTGCGCAGCTGCTCGATCCAGGTGTGGCCCATGGTGACTGGGGCGACGGCCAGCGCCGCCAGGGTCATCTTCAGTATGCTCTGCATTGTGGGTGTTTGTGCGAGTGTTTGTTGTGTGGGGTATGACGGCCTGCCGAAATCGTTTGCAAAGGATGGTGTATCGTACAAGTTGAAGAACTGTCGATAATTTGGAAAGAAAGTCGTATGAAGATGATTAAACGAGTCGTCGTCGAAAAAGGTCAATCTTGGTAGAAAGCGGGAAAAAAGCGGGTCTATATATCTATGTTCACCTGAACAGCCACAATGCCATTGTTCAATGAAAGTCTTGAATCTGCGCGTTTTGTGAAGTCCCGCTTCTGTAATACGCTCACAATAGCGTGAAGAAGATGGAAGAAGGAAAAGAAGAGAATGGAAGGAAGGAAAAGCGAAGACTGAAGATGTGAGATACCAAACTACATTCAGGAGGAACCTCAATCCTTTATCAGAACGAATGAACAGACAAGTGAGACGCGCAAACGCTGTACAAAAAAAACCCTCACGACCTGGGGGACGGGTAAGTGATGAAGAGACGAGAGCCAATAGAGAAGCAGACTCATAAGGTATCGAAACGAGCGCGCCACCACACGCGACTCGGCCTTCTAGACCTCTGAAGCTTAATCTCTGCTCCCGCGGGAGTATGTGTTTCGACTCTGGACCTCTTCTGTAGCCGCCAGCACATTCTCACCCTGGTCCTGCAGTGAAGGCGTGGATCTGCAGCCTTCCGCTGCTGCTGCTGCAAGTTCCGACCGTTTTCCCGCAGGGCTGGTTCAAGGGCTGCATGCACTACGAGGCTGCACGAGGCGGGAGAGCGCCGTTAGTTGGGGGGTGTGTTACATCTGTTGATGTGAAGATAGGCGCAAGCCGTTGATCTACGACGACAACACGGGAGCTAGGCATCACTTTGACAAGCGATCGTCTCTATCCTCAACCTACACTCCCGGAGCCCAAGTCGCAGTGCAGTCCACCTAGAATAGCCACCCAGCTCACGCGACGCGACGCGACACGAGAATAGCAAGACGAGAACAAACAGGGCGCCATCAAAGCCATGCGGGAGAAGACACCTCCGGCCACGCGACGACAGGTACCGGCGGGCGCTTCGACAACGAACGAATCTCCCGCAAGCAATGGGATGGACGAAGTGAAGTCGACAAGGCCTCGGCAGATTGTTTGGCTGTTTCAGACACGGGCCCCACTCCTTCTTGATTGGACGGTTTGGATCTGCGCTACGATTCAGAGTATCACCATCTCATTGGGTGGCGAGCTCTCGTTGTAGTATGCTTGCAAACACATCGATCCCCCGTGCTGCCATCGTTGCCGCTTGTCCACCCGTTACTCACTTCTTCACGCAGTGTATATGACACGACACGACACTATGCGACACGACATCTTCACAGCACAGCATAGCCTCCTGGCACACTCAACACTCCTTCACCGCACAGCCTCCTCACATCCTCTCTCCCTCCCCCAACAACCAAAGAAATACCCCCTTGCCAGCCCAAAGCAAGTCACAAGCCCATCCCCCTCCCCACAATCTACCACCGCGTTTCAAACCGCGAGACAAGCCACGTCCTATAAACCCTGCAGCAAGTCCGCACCCCAAACCAGCATACCCATCCATTCGCGATGCAGATTTCAGATTGCGATGCCGATGTGTGTAGATTGGAGGAACGTGGTGCGAATGTCGACGCGTAAGGTCGAGATGCAGTAGTAGTGTGCGGGATTTGCGCTTCTTGCGTCGTGCTGTGATGTGGACTTTTGATTGAACAGTGGCGTGTATACCTTGTCTTGACTTGACTTGACTTGATTTGGGTTGGGCTTCTGCCCAAAAACAGGGATATGTACAAGCAGAAACTTGAAAATTAGGGCTTTTATCCGCTATACAGTGCGAAAGGAACCCGTGTATACGACAAACATGAGAAGAAGAAGACTGATATAAAAACTGCTGGTACTTATCAGCCACTGCGCTGGGTACGATGGACGGAGGCCATTCGCGCATTCCACGACTCTGTCCATACAATCGAGATAGCCAGAAAGCTCAGTGGGAAGGCCGCGACCGAAATCTTTACGCTGCCGAATGTTGAATTTGAGTTTCAAGCCAAAGTTGCTATAGTCAGGCAGATATCTACGGACATCCGTTTAAATCAGAAACGCCTAATGCTTCTCACTTTGTTTACTCGATAAGTCACTTGCTGCAATAGACTCAGATTTTCTTCCTCCCCAATCTTGAATCCGAACTGCGAGTGGGTGAGGCCGGGTGGCACAGTAACAGGGAGACATATCAACCGTACACAAGCAGATCAACACTGCGAGTAATTAATGTATCTGAGTTCCTCATCGTCAAACCACTAACCGACCAAAACATCGTCTTAGCTTACAAACAGCCGGAAGCAGTCTAGCAGTATTACGCCTTGCAGTTGTAAGCTGACCCACTATCCATCTCTCCCAACCAGCCTCAGGACATAAGGTACAAAAGCTTGTGCGTAACCAGAAGTAAGCTTACATACTATACACCTGCCTCGACACACGTCAAGGCGTAAGGCACAAGGTACACCGCGCCCCACGCATGCAAACTCTCCATCCGAAAACACGCGTATAAAAGACAGACAATCACTAAAAAGAACCACCCACCCTCACTACAAACCTTCACAGCACACCCAAAATGCGCCCCACAACCCTCCTCGCCCCCCTCACCCTCGCAGCATCCAGCTCAGCCTGGGCCCGCGCTCCGAACGGAGTATGGGTCGCCAACAACGTCGTGTATATGATCGGTAACGGTGTGTAGCCTCGTCGTTTTCTGGGTAACAGCATAAGCCGGGTACAACTAATCATTTCCATTTCGCACCACAGTGCAAGTCCACGAAGCGTGTACGAAGATGAACACGAATCAGTACTGGGGGAGTGGGGGTTGTGCGTTGGGGTGATGCGGAGGGGGGGTTGTTGATGGAGGTGAGTGTCTTTGATTCTCTTTTTGTGTGAGAGGGGTGTTTTGCTGATTTGTTTGTAGCTTGTCGGTATTAGGCTGTAGATCATGTTAGTTGTTAGTTGTAGATGGGAGTGCTGTGGTGGGCTTTTTCGTGTTTGGGTGGGATGTGTGGGGGTGCGTACGTCAGTTCGAAGCTTTATGGGGGTATTGGAGTACTGGGCTTGTGTGGATGACTCGAATCAAATCGTCTGTCCGTGGGAAACTAGATGAATTGTCTATCTATAACTATTGTCATTGTTATCAATCCAACACATTTATTTTTCGCTTTAACCCGGTAGAACATGGCTGTGAAGAGAGAGAAAGGGGAAGCGCTATTGATATAATCTCATCCACTATCCCAAGATTGGCTGAAGAAGTTCGTGACCGAGACTGCATATTGTGTGTAGTTACTTCAAAGACCCGTTGCTGGAAATGCGTGAATGACGCTTAGTGAGACATGCATGGGGTACTGTACTTAGGTAGAAAGGGTGACTTGTGCTTTTTTGAATGGTTGGTATATACTTCAATTCTGTATTCCATATGTCAAGCGGTGGGGGAAGTGAATGATCGAAATTAACGTATCCGAGAATCTGCGACTTGGTGCTAACCTTGATGTAGTTATCCCGCTCGATTGAATTCAAGAAAGCGTGTTGACAGTCCAAATACACCGCTTCCCAGTCCCTACAGCTTTCCTCTGGCTGGTGCAGAATACCTACTCATCTTCATCCTCCTCATCTTCCTCACCGTCATCCTCATCCTCATCCTCTTCATGATACTCATCAGCATCCCCTTCCGTAACAGCCGCCGTATTCCTCAACTCCGCCAATTCAAAAGCCTGCTCCGGCAGCCCCGTAATCCCAACCTCCCTCGGCGCAGTAAGGATGCCAAACTCCCTAACCCCATAAAAGCTCCCTCCACTCACACCATAAAACCCGACCACAACCTCCCCAGCCTTAGGTTCCAAACGCACAACATCCGACGGTTCACCGTGCGCATTTAATTCTCCCCGTGCCGTCCCGTCTGCGAGGTGAACGCGCACACCACACAGGACATCGGATCCCCAATCACAACCCCCGTGGACTTCAATATACTCGATGTCGACGTTGGGAGGAAGGTCTATCTTCTCTGACGCATGGCCGCCGAATCGATGGATGGAGTTGTACGAATACATAGGACCCCAGTGGGATACGTGGCCATCTGCGTACTTGACGACGCCGCCATCCCAGATGCAGCCCACGCGGAGGTCAATTGACGTCGCGCGGTGAATTTTGCCGTCTGGTCCCTTTTCCCGGAGGAGTTGAGCCCATTCGGTGGTTCTGTCGTCGTCTCTTAGCTCGCTGGCTTGTACGGAGCGTTTGGAGAGCCGGATGGAACTGCCGGGGATGCGAACAAATGATTTGATGGCGAGGAGTTTCCATACGTCCTTCACGGTGGTTTCCCGGCCGTTGAAGCCGACGATCTTGAGGTGGAGAGGTTCTGTGCGATCGAAGCGCTTCTCGAGTTGACCTCGGGTGTAGCGGAGCTTTGCAATTGGTGCGATAGATGTAGGCTTTGCTTCCTCGCGGTCGTTGAATGATACTCGGGCAATACCACCGAGTGACGAGATGGCCAAAATGGTGTTGAGCTCGTCCTCGTCGCCGCTTTCATTCTCCGCCTCCGCTGTTGGAGTCGCTTTGCGCTCCTCAACGGTCATTACTGGGTCGGTAGGCAGGTGAAAATGTGGGAGTAATCGGAAGGCGAGAGCATCGACGAGGTTCCAGCGAGCATTGTTCGGCGTATCTTCGCAAACCGTGACACCTTGAACTTTGAGGTGACCACAGTATCCAGTCTTGGTCACGAAGTTCTTTGGCCAGTCCTGGGCATACCCTCTTTCCATAATTCCCGGACGGTGCGGCGAGCCAAAAGCATGTCCGACTTCATGAAGATGTGCACCCTGACCAACAGTGCATGCCTCCCACATAGTATGGCACTCGCTATTGTCATTGCCGACCTTGTTACCAGGCTCTCGTGCATCCGTCAAGCAGCTCGTGACCTCTTCCATGAAGCGCGGCCAAGAGTAGGTGAGGTGACTGCCGAACATACCTAGTGAGATTCCCTCCGGATTATGACAGCCCAATGCAGCATGCCCGAGAATCATGTTCTGGGACATGGAGTAGTGAGAATCCAAGATCAAGCCTGCCACGACGGGACGTGCAGAAGTTTCAAACGGGCCGCCAGCTTCATTCAGAGCATTCATGAAGTACTTGAACAAGCCATTTTTGCGTCCAGCATTGGGATTTTGCTGCGCAACCCTCGCGTTTCGAATCTCCTTGATGGTCTTTTCGGACCGGATGATATGTACCTTGGCAGTAGATCGCATTGCGCCCTCGCGATCGAGCGATTCATCGTGTTTTGCGTTCGAGAACACTTGACTGACAGTGTCTTGCGCCCATTCTTCGTCGAAACGAAACGCTCGTCGCCCAAGGCCTTTGGACCTCAAGTCTTCAGCAGTCATGGCTTGCCACATGTACGCTGTCATGCGGAGTTTGGCAACGGCAGCGTCCAGGTCCGAATGAGCGGATGATATTCCACGTGCCTTGTGTGGAGGACAGTCGATTAACAACGGTGAATCTTTCGCAACCATGATGGCTAGATGGAGAGGTGGATTCTGCAGAAGTGGAATGTACATGACGTTGATATTGACAGTGGCTTCGAGATTGTCGTTGCGCAGGTGGGTGAGCTCAAGCTTGTTTAGTCCTGGAGAGAGCATGACCAGTGCCTTGAAGTTGCCGGCTGCGATGGGCCATGTCTGCTCGGGAAAGGCCTCGATGTTATTGGCACCGGTAGTCTTGACAGAGAGATAATGTTCGCCCTCGTCGATATGTTGGTACTCTCCAATAACAAGGAGGCAGCGCTGGGTAGTGTGTTAGGAGAAGGCTTCGATCTGTAGCTGTGACTGGAATAGTACCTGGTGAACCATCTCTCCATCTTCAACATTTGTGACACGAATTGTCTCTGCATTACGGACCATCTTCATGGTGAAAATGTTGTTTGCTTGATGTAAAAGGACGAAACGAGATGGAAAGGAAGACAAGTGGTAAATTGATAGAATTAGACGGAGACGGATGGATGAGGATATTCAGAATGAGACGGGTTGTATATACAGAAGATACTTCTCTTGTCGGATTGCTACATGTTTAAGTACCTCCTAACCCAACGAGGTCCGTGAAGCACCATTCAGGCAGCTGCACGGAAGCAGTTTAGCCTCCCCTTGCTGCCTTGCTGAGGTCTGAGGGTAACATTGCCATTGTGTTCGAGATGAGAGATACCGGCAGTGTAGTGATACCAGCTGCCGTAGCGTGGTTACTGCGTGAGCTACCAATTGTGTGCTTCAACAGGATGTCGTCGAGTTGTCGAGTTGTCGAGGTCAACACCGAATGTGATGGATCAAAAGGATTAGTAATGGCGCTAGCGACTCAGGTCCGTCCATCGCGAGCGCATCGCGACTTTTCCACATCGCGCCGCACGACCACGACGACAGCCTCGACAACGGCCCCATCACTACTCCCGACCATCCCCACGTCACCGCCACCACCAGCATCACCGAACCACCCCCGCGACCGTCACTATGGCCAACTACCTCGCGTCCATCTTCGGCACGGAGCAAGACAAGGTCAACTGCAGTTTCTACTACAAGATCGGCGCGTGCCGCCACGGCGACCGCTGCTCGCGCAAACACGTCAAGCCGTCGTACTCGCAGACAATCCTCCTGCCCAACCTGTACCAGAACCCGGCCTACGACCCCAAGAACAAAATGAACCCGCAGCAGATGCAGATGCACTTTGACGCCTTCTACGAGGACATCTGGTGCGAGCTGTGCCAGTACGGCCTGGTCGAGGAGCTCGTCGTATGCGATAACAACAACGACCGTACGCCTGCCCACCCACACATCCATCCATACACATCGTACTAACCAACCCCCCAGATCTCATCGGCAACGTCTACGTGCGCTTCAAGTACGAAGAGGACGCGCAAAAAGCCTGCGACGTGCTCAACTCGCGCTGGTACGCCGGCCGCCCCATCTACTGCGAACTGTCCCCCGTCACAGACTTCCGCGAGGCCTGCTGTCGTCTTAACTCCGGCGAGGGCTGTGTCCGCGGCGGCTTCTGCAACTTCATCCATCGCAAGGAACCCACCGCTGAGCTCGACCGCGAACTCGATATGTGCACGCGCAAGTGGCTGCACGAGCGCGGCCGCGACGCAAGGAGCATGAGCAAGAGCCCCACGCCGCCGCCTGCGGGAGGTGCCGCTAAGCGCTTCTAGACGCTTGTTGACATGTTGGAGGTGCATTGGCTATGAAAAGCAGGGACATGGTGCATGGCAGGACGTCGAGCGGGCGCTGGACCCGCGGTGCACTCCAGCCGAGCCAGAGTTATCTGCGCGACGATCCATGTGCATGTGGCAGAGAGAGAGAAAGAGCTTGAACAGAGCATAAATTGGCGTATGGCGTTGACAGCGACTGACTGATACCTTTTGTGCGCGTGGCGCACACAGCAGGATTGTACTTGTACTTGTACGCGGACCCCCGAGTCGCTAATGCATGTACGTATATATGTATGGACATGTATTGGGTACACGGCAAAAAAGCGTCTTGATTCCCGACCTTCTGCCCCCCAAAATTTGATCGTGTAACGTGATATGATGAACTCATAAACTATCCATTCACCGCTTGGATCTTGCTATATACGTATGTATGCATAGCGCAGCCTTGCTCGCATTCATTCAATCCAGGTATCATGTAAAGCATCCAGAACTCCCAACCTCCGTTGTTCATTGCCCCATCCAGCAATTCCCCATTCGTACATTCCCCATTCAGCAATACCCCATTGAGCTATAACCCCATGCATCCTCACAAAATCCCCTTCCGATGCAGAACAAGCCCCGCAACAACCAGCCCGGCCACGAGCGAAAGCAGACAGATCCAGAAACAGCCGCATATCCACGCGCGTTGCCGCTTCTTCTTGATTTCGGATGTGAGCCATGTGGAGCTGGGGTGGGTGTTAGTGTGTGGAGTGAAGAGAGGAGAGGGGATATACATACGTGTGTGTTTGTGCTTCTTCTTCTTTTGCCGCAGCGTCTTGGTGTGCGGCTACGCTGAAGCGGTGCCAGAAGTTGGGGTCGCGGACTACCATTTTTGGGGTGGGTTGTTGGTATGGCGTAGTAGATGTCAGGTCTTGGGAAGCGCCTGCACGAGGTGCGTATTTTAGGAAGGTCGTTATCTCCGTATGTGTCGTTCGTTCAAAGTCGTGGGCTCGGTAGGGACAGCGGTTGCTCGTTGTTACGCTGCCTCTGTGCGGTCGTTCGGTCGGGTGATGTTGGGCGCTTGTACGGTATCACCAGCGAGACGCTGAGGAGATTCTGAGGAGATTCTGCGGGGTGCCGGGAGTGTTGTGCGTGCTGGAATGAAGGACCCAGTATATCGAAACAAACGAAGGAACAAAGGACTGATGGATTTGGACGGAGTAAGGAGCGACAGTGACGAGCAAGTAAACGAGTGTAAACGCGAACGCAGCCAGCACGACAGAAAACAACGACAATCAGAGCGAGCGAGGGAGTAAGTGAAAGTACAGCGCAAAAGTGAAAGCAAGTTACCAGAGCCCGGCTTTATCCCATCACGAAACAAAGCACCAGTTAAACGCAAATCACACACATTCGTGAAGCGCAGTACTACCTTACCCTAGCCCCTCGAATCACAGAAACAAGTGCAACATCTGCGCAACCTTGTCCTTGATGTAGAGCACTGGGCCATCTCCGGTCAGGCCCTAACGTTGGTGTTTCTCGCCATGCTTGCAAGGAGTGGTGGTCCTGCGTTTGAGCGACGATTGGGGTGGGGCTGTGGCTGGCCAATCAGGATGGCAGATAGCGAGGGCGGAAACGTGGGTGTGACGCATGGAGAGATTAGTTGGGTAGGGGATTTTACGAGGGGGAGGTGATTTGCACAAGCTGTCGGCTAGTCTTGCTTGCTGCGAGGAAGATGTGCGATGGAGAGTAGAGGAGTGCAAAGGGTCAAATGCATAGATAGATAGGTAGGGCTTACAAGTCACGGTCAGCATCAGCCAGTTCACCGCTCATGGTGCTGTGCTGTGCTGTGCTCCATATGCACGGCTCCAGCTGGCCTACGTGTATTCGCTATCTGTGCCTTTTCCATGCGTACTCTCCTCGTCAAGTTTCCTTGTCTTCTCCTGCGTACTTTCTTTTGACAATATAACACGATGGACCCTGTGTGCATCTCGTACCTGCATCGCCCAGCATCACACAACAGCATGCCGGTGGACGATCCCCTACCCTTCTGGCGCGCCAACGTTCCGCGCGACCAATGGCCCCCAGAATGCCCCGACTACTTGCGCGACGTGTGCAACAAAGACCGGGAGATAATCGGGACGCCAGACTCGGCGTACAAAACGATGGAATGGAAGGAGGTGAGGGAGATAGTTCGTACGACCTCCCCGCATGACCCAATCATATGAAGAGCATGGAATTGATGAAAAGTACTCAGGCACCGACCGCGTAGACAGATTCCAGCGAAAACCTAGCGAGCTGCGGCGGTATCGCGAGTTTACATATCGTCTTGAGAAAGAGTATGGGGGGATTATGGAGTTTATTGTTAATGAGAGGTTGAAGTGGAAGAGTATGGAACCGAAAGGCCGGCCATTTGAGTTCGATGGTATGCTTTACACATCTTGTACAAACGACGCCTCTCCCGCCTAACCCCTCCATAGAAGATGTCAAGATTCTATACAATGACTGGCCCTACGGAATCGACCCTGCCATCATCCACCTCGTCGTCTGGACTAAATTCGAACTCGAAGACGACCCGGAGACCGGTGTGTCGACGCCAGAATCACGCAAGCAGATCGACGAGTATGTGACGAGGGTGTTTGGGGGGAGAGAAGGCGATGTTGTGTGGTTCAAGAACTGGAAGAGTTTGAAGAGTGTGCATGCAGTCGAGCATTTTCATGTGATGCTGTACAAACCGGACGCAGAGTTTGTGAGGGAGATTACGAACAGTGATGTGCCGATGACGGAGACGTTTGACGGAGGGTTTTGATTTTACATTACCGTTGAGGAGTCTGGTTGTGCAGGGTCTTGGTTTGTCGAAGTACCAGGAACCAAGGTACGACGAATTCTTGCAACAGCTTGACAGCTAAAACGTGGATTAGTACAGGAGTCTTAATGCCGAAATAAATAGCATACAATCCAGCAGGCAGTTTTCGTAAATTTCATTAGTGTGGTTTTGCGGCTTTAAGGAGCCACAAAGAACGCAGCTTACTTCCCGCTTCTGCACTTGACCGGAAGCCTGGTTGGGCAGTCGGATTTCTCGTTTCTGGATTGTTGTGCGGCTGCGTCGCCTGTTCGAGACGTCAACTGCACCTCTTTGCGGCGTCGTTGTGTGTGTGGCCTGATGTGGAGCCCAGCCAGCAACATCAGGAAAACCCTTGCATAATCTCACATGGAGTTTTCGGTCAGATGCTGCACAATGAAGTACCGCGGACAATACTATACTCATGTACTTTCTGTAGTTGCGCGGTTCTTTCTTTGCTGTCGTCTGCGCGCTCGGTGAATAAAGTCACCTCCTTGCAGGAAAAAGTGGCCGGGATTTATGATGTGTCAGCAACATCCTCTCTTGCCTCAATGGTACATAACACCGCCACGACAAGGAGTTTAAATTGACAAAAAAACACCCTTCTGCAAGGGTAATTTCCAAACGGCGTATAAAACCCAACATTATTGACTCTGTCATTGCTAACCGAGAGTGTTGATGTTGTTGCTATCTTGCTGACACATCACAAATCCCGGCCAACTCTCTTCTGCATGGGGTAAAGTGGCGCTCCACAAGCAAAGCGGTGAGGCGGCTTGGCAAAAATTGTTGCTCGCCAGGAACGGGGCAAGGTGTTGGTGCAGGGGGTCGTGTACATACGCTGGTTGCCGGCCTGATAACCCCCCTCGCTCTGCCTGCTTTCTTCTCCCACTACAGTGCGTGAGAGTGGGTGCTGCAACGCCAATTGCCCAAGACCAACGCCGTCATTGCTGCCACGCTACGAGTGTGCCAGTTGAGGGTTTTACCGGATACACGCTCCATTCGAGCGAGCAGGGGTGTATGTAGCAGTCCAAGGACAGTCGAGGCCGACATCCGTAGTAATACTGACATGTTGCAAGACATCCACCGCATTCGCCTTCTGCCTACGCGTTCCACTGCTTCCCCACGGCGCCCATAGCCACCCTCCACGTCACCCATATGCAAAGAGCTCCTTGAAGAGCCCCGCGACCCCCCTCGCTGAATCAACTTCAGCGACCCACCATGGCTTCCTACCTCACAAACCGCTGGCGAGGTGCCGGCGAGCCTCAACGCGCCAGCCCGAGTTGGTGGGATCGTCACATGTCCCCTTTCTTTCTGGCTGTCGCAAAGAAGGCCTGCACACACCCAATCCATACCATTGTCACCATCGCCTTCCTGGCCAGCTACTCGTACTTGGGCGTCCTCGACAAGGGCCTGCTGGACACCACTGCCGAAATCACGACGGGAAAGGTGGACTTTCAAACGCTTTTGGCGGGCAGCAAGAGACTGAGGGTTGGAGAGGAGACATCATGGCAGTGGGAAGCTGAGGAGAGCAGTGCGGTTCTGAACAAGGAAAAGGTACGCAGGACTTATACACAGCAGGGGAGCCCTACTAACATGGGATAGACGGGCCAGGAGTTCGCTCTTGTAACACTCGTGTTCCCCGAATCGAGCACCATCAACTCTGCACCCTCGCAAAATGCCGTCCCCAACAATGTCTCCGTGGAACTCCTCCCCAGCTCGTCGAGCTCATTCTCTACCTTCTCGCAAGACACGTCGCTCGCCTTTTCCATCCCGTACACTGAGGCCGCCGACTTTGTCATGGCCATGCAGGAGATCTCCGCGCCAGAAGTCGTCGCAGAAGCCCAAGGCTCCGAGCAGGAAGGCACGCACGAAAAGAAGAAGTGGATGATGAGGGCCTCCAAGAACGGAAATGCCCCTGGCGGCGTGCGAAACTGGCTGCGCGACTCGTGGACGTCATTCGTTGACTTGCTCAAGGTGCGTTGGTTGCGCGAGCATCACATGCACGACTTTGCTGACCAACAACGTGCAGAACGCTGATACAGGTGACATCGCTATTATGGCTATGGGATACCTCGCTATGCACTTGACCTTTGTCTCACTCTTCCTCGCCATGAGGCGCCTTGGATCCAACTTTTGGCTCTTCACAGCTGTGCTACTCCAGTCGGCATTTGCTTTCTTGTTCGCTCTTGCAGTGACAGTCTACCTTGGTGTGCCCATAAACATGATTCTGCTTTCCGAGGGTCTGCCTTTCTTGGTGGTCATTATTGGATTTGAGAAGCCCATTGTCTTGACCAAGGCCGTGCTCTCTGCTGCTTTGGATGCCCGACGCTCTGCTGAGGAACACCGCGGCGAACCCTTGACTATTCAATCTGCTGTTCAGATTGCTATCAAGAAGACTGGCTTTGACATTGTCCGGGACTACTTCTTCGAGATCCTGATCTTGGTTGCAGGTGCCATGTCGGGGATCCAGGGTGGCCTCCGCCAATTCTGCTTCTTGGGCGCATGGATCCTTTTGTTCGATGCTATCATGCTCCTGACCTTCTACACCTCAATTCTCACTATCAAGCTGGAGATCAACCGAATCAAGCGTCACGTGGCTCTTCGTCGAGCTCTCGAAGATGAGGGCGTGGACGGCAAAGTGGCGGAAACCGTCGCTCGCAACAACGACTGGCCAAACGCCAGCTCCGACGTCCAGGTCCGCAGCAATACCACCACTGTGTTTGGAAAGAAGATCACGGTCCCGAAGTTCAAGGTCCTGATGGTTGCTGGGTTCATTCTAGTCAACGTACTCAATGTGATCACTTTCCGATTTGGCCTGACACCCAGCAAGGCTTCCCACGTCGCTGGTGTCAGTGCGACGCCTCCACTTGACCCGTTCAAGGTCGCTGGAAGTGGATTGGATCACATCCTGGAGCAGGCCAAACTCGCCGGAACCTCGACTCTCGTTACAGTACTCACACCAATCAAGTACCAGCTTGAGTACCCATCTGTTCACTACGCTGAGCCTGGCTCTGAGACTGGATCGGTCTACGGTGGCAACATTAGCACTCAGATCGTCGATGGTGTATTGAAGAGTTTGGAGGATCCGTTCCTTAGCAAGTGGATCATCATGGCTTTGGCAATGAGTGTTGTCTTGAACGGTTACCTGTTCAACGCCGCACGCTGGACCATCAAGGAACCGCACAAGCCTCTCGAGCCCCCTTCGCCGTCAGAGGTCCAAGATGGAGCTCCTTCTACAACTCAGTCTCGCGTGCCGTCGATGTCGGCGCCAACTCCACCGCGCACCCCCGGCTTTGAGGATCAGGCAAGTCGCAGCACTCTCAAGCCCCTCACGCAAATCGCTCCACCACGCGAGCCTGCTCAGCAGATGCTTCGACCCGAAATTCCAGCTGGACCTACTGAGGAACAACAACGTCAGCCCAACCGACCCACGGAGTTCTTGGAGCAGATGCTTCGGGACAAGCAAGCGCCTTCGCTCACAGACGAGGAGCTCATCGATCTGTCGCTCAAGGGCAAGATTCCTGGTTATGCTCTGGAGAAGACACTTGGTGACAAGACTCGCGCTGTCAAGGTCCGACGAGGTGTAGTCACCCGAACACACGCTACTCGTGAAACCTCCACGCTTCTGGAACGATCTCTGTTGCCGTACAAGGACTACAACTACGATCTGGTTCACGGTGCATGCTGTGAAAACGTTGTTGGTTACCTTCCCCTTCCTCTTGGTGTCGCCGGTCCTATCCTAGTTGACGGCCAAAACTACTTCCTGCCTATGGCGACCACCGAGGGTGTGCTTGTTGCTTCGACCTCGAGAGGTGCTAAGGCGATCAATGCCGGCGGCGGTGCTGTTACTGTGGTCACCGGCGATGGTATGACGCGCGGTCCTTGCATTGGCTTTGACAGCTTGCTTCGTGCAGGCGCGGCAAAGAACTGGCTCGACTCTGAAGACGGTCAGAAGACTATGAAGGATGCTTTCAACTCGACATCTCGCTTCGCCAGACTCGTCTCGCTGAGGAGCGCCATTGCAGGAACAAACCTCTATGTGCGATTCAGGGCAACGACTGGTGATGCTATGGGCATGAACATGATTTCCAAGGGTGTCGAACACGCTCTCTCCGTCATGGCCACAGACTGCGGTTTTGACGACATGCGCATTGTGACTGTGTCTGGTAATTACTGCACCGACAAGAAGGCCGCTGCTATCAACTGGATCGAAGGCCGTGGTAAGGGTGTCGTCGCCGAGGCCATCATCCCCGGCAAAATCGTCCAATCAGTCCTCAAGTGCGAAGTCGACGACCTCGTACAAATGAACATCTCCAAGAACCTGATCGGCTCCGCCATGGCCGGAGCAATGGGCGGCTTCAACGCGCACGCCGCCAACATCGTCGCCGCGATCTTCCTCGCCACGGGCCAAGACCCCGCCCAAGTCGTCGAAAGCGCAAACTGCATCACCATCATGAACAAGTACGTCCCTCCCCCATTAATCCATCCATCCAAACAACCCACTAACCCCCCCACCCAGCGTAAACAACAACCTCCAAATCTCCGTCTCCATGCCCTCAATAGAAGTCGGCACCATCGGCGGCGGCACCATCCTAGAACCCCAATCCGCAATGCTCGACCTCCTCGGCGTGCGCGGCGCACACCAGACAACCCCCGGCGACAACGCCCGCCAACTCGCCCGCGTCATCGCCGCAGGCGTCCTCGCGGGCGAACTTAGCCTCAACAGCGCTCTCTGCGCTGGACACCTCGTTAAAGCTCACATGGCGCATAATAGGAGTAATGTTCCTAGTCGTGCGCCGACGCCGGCGCCTATGACGCCTGTGGGGGGCGCGCAGACACCTGCGCTTGTTAATGGGCCGGTGCCTAGGCGGTAGAGCGGTGATGGGGGGGTTGGTTCTGTGTTTTGTGGTTGCGCTGGTAGGGTAGGTTAAGGCTATGTGGATTAGAGGCGTCGACATGGGATGGGATGAGGATGATACGAAAAGTAATGCATGTGGGATGGATGACATGATGGGGAAGGGGGGGCAAAGGTATCAGGAATCTCGACATACATGACTGCATTTAAGATAGGATTTCTTTTCCGCAGATGGATGGAGCGAGCGAGCGAGCGAGCGGCTCTTGTACATATTATACATCTTGAGCAGATTGCAGCATATTTTATCGCTATCTTTTCATCCCTCCTTTTGCATCTGTACTAGGTCATGTCTTGTAATGCGGGTCGATATAGGTTTCCATTCTACAAAGACTAGTTGTTGTCCGAAATAAACAGACAGTCATCACACAAGCAAACCCAGGCTGAGAATAATTCTTCAGGGAGATTATCATTCACACTACATAGTACGCGCGCGCCATGCATTCTACACACATTCCGCGCTGGGGCTTGCTTGCCCGCCCATCCCCCAATCCTCGCGCACACATGTATGCCCAACATCATCGACGAGGAGGAAGGGGGACAGAAAGCCATAAATATGCCATATCGAAGAGCTGGACCTCCAAAAAGAGAAGAAGATCCTGGAGAGACAATGACCTGGAAAGAAAAAAGGAGTGGGGAAAAAGGAAAACAAAAACGCCGTCATGATAATCCGCTTCATATTGCATTGCATTGTATGCCCATCATCACCAGTCACCTCCTAGCTTAGTTGGTGGTCATGAGCCTCCGGCAGTCATTTGCTCTCTCAGACCGCTTGGCTCTGTCTTCTTCGCACGCCTGCCCAGAAGCGTTGCGCTGTCGAGGCTGAGTTCGAAAGCGCCCTTGCTCTTAACCTGGCGCTTGGCTGCTGCGGCGACAGCAGGCGAATGTTGGCCGTAGCCACGTTCTTGCTGCCGTGGTTGCTGTCGTGCTTGGGCAGCGGCTGATAGCGTCGTGTTGCGCATCTTTTGCTCCATGGCTGATACATCGTTGCCCTGGGACTTGGGGAGCTTGGCTGGTGGGTGCTGTGACGACGACTCGTAAGGTGCGGAATCACCGGAGTATTCATCGTCTTCATTTTCGTCAAGGGCGTTGAGCGAGTTGATGGCATTCGCGCCGCGGTAGCCTTGCTTGAAGTTCTTCCGCCTCTTGCCCTCTTCTTCCTGTCGGTGAACTGCGTAACCAACGTCAAACACCTCTCGAAGGTTAACGGCACCAGGAGATCGGAAGTCCTGACGCTTGGCACCAGGTGACTCGAGGTACGAGAAATCTGGCTGAAGTTTGTCGTTCTTCCTCGCGGCAGGAGTAGCCAGTGGCGGTGCATCATATGCCGCGTACGTAGGCTCGTCTGCCTCACGTATCCAGGGGTGGTTGAGGAACTGGTTGATGTCGTATCGCTTCTCGGGGTCCACCGTTAAGAGGTGAGAAACCAAGTCCTGAGCAGACTTGGAGATGTCGTCCCACCATGGCGAGAGGAAGGTGTACTGGCCACGGGCAACCTTCTCCGTCAGGGTCTGGATAGACTCGTCATAGAATGGCGGGAACCCGCAAAGAAGAGTGTAGAGTACGCAGCCCATGGCCCACATGTCGACACTCTTGGAATAACGCTCGTCCTTGACAATCTCGGGTGCTGTGTAGCCAACGGTTCCGCAAGGTGTCATGGTCTGGCTGTCCCAAACAACCTTGCTTAGACCAAAGTCAGCAATCTTGATCACGCCAATACCTCCAGCACCCGTGCCCTTGACGTATTCACCCTCATCGGCCTTGTCTTCATCATCTGGGCCTTTGGGATGGGGGTTACGTGTTGGGATAAAGGGAGTAGGGTAGAACAAAAGGTTCTCAGGTTTGATGTCTCTGTCACATGATGTCAGTCACTGCAAGTTCAGGCTGCACGAGTATGGGGCACAAACCGGTGCACAACACCTGCCTCCTCGTGCAAGTACTGTAATGCCTTGGCAACCTGGATGATGGTGTGTCGCGAAAGGTCCTCGGAGAAGTACGTCAGTCTTACGATTTGGTGGAACAGCTCGCCACCAGGGCACAACTCGAGCACAATGTAGTAGTACTGCCGCGATTCGGAAAAGTCGATGAGTTTGACAATGTTGGGGTGGTCAAGCTGGCGCATAATCTGAACCTCCTTAAGGATGTTCGCTCTCTACAGGGCATCACGTTAGCGATTGCCCTACAAAGCGGAGTGGGCAAGAGTGTAAGGTGATGCTGACGGGATCCAGCATCAACACTTGGAAAAATAGCGCACCTCGGCGGCTTTTGGCGTCTTGAAGTCCGGATGCACATGCTTATCGCCCTACACCAGCCTCGCGTTGGTAACGTCCAAGAACACCGGAACTGCTCAAATGTGATGCGGGTGGAAAGGAAAGGAAACAATAAGAGATGGGCTGAGATGGGCAATCGCACTGGGTACTACTAACCTGCTGTGAATTCATCTCAAATTTGCGGACGACCTTGATGGCCACCTCGCCCCATTGGCCGGTGGTATCCCTCGCGCGGTAGACGTTACTGAAGGCGCCATCGCCCATCTTCTCGACCAGCACCCATCGCTCAAGGCCTGGGTACCTGGGCAACTTGCCCTTGGCCTCGCGCTCCTCTGCGACGATGCGCTGCAGGACGTCTGCGTCGACTCCTTGGGCGGCTGCAGCTGCCTCGCGCTTCTGCTTGTCGCCAACGGCCCGCGCAGCCGCGTCGCCGGCCTGTGCGGCGATGTTGCGGTTGTCTCCAGCACCGGCGCCGACCGAGTAGTCGTGTGGTACGCCGCCCTGGTGAGCCTTGTGGGCCATGACGGGCTCGGAGATACCGTGGTGCACCGGGTCCGGCGCCTGGTTGTATCGCTGGTGCTGGGCGTGGACGGGCGAGACGTTTGTTGTTGGCTCAGCGTTCTGACGGGCCTGCTTGCCGTGACGCAAGAAGTTCTTGAAGTTCTGTATCGCGGCCATGTTTAGTTGTTGTGTACGAAATGTGTTGTTCGACGTTGAAAGCGGGGTCGATGAGGCTCGACGGCAGTGAAAAAAAGGGTGGAAGAAAGCCGCCTAAGTGCAACCGTCTCTAGTGCTATCCAGGACAGTGCTGCGGAGATGATTGTGAATTGAGGGGGGCAGGTCAACAGAATGGCGACTGGTGGAAGAGGGCCTTGGAAGGGTCATGCATGGGGAAGGAGGAGCTTGACGCCAGAACAAGATGACGTATGACGCAATAAACGCTTGGGCCCGGCCAAAATGACGATGCAGCCGACATCATCGCCAACCACCCCCAGCCTTGCCGCTGGTAGAGGAGCAAGCGCACGACGTCGAGACAGGGCAGATGAAACAGAGCACCTTACCTCCATGACCGGCATCTTTTTGCTGCGTCCGTTTCTGTTGGAAGAGGTCTGGAATTGCATGCGGAGCGTGCACGCTCTCGGATGTCCGTGGAGCTGTCTGGCTCACTTCGGAAGACGCGCCTGATGGACTACGTCGTGGGGCGTTCTCGTCGTTGCCCCGGTGGAGGTATGACGCCGTTGTCGCTGCACAAAGTATCGTGTCCTGTCCGGCGGCGATCTCGCAGTGCCCTAGCTTGGTGCAAGGGTGTGTGCGGTAGGATGGAATGCTGCTCGCTGCGCGATTTGGTCTCGGTGATATTGTCGTTTGCCCGGCGGGGCAGAGATGTGGGATGCGGCTAATAACCGGGGCCAATGTTCGTGTCTCGACGGTTGTCTTGCGAAGCACGAGGGCAGCAGAACAATAAAAGCTCGACGGGGAATGGTAGAGGGGGAAGTTTGGACTGCAAGGAACCAGTCTTTGGGTAAACACATGTTTTGCGTCTCAAGCCACTAACTTTACGGCGCGAATTGCTATGCAGAGGAGCGGATACGCCGCGGAGGCTTCGAGCTGGCTTTTCCGAGCACCATACGATAGTCTTCCTGCAGACGTTTCGTAGTCTCTCACGACAGGTTCGCTACCACGGCCGCCAGGTCTGAAGCGGCACCAACGGCATGAGGCTGCCCATCAATCGACCATCACCAGCGTATCGTCTTGCTCGCCTTCACTTTCCACAGACATCACGCCAACCACTGCTTCGTCGTTGGTCTGCAAGAGTGACGATGTTTTGGATTCCAACGGTTGACCACTGCAGGATGCGTCTTAGCCCGCCCACTACGTCACCAAGGTGGTGGGGCTCAGCGTCAGTCCTCGTCTCGAGGCACAGGACCTGAAACATATCCTGACGTTTTCGGCAGCGATGTACACGGCCGACAACCTTGTGCGCATCATTCTCGACGACCACAAGACAGGGCCATGGGCTGGGCATGCGTAGGTGCTGAGCAATGGTTGTTTTTTTGGTTTCCCTCGACTTCCACCCTGAACATTCCATCATGCGGACTGACTACCGGTAGCCAACAAGAAATTCATGCTTTGCTGACGTCGTAGCACATGACTATATGTAATCAGACCCACTTCACAAAGCCAAGCAACAACGCCGTCTCTGCTCTCCCTGATCGCTGTTGCTGGCTGGCATCTGCCCTGTATCTTTTTCGACATTTCTCGTACGACAAAATGATAATTTCGAAACGGGGCAACTGTAGCCGAGACCCTGTTCGAACAACCAGCACGGCTGGCAATTCGGCGCGAATCCATCTCTCGTACATGAAGACATCCGGCAGCAGCCGACATGCGCTGGAATGCGAGAGCGAATGTTGTCCGTGCAGGGCATTGAAATAAATATATAGAGAATTAAGTCCAGGGGTGATCAAAGACGACGTTGACATGTTATCGGTCGATTGTCCACCACAAGATATATATGCAATTTATTCCAAACATTTGAATCTCTCCTCTTACTTATATATCCACCCCCATCCAACAAGTCCACGTCCACCACCATCTCTCATATCTCTCCACCTCCCGTCTCCCGTCTCCCATCTCCCCACCCTCAACCCAGCATCGCACTATCTAAACTCCCATCTCCAAAGCACACACACACCCTCACCCCCACCATACAGCCACAAAACCTCCCCATTCCCCAAACAAGAGCATAACACTCCCATCCAACCAAAACGTAAAGACGCATCATCTAAGCGTAGGTATGTATGTAAGTATGCGTACACGCGTTCATCAACAGCATGATCTTCGCGTGAATACGACGTTTTTGAGACTGCTGGAGAGAGGGAGAGAGGGGATTGGATAAGGTGAGGGAGGTAGTTCGTAAGAGCCTCGAACACCACGACGTGTACTGTGTATGTCTCACATCCCCTTCTTCACGCGTGTTCCGTTGCTGTTTTGGCGGGGCTTGTGGAGGTGCTGAGGTTGATGGGCTGTGCATGCTTTGAGCAACAGTGTATCTCGTTCAAGACAAAAAGGATGAGCTGTTAAAACATGATAAAAATCAGGTCCTGTATTCACAACTTCGAGTAACAAAATTACCCCGTATATCCCTCGTAACCAACCCCCCACCAAACCCCACCATCACCCGCCCTCACACCTCTCACACGCACACTCAAACCCCCAATTCCTCCTCAAAGTGCCCATCCTCTTCTCGCGACTCAGCCCCCTCTCCTCCCCACTCAAATACGTAATACAAACCTCCTCTCCTCGCGCAATATCCCTTGCAGCGCAAAACACCCACACCCTACCCTCCCTCTTCTTCTCCACATTAGGCGCGCAGCTGTGGTTGAAGTAGCTCGCAGCGGGCCAGCATCCGTAGCCGAAGAACTCTGAGCCGTCGTCGTCGAGCGAGCGGATGCCGAACGAGTTGTGGGAGTCGCGCGAGGAGAGGGTGATGAGGGATTCGGGTGTGACGAGGGGGAGGAGAGGGAGTGGGAGTGTGGCGAGGAGGTGCAGGTAGGTGCGTGTGAAGGCGGTGAGGTCGGGGGTGTTGTGGTAGGGTGTTTGGTCTGAGGCGAGGGCGAGGAGGTGCGGGTGGTGGGGGGAGTGGGCGTGTAGGGAGAGGATGCCGCTGACGCAGAAGGATAGGACGTCTGGGGAGATGGGGAGGAGGAGCGCTTTCTGGACGGCTTTTTTGTGCTGTTTTGTGGGTTGGGATGGGCTGGTTTGTCGGGCTGTGCGTATTAGGGCTGCTTGGGCGGCGACGCTGTCCCATGCTTGGGCGATGTCGTGGGGTTGTGGCCGCGGTAGGTCAATGTCCACCATCTCGCTGTCTTCTTTACTCCGTCCTTTGACTAGCTTCTCCACTGCTGTCCATGCCTGCACGCCAACCTCTCCGCTCTCTTCCCTCCATGTCTCTTGGCAATCCTTGGAGCAGAATGCGAACCCCACGGTCTGATCGCGTATGCTCAGGTCTCTCCCGTTCTCATAACTGAAGCACTGTCCGCATACTTCGCGTCTGTATTCTCGTAGCAAGACCGAAAGTGTGAGGTCGTCTGCGCGCCATATCAACGTATCTTTGGGGATATCTTGAGACGCAAAGACGGCGCGTCCAGCGGTTGGTGTATGTCGGATCTCGAATAACGAAGATATGGGCGCACCAGCTGGGAGCGATTTGCCTTGTTCTGCAGAGTGGTCGGTAATGGATGGCGCTGAGGAGACTGACGAGGGTCGAGAGGCGCTTGTGCTGGAGAAATCGCTCGCGGTGGGGGAAGCGGCAGCGTCCATGGTGATGGTAACGGGCGGGCAGTTGCAAAGACGCCCAGTCGGTTTTTCCTGCGAGGCTCAGCGGTAAAGCCGTAGTCTACCGTTTTAGGCAGGCGCTATGACTTGTAAAGGGCTGGAACGCCGGCGAATTTGCTCCTCGGTTGGAACAAATGGCGATGCAGACTGGACGTGCACCTGTCAAAAATGTTGTATGTCAAGTATGTTCCTCCCAAAGATGAGGGCTGGGAAGAATCGCGCCATGGCTTGGAGGAGGTAGAAACAAGTTTTGAGTGTGCGTGTGAGTGTCGAAGAGTAACAAGAAGGTGACACAGTGACGGACGTAGTGGGATGAACTGTGCCTGGCCTGGACCCTGGTTGCCACGATAGCGATAAGACATAGGACATCTACCACAATCCACAAACGACTCTCTTTCTTCTCTCCCAATTCTCTCGTCTTCCCTCGCATCGTCGCCTCCTCACGTCCTTGTCTTGTCACACTGAGGCGTCTTGACAGACTTCGCGATCGTGCATCCAGGTTCTGACGTGTTTCGATCGGATTCGAATGCCTCGGGACAATGTGCAGGTTGCAGTGTGTAGCGGCTGTAGAAGTCGATCCTTAAACCAAGCTCACGGGCTCATTCGGAGTAACTTGAGCTGCCAAAAATACTCCCGAACGATGGTACTTCACCACCGGCACTAACAAACAAGAGCCGGATGACACTCAACCCTCAAAGCATGACGAATCTACTTCTGACGTTGAGATGACCATTTTTCTGTCGATGAATACCCAACAACACCAATGGCGACGAGAATCCAGCTTCCTAGTCTCAACCCTCACGATCTGAAGGCTCGTTGCATCAAGTAGCGTGGTGAACCAAATCAGCTAGGCCCTGGTTGTGTTCATGCGGAGTGTCATGTCGGCTTATATTGCGTGCAAGGATTCCCCGCCCTGGCCCCACGACAACCCCGGACTATCCGATGAAAAGACTGGATTCTCATCTGAATCTAAGCTACGTCAAGAGAATCTTGAATTGCCGAGCTGCTCATGATGCAAATCAATACCCTGTGGGAGACAGCACATGCAGGCACAATACCCCGACCGCATGCGATGAGCTCTGTCGCGAGTCAATGTCCGCCAGAAACTATTTAAGACTCCTCACGAGGCCAGGTGAAGATGACGATCGGGGGTTTAACCATCATCTACATAACTTTCGTGACGACAATCACAATCATGTCGAGCATCATACCTGTAGACCTGCTTTCGTTTGCTACGAATCCATCATACCTAAGCACCCTTGTCACAACCAACACCTCCAATCCAGACGTCATCAGCCTCCTCTCCTACGATGAAAGCTTCGTGGATATCATCGGGGAAAACGCAACAGCACGCCAGCTGCACAGCTTCGACTGGCAAGCCTTCCACGAAGCCGGCGTCTACAACAAAGCCACAAACAAAATCTACATCACGAGCAACTGGGCCGGCTCCCTGTCAAACCTCGAAAACGTCACAATCATCGACATGGAGGACAACTACTCCGTAACCTCAACCCGCTACGGCAACCTCTCCACACCAAACGGCGGCACATCCTACTACCCACCCGGCACACAACAAGAAGGAACAAACACAACAGCACCCTACCTCCTCTTCTGCGACCAAGGCGACTTCAACAACTACTCCTCCCTCGTCTCCGTCGACCCCGTCACCGGCTCCTCCCAAAGAATCCTCACCTCCTTCCTCGGCCGCAACTTCAGCGGCATCAACGACGCCCGCCAACACCCCCACACAGGCGACATCTGGTTCACCGACACCGACTACGGCTACTTCCAGTACTTCCGCCCCGTACCCGAGGTCCTCAAACAAGTCTACCGCTTCAACCCCGCCACGGGCGAAATCGCCGTCGTGGCAGACGGCTTCATTCAACCCAACGGCCTGGAATTCTCCCCGGACCTCAACACCCTGTACGTCAGCGACACGGGCGCTCAGCAGTTCGATCGCAATTTCACGCGCCCGTCCACTATCTACGCTTTCGACGTCAAGGACGAGAAGAGGCTGGATAACCGCCGTGTGTTTGCGTATGCGGACACGGGGTTTCCGGACGGTGTTCATGCGGATACAGAGGGCAATGTGTGGGCTGGGTGTGGCGATGGTGTGCATATTTGGAACTCTGCAGGCAAGCTGCTGGGCAAGATTTGGATTGGTGTTGATAGCAATAATTTTGCTTTTTTGCCGGGAGCGGTGCTGGTGTTTAGTAATGCGCAGTTGTGGATTGTCGAGGGGGTTAAGGCTGTGGGGAGGGAAGTTTGTAGGGATTTTGGCGTGTGTTGAGAGGAGGGGAAGGGATGGGTGTAGGTCTGGTTGGACTGCTTGGTGTGTGTTTTATTGAGTGTGTGGAGTAGATATAGATTCTTCTTTTCGAGAATAGCTAACTATGCGACTCTTTTGACTTCGTCGCTTTCGAATAACATGGCTTTTCGACTACCTATTATCTATCCTCAATTAGACATCTCATCCTCAAATTACCCACATCTCACTCACAGAGCCTATCATCACAATACCCTCTCTCTCAAAAACAAGTAACTATCTCACATCACTAAACATCACTAAACACCATCACTTATCACTACTACCCAGCCTCGAAGCGCAAGAAAGTATGTTGAACAAATCACTTCGACACATTTATCCTCCATCCGCTTCTCACACGCCCATGCCAGGGGATCATGTTAGCATCCAAGAGAGAATTCTGCGGCGACCGAGTAATGCCAGACAAGGTCAAGTATAATATTGAACAGTAGCTAGCTGCAACGTTTGTTGCCTTGGTATTTGCGATGAAAAAAAGAACAGTGTACCTGTGAGGCAGGTATGAAGAACGGGAGCCTATGTACTACAATTTATAACCTCGTTGTTCCGACAATATCTTGTGATGTTGTATTTCCGTTCGAAGATAACGATCAATCTCTGCGTGAGTTCAACAGCCAGGATAAACGCCAAATGCGAATCTCATGCTAAACGACCAAGGAGATGAAAGGGGAATAAAAATGCCATGCGATTAAACCCAAACGCCTCCAACAACCAAGAAACAACCCAACCAGACCAGCCCCTCAAGCGAACACGCTCAAAGCGTCGGTGCCTTCCGCAACCCCCGACAATACCGAACATGCAATTCATCAATAAAATGCGAATGCCGCACACCCGGGGCCCTCGCCTGCTGAAACGCATCAATAGCATCCTGAGCGCGATATCCCAGGCACTCAATAAGATAGCACACGAGGAAGAAGCCCGTGCGATTAAACCCATAATGACAATGCACACCAACAAGTCCCTGCTTGCCCTCAGCGCGGATTTTATCCACCAACGCGATGAAAGCCTGCACCTCGTCTTTCAGCGGCGGCTGCTTGGACACAGTGGGGAACTTGTAGTACGCGATCCCTCCGTCCTCGAGGCCCTTGGGATCGTAGACGGGGTTGTCGTGTGAGATGTCGATGATGGCGCAGAGTTTTCCTGCCCATTCTGCGGCGACGACGGTGGGGGTGTGTTTTTCGTCGACTTCGCGGAGCGTTTTCATGGCGCGGAAGACGTTTGCGATGGGTGGGGAGACGGGCTGGACGGCTTTCCATTTCTCCAGGTTTTTGACGTCCCATTTTCCTTCTGTGGATAGGTATTGGAGTTGCCATGCGAGAGAGAGGCGAGGGTCGATGTGGTCGGCGAGGAAGCTGCCGATTAGGCCGGAGATGATGCGTGATGTTGATGGTGCGAATAGTAAGGAGTGAGCTGCGGGTTTGGGCATGATTGCTGTCTTGACGACAAGCCGACGTTGATGAGCTGATCGCGTTGTGGAAGTAGTCGTCGCAGTGTCAACTTCAGTTGGTACTTGAGTGATGGTGGTCACGTCGTCAGTTGTGTCGCCGTCGATTTGGACAAACCCTTCATCATCGGTAGTGTCCAAGGCATCGGCATTGTTGTCGAGTTTAGGCAAGTCGTTAGCGTCAATGCCTGAGTCTTGGTGTTGCCGTTGCGACATCGTCGAGTCGACCAATGCTGGATCAAAAGGTGCGGCTGCAATGGGCAAGCTAGCCTTTTCGCTGGGAGGTTGGATAGCGGATACGTCTCTTCCGAGAAAATCAACGATGCGCTTCACGTTCGAAGCTGGTGTGACTTGATCAGCTTCTCCGCCAGCAAGGAAGACAGGAATGTCCAATCCTGACCACGTCTGCCTTCCCGGAAGGCCGCCAGTGGGAGGGCTGTTGAGATAGTTAGGACACATGCCGCGCGCCATACGCTGCCAGACTGCGGTCCGACTTTGCTGATTGAATCGAAGTTGAAGCTTTTTCGTCTCTTCCTCCGCATCTGGTCCTGTCATGCGTTGCACGCTTCCACTATTGAGACCACCTCTTCGATCCCACCTTCTAAACAAATCGAACAGAAAAGCTGGCAGATACGTGACTCGGTGCAATGTCTTCACTTGCTCTTTCGTAGGCGGATCAGCCTTGGGACAGATGGCAATGAGCCCACTGACGTGTTGTGAGAGAAGATGTGCATGTGGAGACGATGGGGAGGCTAGCAGCGCGGCGAGTGAGCAGCCCATGCTGTGGCCGACGAGAATGACAGTCTGGTCTTCGTGGACAGCACGATGGTCTTCGATCGCGACAGCAAGAAGTTGCACCAAAGCATCTGTGGTGTACGCATCCCACGCCTTAGGCTCGAAGGAGGAAAGGCCACAACCTGGCAGGTCGATAGCCAGACATGAAGCAACATTGGAGAGACTGAGCAGAATGGGGTTGAATTGCGCAATAGAGCCTCCGAGGCCATGAACGAACACCAATAGTGGGATGGGACGTGGTTCTCTTGGAAGTTTAGCATCTTGAGGATGTGGCCGGTAAAATGTACGGATTTTGGGATAAGTGAAACCAGAAATTGGTACTGTGTAGGACTTGATACTGGAATGCTTCTTCAACAGACCAGGGTCGTTCGTGACGGCATCGTCTATGGGATGTCAGTGAGAAGGGCACAAAAAGGGCCCACATAAGTTCGACCCACATGTTGCCGATCAACCGGGGAAACACTTACCAACAGCGGTGTCGGACATATGCTGTGAGTCAACAGCTGGGAGAGCAGATTCCTTTCTCTTGCTTCGTTGGGCACCTATCCAAAGCGCAGATCCTATGCCACACAGTGCCGTCAACTTGACCATTCCCACGACAGTCGAGGTTATCAAGTCGCCGCGATATACGAAAGGGTTTAGAAGGGAGATCAGGTGGGAGGCTGTATTTCTTATAGTTTGCCAAAAAGTGAAGTCAGTGGTGGTCTGCGATTCTTGATCGTGGGTCGGTCCAGCGAGCCATGTCCTTAGCAGCTGAATGAGGGCCTGTGGAAAGCGCAACGTGCCATTCTGAGACGACCAAGAAAGCGAATAAGGTTCCATCTCTCTTCGTGTGCTCCAGTGTCAAATGTATATCCAGCGAGACGTGGAGGTGTTGGCGTGCGGGATGCCAATGCTTGCGACGCTCGCACAATGTAGCCAATGGTATCGACAAAGGCGATGCGTGCTCTGGTGTTTGGCGAAGAGGAGCTGGTGCCTGAGTATATATACACACACGTTAGGTACACAGCAAATGCGCCACTACGAAGAAAAGCCCCTGTGCTGCAGCCGAAAGGTTTGTGCGATGTTTGAGCAGCGCATGTTGAAAGGCAGCGATAAGATGAGCAGGTGAGTCGGTAACAGTGGCTAGAGACGAAGACGCAAAGCGGATGTTCACATCGTAAAACAAGGCTGGGCGCATGAATCAATTGCGACGCGTTACACCGACAAGCATGGCGTTTTGTTTTTCGCAAAATCAAGAAAATGATGTCAGTCGCGCTCTTTCCTGGTGCGAAGCGTGCGCGGAAGAGGCGCCGCATCGTGAAGCTTGGCAGAACTCTCCTCTCAATCTCACGTCGACGCGCCTTGACGTGCTCGAACACAATATGATTGCCAACCGTTGCTGGGTACTGAAAGCCCCTCTATTACGTCTGTCCGCCTCTCCTCGAACCTCGTAGTGTCAGTGACCAAGCCGCCATGGATGCGCTTGACAACGGCTGCTCCACAAGCACGTTTTGCAGCCCTGTCATTTGTCATCCGTCGCTTGTGGTTTCGTCTTTGCTCTCCAGCCGCCTGACGATGCTGCGCAATCGTGGGGTCCTACCACCATCTACCATCACAAGTCGCGCCTCTCATAAGGTGTAGCCTTCAACAGGAGACAAACGGAACTGGAACATGACGCGTTCTCCCGCTTCGACACCTTTGTCCATGCCACAGCATTGGCATCAGCTTGACTAATTTCGGATGTAGCTTATCTAACAGACAATCGTCTAGCGTTTCCAGAATCTGCATCCTCTTGCCGGAAAATTCATCATTGGCACTGTAGAGTGCTGCATCTCGCTCGTTCTGCTACCGAGTCCAGACATCGCCATCAGGATCAGATGTTCTGTATCGCGGCAAAAACTGCTCCGAGCCGACTATCTCACTTCTTGCACTTGTGTGCATACTTATCGTAAGCTCGCGTCCAAGTTGGCGGTGCTTTAACAGATAGCCCGTGTGGCACGCCGTTGACGACGCCGCACTTCGGATGAACCCCGGTCTACCACCACATGGGCAGCTGCGTTACGAACACGATCGCAGCGCCAACGCGGCGCTGCGTTAGGTGTTCGCGCCTCCCAATCGACGTGACTCGACTTGCAAATTCGCGAATAGGCATTGGCTACCCGACATCACTAACGTAGTGCGCTGGATACGGGAGGGGTAGTTGTTCAACCCGACCCCTCCTACCGGTACATATGTGAGTTTTGAGTCGAAGTCGACAGGAGGGCAGCAAGTCGCCCCACTTGGCAGTCCCTCGGGATGCTCGAAGAGGCTAAAAGTTTCCGGTTCCGTTGTCATCCTTGTCGCGAGGTGTGGTTTGCTGGTGCTGCATCGCTCATCTGTCACCCATATATCGTGACCATTGCCTCACCGTCTCCCACCTGTTTCTTCCTTTTACAGCTCTTTTATTTTCCCATTGCACGTAGTATTGGCTACTTAAGTCCATTTGCAAACTACTTGATCGCCCTATCAATCATCTTCCACGCGCAGTTCCATCTTGTCAACGCCCACAATGGATCCTCGAAATCTCGAAAAACAACGTGAGCCAGAGGAGCCACGCTTCCTCAGCTTTCCACACCTCCCAGAAGATGCGATGAGAGATGGAAAGCCGGCTTTGAACAAATATTCGTCAACTCTTACGGCCGGCCATAACTTTCCAGGAGCTCAGGTTCGCTATTCCCCGTCGTTTAGCCGTATGGTGATGCAGACGGCTAACCAATGGTCAATCGGATAGGCTATGCTATACGCAGCCGGTGTGCCTTCACGGGAAGCGATGAAGACGCAGCCACATGTTGGTATTGCAAGTGTGTGGTGGGAAGGAAACCCATGCAAGTGAGTTTGCCCCCACGGCATGTCGTCATAGTACTGACAGCCTTGCAGTATGCATTGTACGTCGCATTCATCTTGCACTACTGCAGCAAACTACGTTCAGTTGCGGGGGCCAGCTTTGATTGAATACTCGAAGAGCCTCAACTTCGCGTGGGGGGTTATATGCTGACTGTTGCAGTGCTTGATCTAGGCAAAGAAATCAAAAAGCATATCCTAAATGATGAGATGTTAGCATGGCAGTACAACACCGTTGGAGTATCGGATGGCATCACCATGGGCGGAGAAGGTTTGTGATTATCCTCCTACAACAGCTGTTTGCTAAATTTCCCAGGCATGCGATTCTCACTGCAAACACGTGAGATAATAGCAGACAGCATCGAAACCGTGACTTGCGCTCAGCATCATGACGCCTGTATTGCAATACCAGGATGCGACAAGAACATGCCTGGTGTGATTATGGCCTTTGCTCGACACAACCGCCCATCTCTCATGGTCTATGGTGGCTCGATAATGCCAGGCTACTCCGAGACGCTGAAGAAACCAATCAATATCTCCACATGTTATGAGAAGCACGGCGCCTACATTTACAAGAACTTGCAAAGCGCCGAAGCGGGCAAGTTCACGCCAGATGAGATCATGGAGGACATCGAGAAGAACGCGTGTCCAGGAGCTGGTGCTTGTGGCGGCATGTACACGGCTAACACTATGTCTACTTCTATCGAAGGTGCCATTTACCCAAAAAAAAGTTTCACTCGTCCACAAGATGCTGACTGTTTACAGCAATGGGTCTCACCCTTCCCAACTCCTCCACCACTCCCGCTGAGTCCCCCGCCAAAATGCGTGAGTGCGCAAAGGCCGCAGCTGCAATCCGAGTCTGCATGGAGAAGAACATCACGCCCTCGAAACTCTTGACCAAAGCCTCCTTCGAGAACGCGTAAGTGACGCTCTCACCTCCCCCTACACAATTCTAACACAACAAGTCTCGTGATGATGATGGTATTGGGCGGTTCCACAAACGCAGTCCTGCATCTCCTCGCCATGGCCGGCACCGCCAACGTACCCCTAACCCTCGACGACTTCCAACGCGTGAGCAACAAAATCCCCTTCCTCGCCGACCTCGCCCCCTCAGGCCGCTACTTCGCAGCCGACATGTACGACATCGGCGGCATGCCATCAGTCATGAAGCTCCTCGTCGCCGCCGGCCTGCTCGACGGCTCCATCCCCACCGTAACGGGCAAAACGCTCGCCGAAAACATCGCCCCCTACCCCTCCCTCCCCCAAGACCAAACCCTCATCCGCTCCCTAGACAACCCAATAAAACCCACCGGCCACATCGAGATCCTGCGCGGCAATCTCGCGCCCGCGGGCGCAGTCGCAAAAATCACAGGCAAAGAGGGCCTCGTCTTCAGCGGGAAAGCAATGGTCTTCGACAAAGAGCACCAGCTTGATTCCGCGCTAAACGAGGGCACCATCCCGCGCGGCGAGAACATCGTCATTGTTGTGCGCTACGAGGGGCCAAAGGGCGGGCCCGGTATGCCCGAGCAACTGAAGGCTAGCGCGGCGATCATGGGCGCGGGTCTCAATAACGTCGCCCTCATCACGGATGGAAGGTACTCTGGGGCAAGCCATGGGTTTATCGTCGGCCATATGTGTCCTGAGGCGGCGGTTGGGGGGCCCATTGCTGTGGTCCGGAATGGCGATGTGATTACGATTGATGCTGAGAAGAACCGGATTGATATGGATGTTAGTGATGAGGAGATCGTGGAGAGGTTGAAGGCGTGGAAGGCGCCGAGTATGCCGGTTACAAGGGGCGTGTTGGCCAAGTATGCGAGGCTGGTCGGCGATGCAAGTCATGGTGCGATGACGGATTTGTTCTGAGCGCGTGAGGGAAGGTTGAGGAAGGAGCTGTGGGAGCGCTGATGGTACAAAAATGACGAGGGAAGCAAAGTTTCTGGGCATTGGAGTTTACTGTAGATGATGCGAGGCAATCGGCATTTGTACAAGTCTGGTCAAATTGGATTTGCCTCAATGCGAGTTGAACAAAAGGGAAATGACAATGCAGCATGTGTAAACGTAATTTCACAACGCATCAGGAACACAGAGATGGTGGGGTATCAAAGTTGCTTTTGGGTCAAGCCCGCTTCCATTGGATGTCCTAGGCTATGCTGCCCCAGCGAAGTCATATCGAAACGCCATAAGCCGTAAACCGTAGATCCGTACCGCCCGCAATCAAATGCCAGCAATCCTTTTAGTGTAGCAAGCGTCTACTCGTCATCCTCCTCCTCATCGGCCTCGAGAGTGGTCTGGGCGATACGGTCCAAATCACGCTGGCCGGACTGTGTGATGCGGCGGCCACCCTTGTCCTCATCCTGCTCAAGGACACCGATCTTCTCGAGAGCCTGCATGACCTTGCGGTCGACGGAGCCGGAGGCATCAACGTGGTGCGAGGGGCGCGAGCCGCGGTTCTTGGTGGAACTGTTTCCGTCAATATCTCCCCTCCATCGCAGCGCATGGGCGAGTATATTCGTACCCGTGGACCTTTCGGAGACGGCCAACACCAACGGTCTTGCGCATGTAGACGTGGCGGGCGACGGCGGCGGCGCGGACGTAGAACCAGTCGATGTTCTGGGGAGGCAGCTCGTTGGAGTCTACACATCATTAGGCACACGCCAGTGAACCGTAGTCAGTGGAAACGTACGCGATGTCTTGACGGTATCAACCCAGCCTGTAGATAAGGGTCAGCAAGCTGAAGTTATCCCCCAATTACGGGATTCAGGCTTTTCCTTCACCCGCTGGATTGACACGAACCTGGACTGCGGCGGATTAGCACATGAAACAACGCAGAATTTGGGACATTAAAAACTTACATGGGGAGCTTTCCCTGCCTCTTCAAGAAAGCGGCATAGGAGGCGATGAACTTCTGCGCCTGCGGGGGTTGTCAATTCGCTGCTGCTGCGCGCTGTCGCCGGATCCAGTGGTCGCGTACCTCGACGTCCTTGACGGTAACACCACCCATTTTGTCGGTTTTGATGGGGATCGAGGGGTTCGTTGAAAAGAGGTGTTGAAGTCTGGCCGAGCGGTTCGATGTTGAAAGCGACTTGGTGGTCTGAAAATGGGATGCGCTTCGTGTGCGTCGGCAAAAAGATCAAGCGATTTCCGTTAGCGTCTTGGCGAACCATCTCATCATCCATCGTTCGCACTCCAGGGGGGAGTGTGTTTTTCTCCAACCTCAGTGAAATCTTACGTGTATCATGCCTAACACTGTAGCCTCAGAGAAAGAGGGCTCAGACTATGCGGCGCAATCGCAGCCGATCAACGATACTCCGTTCAGACGCTACCTGACACTCCTCGCCATTAGATTGCTAAAGCGCTTCCGCAAACGCCATGGTCCCGTACTATTACTCTCGGACAAGATATGCGTCAAGTACGGATCCCACGTCAGCCTTAGAGAGGCTTCGACCATGCAATTCATCGCAAAGCACACTTCAATTCCAGTCCCTCGCGTGTACTGCGCCTTCACGAACCAGAACCGAGGATACATCGTAATGGAGAGAATACACGGAGAGCCAGTGGGAGCTGGGTGGTTTAAGCGTTCAGAGGAAAGTAGAGCAAAGATACTAGACCAGCTCAAGGAAATGATTGAGAAAATGCGACGCATCACATCCCCGGAAGATATTGGTGTCGCTAATGTGGATGGCGGCCCCTTGTTTGACGTCCGATTGCCTGGTACATCAAATCATTTTGGGCCTTTCAGGACGATCCAGGACTTTCACAGGTACCTGCGAGGAGGTCAAGAAGCACACCCAGACCACAAGCCAGAGATTAGTGAGCTTATTTCTCAGCAAGACAAACTTCGGACCTCTCTCGTATTCACGCATGGGGACTTAAGCAGTTTGAATATCCTCGCATCTGGAGATGAGGTAGTTGGTATTATCGATTGGGAAACTGCTGGGTGGTTCCCTTCGTACTGGGAATACACTACAGCCTGGAACGTAAACCCGCAAAACCAATTTTGGCGAAACGAGGTTGACAAATTCCTCCAGCCTATGCCTGAAGAACTAGACATGGAGAAGATACGGCTAAAGTACTTTGGAGACTTTTGATAAAGCAGGCTTCAGCGAGCTTTGCACATTTACAGTCCTTCCGATATGTACGTTTACGGAATCGTTTCTTTCCTTTCGATCAAGTCATACGTGGGCGCTTTTCTCATATCATAGTTCCCTAGTCCATCGAAACGATGCTCGTCCTTCTTCCGCTGGCAGTATTCCATTGCGGCGTTCCTGACCTTTGTCCACTCAGTCACGCCTGTTCCCAGAGCTTTCCCATCTGCTTCCAGATGCTGCAACGCTTCCTGCACCCATCCAACACAGTTCCATCCCGTTACGCCTTCCCTGATCGGTGTGTTTCGAACAACGGACATGAATCGATCCTTCCTTTCCACTTTGGCTATCATCACTCGCACAAGCAGCATCGAAGTCGGCGTCAAAAGAGATTCCTTTTCTTCGAAGACCCATGTCGACGTATTAGGCCCTGTTGTGCGCTCTTTTGCATGGAAGCGCACGCCCACGCCGTCCTCGACCTCCTCTTTGGGACCCATTAGAAGTGCCCAGTGATACCTGTATTATCACCACGGTTGTTAGCTGGTTGTCACGCAACTTGGGCAATATTGTATGGTATGTCCCGCCAGTGGTACTCACGTGTCTTCTTTGTTCGGCATAGTGGGTGCTCCACCGCGAGCGTAGAGCGTAATATAAAGGCGATCTTTGTTGGATGGCATCGTGGTAGAGCAAAGTAAGCGGACAAGATAGTGTGTAACGGAACGAGAGATCTTGAATATCTATGTGATTTCAATGGAAAATACTGTCCGCATATTGAGCAAGACGTATTTATCAAGGTCTACACTGTGCTGTGCCGCAATTCTATGTTCTATTTTTAGTTACATGGTTTTTAACGCTCAATCGACTTGGACTGTTTCGCGAAGCGCTGGCATCAAAGTCATCTAGCACAATTCTGGATGTGTGCTACTCAATTTTCAATTGAAACGACGTTGGCTGGCTATGCATCGCCGTACACAAACGACATGTTTCAACCAAGATCCTAGTATCCCGACAACTACAACGTACACCAACAGGATCAAGACTCACACCCGCTTCGCCCACACTACCGCAAGCCCATAAAGATTCGAACGTAACAACAATTTGTAGATAGACCTAGACTCAGCCTGCACATACGCAGACATCCACCGCAGATCATACGTGTAAGAACTGTGTGTCCCCTTTATACTTCACCGACCTCACGAGAACCACTTTGAACCACTTTGAACCAAGAGTCGACGTACTCTGAGAAGAAGTCAATCTTCTGTTACTGCAGAGAGTTAGTCATCATTACCAAACCCGACCTTGCATAAACTACGGCAGTTCTCTATCCACCCCCTTGTCAGCGCTATCAGATCTATATATGTGGGTACATTTGCGAATCCACCAGCCCCCCCGGCCCCATGTGGGACGAACGATGTGTACGTTAGGCTTATCATTGACTTCAAGCTTCCTTTTATGCACAAAACTCACTCAAGACGGGCTAGGTGAACCGGGTCATATCAGAAAGGAGACATTTAACGGGATGTACGTTGCGGCCATGATAAGATGATCCATCCTGTGCCGAATGCACGGTCTTGCAGGTGATAGACCTTCGAACGCTCGAGCCGTCCACTTTGTTTCGTCTGAAGGGTGTAGTGTCGATCCAGTGGGATTAGATTAGAGGCGTTCGCATTGACAAGTAAAGTACATTCCATTGATGTGCTAAGACCAAGGGAGGGAAGGAAGGCGCGACAGCCCGTCATATTCGGTATGTTGATATGTCGATGTAGACTCATTCAGTCCATTTTGTCTTCGACAGGGTTCTTGTTTTCTTCTGACCTTACTGATAGAGAGTTGATTGTATCAGTAGCCGGTCGATCCATCTGATACCTTGAACGCGATACACGTCAATCGAGACGCTCTGGGAATTTTGTCTTTGGCTCCAAGCGTTGCTTGTCATTAAACCATGTCACTCAAGAATCGTGTTCCATCAGAAGGTTGTGTCACAGGTTACAAGGTATGAATACGAGAACAGCAAGTTTTATGGAGATCTCAATCATTTTGGGGGAGGAGTGGAGTGGTGCGCCAGAATTGCGGTGCGCGCGGCCTTTACCGGCGGGGACATACTTTCTACCGCTGTCGCGTACCAGTTTGTTTCCTGGCCACGTAGACTTCGATCATGTAGCATGTACCTGATACAGCAATTACAATGGGACACTACTAACATTAGCAGTTACCAGGATGAAATCTTACTATTACTAGTGACAAAATGGTATATTACGCATGTAGCTCGACCCGCATTACCAATGCACTGAAAGCTGGATTAAGAACAGGGCTGTTAGTGTTGATTTCGCTACGAGTAGTGGATTGATATGGTGTTCTGGAAGTGGGTTCCTGTATGGAGATGATCATATAGTGATTGACAAGGAAGGTCGAGAATTACAAACAGCAGTGCTGGCGAAGAAAAAAAGAACGTGTAACTGCACCTTCAGTTACGATTGAGTTCTTAGCTGAACAAGAAATCGTATTTCCAATTTTCAACATGCTGATGGAATTGTTCCGCTCGCCCATAACTTGATCGTCAGCCCTGTCGCGACGCGTGAGCACGTGAAACCACCTAGTCAGTTATTCAGTACCCCCGCGGGACCGGGAATAAAACAGCGTGTCACCCATGTAGCTTAACCATCATTGCCAGTGCGCTGAAAGCGATCGTGATCTGACGCAATACTTTCCCTGACCCACCTCATCCGCAATCTTGTCGACACCAAACAGCAATGTCTCAGTGGGAGTCTGACGGCTTGTCAAGTGCCAATGTCCGGCTTATCAGCCCCTCCATTGGTGGTCGCCCTACCTGTATCTGCGGAACGTGAACCTTATCGCGTGGTCTTGGTGCGCCCTACGATCTGGACTCGCTGCTGGACCCATGTAGGGCTCTAATACAGATCGGTGTCGGACAGGTACAGTGTGGGTAGAAAAATGGGCAGTGGAAGCGTGACATTGGAACCGGTAGAACAAACCCGGAATAGGCTCGGCTTTTGGCAGCGTGCTCCAGAATAAACGGCGCCTTGAGTATATATGGTATGACGCAGGGCCGGCTTATGCCAGCCGAAAGCGTCAGTCATTCAGCTCGGCCTCTTCTTCCACAACATGGCTCCTGGGTATAGATTAGGTGTTGATGTTGGCGGGTGAGTGGTCTCTTCTACTGTGCGTCTTTGTCGTGTTTTGGGATGGACATGTCAACGCGCAATTGAGGGGAAGACAAAACTTTTTAATGCAACCCTGCAGCTCAATGCAGGAACGTGTTAAACGTGCAGAATGGAAGACTGACGCGCGCGCAGCACCTTCACAGACGTCTATGTCATCACACCTGACGGCGAGGCAGTACGCGCAAAAGTCCTCACAAATACCACCGACCAGTCAATAGGCGTGCAAGAGGGTGTCCTCCAGGCGCGCAAGATTCTGAAAGACAAGTACGGCTGGGACGGGAAGTTTGAATATATACATCATGGCACCACGACGGGCACAAACGCTGTGCTCGAGGGCAAGGGTGCCAAGGCTGGCCTTGTCGTCACAAAGGGCCACAAGGACATCCTCACGGTGCGGAGGAGTCAAATCCCAGGCGGGCTGGGCGCGTGGATAAACTATGAGCAGCCACCGCCTCTCGTCCCGCTGGAGCGCACCGTCGAAGCGAAAGAGCGCATACAGATCAATGGGGAGGTGTTCCATGAGCTGGACGAGAAGGACTTTCGCGAGAGCCTGCAAGACCTCAAGAAGCAACAACCACAGGCAATTGCCGTCTCACTGCTCAACTCCTTTAGCAATAAGGTCCACGAGGACAAGATCCGTGGGATCCTGAACGACGAGTTTGGCCCAGACGTCGAAGTCGTCACGTCGACAGATGTGCTACCAGAGATCCAAGAGTATGAGCGGACAGTCACTACGGCAGCGAACGCTATCGTCAAGCCTGTCGTCAAGAAATATATGCAGAACCTACAGAAAAGCCTCGCCAAGGACACAGACGTACTACGCATCCTGAAGTCAGACGGTGACCTCACCTCAGTCGACCTCGCGGGCGAAACACCCGTGCGCATCCTCATGAGCGGCCCAGCTGGCGGTGTCAAAGCCGTGTCACATCTGGTGGCCAAGAACACGCCGTACAAGAATCTCATCACATTCGATATGGGAGGCACAAGTACCGACTGCGCATTACTGTCTGGCACAGAAGTCATCATTCGACGAGAGACTGAGATTGGTCACTTGTCTGTTAGAGCACCATCAGTCGATGTCAGGACCGTTGGAGCTGGTGGTGGATCCATTGCCATATACAACGAATTCTCGAAGAATTTCCGTGTTGGCCCAGAGTCAAGTGGAGCAACCCCTGGTCCTGCAGCGTACGGCAAGGGGGGGACGCAGGCGACTGTCACTGATGCCAATCTGACATTGGGATACCTTCCATCGAAGCTGTTAGGTGGCAAGTTCCAGCTTGATGTTGCTGCATCGGCGGCTGCTGTTGAATCGATTGGCAAGCAGATGGGCATGGATGTCACAACAGCAGCTGAAGGCATCATTGACTTGGTTAACGAGACTATGCACGGTGCGCTTCGTCTGGTCTCAGTTGAGCAAGGCTACGACCCTCGTGACTTTGCCCTTGTCGCGTTTGGCGGAGCCGGTCCTCTGCATGCCAACTCACTAGGAAAGCTACTTGGCTCCTGGCCTGTTATCGTTCCTCCTAGTCCTGGTGTGCTGTGTGCCCAGGGTGATGCTACTACCAAGATGTCCCATGAGCAAAGTTGCACATACATCAAGGTTTTCTCTGACATCACTGCGGACGATCTCACTAAGACACTGAGTGATCTCAAGACCAGCTGCGTGAAGACAATGAAATACTCCCTGAGGAACGAAGACGCTGCTTTGAAAGTCGTGTACCAGTCCGATATGCGATACAAGGGTCAGGCAATGACGCTGACTGTTGACTTCAGCGAGGACGACCTAAGGGATACATCAGAGTTGCTTAGTACCATGCGCACTATGTTCAACGATCAGCATCAGCATCAGTTTGGTTTCTCCCACGCGGCTGCCGAGCTTGAAATTATGCGAATGCGCGCCAAGGTGATTGATGCTTCTGAAGAGGTCGCCATCAAGCCTATTGAGCAAGCCGATAGCTCCACGCCTTCTCAGGATGCCATCACTTTCAAGCAGGACATTGTCTATGAGGGCAAAAAGGTTGAGGCTACTTTCTGGGATCGCACTAAGATCACCAAGGCTGGCATCAAGATCTCTGGGCCTGCTGTGGTGACCGAAATGGACTCGAACACCCTTATCCTGCCTGGGCATCTTGGCGAGATCGATGCAATGGGTAACATCCTCATCTGGCCTGAAGAAAAGACGACTCAACAGAAGGTGGAACAACGCACGAGGGAGGCTGCCGTCGCACTCGTCAACGAACAACCTCTCATCGCTACCCTCATTGCATCGGCACTCGGGTCCATTCGACGGGAAATGGACACACTGATGTTACGTTGTGCCATGAGTCCAGCCATTCGAGAACAACAGGACGAGTTCAATGTCATTACCAACACACGCGGTCAAATGTTGGTTGGTCAGTTTGGTAGTTTCATCACGCAGTTCTTGAATGTGTGGAAAGGTACAGTGGAAGAGGGCGACGTATTCGTCACAAACGATGTCTACCAAATCGACGGTGCAGTATCCCACTTGAACGATGTCATTGTCCTTTTACCCATTTTCTTCGAGCACAAACTCATCGGCTGGGCTGCCAACTTCGGCCATCTTACTGATATCCAAGGCAAAGTTCCCGGTTCAATGAGCATCAACGCCAGCACTATCTTCGAAGATGGTCTCCAGATTCCAATCTGCAAGCTCTATGCGAAAGATGTGTACAACGAAGGCCTCGCATCGGTATTCTTCCGCAACTCCCGCATGCCCGATTGGTTCCAAAGCGACCTCGTGGCCCTTGTCACCGCCTGCAAAACAGCTGCAACACGTGTCCGCGAGCTTTGTGCTCGATACGGTGTGGAGCTCTACGAGGCAGCAACAGACTACCTCCTCGAGCAAAGCCGTGTCGCGATAAAAGCCATCATCGATGATAAGATCGGCGCCGACAAGTCCAGTTTCACGGACTTTATCGACGACGACGGTCAAGGCATCGGCCCGTATGCGATATCCTGTTCGATGCAAAAGTCGGGTGATAAACTAGTTTTTGACTGGGACGGCACATCTCCACAATCGAACACGAGCATGAACTACTATCTTAGTATTACTATGTTCAAGATGTTTGTAGGATACTATCTCCTTGCCATCTATGACCCTCACGCCGTAGTCAATGATGGCTTCCACGACCTCCTCGATATCAAAATCCCCACGGGGACCATCCTCCGCCCTGTACGTCCTGCAGCTGTGAGCTGCCGCACGCATCTCCTTGGCCGTGTAATGGACGTCATGCAAGCGCTGTTCGGCCAACGCAACGTAGCGTATCGCTGTGCAGCAGGCTTCTCCGACTCCCCACACTTATTCTACTCTGGCTTCAAGCCCGACGGCGAATTCTACCTCTTATATCAGATCGGGTTCGGCGGCGTCCCCGCGCGGCCGATCGGCGATGGTCCGGATTGTCATTGTTTGTTTCCCGCGATCAAATCCATTCCTGCCGAAAACATAGAACTCTACTACCCCGTCATCATCGAGGCCAACGAGGCGCTGCCAGATTCTGGGGGCGCAGGCTACTTCCGTGGCGGGAATGCGCAAAGAACGCTGTATCGATGGTTGTGTGAGGGTGATGTCAGCATCCACGACGATAGGTGGATGATTAAGCCCTGGGGCGTAGACGGTGGTATGCCAGGCCACCGATCGAAGAAAGTCCTCTACCGCAATAACTCGTACGGCACGGAAAGTGAGAAGGACAACATGGAGCTGTGCAAGAGTAAACAAGACTATATACACGTGTATCCCGGTGAGTCCCTCAATCTCCAAGACATCAAATCCTCTCTGCCCCAACACCCCTTCTCTGCAAAGACGCATCCCTAACACGTCCAAGGAGATGTCCTGGAGTGGATAACCTGGGGCGGCGGCGGCCTCGGCGACCCACTCACACGCCCTGCTACCATTGTGGCCACAGAAGTGCACCGCCGCCTCGTCACGATCCCCGGCGCAGCTGCAAATTACGGCGTTGTCGTTCGCCCTGATTTCTCCGTCGACGAGGCAGCGACGCTCGAGCTGCGCGAGACATTGCGCCGCCAGCGCGCCAAAATACAACAAGGCACAAGGGCCAACGGGGACGTAAATGGAAATGGAAGTGTAAACGGAGATGGCGGGACTCATACGGAGATGTGGTGCAATCGCGGCGGCACGATTCGACAAGTCATGGAGCGGTGCGCGGAGGAAACGGGACTTGAGGCGCCGCGGCCGCAGTGGGAGAAGAATCCTTATGGGCCGCATGTGGGGCTGCCGTATGTTAAGGAGTGGTATAGGAGGATGAGAGAGGGGGGGTTGGAGTTGTGGGATGATGTGTAGGACTGCTAGAATCAACACTCGATTTGGCGTTGAAGAGTTGCATCGATGTTGTAGAATGACGAGATGGATCTGTATGGATGTATGGAAAGATTGTGTACCCCTTGCGTAACCAACGAAAGCAGAACCTTGTTAGTCCCATGGTCAACGCCGTGCGTAACCTGAGATTGTGGCACATCAACTCTGCACCCGAGAAATCAAGAAGTAGATTCAAGACTTCTAACCATGAAAAGATGATTATCCTAGGAACAACAACCCGACGATTATAGGAAGCAGCAACCACCAGCAAACCGCCAACTCGCAACCTCCTCTCAATCCCCGACATCCAGTCCCAAAAGACACACTACTCCCACCCACAGCAACACCCCAATACCCTACGCAAACCTAGGCCACCCCCCCAACCCCGACGCATAACCCTGGAAATTCCACCCCTGCCTCCTCATACTACACGGCGTACAGAACCCCTCCCTCCAATCAATCCTCTCCTGCCCCCGACAGCGGCGCGATTGGCGGTACGGGATGCCTGGTTGCAGCAGGTTGCGCGGGTCGTTGATCTGGTGCAGGCCCGTGTAGACGTCGCGGCAGAAGGGGGCGTGGATGCGGTCGCGGTGGTGGCAGGCTTGCCAGTGGATGATGGTGTCTCTGCACATGTTGGGGGGTGTTGGGGAGTGTTGGGAGGGGTGGTGTATGGGCGCTGTTCTGAACACTTAGAGGGTTGCTTGTCTTAAGTATTGTACTGACTATAGCGAGATGGGATGAGCTCAATAGTACGCATTCTCTGTATAGGAACGCAAAACACGGCGCGGAATATTCGTTCATTCGTTCGTCACTAATCCAGCATCTCTCCATCCACCCATCCACCGCAACGGACGACAAAGTACGTACCAAGCAACACAACTCCCAACCGGACCCCTCACCCCCATCCCCGACCAACCACCCTCCGTACGCTCCCCAACAAACAGCCCCATCCACCCGACAAGCAGCATCGTTCCCGCGCACACCTCCAGACGCCAGGCCCCAGGTCGCTCCCGACGTCGCACTCGCTACGTCACATCGCGTAGGGCTGATCCCGCAGCAGCGTTGCACAGTCTGTCATCCGCCGGGGAAGTAGGGACGGTGCGTACAACGCTGATGAAGATGTGTTGGTGCGCGGAGACTGTGTTGGGAAGGTGTACTAGGGCGATGCACAAACTTCGCGTTCGTGCTGGTTCGGGCTTTCTTGTTTTGGCGCCTGAGGGCGTGGGGCTGTGTTTGTTTGCTGTGTGTCGTACGGAGGGGGGTGGTAGGCTTGTCGGCTTGGTTCCGGGTTGTCTCGCTTGTTGGGGTGGTGTCTGGTGGAAGTGGCTGGTGGGATGGTGTCGTTTCGATGGAGGGTATGATGTTTGGCTGTTGAGGAGATGGACGTGCTTGAGGGGTTCGAATGAGATTTGAAAGATGATGAGTCGTCTAAAAGATGTTAATGGTAGATAGAAGATAATGATGTAGGCTGAACTTCGAGTTGTGTTATAGAGCCCCCGTTGACAGGATAGCTTGATGCTCATCAAGGTATCATGTTCGTCGGATTGGTGTATTTGAGCTTGAGAGTTGAGAGATAATCGGCCAAAACTCATATCAGATTTGTCAAAAATCAGTGTCTAAACGACTCCAATGAAATCTACTCTATCATCAGCAAATAATCCAACACCCCTACAAATTCGACGACCCAGCCTTAGACAACACAAAAGCGCCCCAAGCCTCCGCAAACACAGTCCCACACCCATCTTCAACCCACCCCACAACCTCGACCCACCTCCCCACCTCCCTAACGATCTTCGCCCGACAGAGCAGCACACACGGCGTAACAACTGCCTTCAGATACTTGACCCTCAACTCCGACGTCGCGCACGTATTCTCATACACATACGATATCAGCGTGCCCATGACCTGATCCAACAATGTCGCCGAAACACCACCATGCAGCCGCCTCACCCCGCCGTCTATCCCCTCGCCCAGCGACACGAGCGTAATACCCTCCGCCGTATCCGGATCCGCGGGGTCCCAGACCTTCTCCTCCCGCGGCCCCTGCCGTTCACGCTGGCGCGCCGCGTCACCCTCGTACCCCTGCCCGTCTAGCGTCGGCGCTGCGCTGGTAAAGACGGCGTCCCCAGCGCCGGCTTCTCCCCCCTGCTTGGCAGCCCGGTACAGCGTGATGTAGGCGCGGACCGCGTCGTCGGTGAAGAGCGTTTGCGTGAAGAACGAGTTCGACACGTCTTTGCGTTCATCCGGGATCATGCGCTTGGAAACGCGGGTTATAGTCGGGTCGAAGAGGAGGGTTTGGCACCATTCGTGTGCGGTGAGGTCTTCGATGTGTTCACGTTTGGGGACGCTCATGGTGGGAGTGTAGAGGGGGTAGTGTGGGCGCGTGATGGGGAGTTGAGAGTTGGAGGTGCTGAGGACATGGTAGTCGTTGTCGTGGACACTCGGGATAGGTGTTGGGCAATCTGGCGGTGGAGGATGGGCGACTCGGCGGTTAAGATGAGGAGGTGATCCCGAGGTTGCTGGGATGAGATGGACAGGGTTGTTAGTGCGATCTGATAAGACGATCACCTTCTGGATCATCTCTTGTTGGTCATTCAGCAGCAATTGCAGGAAGTATTCGAAGCTGTCTTTTGTGACTACATGTGGGCTGCTGGTGTTGTGTCAGGCCATCTCATCACCACCATAACGCGTAAATGACGCGTGCAGACTCCAGACAGGTAACCCAAGATCGACCGCCTCCTGTCGATGCCATATTCCCAAAATCGTTAACTTACAGTTTGTAACTATCATATTGACGTGACGGACACCAGGGGCTGCAGATAGAGAGCTGATTTTAGCCCTAATATGACAACGCATTCGTTTGGTGTACACAACAACGCAACAAGCGAACACGAGTTTTGAAACTTCAGACCCATAGGAGTGTATTGTCACAGTACTAAATCGCTGGTCTAGCAGATCACATCATTTGAATAACACGTCAGCAGAAAAGAAATCCCCCCTCCCCCGACATCATTCAGACATTGAGCCGAACGTCTTCCATGTAATCGAGTAAAACGCCATTCAGGCTACACAATATGACTCGTCTATCGCTGTCACAGTACACAGCGTGATCAACTCTTCGGGCCTTCTAAACTCATTGGGTCTGAGAATCTCATTTTGGACTTTCATATCTATTATCGTAGCTATTAGGAACCTCCTCGAATAGACTCACCTCAACAGTCTTGAGGCTAGACATACGTACTTGATGGGGATGAATATATCCACAGAACTCTTAAACAAACGCATGAGTCTATTAAACAAAAACACATTATCTTGTGGTATTCAAATGCTAGGCACACGTACCACAGCGCCTCCATACATTTCAACTCTCAATCCCTATCATTCACGGGCTCTGTAAACCTGATAGAGTCTTCTCGTTTTTCTTTGTCTGGCTAGTCCTAATACAAGTTAAATAACAAGGGTGATAGGTAATAGTAGTACTTGGATTTACCGGGTTGGAAGTGTTTGAGTGGGGCATTGATCTTCGGTAAGTAGAAAGTTACTCGTAGAAGTAAGACAAGCAGTGAATCATTGGAGAAAGACTGTACACCTCATTGTTAAGATCTTAAAAGTAGTATTGCATTTTCCACATCTTGAGGGTGAAATCGAGAACGCACATGAATAATCATTGCGAGGAATTTGAGGTGGAGACGGAAGATAGCTCCGCGAAGGAGTTGAGCCACCACATGAACAAAACAGAGCATTGGATAGTTGAAACCTCACCAAACGACTAAAACGAAGGACAAAATATTAACAAAACCATACAACAGCAGGATTGACTAGTCCAAAGCACTCTGTTCAGGAGGTTGCGACCTGAGCCGTTCGAACCTGCTAGCGATTTGGCGTTTGCTTCCGCCACCAAAAAAACTATAGATACTTGGACATCGAAAATTCCAAAAAGAACTACATACAACAGCGGCTACTAACCCGCCGGTACGTTGCTTAGATAGGGCTGAGCGAACGGGAAGCCTCATTGTCTCCTCTACGATTGATAGAAATGTCCTTAGTTCTCCGGCAAACGGCAGGTAGAAGCCCAACTACTTGAAGCGGGAATCTGCGATCAGTCTATAGGAGTCCGAAAACAGGTATTATAGGGCGATTTAACTGTATCATCCTGATTACGGTTAGGACGCTCTAAGGACGCACCTACGAACCTGATCGCTGAATTAGCCGCTGGCAAGAACGCCATGCATATGCGGGGGGCCTCAACAAACACATGTGTCCCGGCGCCCCGGCGCCCCGTTTCTGAAAGTGGCCTTGATCGATCGCGCGGACAAAAGTCCTAGCGAATTAGAAGCCTATCCTGCTTTAAAGGCCGATCGTATTCATTCATTCGTGAGAATTGGTTGGTTTAGGAAAACATCAGCGGGATGCCACTGTACTGTTGACTTTAAACTCAAATTTCAGCATGGGACGATGGGCTCCAGGTAATAGAAAACAAGACAAATCTAGCACAGTGCAATCACGCACGATGCAAACGGCTTAGCTATACAGCGTTATATCCCATAATCCGGTACATGGAACCCGCCAATAAAATCGTGTAGCGCAATATCTCAAGAGCATCAAATTGAGAAAACTTAACTAAAAAACGCTCCTCAAACTCCAACGAGGGGTATAAACACTGACTTGCCGGTGCTATATAATTGGCTGGTAGTTGGCCCGAGATCTGCGGGTTCTGTGAACCGGATCATGGGATAGACAGTCTTGATATTGCTTGACAGCAGGCTTGGGCTCGAGCAAATACTTCGTAGGGAGCGCTTACGACCGGGGGCACCGTGGCCCTCGGTAGTGACGATGGAAAGAAGAGATGAAACGTGGATAATCGTAGGAGCGAGTGACCTCACAGCTCTCTAGAACATAACAACAACCTCGAACGCATTCCTTGCTGCCGTTTTACGTAGAAAACTCCATAATCAGCAAGCTTATTGAGAAAATCGTGATTGACATCGGTGCTTATCAATGATATCGTATCGAAGAGTTTGCCCAGAGCGCCTAGGTTCTTTTTCGGTACGAAAATTGGATAGGTAACTGGTTCAGGATCAGCAGAGTTATATTTTGTTCAGCCAGAACACTCACAATGGGGCAGTACGTCTATCGGCGAGAAGACCTTGACTCAAGACATGATGCACTGGTGCGATCAGCAAGGCAGAAATACAATGACCAGCTTTCTTACGCGAGATCTTTTCCGTTTAGGTGTATTTGGACCGGAAGACGTTGCAGTCCTTTGTCCATGTAATTCTGCTTGGAGGGCAGGATTTTTCTTCAACTCCTTCTCAGCGTTATATTTAGCGATGTATGAATCGAAGGGACGCTCATCATCCATAGTAAACTTGTCTACCGCGCCATCCTTGTTGGGTGGAGCGACTGCACCAGACATTGTTACTAGAGATCGCGATTGAGCAGAGGCAACAACTCAGTTTCCGGGATACAACTCAAGCCTTATATATGCGGCGTTTTGCATTCATAAACCCCTGTGAACGTGGTTGTCCATGATTCGCTGTTGGGCAGTGCTCTGAACCTGTATCTTTCGGCCCGGTCCCTATTGTGCCGAAACGATGTGCATAGACAGCTAGACCCATGTACGTCGCCGCCGTAGTCGAACGTCGGATGTTGTTCCATCTGCCTGAATTTTCCAACGACGTATATGTGATCGGAATGATATGAGTGTGACTGTCCCTTTCGAACCCACGAGAACAGGAAGAGGATTGGAGGAGGGGAACGTCCCAATCTGCTAAGGGCGTCGGGAGAGGTGTAGGCCTCGAGTACTGATCACAACCAGCCAAGTGTAATGTGGGCAAACGGAAAGCTTTCGTATATCTATATCGTTGTTGAGTGGTGCCAGACGCGTTACATCCTGACGCAAGCAGCTGTGTGGTAGGAGTTAGCGCGATAGCAATTGGACGCAACCAGCGATGGAAAATACAAACCCTGCGACGATCTGGACGCAAGTTTCATTTCTGTACCCTATCTTCCCCTCTTCGGTGCTGCTGCTCGTCGGTAGTGAAGCGAAGGGCATTGGGAAACATTCGCATATTTTGAGTAGCAGACTTGTCAGACGTCGCAATGCCTCAGTTCTCTGTAATCCAAGGTAAAACCAGCATATGGGGATTCTGGTGTCCGCTGAATGATCAAACAGACTACTCCCTCGCCGGTATTAGCTAGCCTTCGCCCTGTACTCAACTGGAACTTGAATGACTGCCAGATACAGTCAGTCATCTAAAAGGGGTCATAGGCGTCGAGAACGAAACTTACTGGATGATGTGGCCTCAAACGAAGTAATGTTGTTTTTCCGATGAAGATGTGGGTTCCTTGTCAAGGGACTAAGGGGAAAAGCTGACGTGAACTTCCCGGTTCTGACGGATCTCAACTAACGTCTAGCGTACCACAGTAATGAATCACTTCAGCCTCAGGTGCCTGCCGAACCGTACAATACACTCAGCTGAAGTAGTTGTATTGTGCCTGCATGGCATCATAATAACGCGGGACATCTGCTACGCAGGCTCGCAAATCCCAGATTGCGGGATCGTGACGAGAGCGACTGCTGTTCACAAGGTGAAGGTTCTTGTTCCATGTCGAAGTCTCCGGCTATGCATTGAATTATCGCGTAGTCCACGGGAAAGGCGTCGTCAGCAGGTTATCTATTGTGCCGCCATCTGGAGTCCACCTCTTCAGTCCCCTCCGAGTCGTCTTTGCCTTCATCCTTTCTGGCGATATAGCAGCTCTCACTCCTTAACCTACCTGGCCTCTGTCAAGCTGTTATTCTTGAAGTATAATTCTCCCTCGTTTGTCTAAAAGTTGTTCAGTTCCCTCGATCATTGAAACCATCCGGCCTTGACCGAGCCATCTGACGTCGCTGACGACTCACTTTCGATGCCTAAGGGCTTGATACCCCGGAACATGAAAAGACTACGTCAAAAAGTACATCCACCTGTGCATGTCGGATTGAGTATAGAACTCGCAGATGAAAAGGGCTGATCTTCGCGTCTTCAGACACCTGCCTTTCGAAATTCCGACGAATCCATCACCACGCCGATATGGGATGACGGGCTTGAAGAAGATATAATGGACATATTGCGGCAGTGTGGTACCCATACAGCGACAATATCTGTCCGCAGACAGTCCCGTGGCGAGCCGTCAGAACAACGGATCAAAACAATAGTAACGACTAGTAATCCTCTCAAACAGCAAGCTACAGCTGGTAGGGGGGAGAGGTTCCATATCGCCTCTATTACGAAGATCCTCGTTGCTACTGCCATCTTTATTGCTTTTGAAAAACAAACGACAGACCGGGCATCCAAGCAATCCTCTACCCCTTTTCGACAGGCGCGTGACGCACCGTTGACGAAAGTGTACAATCATTACAGCTCGGTCAACATGAAGGCCATTCCCGAGGACCCGATAATCTATGACCTCTTGGTGCATAGGAATGGATTTCCCTCTCTGAACCACCGAATGCTCGCACCGGATGGTCAATCGATCATGGGCCGTGCAAACGTACGAGAAGAGCTCCTAAGTCAACCCTCCAAAGACAAGACAAATGATGGAATCAAGAAAAGTTGGGCAGGGTATAGTAACGTCAACTATACTGCTGTCGCGATGGCTATCGAGGCTATATGGAATGGCAGTCTGGAGTCTTTCATGGACGAAACGTTATTTCGGCCGCTCGGAATGCATTCCACCAGTATTGGTGTCCCGAATAACGAGTCTGCAGAAAACAGAGGATGGGTAGTTGACTCAAATGGCAAGCCCCACGAGATACAGCGACCTCTATATCGAGCAGACGGTGCCGAAGCCGCGGCACTTGGTGCCTACAGTACAGCTCATGATCTTGATATTTTTTTCAAGTTCATTACCGATACATTCTATAACCATGAACCCTTACCCATACCTGGGTTTGATCTCTCTGATCTCGCCAAGGTACTCAAAATGACCTACTCTACGGGAGAATCACTTCGCTTCACTCCACTTGGTCTTTATACTCCGCTGAGCTCTTCAGTCATTGGTGCACTGTCAACCAATAGGGCACAGTTTCCAACGGAACCCTTCTCCACGTACGCCGTCATACCAGAACCAGGTGATAACGATATCGCTGTTTATTATATGGCTGGATCAGCGGTTGCCTGCAGCTGTGCTACTGCACTTCACGTTGGGGAAGAGAGCAGCTTTGCGGTTGTTGTACTGACGAATACGTCTGGTCCAGTTGATGCGGCCGATCATATCTTAAGGCTTATTCTCCAGAGAATGGCAAAATGGACCGCTAAAGGAAATGTATTTCCCAGACTTTTACAGCCCGGCTACGCGAAGGAAATGGTGAGGCAAGCTAGAATCAAAACTTTGCAAAGATGGAAGGAGGTTGAGCAGAAGCATGCACAGGATGTTAGACAAGCTCCTGCAATCAACAAAGATATCGAAGGAGTCTTCAAAGGAGTCGGTTTTGGTCAAAGGCTCTCGATATCCAAGAAGCAGGACGGTAAGATGTACATTACGGTAGATGGGCCTTCGGCATTACCTCTTCCCACCGAGTTCGAGCTCGTCTGGGTAGACAGTTCTTCCATAACGATGTACATCCCACCTCATTTATCCGTCGACTGTCTAGGTGAGGGGGATTGGTCAAACGTAGTGTTTCGGGTGGAAGAGATGGATCACACTGTTGTGGCACTGCTACGAACCACTCGTTCAGGAGAAGACAGATTTTCTAGAATTTCCTCAAATTCCTAGCGTTAAATTGGAACTGTAGTGTGAGCCAGTCTTTGTGAGCGATGTATGTGTGGTCCTTATTATTCTTCGTGAAAAATTCTGCTATCTAACATGTGAAGTCAGACGGATTACGCGGTACCAGACTGCGGGTTGTATTGAAATAAATTTAGTATACATGTCCACGGAGCTTATAGTTTCTCTGTATCATACAAGTGGTATAAACGGCGAAGCGGGATAAACGCATATCCTAGTATCATTATCATTCATTGCTAGTCGTTCTGGCTTAGGAATACAACAACGATCGCAGAATATCTGTCATGAGTTAGTGAGTCATTCAGAGAATACTTGGTGGACCACAAAAGCGAAGACTTGACGATCGATGTAGTAACGTACGCTGCAACGGCTCCAAAGTTGGTCGCTCGCACGGTGTTCGCAAACAGAGAGTTCATAATAGACACGAGGATGATAAGGATAACGATGATAGCAAGACGAAGTGTCTTGCTTGATACCAAGGTCAGAGCCAAGACCGGCAGCAACTGCACTACACAAAGGCAGACTGCTATTGTTCCAAATTCCACCTTTCTTAACCGGTCTTCTGAGAACTTCGTGTAGTGTACTCCTTTTATCATGTGCTCCTACCATGATCTGTTAGCTCAAGATGCAGTAGTGAGCCAAGAACGGTGTAGCTTTAACCTCTCCAAACATACGAGCCAGGCGTGCGTGTCTCCCAATGAATCTGTGAACCCAATCTCTTTGTTTTGTCGCCACACAAAGCTGACGCTGAGCTTCACGGCTTAAATCACCAGAGATACTAAGGTCTTTGAAGAGGATGGCAGACTGCGGTGTGCCCTCCTTCACAGCCTTTACGATATGCGGAGCGGGAGCCTCGCTCTCCTTTAACATCTTTAGTGATGAAATGGCATCGCCTGCGAAGACTGTTAGTGTGTTACAAGGCCAGCAGAGTAAGAATCCTACCATATGCTTTAATTGTGCCTTGCAGGTCCGCAAAGATCTCCTTCGATACCCTTGTAGGCTTTGGGTGTGGCTCGTGTCCGACCAAATGTCGCTCATACAAGACATGATCATTGATCTCTTCTTCGAGATTTGACAGTTGACGCTGAATGGACAGTAGGTTGATCAAATGAAGTCTTTCAAAACGACTGGTGATCCAAAGATCGCTGTCACCAGTCATGAAACCAGCAATACTGTTGAGCTCACAGATCTCGCTTGTCAAGCTCATGATGTTGGCGATACCTGTAGCAAAGATCCCAATACACCCTTGTGGAACCATGACCACAATTATAAGAGCTCTGAGGCCTACCGTGCACGGACACGGTAACTGATGAGCTGCAAATAGCACAAATTTGTATCATTGCAGCATTGCCGCACGCGCGCGCAAAATCGCTAAGGGCAGAAGGATGCCTTCTAGGGCAAACCTTAACGGCCGCATACGCTTGTCGCAAGTCCAAGTAAAGTGCGACACATGCTAAGAACAGGAAAGCGCAGCGTGCCACCTGAAACTACTATGGCGAATGACAAGTTAACCGCTCATCACAAGTATCCCCAAGTCTACCGAGATCCGTAGATTAGCACCAATTGGTCAAGCCAGAACTTGAAAGATCAGTCTCGGTATAAGCGCTAAGTTTTAGGGGCGCTTGGAGCGGTACCCTTATCCTTCTAATGATGGACCTCGACCCACCAGTTCTTCCCTTCGCTAGAAGAACTCAAAGTTGTCATTGCGATAGGGTGTTTCGTCGCGAGTCGCATTTAGCCTGGCAACCCATGCATGTGTCAGCCACCAGAACACGATTGATAAGATTAGATGGAGATCGGCAGTGACGCCATGCGAGCACTGTCACACCTCATAGCTCTGGAGAGCTCTCCAGCTCCAGCTTTCACACCAACACATTGCAAGAAGTGAAGTTTGCTGGTTGATGAAGCTTCTCGCAAGTAATGAGAAGCTTAGTGGCGCCATGGCCGACGAACGCACGCCTCTTGTCCAGACGGTCGATGTCCGACCTCACCGCGACCGCTACCCGCACCACCGACTCCGCTTCGTGTGCACCACCGCCCTGACCGCCGTCATACTCGTTGGAACTTTCGTTGCAGCTTCGGTCTTCATATTTGCCCCCCTCGACGACGGTTCTGATACAGAATCCAAGGGGTCCATCTACTCGCCTTTCGCCGCGTCCCAAATACCCGATGGCTGGGGGCGTTCGACAGGCTTGGAATACGATGCCCTCCAGAGCATTCTGCTTGGGACCCCAGACGCAGATAAGGCACGTGAATGGAGCAGATACTACACGAGTGGACCCCATCTCGCAGGTAAGAACATAAGCCAGGCGCTGTGGACTAAGGAGCGCTGGCTGGACTTTGGCATTGCGAACACGGAGATTATCGATTATGACGTCTACGTCAACTATCCCAAGGGCCATCGACTGGCCTTGCTGGAGAAGAGCAAGAGCGACACGGAGAAGAAGGCCGAGTTGGGGAATAAAGGGTGGCAGGTCAAGTATGAAGCGAGTCTGGAAGAAGACGTGCTGGAAGAAGACAAGTCGAGCCAGCTTGCAGACAGGGTGCCCACCTTCCATGGCTATAGTGCCTCGGGCAATGTCACGGCACCCTACGTCTTCGTCAACTATGGCACCTACAAGGACTTTGAGGACTTGCAAGCCGCAAACATCAGTTTGACGGGCAAGATTGCGCTGGCAAAGTATGGCGGCGTCTTCCGCGGTCTGAAGGTTAAGCGCGCCCAGGAAATGGGCATGGTTGGCATCGTCATGTACACCGATCCTGGTGACGATGGGTCGGTCACCGAGAAGAACGGCAATGCGTCGTATCCTGAGGGACCGGCGAGGAACCCGAGTAGTGTACAGCGAGGCAGTGTCCAGTTTCTGAGTATGTATGCCGTTCTATCTCCCACCATCAGACATACTGACATCGACTAGGTTTCGCGCCAGGCGACCCAACAACGCCCGGATATCCTTCCAAGCCCGGTGCACCTCGCGTGCCCGTTGACCACGCCATACCCCACATCCCTTCGTTGCCCATCTCATACCAAGATGCGCTTCCACTATTGAAATCTCTCAACGGACATGGACCCAAAGCCTCTTCCCTTAACAAGGACTGGCAAGGTGGTGGTCTCGACTACAAGGGCGTCACATACAATATCGGCCCTTCGCCTGACCATCTCGTTCTCAACCTTGTCAACGAGCAAGAGTACGTTACAACACCGATGTGGAATGTCATTGGTATAATCAACGGCACCATTCCCGACGAGGTGGTTATCATGGGCAACCATCGCGACGCTTGGATTGCTGGTGGCGCTGGAGACCCCAACAGTGGCTCGGCGGCTTTCAACGAAGTCATCAGGGGTTTCGGCCTGGCTGTCCAAGCGGGGTGGAAGCCAGCGAGGACTATCGTGTTTGCCAGCTGGGATGGCGAGGAGTATGGCCTAATTGGCAGCACGGAGTGGGTCGAAGAATATCTCCCGTGGCTCTCTGCCTCTGCCGTCGCATATCTCAACGTCGATGTCGGTTCAGTGGGCCCGCACTTCAAGCTCAACTCCGCACCACTCCTCAACAAGGTAGTTGAAGAAGCTCGTAAGTTGTTCACAAACCACCTGCATATCTGCACACAAGTTGACCACATCAGTCCACCTCGTACCATCGCCCAACCAAACTATTCCTGGCCAATCCGTCTACACTGCTTGGGACAAACACATCTCGACCATGGGCTCCGGCTCCGACTTCACCGCTTTCCAAGACTTCGCCGGCATCCCTTCCGCCGACATGGGTTTCAGCAGCGGTTTGGACTGCCCAGTCTACCACTACCACAGCAATTACGACTCCTTCGACTGGATGGAGCGGTTTGGCGACCCGAGCTTCCAACACCACGCCACCATCGCAAAGGTATGGGGATTAGTAGCCGCCCGCCTAGTCGAAACGCCCGTCCTGCAACTAAACGCCACCGAGTACGCGCTGGGCCTTGGTCGGTACGTCGACTCCGTCATACAAAAAGCCAAAGACTTGGGATACACCCCTCTCTCTTCCTCCAACAAAAAAGACGTCTTCGCCCCGCTCACAGCAGCGACATCCCACTTCCTCTTCGCGGCCCGCGTCCATGACGCTCTCGCCGCCTCCCTCCTCGACCAATACTACAACAACGATATCCCTTGGTGGAAGCCCTGGGAAAAGGTCAAACTGTACCTTGCTATTCGCGCAGTTAATACCAAGTACAAGCTCCTAGAGAGGCAGTTTTTGTACGCTGGGGGTCTCGATGGCAGGCCCTGGTTCAAGCATGTTGTTTTTGCCCCGGGCAAGTGGACCGGATATGCTGGGGCGACGTTCCCGGGCATTGTCGAGGGGATTGATGAGCGTGATGATGGGACGGTGGGGAAGTGGATTGGTATTGCGGCGAGCGCTGTGGGACAGGCTGCGGATTGGCTGGAGGAATAGATGATGACAACGTTTTCTGGAGTCGGAAGAATGTACGCAAAGATATGAAGGTTAATGAAGAGGCGTTACATGTATCTGTCATTTATTCATGTGTTCCTCGCTTGTTTAACGCGGTGCGCCTTTCCATGCCATCGTGAGGTCCGGCATCGTCTTCTATCCCCCCGTGCGATACATATTCCCCAGCCTCCCCTTTCTTCGCATGTCGTCTCTTGTGGCGTGTGTATAAATCCCTCTTCCCGATGTGACGCATGACTTGTCTCGCTCGTCGTTTTCTACCCTTCCCCCTCTCCTTCCCTCCCTTCCACGTCATTGAGATGGCACCTATGGGCCGAAATATCATACACCACATCGAAAAGCTCCGTGCTTCGCACCCAGCAGTTTTCATCTGCTGGGGTGGATACAACCTCCTGTCAAGTGTTGATCTGAAGTACGTCGGGGAAGCGGGGCGGTCTTCGCTATAATTTGTCTCCACGGGGATGAAGATGAGGCCGGACGGCGAGGGTATGGCTTGGGTATATGAGATGTTAGCCGATCTGCCTGGCTATACAGATTCGCGTCTTTGTGTGGGATGAATAATAGCGAATTAGTGGTTACGCAGCTCTCCGCTCGGGGAGCCAGTACGGGTTAATGACCTCGCATGAGGTGTTCGCTGCAACTTCTGCGACCCGAATTGCGACCTCAGTCCCGGAGGAGGTGGAAGATTCCGAGATATAGGAACTCGAGTCACAGTTCACATTTGCGCCTCGCTGGGAGATGTGAATTGGGATTGTTGATGGCAGTTAGCTTGTGATCGTGGCGTGCAGGTAAGAAGGGTGTGTGTTGAGACCAAAACCCATGGTCTATGAAAGCAATGGCAAGGTTGGCTTTGCATGTGCTATTGCTGTGTGCGGAGTGGGGTCGATCGTATATAGGCGTATGGGAGTATTCGGTCGTACTGTTGTACGTATATATAGTGATGAATCAACCAAGTCGTGACTTTCCCCTAGAAGTATATTTTCGGAGGATGTTTTAGGGGTATGTTTAAGGAGTATGTTTACGGAGTATGTTCAAGGAGTGTGTTCAAGGAGTGTGTTCTAGGAGCATGCTCGCGGGCGTCTGTCTAACAACGAGGCACTCGGGACCCGGGTCTCGCTCCACGGTGACGAGCCAGTAGTTGTAAAGGAAGGCGTGTGCCACGTAATTTCCCTTGCAATTAGGAGTCTGTTTGAACCTGGCTCTCAGCCGCTAGTAACAATGGTTCCCTCTTGTCATATCCATCCTCAGTGGTACAATGGAGACTCCGTGCCTGTCGCTCCCAAGGAATGTACTCACTAACCAACCTTACAATCGCAATCCGCTATCCTGGTACAATTTCTGTTCAACCTTACCACGCAAGGTTGGTAACCAAATCCCCTGTGGTGAAGGCGGATCACTAGCGCATGACCGCCCACAACATAAATACCACAGTTGTGGACAAATCTCTCTTCAGCCAACACCACATCACACAAATGTACGTATTGTTCTTCTCCTACTCCCTCAGCTCGCCGTATGGCAGTTCGCACCACTGCAACCCTCTGGCAGCAACCAGCTAACGCATGCGTGCTCCTCAGACCAATCATCACAACCACACAACACCACCATCACCATCACCACCACCACCAACACCATGTCTGTCAATCCCGCCGCCGCCGTCTCCATGACGCGTCGCACGCGCTGGTCTGAGCAGCTCGCTCTCCAGCTCTCGGAGATCCGCTGGCAGGTATGTACACACACTCTCCCCTCATCTTCACTGCCTCATATGCTCACCACCACACAGATCGAAGCAGCACGCTTCGACCGAGAGGAGCTGGCGCGTATGGGCCTCTTGCCCGAGTGGAATGGGCGCCTGTACGAGCTGATCGTGTGGGAGAGGCATCTGAGGGTGCGCGAGGAGAGGGTCGAGGCGGAGTGGTGGCGGGCGGTGCGTATGGAGGTGAGGCACCAGCGGCCGTAGGGGGGTGGGGATGAGGGAGGAGAGGATGGACGACGCCGACGACGACGACGACGACTACGACGACGATGATGATGATGATGATGATGATGAGAGCGGCGGCAGCGACGATGACGACGACGACCACCTCCACATCCTGCCGTCTGTAACAATATGATGAAGTCTCCACGCCCATGTCTGATACTACACTTGAGTTTGTGTGATGTACTCATGATCTCCTCGCTCCAACGTGAACTCTCTATCCGTTTACTCAAAGTGTATGGTGTACTCCACACCTTCGTTTTACGTTATGACTTTTACGGATGAAGCAATTGGACTCGAATCAACTTTGCAGCCAACAGTGCTGCCTACCTTGGTATCTCCACAGGCGTCTCCCACTGACGGCCTCCAGCCCAGCCAGTAATCGACACAAACCCTTGATTTATATGCGTTGAACAGCTCGAGGTTTCTCTACACTGAGACAGAATACTCGGCATCGAGAGGCTATGACTCCTACGATGTACACGATGACCTCTCATTTCACCACAAAGCCAGTTTAGATGGACGATTGCAGGTCATAGATGCTAGAGCTACCGTCTCCGTTGTCTCAGATCACACTTCTGGTCCTTACATCAACGCGCGAACGGAGTCATGAAACTTGTAAGACATGCACACACGTCGGCGTCAAGATATCACCAAGAGAAATACATGGACAATGAGATGATGTCTTGAAGATTGTGTTATGTTCTGACCATTGTGAAGTCCAAGTCCGTCTATGTAGAATTTCATATTCCCAAGGTAACTGATGTACAAACTCTGGATCATCCCATGAGCTTCCAACAAACCAACAAGCTGAGTAGTGAACGGTAACCGCCGCTATGCAGAAACGGTTCGTCGGTCGTTACGGCGTCGAAATGAGCGTGATTCGCCGCGTTCGTGTAGGCGATATCCTCGCTAGTCGGTTCGATATCGCTGGAGTTGACCAGGTCCTCCCAGGCCCATTCGTACCCGTAAACATTTTCCTTTAGTCCCTCCGCGATAAGAAGGACCTGGTCAACTTGGTGGCTAGCCATGTCGATCCTCGCTCCTTCAGCGAGGGTGTTCTTGAAAGATTCATACCTTGGAGAGCGAGGATCGACACGCTCTGCCACAAGAACGAGACGGCCAACATGGTGGCTAGCCATGTCGACGCTCGCCAGTTCGCCGGGCGCGAACGGCGGTCCCAAGAAGCTAGAAGTGGGGGTCAGCATGTGGACTGCAGAAGGATGTGCGGAATGTGTGGATGTACTTACGACCTGTGTGGTTGACCAGCGCTGAGGCTTGGGAGGGCTTCAGTACGATGAGTGAGCAAGAGCATTCGCAAGCAGTGAGCGTGGTGCATACCTTTGACGTCCAACCTAGCCAGGTCCGCCAAGAATTTGACTTGCCATTCGTCATACTGAACGGCAGTAGTGGTGTCGTAGCTGGCTTGACCAGTTTTTCCGAGAGTGAATCGGCGGACCACTCTTTCGAGCTTGACTTCTTCTGGCGGAGGCGCAGCGCACCGAAATCTGTAGAGAGTGTCAGCTTCGAGTCTCAGTCATCCATGTATACAAGGTAGTATGTTGTGGTGTTGTTCAGCGTAAAGATCAAGTGAGAGGTGGTTATGATCATCAGAACCCACAGCTGTAGGGGTACTTCAGGATCTGTGCTTTTCATTGAAGAAAGCACAAAACAGCTTGTCATCATAACAAGGGGCGGGGCAGGAGGTCAGTAAAGCTTACTCACCAGGTCACCAAAAACCCGTTGCCCAGCAGCTCACCATCGTCGTAGCCGAACGGCGTCGCACCAGGCTCGATTGTTGCCCGCCACTCCACCTCACCCATGCGGCCGGGCTGCAGCTCGACGTATCTTGTCGTGCCTGGTGAGGGAGGCGCGATGGGAGGGCGCGGCTGCAGGTCCTGCAGCGGGATTGCTGCAGTGACGGGGGAACGCGGGGGGGATGTGGAGTGCTGGAAGGGCCAGAGGCCGAAGAGACAAGAACAGAGGCAAGAGAAAGCCATGGTGGTTGTTGGTGGATTGTTGTTGTTGATGGGAAAAGATGGTGGAGGAGATGGTGGTGGGGCAAGAAGTCAAGCAATAAATATTGGCAGATTTGTGGGCCGTGTACTCATGGTGAAGGAAAAAATATTTCTGCTTCCATCACGGTTTAGTCCTACCGATGAAGCACACTGGCTTGGAGCTCGGTCATGGCCTTCGGAAATGGATATGTTCTCGTTCAGCTTTGTCCATAGTAACGACTAAGGCTTCACTGCAAACCATATAGTCGTTCGGACATGTCTTGAGGCGTCGGGTTTGTGTAGACTCCTACTACACTAACTGATCGCGTTCTCCAAATCGTGCTGTGAACATTGCAAGGACGCATCTTATCAAGAAAGGGCTGCGAATGGCCACTTGAAAGTCTACGCAGATAGCAATAATTCATTTTCATATGCTAAGTTTTGGGTAGTGTGTACGTTGTATGTTTTGTTCCCTACGCCATGAATTATTCCAAGGGATGGGCTGAATGTACAGAAGCCGCACACGCTGAAATTCGTTGGCGTTCATGCGGTTTACGAAAACCGTCATCAGTCCGAAGTATGACCTCTGGCAGCCTGAGAGGAGGAACTACCTAACATATCTGGAAAACAGCCGTAGTCTGATCGCTCAGTGTTTCGCGGATGTGAATGCGCGAAGTTAGCGCGATTTTGCATGTTCAGCATGGTGCCTATGCACGATCATGTCCTTGGTGGATCCTCCACTCATGTGTTTCCGCTATCATTTGACCAACAAACTATTCATGCTATACGATCCTCGGCTTATGAAACTCATAGGATACCTAGAATCCCGCAGCGAATAAACCGGAGTACGACATAACCGAGGTTCGTGACCTGTCGCCATAGATGCGCGCTCGGCACGAGGCAGTCAATAAGGAGAACCCATGGAAGACAGGACAGACCCTGGCTCTACTTGAACAAGGCTGAAGACTGAAGACTGAAGACTGACGTGAGTACCAGGCTGAACTCAAAACGAATAAGAAGACGCGAATAGTTGAACCCGACCTCCCTCCGCGACAAGACCTAAGCGTAGGCAACCCCGACCGCCTTAACGCGCACACCCCGAAAGCAATACCAGGGAAAACATCTACAAGTGTATTTGCGAGAGGGGGTACACTGCAACGTTTCCTCCCAGTGCAGTTTGAGCACACGCGTGGAAATAAGGATATGATCGTACTGGGCATAACTCAATTTGGCGTTGGTCATCAACACCGCATCACATTTCCAGCTGTGTTCGCGGAATCCGAAGCCAGTCAGATGTAGTAGCGCATGCTGAGTGTCTGCAGCCACAACGACCTGAACATCCGGCTGTGGGGGGAGAAGCGTTGCTGCAAGTGTATGTGGGCTGAAACATCTGCACAAACCATGTTCCCACAAATTGACGCAGTTCGAGAAGGTGATTGAGCAAGTCAAAGGACAGTGAAGATCTGGGGACCGGCACCCTTGCATGTCCAGGTTTGCGAGTGAGGTGCACATTGTACTACTGTAAGCGCATCTCCGCCTGCATTCTCGTGGTCGCGATGGCACGAGAGTGTCGCGCTTGTTCGAACACTCAGTTCATAGATAGTCAATCCCCTCCATCTAAAAGTATATGACTAGAAGCTTTACTTGTCTATGAAGTATGGAAAATAGAAAAGGCCCACCAAGTGAGAGGCGAATAAATTGCTAGAATAAGAAAACACTTCGATGTTATCCTGACGATCTCTACAATATCGATCCAGCACTATTACTCCATGTATAGCTGGAATGAATGCTAAGAGATGCGACAACATGCTTTGCTAAGCAGTCGATGTGTTGTTTGCTTCTATGTGCAACAAATCGGTTGTCGCATGCCCGAACTTTCATCCCAAGTCATGTCCCTCACCAAGGTCCTTGTGCAAGGTGTCACGTTAAACTCATCACGACTTGAAATCTCAGAGTTTCTGGAAGTCGCATTATACATATAACCCATACAGGTCGGCGGTAGTGTGAAGGGTTTCACGTGATCGAAAGGAAGAGTTTGCTTTCGATGAAGAATGATTGGAGACACAAAGTACATGGAACAGATGAGCAAATCCCTTGCATTCGATGATTACCCCACCCACTCTGAAGGCCGCGCCTCGCTGTCACGTTGTGTTTCTCCCTGCCCTTGCAGCTGATGTCAGCGCCCCTATGTCTAGCGAGAAAGGCGTGATGGCCGGCTGATTTTCGCAGCTGTCGTACGCAGACCACTATGCAATAGCATTGTGCTAGCCTCCATGATTGTACCAAAGAACATGGGTACCTGTCTCTCGTCCCCCCAGAAGGCGTGCGCCGCTTCCCTCATTGTTCACATTGTCCGCACAGCTTGTTTCTCGAATTCGACGAAGAGCCCTGTGTTTGAGGGGCAGGCTTATGGACACTGGCAGCAATATGGTTCGAATGTGTTTGTGCTCTTCAATCGAAGCGTATAAGATTTGTGGAATCGTGGTAGGAGATTTGAGTGCGAGACCGGCGTGGTCGAAGGACAAGAAGATAGGACAGACATTTCGAAAGTCATATCTACTCCCTACGATAATATGATATGATCTCCTAGTAAGTCTCTACATCCAAATGACGATCTTGCCATAGGCTAATGGACAGGGCTGGCTTGGTGGAGCCGTTATGGTCGATTTCGTATGGTTGAGAGAAGAGCTCAGGAGCTGTCGCGTTTGTGGGGAACTGTGTGTAAGACACCAACTTTCAGCATGGTCCTTGAGTCTATTTGAGTGCGCAGAGTTCCAACTTACCTGAACGTGTGTTTGTTTGTGCAACATCCTCTAGTTAGACGAGATTTGACCTGCTGTTTCCTGCCCGCCCACATACCGTATTGCGAAAGTCAACGTGTAACTGCGCTCAAGAAGCTTCGCGTTGGACATGCTCAACTCGAACCCCTGATGGGTACCTCATATGCTCTCACGATATCCAGTCTCCTCTTGTCGAGTGTTTGGGTGCTGGCGGTCGCAGACTTAGTCGTTAGCTTTGGTGCTGGCGATTTGGTTCGGGGGCATAAGAGGAACCTGGTGGAAGTTTTATCAGTGCGACAGAAAAGTAATTCTTTCCAGTTCCATACCTTCAGAACGTCCTTTGTCCGCGATAGAGTTGGGTGGGTAGGGTTGGGCTGTGATCATAGCCACCTGTACTCGAAACGTTTTCTTCTCTCTTGAACTCACCGCAGCATGTTCTGGAGGTTCTCAAATACTTCCATCTCCTCAAGATTGTGATTCAAAGCGTCATATAATGTACTGGTAGGCCGTTGACAGCCGCGAGATGCTCAAAGCGTGTGTGGTGTATGCAGATACGTAACATGGAAACGATCATAGAGACGTGTGATTAATCAGCGAGTGGGCTATAAGGTATTAAAGAATGAATAGAGAGGGATTCGATACAGCTGTCGGCTTCTCCTGGCTTTGAGGTGCTATTTTGCGATTTTCTAGAAAGCTAGTCCAAGCGTAGAGTCTGCCCGTTCGCACACTTGACTTCACCTGCGACTAAACCCAAGACCAAACTTTTCTAAACTCAATCACACAGCCAAACGCGAACGACCCAACAATATCTTCTTCTCCACAAATCTCCACCAACGATGAACGATAACGTCGCTGTCTCCTTTGCCCAGGCTCGCTGGATGTTCAGGGCACCAAAGACTGCTGGTGCGGCCATAGATGTTGCTCTGTGGCCACCGTACGCCCGCCGCCGCCACATCTTCAGCGACACTGATGTTGACTGTACGTACAAGTCTCTCTCATTGCTAATTACTACTTCTGTGCTAACTTTGTGGATCAGTCGCCGTCATTTCGAGGTGGTCCATGGAAATCCACAACAGCTTGATGCAGAAGTGTCAAGTCTGCGTCAACGCCCTCCTCATCGCCGATAGCGACCTCGAGCATATCCGCCGGTCCAGAACGTGTGCCGACAGGGAGTATGCCGCGCGTCGCGCAGTGCTGGGTTCAGCCGTGGCTGGAGACGAACAAGCTTTCAGCGCGCGCCTTCGAGGACTGGCTGCTCTGCGTCTTGAGAAGAAGAGGATGGACGAGCTGAGTTTGGAGACTCAGCGTACGGTCGAGAAGTTGCGGAAGAAGCTGGTGGATCTGGATCGTGAGCAGGTCAAGCACGGGGAGCTGGAGATAATGCTCTGGGCCTGAGTATAAGGGATCATAGCATGATCTGGATACAAGCCAAGGTCGCTGATAGCAAACCACTATTTCCCCATCATTCGGAAGGATTGCAATATTTGTCCGTAACCTTGAGCTGCTTCAGGTCTGTTGACGTAGCAAGTTTCCAGTGTTATGTTCGTAGAAATTCATTCCTGCAGACACTCGTCGCAACTCCAGTCAATCCATCTTCATTCTCAAGATTTGCGACGAAAACTTGCACTAGCAAGAGAAGTGACACCATCTTCGCCAATGTGCTTACTTCTGACCCCAATGTCAGCTGTGTTTGATACGAAGATCCCTACAACTCTGTATAAAACACCCAAGGTTCAGATCGCGAATCATACATGAAAAACCATGATGCACAGGTCTTTGCTCCAGCAAATGGCACTCAAGATGTATCCAGGGAATGTGCTTCTCGGTTTGCAACGGAGGTGATCATCGCTCACTTTACATCAAAGTTACCAACCATATGGACACTGTGTCTGGATTTGATCATGACTTGCATTTGAAAATATACGAAGCCGCGAAAGCTGCGGGCGACAGTCTTACAGAGCAGGCTCCAAGTTTGAGCGATTGTGATGATAAAGAAGGTGGTTAGTGACGAGAGGAACATGTGTGCAGAAGACAGATACAACAAAATCGAGACACACCACCGTGCCTCATCCTAGCCAACTTGGTATCGGCATGGGGTGATATATGTCGCACATGGGTACCTCTCACGGCTCAAAAGGATGCGCTCTGTAAGAGGGGCAACTGCATGTCACATTGGCAGTTGATAGGAAACCGCTTTCTCTGAAGGAAGGCAATACACACAAAGGCGGAAACTAAGGTTTTCAGAAGCTCAAGGCCAGCTCGAAGCACAACTGATCAAGCAGTAGAAACACCAAATCATGCCGTGACTCAATCACGCACATAATCATCATCAGTTGACTGCTGTGGATGATGGTACACGTGCGTATGCATGCAACCTTCTCGAGCCACACACACTGCCTCAAGTACACCACCGGCCCGGTTAAACGTCGGGCATAACCTTACCGTCGCCGGGACAATGACCCGAACATCTACCGCTTAGTCACGACTTGGCGGGGTGTATAAAAGGTCTCCTCTCCTCCCACTCCTTCTTGTTTCTTCACATTGCGTCTGATGGTCTTTACACTGAGGTTTCCAGTGTGAGGACAATCTTATGTAACCAGTTTTTAAAACCAGACCTTCAGAGCAATTTTGAAGGTCACTGTGTTGCCGGTATTACACCACCTCCGGTTGACGCGAACACTTTTTTTCATTGATTTGCTTGACTTTGGTCGAGTGATTGAGGAAGAAAACGCATCGATTCCTTGCTTGGTAGATAGTTGTGTGGTTTTTACCTTCAAGAACGCATCCTGAACTTTGTTGTTGTGGTGTTTTTGCCGTGAAATCCTTTCTACTGTCGTTGTGATGTTTCTGCCTTCACTTCCTTCCTACTGTTGTTGTGATGTTTCTGCCTCGACTTCATAACCTGTATATCACTTCAAACAAAACACTCACCAACCACAAGGATAACTCTGCCTGCCCATCATGCCCACCTTTCGTGCTCTTTTCCTGGAGCTTTTTATTGTTCGCCTGCTCCCGTTGCTGGTTATCGCTCTGGGACTCTACGCAACTCGGTGGACTCGCGAGCTGTTTCGCACCCGCGTACTCATTCCCATTGAAGACACTCTGTTTGGGCTTTTTGACTACCGCCAACGTATGCCCGCTGTACTCCACGCAGTTCGGTACCTGGCAGGTCGGCAACAACATCAGGAAGAAGATGTGGAGCTTCAGCTTTTGGTGCGTGTTACACCTTCACCTCACACAACTTCAATTGCTGACTACTTGTGGCAGCCACCACCACCAGAAGAGCCCTTACCAGACGAGCCCTCACCGGAGGAGTAGCGAGACTCGAAGCAAAGACCAGATAGTATGGAGGAGATGTGGCACGACGCGTTGGACCCAGTAGCGCAGTGAGGGTCTGCCGAGTTGCCCTGTTGGTGGGCAGAAGGAGAGGCTCACATAAGTGTTGGAGATGACATTGGGAACGACTACGGCTGGAACGATAGAACTGGAATACTATTGAATACTACCACGTCTTCCGTCGCACTCCTGCTGTCACATAACACTGCCGTGAACTTCTCAGGTCCCAAGCTGCCGTCGAAGTGAGTGAACGCAGAAAGTCCTCATCTACCACATCTTCAAGAGTTCTGGCGGCAGCTTTCATGTATCCATCCTCTTGGGTGTTGCTACGGTGAGGACATTTGGCACATAAATTTGGCACGGACAAGAGGTAGGTGTAATATTATATCATTTGTTCATACTACAATCTCTACTTGATATCTATCCTGGCACCAATCTATTTCGTGAAACCTTCTCATAGCACACCTGAAATCACTTTCAAAGGGGCATAACCCAGAGAACTCACCTGATGTTTGAGCCCGTCTTAGCTTCACCCCGTTGTTGAGAGTTACTAGACCCCAGCGGTGCGTTGACCCGCGGACTCGGTGCTGGGGGCTCTTTTGGCAAAAGCCGGGATACCCATATGAATGGTACATAGAAGCCCAAAGGCGAGACCCTTGTGATGAATTCTCAGCGGCGAGCACTGCGGTACGGTGATGACGTCCAGGGGTGGTGTGAAGAGCCACCGGCATCCCAGCGGCGAAGGTCGTTGAGAGCTGATGAGGTCAGTGAGCGCGTGTTGCGAGAAGGTGTTGTATGGTAAATCTTACTGATGCAGGTGCACTGCCGCACATCCTTCTCCGGTGCATGTCCTCGACAAGGTCGATTCTCGCAGTCCACGTGCTCGAAGCAGCCGCTGCCCGACATCAAGGTGGAGCGCGGAGGATCATTATCGCCCTCAACATGACGTTCAGGAACGGGAGGCTCCGCCGAGTCGACGGTGGTGGTTTCGACCTGCGGCGTACAGCCGAGATGGTGGCCAAGGTGACGGAAAGCGTTCTTGATGTAGTGGAGAAACGGCATATCGAAGGATTTAGGTATGACAATGACTTTTGAGAGTGTACTGCAAGTAAATCGTAAGATGTGTATCTGTAAGTGCGAAGGACGACCTTTCGACGCGACCCATTGCACAACAACGCAGTTTGCAACCGAAAACACGTGACGTACCGACCCATTTGCGCTCCAAATTTCACTTCCCAACTTCTTCTTGCACATCCCCTCCATCAGAACCACAAACTTCTCAGACCATGCAGGCAAGTATTCCTATCAGCAGGCACTGCTCCAGCGGTGTTGAGAGTTCACCAGTAACACAGACCGCAGGCTCTTTTGCAACCCTCCGCTCGTGGTAGACAACGGTCACCACAACAAGTCTTCAACAATACCCAACAAGCTAAGTCCCCCCTCCCTCAATTGTCCCAAAAAGCTCCATGAGGACGCGAAGTCCAGTCTGAACCATTATGACATAAACATTTATCTACTACACAAGCTCCATTTGCACTGACAGGAAACGTTGATTGCGATCAACGTTGTCCACGATTTTTTGGTTGTAATTGTTAACTACCTGCAGGAACTTTCACCTCGACCTACTGGCTATGCCAGACTCAGGTCATTTTGGTTGTTTGCCATCTTTGAGCATACATCAACGTGTCAATACATTTGCTGCAGGCTCTTCCATAGCCGTGTATGCATCACTATTGTTCACTAGATTGATACTCCAACTCAAGCTTCGCAAATGGGTACTGATGCAACTTTTGTCATACCTCGCACAAGCTGGATACATGTATAGTGACTGTTTAGTAATTTGGGCATGCTTGCACATTCTATATTCGTAGTCTCTCCCTTTCTATAACCAAGTCTGTTAAGCGGATGCATGGTCAAGTTGATTTCATGCTTTGTGTGACTTCGAAAGGCCAGTACGGGAGGAAATAATACACATTTATGTTGTTGAATCAATCTCCTTTCACCTGCGTACCGTTATGATGTTATCAATCCCGGCAAAAAGACTCCGTCACGCGCAAAGGTGACGTAGAACTTCCGCTTGGAAGCCAGCCTTGGCAAACAAAATAGTAGAGCTTCTCGTACCGACGTGAGACACCACCAACTCATCACACAACACAAGTACGTAGGTATTCTCCAAACTGCCATGTGTACCAGATCTCTAACATCAAACTCCTCTAGATCATCACAAAAATGCAAACCCCCACCATGAAGCACCAGTCGACCGCCGACCTCTTGTCCTGCAAGCCGGGCTGCGAGCGGATCGTAAGCCACCCCCAAGTCCGCCTTATGAACCATGTCTGACTATCTTCTAGCTCAAGCTCCTCGAACAGGAGTACGATCGCCGCCTGGCCAGCGGCACGCCGCCATACCGCGAGGTCATGGCGTACCTCAAGGCCAAAGAGGACAAGATGCGTCGGGTGGTCGACTGCGTGGAGGGCAGGTTGGCGCCGCGACTTGGGTAAGCTCCTTTTTCTAATACTTGAAATCCAGTTGCTGACTACGGACAGCGCGGAGGGCACGCGCAGGAGGGAGATGTGGGAGAGGAGGTTGGCTCTGGGTCGGCCGTAAGGCCATGTAATACTAGTGTAACACCACCAAGACAACTACACGATGACAAACTGGAAGCTTTTTACTATGCGTGAGGTACTGAGGCTTATCAGCCAAAGTTATGAAGTGACAGTATCTCGCCTGGTGAGACTTTGTAGTCGCTGCCTGCGTATCCCAGCATGATGTACCCCAGGTGGCACCAGCCCAGACAATCGTGTAGATGAGAACCGCAATAATCATGAGTCTTTTATGTATTGAAGCTATCCCTGATGAACCATAACAACTTTGAGTGTTGCCAGCAAATACAGCCTAAATACCTCCTCGGCGTCGCACGAATGTTGCGCGAATCCCATAATTTCAACCCATAGCCTTCTACCAGCTGATACTTGTGATCGTGGTGCGGAAGTAGAGTAGCCTAAGGATATCCATGCTACCTCATGTACCAGCTGTTCAGCCTTCGAAGGTTTCGCGGCTCCCTCCGCGCTGGCATATGCTTCCATATCATGCTCAATCTCCACGACCTTGTATAACTCATGACACATAGTAGGATGTGCTCGCCGAGTCACGAAGTTGGAACTATCCTTTGCCAGTCGTTGTGATGTCGCGCGCATTGCTCATCGCTCGAAGCATCGTCGGGTCCGCTCTCGCGACGAAGACAGTTCGGTCTGCAGCCTCCCTGTTTGGGGTCGCTCAAAGTGACAAAAGATACCCCCAGACGAGTGCAACTGGAGTCTCCCACTGTTTTCGTGATTTCCCCGTCGCGCAATATGCAATCTGCCCTTGAAGATGGTGCTTGCAGGCCTGATGTACGTGCCGAGATGTGCGCGCATGCATGAGCCGAGGGGCGACAACATCACGCCTCAGCCCACCAAACTTACGAAAGCGCGCCCTACAACGCGACAACCGCACCCAACCATCGAAACACTCGTCCGTGTTATTGAACCGTCTTCAAAGATGTTGTATAACATTACCAAGCTCTCGACGATACGAGGATTGCTTCGAACATTTGTGGGGTATGGGTATCGTCACGTGGATTTGCGGCACCACATGGAAAGGTTCGGACCTCGCGAACAGAAGAGGCTTGAAAACGAGTGTGTTGAAAAATGGGGGGATTCAAACTCTTTATTGTGGCATTATATGTAGATCCACTGCGGCATGGGAGCTTTGCTATCCTCGGGGTCTAGCGTGTGCGTTCGCGGGCTCGAACATGCGCGGGTATCGAAACTGGGTTTCGGAAAAATTCAAGCCTATCTTGTCAGTCTTTGAACATGCTGAGCATTTATCAAGTATTCCCGCGGAGTATTCCACTTACCATCCAGCCGAAGAGCAATTCAGAATGCCCATTGTCGCCCCTCTGCTAGCAATCGACTGGCTGTACCGACCGGACGCTCCCGATACCTCCTGAAGTACGGATCCGGGTGCATGGCCCAAAGCTCATACTCACGTCGAGGACAGAGCAACGGCCAGTCAGGCCCGAATTGAACCCCAGTGGGGTCGATGATGTACTCGGCGCCAGACCTGAGAACGACCAAAAAGGCACAATGTTGATGATGCCAGTATTCTTGCGGGCAGAACTTGATCTCCGAAACATGCAGTATATATCCTAGGGGGCAATGTCAGTCTCCCTTCGGTATCGGCTTGATTCAAAAGCTGCTCACGGCCGTCGTGCGTTCCCCATAGGTCTTCCCACCAGCACTGAAGCTGCGTCAGACTCCACTCGCACTGGAGCCTGAGAACGTTCACGGTTGTCCACCACCAATGTTCGGAGGCGGTAGAACCAGGCAGAGGAGAGGGCCATGCGAATGAGGGATCGGTCTCCGACCTGAACGAGACAGCCCAGTTGTAGAAATAGTCTTGCATCCGGCAGGCTAGGCGGCCAAGTTCTGCTTCTTCTAGAGCATTTCCGCGGTCGTGGATTGGGCAAAAGCCTACTGCCCGATTGCGGCTCTGGTCGTATATGCGGCCGCACGTGCGACACCGAGCGCCAACGCCCAGAATCGACGAGACCGAGTGATCGATATGATACTTCAGGTAGGTAGTAGCCATTGTGATGTGTTTGTTGTTGAGCACTCAAGTTGCGTAAAGTTACAGACTGGACCTGACAACAGGCAATGGATGGCGCCAAGGGTCATAGCGTCAGAAGAGCTCTCCATACAAACGCTACGTCTCATACTCAGATAGACATGAGAATCTTGGAAGCAAACTCTTCAAATTCGACAAATTACAGTATATATCCCCAGTACATTGCGCAGTCTGCAGATCCTCTGCTTACGATACTCAATCACGCGCGCAACCCAAGGTGCAGCATACAACCCATTAAGTCCGGCAGAAGATGATGAAAGCGTGCATCCCAGGAGACTCTCTGGGTGGTATTGACTTATGGAAAGCTCAGCTTCTTGGACTATAAGAACACAGAACGGCACGCAGGAAGAACGGCGCAGAACCCTTCATGCTGAACAAAGCGACAGACCTCCACCACAAGACCGACGTCTTACACTCCGAACTCGAGCCCCTCTCGACATGCGCACACGATACCTTTTTCGGGCATGACCATCCTTGTGCTGGGATATGTGGCGCTGTTGAGTTGGCCTGGCGCCCTCCACGTGCATTCCAGAGACAGAGCCCCGGGCCGACATGAGCTATGGAGAATGTAAAGGGAGGCGCGAGACATGACGGAAGTACGATGCGATGGCGCGGATATACAGGATGTACCAGAAAGGTCTGGCTGGCTTGATTTGGCGTGGGGCGAGAGCTGACATACCCAGAGTTTCGTAGGAGAGATCAACGATCCGACACGCATGCAACGCTGATGTTGCTAAACCGACCGCGGACCGTTCACTACATAAGCCCTACAACCTACCCACACCACGTGAAATCGCACCGGGACCGATGAATACACGAGAAAGCAAGCAAGGTCAAAGTTTTTGGAAGGAAACAAGCTGGGTCACGCAAAGGATCGGAAGCAATCACCAAACAAAGAAACATCTCGCGAGATGACCACGCCAAAGCGAACGAAGAAGACCATTTCAACGCCGTGGCTGACCAGACAAGAGGCATGAGGACCAGCGCTGAGCACGCGGGAGAGTGACTGGTGGGAAAACATGGTAGGTTGACCACTGACAGACGTAGAAGATGGAACAGGGCAGACATAATGGCCTCCACAAGACCCAGCAGTCGAAGAAACCGCACACGGGTTCTCTTCGCCAGCGGGACCACACACGAGTCAAGTTTTCATGCAATCTACTACACAGCGCGTGGATGCACGGTACCCACGAGCACCACGCGATAGCTTCGGAAATACCCATCACAGAGCGGTGAGGAGATCCGAATAGGGCTGACCACGATAGCAAGATATACGCCGTAAATTGTTCTGTTCCATGAGAGGAACGAGAGGGAGCAACTTGACCAGGCAAACCACCGGAGGAGGGGAGGGTGGTGAGAAGTGGGATCAGTCAGGGTGGCTAAACACGGAATTATGCAACGATAGAAGCCGTGGAGGATAACGCAAGGTAAAGGAAAGTGTAAGAAGATAAGGAGTTTGAGACGAAATGAGAACAACAGTTGACAAAACGGGATAGGCAAAAACGATGAAGACGAGAACCGCTCCTCCAACGGGAGAGCGACACCGAGCTGCAAACGATGGAAGTTAGGACAACGAAAGGAGAGCGTACATCGCGACTGAGAAAGAAGGCAAGGAGTGAGAAAAGATGGAGCATGCGTGCGAAGAAGGGATTTTGACGGGAGACTCAGCGGAAGGGGCAGGGGCTGACAACAACAGGAAAGAGCGACAAGCCGCCCACCATACACATGCGCGCGTCTCAAGCCACAAGCCTACCTTCCCATTATCCAGACCATAAACGCATCTACCCCAAGCCCATCCCAGACACGTCTCCAACCCCACACATCCACGTCCTCGCTTCGCCACCCCCCCGCAACTAAAAGCTTTCTACACGGCGCGGAACCAGCGTTACAACATCCCCGTCTCGCAGTCACATCGATCCCAGGGCCTTGATGGAGGAATAGGAAAGTGCGATCACGAGGCAGAACGCCCCTTGTTCTGAGGGTTCCATAAGAATGTTGGCGTGTTTCTGAACGCTTTTCGGCTGCTCTTTGGCGGGAAGGGACCGATAGCATGATTGTGAGGAAGTAGGTGTTGCGGAGGGAGAAAGTGATGGTACGGATATGGAAAAAGTGATTTTGTGGATATGGAAGGGAAGAGATTGAGGCGGGGGAGGGAGGGTGACGTAGACGATGGGTATACTCGACATGTGAGTCGGCGTAGAAAATAAAGGGGTTGAAAATACGGCACGCCATGGGCGGCTAGGAGTGTGGTGTTTGGGGTGACGGGAGACTTTCGATGACAACAGCGAGCAATAGACAAGATGAAATGAGGACGGTGACAGAGAAGGGGTATGAAGAGGGTAGAAGGAAGAGCAAAAGTAAAAGACGATACACAGCGCGCCATAGGCGGCCGGCTTGAGTGCACAAAACCTCGGACACCAAAACTCATCGTGCAGGGAACGAGACTGGGATAGCGAAAAAGAAAGGAAAAGAAGCGACCATCAGCCTCTCATACTTACCAAAGGATCTTGCGCCATACAATGATATGAATCACAAGGAGCCAATCTGACTACTTTTCCAGTAGCCGAACTTTGCCTTTTGTGATTTGGAAATGCGGTTAGTCGGACAATATGATCTCTAGTTTGAATGACCGGCCCATGTATAAGCATCATCTATATGTACTGCTGAAGAAGCTTCCTCAGTGATCTGGCAGACGGCCTCTATGAATAGCACTATTGAATGCAAAGCCAGCAGATGTACCCATAGATTTACAGTCAAAGATTGTATAGCATGTCGAATGTTGCAGACTTGTCGAGAGACAGTTCAATCTTTCGACTCTTATACATGTTACCTATGTCTACAATCAGTAATACCAGAGCTGTATGTCAGTCAGGGAAAAAAAGCACAAAATTCAGACACTATGTGTTCTGTCAAGGAGGGTTTCCGAACGCCTCCACTGACCATGGGCTCAGGTGACAACACCATGTTCATGATCGATTGACCTACCTTCCCCACGATGCGTATTGTCACAAACATCACGAGATCGATGTCTCGTTGCTACGCTTCGCGATGGTGCAAGGAAAAAGCTTGCAGGTCAAAGGTCCAGGCTCTCCGTGAGAGGTGTTGGCCGGAGTCAAGCTGCTCACCAGCCATTTCGAAGGCGGTACGAAGCATGACTGATTCTGGATAGCGAAATTCCTCAAGCAGGACATCCGAGAGGTTGCATATGCGGCAAAGTAGGGTCGGCGAAAGTGATGCAGCACTCCTTTGTCCCATGTAGGCATATGACTTGCGCAGTGATGCAGAAGTGAGGATCTCCTGGGTCATACAGCTTGGGTATCAATTCCTCTTTTGCTTTCGTTTGTAATTTTCTCTGCAGCGAAGAGGGAACGACATCGTCGTTAAGCTCCAGACTACGCTCGCAGGGCTATCCACACGAGAAAAACGCATGATCTCTCACTCCTTACGCTGCAGAGTCATGTTGTTCTCCGATTTCGGCATACATCCGTCTCAGGAGCAGTCTCGATATTTGTACATCTCTGAGCGTAGATGAAGAGATTGGTACACCTATGGCTGCTCTGTAGAAGTTTGCAGCTTAGCCGGGGAATATCTTCTCAGATCGCATGATGTACGGTGTACTGATTTGCTGGAGACTTGGATGCCCCCTGCACCAACAAGTTCATACACTGCACAGATGGAGGCAGTACTGTTCAGCGATCTGCCCAGCGCATCCAAGACGAGGAACAGTGCCAAGTACATAGACATCTTATCGCCGGAGCAGTGTTCTGACAGTAAGCTGGCATCGTCTGCAAGCCATCTAAGCCGTCTGCAAGTGCGATGTTCACGTTGTGAGCGCTCCAACTTGCCGCACACATTTGCTTGTCTCTCTACACTTGCTTGGATCGGGTGCCATCAGCTCTCCCTCTCCCAGACCTGGTGTTGCGGCTGTGTCACCACGAGACACCAAGGGTCCGTGCATAGGAGGTGGGAGAGTCGCATTGGCAAGCTGCCTTTACCATCGCCACCCTGAACACCAACACCAACAAACTCTTCTGAGAACAGCAACTCTTGTCCACCTTGTTTGTTACGTGGTTCTCATGCCATTGTAACCTTTTTGGTAAGCTCCTGAACAAGGCGACATCGATATCGGCATTTCAAACAGGTTGGCGATGATGGCGGCGAACAAACTTTGATGACAGCGGTCGCGACTCCTGGCCGACGCGATCTGGTACAGTCCTAGAAAGCTTCTATGGGACATGCGGTGCTTCAAGACACAGCAAGGTACGTACTGAATCCATTCATCGTTGCCGCCATGGCATTTTTCTTGAGGCGGGGTGATGCAGCTTCAAGACAACGTGTAGGATTCCACGAAGCCAGCGCCTGCAGACCGCCGCAGACCTATTTGGGTGACCTGAGGAGATGCAGGGGGCTCTCTCTCCGGTCATTGGGCCGCAGGACGCTCATCGCGGCGTGGGCTGCAGCTTGCCGTGGAGATGTTTGCTGACTTCCATTCTTGCAGCTTACTTCTCCGGCACTCATAACGGCAGCCACTACCTCCAGCTTCTTCACCAAAAGCCACCGCGCGAAGAAAACTCGTGGCCTGATGGCTTACTGTCGAAGCAGTTGGACACATCATCTCGCTGGCGAAGCTGCCCCACCATGGAGGCCATCACCGAACAACAGCAACGGCGAGTAGTCCGTACTAAAACGCATCGATGGCACCTCTGACTGACTGGACTACGTAGACTTATGCCTTTCAGCTCGACTGGCAGGACTCGCGCGCGGGTCGTCAACACCACGCTCCACACCAGGTCGACCCCGCAATGGACGGCCGACGCTCAGAACGGCAACACCCAGGCGCTCCTTCGAAGTTTAGGTTCCAGGTCCGTAAGTCGCCGGTTGCCGAAGCCGGGCTCTCTACTGACACGTCTCAGGTAGCTTCCCATGGACCACATCCTTCGCCTATGGCCAACGATCGAACGATTCGGTGACCTTCACGAAGGGTAGGAAAAGCTTGTTCGAGACTGCCAAACATCCGTGAACGCGTATGTCGACAACGTCAACGTCAGCGTCGCACAACAACTCATGTGCGTATCGCGTGATCCTGTCGTAGCCCTACATGAGCGTACAGTCGCGCGGGGTGTTCGAACAAAGGGTTTGTGCATCACCATGCGGCAGCCCCCTCGAGTCGTTGGAAAGCTGTGCCGGTCATACACAGGAAGACACGAAGAGGATTGTCCCTTTGTCAGCTTGACATCATGCCCGGACCGTTCGCCGGATTCGACCTCATCTGCAGCGAAAAAGCGCAAACGAGTTCGAAAAGCTGTCCCTGAGCCCATCCAGGCCATGATGAATATATGCTGGTAGTCCAGCAACTTGTGTGCGAGCCATTTCGCAAAGACTTCTGCACTGAGCCAGCCGAAGTGGCTCGGATGATACGAGGAATTATCCCTGATGTACGCCGCAAAGTTGGTAAGTCCATCAGTGTTGCACAACCCTCGCGGAACCCTGGGAAATACAATCGTGCGCCTGACATGCATGTCGCTGACAGATGGATCTCAGGTGATTTTCAAAAGCTCAGCGCATGAATCAGACCCACATCTCCATGTGTAATCTGCATAACGTTGGACCACATCGCTGCGTTCGACGAGGGACCTGCCAAACGACGCGACCGACTCCGAGCGCTACTTGGAGTCGTAGCCAGGCAGGCGAGGGTCCCTCGTCAACTGGCGACCCTCACTCTGCCACTCAAGCTGTTTGATGCATTGTTTACGCGAGATGGTCTAGGCATACATGCATGTTCAACGTTTGGTCTGCATCGTGGGTATCAGCACCGTGATGATCATTGTCTTCTTCGCTTGTGTCATCCGGAACCCTAAGCTTCCAGATACGCAGTCCATGGCTATGCCAAGGAGTTTGAAACGGAGAGTTTCATTCCTCTCGATCTCGAAAGGTATATTAAGGCTCGACCAGAGGTGACAGCGAATGCATTCACTATCAGGAGGCGTGATAGATAGCAAAGGAAATAAGAACAGCGTCAAGCTAGACCTTTTGTAGACAGTGAGTCGTATCCATTTATCAACTTTTATGCTTCGTGCTGACTTGAATCAGATAGAACGATCTATTATTAAAGCAAGCTCGCCCGTGAGATCTGTGGTGCAAACTTGCTCAGACTTGGAGGCGTATGAAACGACAAGGTGAGCCTGATTGTTGACGTGTGTAGAGCTTTGTTGATGCGCCCTACCGACACTGCAACTCCGAGTACTGCGAGATGATATCTGATGATACTCTCATGCATCCAGAGACGGACAGTGCCGCACTCGAAGGAAGTCCATGCACAATCCAGGATAGCTGTGTATGAAACCCCGTACCGCCATTCTTCTGCATAGTGATTCGTGGTAAGGAGAGTCGGAAGTCTTCCGCGTCGACGGCTGAAATGGTAGACGTGAGTATCTGTCTCGAAGTTTGATAAAGGATACTGATCTCTTTAGTCCTTCATCGTCGTTACGATCCCCGGGAAACCGAAGTCGTCTTACGAAGACTAGGCGTCTTTCATCAGAATCAGCACTGAGTTCAGCTATGACAACTTCCATCCTGTTGAGCGATGTTGGGGTTTGATTTGGACGTTGCTAACTGCTCCCTCTTGGTATAGCGCGCTTGATCGTGTGAGACCGTCATTGCTCCGGTTCTGCAGCCAACACCTGAACCGGTTTCAGACACCAAGAAACTCAAACGTGAGACGCCAATGGCCCTAAAACTCTCGAACGATGGTTTGGTCATTCATTCGTAGATGTGTCCTTACGACAATGACAACAACGGTACGGGTGTTCACCACAGCCATTGACAAACACATCTCCTGAATTTATGGTATGTTGCATGGTGCGCATTCGTACCCGCATCCTGTTTCCGACGCAGGTGGACTGTATGTCATACTGGCGATGTCGATGCTATCACTCTCTCGATTGAGTCGAGAGGATTATACCCAATCCTCTTCGTCAGTCGTTGAGTCGGATCGACGGGCGTGCCAAGATGTGTCTTGTATAATCACACATGGACACTAACTTGGCCGCCGCAAAGACAAAAGTTCGGTGGTCGCCCTGCCAAAACGTGTGTGGGGTAGACTTGCAGCTGCGGGGGTGAGAGACAATACAGGAGGCTGCATAATTTCATGAGACCAACTGTAGCTTGAGTCTGCGCCTAAGGTCAGTCCATATGTTTTATGTTTCAAAGCAGCATTGCTGTCGCTCGTGTGCGTTGCTGATCGTCGAAGAAGGTTGTTTCGACTGGACAGGTGAAGTCCGAACAACAGAATCTGAAGCGTAAACACAACTATAACTTACCGAAGAAGTCTATGGAGCTACTGAAGCTTATTCCAGGCTTATGTGAGTGTCGTGGTCAGTGCTGGGAGTTTGAGGGTGTGCAGCTTTACTTCGACCCGCGGAGCACGCCCATGCCCGGCCTCAACAGCTCGGTTATGCTTGCGAGGGTGCGCTGAAAAGACTATTGGCGGCTGAGAAGCTCCAAGATAGCACTATCGAGCTCCTGAGGCTGATCATGTTGCTCTTGTGAGTGGGTGAGGCTCGTAATATCGATTGGCTGCAGACGGAGGGGGTACGAGCGTGCCGGCCATCTGCATAGCCGGACAGCTCAAGAGAGTATGGTAACCTGATACGTAGGTGACAAAGTGTATCCGAAGCTCTGGCAACGATTGCGATGGAGTTGGGAAAGATGTTGTGAGTGACAGTTGTGGGTGTCGCTATGGAGGGGGTCAGCAGAGCTTGTGAGAGTCTAAGGCACAATGTTCGGTGTTAGCCAAATGCAAAGTCCGTGCCTCTACCATTCCGCGACTCCTCTCTCGAACTACCCCTCAAGTCAAGTCGCTCTTTCCCAACTCGCCACATTGGCGCTCCGGAGACTCCTGCCGTCAGTAGCAATGGCAGGCGCGGAGTTCAACATTGTGATCCTTTCTTCGAGTCCACCAGCTCCCGAGCTCTATTCTCCGCAAGATGCGCCACCGAGCAGTCAACGCGTCGCCATGCGCGCATACTCGCCATTCTCCCCTTCGCCGCCTACCAGCCCAAAGAGGTACTTGAATGGCGCGTTAGTTTCAGGCTCGAAGGCCGTGGTTGTTCCTCCTACGACTGCCAGGGGATTTGCCACCGTGGGCAGTCTCATGCGCTCCGAGCACTTTGCGCAGCCAATGGACGATGACTCTACGGACGCACAGCTGGTACAATCAAGAAGGGGGTCTCTAGAGGATATGGTAGAGGCGCCGCCTGCAAAGAAACCGAGGAAACGTGTTACGAAGGCTTCTGTGGCAGTCGAGGGCGAGCCAAAGTCAAAGCCACCGCCAAAGACACGAAAGGCAAAGGTCAACACAGACGATCACGAACTCCGCGCAGCGCCAACGAAATCTTCATACTTTGCTACTGCGGATGCGGAAACTACACTCGATGCACCAAACGAAGTTCCAACTACCGCTCCTAAACTCACAAAGGCAGGCAAGCCACGGAAACCGCGCACGAAGAAAGAGAAAGTCGAGGGTGTTACAGATCTCAAGCCCAAGCGAACGAGGGTCACAAAGCCTAAAGTCGCAAAGGCCACCGGGAAGACGCAGCGAGGGAATGTGCGCATTGTGTCTGCACATTTTCCTGACAAGGATGAACACAATGACACAACAGCAGAAGGACTGGCGGACAAGCACGTTGCTGACAATGAACCCTCATCGATATGGGATTTGCCCTCGAGTCCTCGACTGAGGAAACAAGCTTCGTCCAAACCACCTTCGGGTCCTTTGACAGAGGGCCTCGATCTCGATGAAGCGGTGGCGAGAAGACGGGATTGGACACCGCCGAGAGACACGAATACTACAGACTTTTCGACTCCTTTCACAGACTCAACGGGAAAGGAGAACAGACCTTTAGTGATGGACGCTAGTGCGAGCTTCGGCAGTATGCTGACCAGCTTTGCTTACGCCCAGTCGCCTTCAGCAAAACCCAAGGTCACTACGACCAAAACAATGATCGATGTCGTGGGATCAATAAAACGACGGCGAGCAGAGGTGTGTGCATGTGCGCTCTATCTCCATTGAATGTAAATGCTAACCTGCATGCACAGCCCGTCAGCGTACCCAGCCACAGCAGGAACTCGTCTCCGGAAAAGGGCAAAGCCCCCAAGAAAAAACCGCGCACTATCACAGATATCGTTACCGAACAATATGCATCAAAAGACCCAGCAACAGATCCCAGCACTGTGACCAGCGAATTCTTCCCAAGTCGGACAACTACAACGACGAAAAAGGTGCCTTTGAACGACACGACTAGCATCGATCCCGAGGCACCGTCAAAAAAGCCGCCTCGTAAACGCGCGACCTCCAAGACTACGGCTGAAAAGGCAGAACCTAAGGCGAAAGCCAAAAGGGCACCCGCGAAATCTAAAGCAAAACCCAAGCCTGTGGCTGAAAAACTGCTGAGCCCGGCTTCCGCAGTACTTCGGATGGACACACAGAGTATCTTGTTTGGAACATCAAGTCAACTTGCGATCGAAGAATCACCCACAACAGTGCGTCAGATTCAGCAAGCGATGAGGGAGTCGGAGCACGACGCTGATCTTCTTTCTGATATCTTTTCGCAAGCTCCTCCGCGCTGGCCGAAACTTGGAAAGGTGATAGGCCAGAGTAACTTGTGGGAGGCGAGTGCACGAGATGTTGAAGGTGGATTGCTCGAGCAGATGGAGGATGTATATATTCCCGAGCCTGATCGGACGCAAGATATTGCATTGCTCATGGATGGTGCACATGACGAACCTGACGCTGCGCCTGAATTTGTCGATATCGATGACCTTGAGCCTCCACTAGATGTTATCATCTCTTCGAACCCACCGACACCCCTGCACGTATCACAACATGTTTCGCCGACCATGGCTACGCCTGTGAATCATGCGAACGCGGATAACTACACTTTCAAAAACATCGATGACTTCGAGCAGGAACCACCACCCTCGAACCAGAATGCCAAGTCCCAGGACAGCTTCGCCGATATCGATGATTTCAACTTCCCACCGTCAGCCCAACTTCGCGTTTCGCCTTTACCAAAGGCAGTAGCTCCAGCACTGGCGACGTCGAACGGCTCGCCCAAGAAGCGTCGTGGTAAGCCTCCAAAGTCGATGTCTGCTGTACCCACAGTCACAGCATCGTCCGCATCGGCATCAAAACAATCGACTTCCAAACCCGCAGTGTCACGGGTCAAAGCAAAGAAATCACCACCTAGATCTCCCGCAACACCCCCAAAGTCTACAGGCCGCTTCATCGACATTGAGGAAATCCTCGACTCGGAAGACGAAGCACTTGAGATACTGTCCCCCACACCACCTCGAATACATAGCTCGCCTGACATACCACTCGCACTCACACCTAGACCTCCTTCGTTTGCGATCTCAACTCCGCCCTTACCCTCTACCGCTTCCATCGGTATCGCCACACCGACCACCACGGATGGTGTCACTAGGGTCCACCGCATTCCCGCCCCGCACCTCGAATACACACACATCAAACCACACCTCTTTGCGCAAATCACGGCTCATGTCCGCTCAATGACACCGACAACCGATCCGAAGAAACCAAACTGGCACGAGAAGATCTTGATGTATGACCCCATCGTTCTGGAAGATTTCACTGCGTACTTGAACATGTATACTTCGATCCGCTTGTACAGGCGCGCGACGCAAAAACAGGTCAAGGAGTGGAACAAGTTCCAGAAAAATAGAGCAGAGAAAGACGTGAGTGTTGATCTTGTTGATGGGGGAGGCGATGCGGTGTTCAGCATGGATGGCGATTTGCAGGACGTGCTGGCTGTGGAGAGAGAGTTGGAGGCTATCGTGGTGAGGGATTGGTGCGAGAGTCAGAGTGTGTGTGCGATCTGGAGTAAGGAGGGGAGGAAGAAGGGGAGTGCTAGGAAGGGTTTCTATTGATGAAAACTCACGGATGAGGTTTGTATAATAGACAGAATGAATGTGTTATGAAAGTTCTGGTGCGCTGGAGATTTGGGAGAGACAATGGCACGAACCAGTCTCGTATTCACGTGCGGCATCTTAGCTCCACGAAATGGGGCTAGCGTCATAGATCTAGCGTCATTCTAGAGCTGGTCTGACGGACTCACCTGCATCCACTTCTTGTCACCGTCTCATCCGTACATGGAGCAATCCTCTCTTTAACATGCATGGGTACTTGATCGCTGCGCTACGGTCGAGCTCACATCCACACGCTACAGTCTCACATCTAATTCCACCATGACGCAGACTGGCAAGTGCGATACCTGCCGACAACGAAAAGTAAAAGTAAGGGTGTTTCTATCTTGTTTTTGATGACTCTGATGGAATTATCGTAGTGTGACGAGGAGAGACCAAAGTGTGGTGCCTGCAGGAAGAAAGACAGGCCATGTGCATACTCCTATGGAAAGGCTTCGGCTCTTGTAGTGCAGGATCCAAATCAACTGACGAAACACGGGAGATCAAAAGTTGAGCCAGTCGTATACGCTCTCAATTCCCCAGAAGACGACATCAGTTCTACGGGCTTCGTGTCATCCAGCCTCCTACTCACGACGGAAAGAGAAGCCGACCATGGCAAGGGTGTCTTTCGTACTCTGGCTTCATCATCAAAGCCGAGAAGCCGAAAGGCGGCGGGAATTCAGAAGAAGAAGCTGGAAGCCTACCTGCAGCATCTACACTCCCAGTCTGCCTTGACATGGCATCGCCCCTCGTCTTTTGAATCAACGCTCATAGCCCGGTACATCGATATGCTTGGTTCCGGCCCGGTGAGCCAGCAGCCATTGTCCATTCTGGGAACTTGGATCCTATCTATACCATCGCGTATCGGCTCGAACCGCATGCTTGATCTTGCAGTTGAATTTCTCATGAGCAGTTATGCCGCGTACTGGGACAACTCGCATTCGAAACGAGCAGTGGCCCGAACTATCAAGGCGAAGGCGCTGAAAGAGCTGCAACTCGTAGTTTGCGATGCGAGCGAAGGGGCTACGTACGAGGTTCTTTTGGCGACGAAGATGCATTATGCCGCAGAAGTATGTTTCGATAAGTTGTCCATGAGAAATGATCATGCTCATACATAATAGGCTCTCTTAGGCGTTGGCTCGATGTATCATGCGATCCACGCCTTTGGACTTGCAGAGTTACTCAAATCTGGCGCGGTTGCGAATGTCGACGATGATCATTTCTGGAACCTCATCGATAATACGTATATCGACGATGTGAGTAGTCTACGTATATCTCAACTCCGACTCATCGCTTACTCGTGCAGGTCAATGAGGCGATGCTCGCAGGCCGCAAATCGGTCTATGACAACGAGTTTTACTTGTCCACAACGTACCCACCTCCACGCTCTTCGAGTTTAATGTCACTCACTCCAGTTCAGAGGGCTTCAATGGCTATCATGCACGTCTTTATTCAGTGTCCACGCTTAGTATATTTAGTACGTCATGCCGTCTCTCACCCTGACGATTCAAGTGCTCTCGCATCCGCTGTATCACTCGCAGAATCTCTCTGGCAAGTTGACCTGCCAGACCAAGTATCGGATTTCCTCAAATCATCTATCACGACCACGCACAAACCATCGTTCCCAGAGACCGCAGATATCTTGCCTGACTCGTTGCACTTCGACTCCGTTCAAAGCATGATTCTCTGTACACGGTACTGGATGTTACAGAACGTGCTCTGCGGACTGACAGACACCCTGCATCGTTATTTTCCCGTAGAAGTAGCCTTGGCTATGTTACCCGACCCTGAAGCTCGGCGACGCATAGATGTTGATGCGGGGCTGCAACTTGCAAAGTCGCTTACATGGGCGGAATCGGTGTCAAGAGAACTTCCGCTCGTACCGTTGCGTCTGCACACTCCTCTCCAGATATCCATCGGCCCGTGGTATAGAACAATTCGACACGCGGGATCCCTGCATTCCAGTGGTATGAGTCTGAGTCCGGAACTCGAGTCCGAGTTGTCTCGCGCATATCGTATGAAGGCCTTACTGATCAACGAGTGCAATCGCATTCACAAACAATGGGATGTCAGCACCGTGGATGAGGATCCCTTGATCGAAGCACTGGACTCCATGGCGGGCGAGAAGATCCCGGACTGGCTACCAATACGCGTCCGCTTCGAGACTGAAGACGGAGAAATGGTGATGAAACTCGAGTACGAAAAGACATCTAGCTCCCATCAGGAGCGCGTCACACTAGGCGGCGAAACCCCAATCACAACTCCATACTCACCGCCGACGTTTGAACAGCATGGCAGTGAGTGCTGCGGCTCGTCGACATACGACCTTCCATACCACACTGCACCCAGCGATGAAAGCTACAAGCCCCTGATAGCAACAGCAAGCAGCGCGCAAACCAACCCTTGTATGAGTCCAGGTTGGTCCGCATCCCCCCGCCCAGCAGATTTCCTACACAGCACAGGGCGAAACCTCTGCTCAACATCCGGATGGTGGCCAGACACATCGCGCACCTCGACCGTGCTACTCGACAGCACACACAAAGCCTCCGCGTTCTCAAAGCGCGACCCAAGCCCATACATAGCACCAAGCTGGTAGCCACAAGCGCCAAAAACAAACACAACACCATCAAAGCAGCAATAAATCAATTGAAAAAGCCTTACCTAACCCCACCCCCACCCCCCATCAATCAAACATATTCCACCTCCTCAACCCCCGCCCTAGCCTCCCTCATCATCCTCGCCAACCGCTCCTCTTCCATCGCCACGCCCTCCATCCGCAGCCGAAACTTCGCCATGTCCTCCTCGCTCTCTACTACTTCCTTGTCCCCGTGTGCCTCCCCGTTAGTGTTACTGCCCAGCCCCCATAGCACTTTCAACCCGCATTCCGCGCATACGAGGTCCTTTTTCAGTAGCGCGCGGGGCGTGTCGCGCGGCTTGTGGACTTTGTTTAGGGTTCCGCAGGTGGGGGCGCGACACTTGAAGAGGAGGGTTGTTTTGGGGAGTGGGGAGCGGCTGTGCGGTTGAGTGGTGGGTTGGGGAGGGGTGCGGGACGTGGGGATGGGGACGCGCATTTTGGGCTGGTTAGGGTTAAGTTGGTTGTTGTTGTTTGTAGTGTTTGGAGATGGTGGGTACTTTGTTCGTGTGCGTATGCGGATTACTGGGAAAGTGGAAGTTGATATACATATACCAGTGTTTTGCATTGTGATTATACGTGTTGTTTGGGTGTGCACGATGAGATTCTATAATTTAGTAGCTGGCAAACATTGTCTTTGGAGGATGTGGGATGGTGTCGTTGAGCTTCACGCATTGTGATGGCAAGTCGTTGTAGAGGCGGTATCGATGAGTGTGAGAGTTATGCCTGGTGGACATTTCATTGCTATCACTTTCAATCTTAGATCTACAGTACAAATCACATTTCCACATACCAACACGACTTCAAATAAGCACCTCCACCATAAAACAGCAAACAGCAGTATCATAACAGAGGTATCATTTTCTAACCACAGCAAAAATGCGTCAAGCAAGCACAAGCTAAAGTCCCTAGGGACACTTCCAACCACCACTTCCATTACAGACACTACCCCCACCTCACAAAAGCCCATCCCTCCTGCCCCGGTCCAGCATCTCCATCGTGCCCCTCATCAGTCGTTCCTAATGACTCTCCCTCCTCTCACCCTCGACCTGGCCCTGCATAACCTCCCTTCCCATACCGATCTGCACATTCGCGTACGGCCCCATATACTGCTGTGGGGCTGGCGCCAACGCAGGCGGGTGTCCGCTGCTCCTCGGTCTCGAGGCGTGAGGGCCGTATGGACTCGGGTACGTGGGCATATGCTGGAGGGGCATGGGCGCCGGGGCGAGGGTCCGCGGGCCGGGGTACGGGTTCGATGGCAGGGCGGCGAGGGGCGAGTACTGCATCATTTGATGCGGGGGTGGCGCGGAGACATACATGTAATGCTGGTGTTGGCCAGGGGGCATGATATACATCTCCTGCTGATGATGTTGGGGATGTTGATGAGACTGTTGATGTTGGACTTGCATGGGCGATGTATGTTGAGAGTCCGGGGGTGGGTATTCAGACACTGGTGTTGCTGGGGCTGCTTGGGCTTTGCTCGCTTTCTTGCCGCTTGAAGAGGTGGGTCGGGATGGTGGTGCTTTTGCGGGGACTACGCCGTTTTTGCGGTCTTCTTCTTGTTTGCGTGCTTTGCGCTCTGCCCACCAGACGGTCATGCTGTGGCTGCGCTTCTCGCTCTTGACTTTCGGTTTGCGCCTCGATCCAGACCCAGAGGCGTAGTCTTCGACGTAGTTATTCGTGTACTCGCTCAAGGGAGCCGTTATCATGTAAGAATCTGGTATGCTGAAAGTTGGCGGGCGCACCATGGCTTCGTCGTGTGCAGCGGCAGGATGCGGCGTTGCTTGGAAAACCGTCTCAGTAGAGTTTGGTGCCAGCAGAGGTTGTGTGTCTGGAAGGCCTTGGGCATCGAGAGTAAACTGACCTTGACCTTGACTCTGAGACTGCAGTGCAGGCGGTGGAGCGTTAGGGCCATGTGCTGCCGGGATCGGCGTACTAGCCTCACTGGTCTTCTTGCGAGGACCCTTCTTGATGCCAAAATCGCTGCGTCTGTTGACATTCTTACTGCCAGCAGGACGACCTCGCTTGGGGTTTGCGTCGGAGAAGTCATCAACTTCCATGACAGAAGAACCCTCCTCGCCAGAACTAGTGACGGCTGATTCTTCCCGCATCTCTTGTATGCGCCTCTGAAAAAGTAGAGCTGCTGCTGCCTTTCCTCGCTTGGCGGTTCTGCCTTCAGGTTCTGGAGTCTCCGACACCAGTTTTGCGAATCTGCTGACACCCTTCTTACGTGCGCCTCCCCATCCGTTGTGTTTCTTTGGAGTGGTAGATCCCGTGCCTTGCTCTGTACCGTCAAACCTGTGTGGGGCCTTGCGTTGTCGCTTCGTAGGGCGGCCTTCGTTGTCTTCTTCCTCCTCCTCTTCACTGGGTGCAGCCGAGTCCAGCATATCACGATTGCGGCGTGTACGGAGCTCCCTGCCAGCGTTTTTCTCAGCGCCTGGTCGTTGTGACCAAGGGTCTTGGCGACCTGGTGTCTTCCTTCCGTCGTAGGTATAGCCATATAGATCGGCTTCCTTGATGTCTTCGAAGATTTGCGTGTCTGCAGGGATGCGGCCGCCATGACAAGGTTTCTTTGCCGGGTTTAGAAGAGGCGCAGTCTGGGATGTCAGTGATCAAAACAGCAAAAGATCTGTAGCTTCGCTTACCTTTGCGTCCAGCTCGAGATACTGGTCTTGCCAAGCTTTGAGAATCCTTTGCGTGTTCTCAGCCAATGCATGGAGACTCTCGGTACTTCGCCGAGCGAATGTATGCTTGGTGAGCGAGGCAATAATGTCTTGTACGTCAGTCATAGGGTCGAACTTGGTTCGTAGCAGATAGTCCGCTCTATCATCACACTCTGCTTCTGTCGGCCAAGGCGCTCCTCCAATCCAAGGTTCGGGGAGATCTGAATCTGACAGTTCATCGTCTTCGGGGTCCAGCATTTTGAGAACTGGCATAGGCGTTGAAGCATACTCTCGAGGCGTCTGGGGAGCTGATTTTGACAGAGCTATTTTAGGAAGCAGACGAGTTTTCACGACTATTGGTGCTGGCTCCAATTGAGGCTCCACGGATGCTGGTCTGAACGTGCCATCAAGAATAGACTCTTGAAGTCCGGGAGGTGGCGAGCCTGCTGGTGTCGTAGATCGAACGTGCGCCCAATGGGTCAATTCGTCTTCGTCCTCGCTTTCACTGTCTTCATCTTCGACGGCTTCTTCATTTGCGTCTTCATCCTCCGAAGACTCGGTCATAGAGTCGTCTTCGTGTGGTTGAGGCGAGGGCTTGGCGCTTTCACTCTGATTGGCTTCGGCCATCGCAAGCATGAGAGCAGCATTGCGAGATGGGTTTGCTCGTGCAGAAGTGGTCGTTTTCGTAATACCACCTCTTGCACGGCCGCCTCTTCCTCTGCCTCGACCTCCTCCTCGACCGCGTCCTCCACGACCACCACGACTGCCACGACCGCCACGTCCTCTTCCTCGCCCTCTTGGCGTCGCATACGATACTGTTGGTGCTTCAACTTCACTTTCGTCTACGCTGTCTTCTTCTGATTCAGATTCTTCTTCACTAGTAAGCTCCGCCTGTGGCAAAGCAGAGACGAGCGCTTTTCGTTCCTTTGGGAGCTTGCCATGGTGTTTCTTAAGGCCATCAAAGAACTCGCGTGATAAGCCAAAGACCATCAAAAGAGGTTCCTCGTACGAAGCGTAAATTTCAGGTGGAGCTTCAAAGGATTGACCTGAATGATTGCTCGCTGAACGCGTTGTTTTTCTTGCAACGTTTGGACTGAGTTTGTTGGGACTTGGATATGATGGTGCGACATCTGCTCTGTCTGATTTTAAAGTGGCTGGCTTTGATCCTCGACTTGCACGGGTCCGGGCTGCGCTGTCATCTTGCTGAGAATTGCGCCGTTGCGATGAACGCGCAGATAAATTACGTGGAGGAGGCATCGGCGAAAAGAATCGATAATATTCCAAGGTAAGAAATGCTTGAATAGTTGGCAGTGTTGAACCGAGATGATGTCTGCATGTATGGTTCCAGGGAGGCGTAGCGCGCAGATTGCAGGCCCGTCAGGGTGAGAGAAAAAGCTCAGCAGCAGAAAGGAATGGATCGATTACGCAACAGCAGAACAAGCGCGCATGGTGCGGCGAAAACTTGAGAGAAAGGCCGAATATCAGGCAATGATTTCAAGATGAATGGTGAGAGAGGCGATGTTGATGATCTTTGTTTCCGTCCGTCGTGGCTGCTTCAATTCAAACCATGGTCTTGGCGACCGAGGCTTAGGCGCCAATAGGAAGGCCGCACTAGTGTTAGCGGCATATCATGCTCCCAAACAACGAGGCGTGGTGTTATTGCGGGTAGATACAGATGCTACTTACTTGCACCACGATTGACAACTGCAAAACTTCTCGTCTATTATAAACTGCTTTATCTTGACACCAGTCATGCCGCCAAAAACAGTCGAAGAGGACCTCGCCGAGCTTGAATTGCTGGCAGAGGCACCTGCAGCTCCCCCGCCCAAGGTCAGGGCATCCAAAGCTCCACGACAAAGGCAGGCCCTACCCGAATCGACATCAAAGGATCTGGACGATCTTGAGGCTCTTGGCAAGTTCACGCCAGAAGTCCCGCGACCGTCTAGCCGCCCAAACACGCCCAAACCGTCAGCAACGTCATCCACAGCGTCAAGCAACCGTCGTGGCATAGCGACTCCTTCTTCATCCGGATCGGCGCGCACGAGTGAGGACAAGGCGACACTACCGAGAAAGTCGGGGGAGAGTGCGCGCTCGTACCACCAAAGCTTTGCGCCGACTCGGGAGGAGCCCGCCAAGGCAGCACCCACACACGAAGAGCCAAAGCAGGGAGGCTCATGGTGGGGAGGCGGCTGGGGAGGTCTGATCTCGACGGCTACGGAAGCTGCCAATGCTGCGAAGAAACAGGCCGAGGCCGCCTATCAGGAGATCCAGAAGAACCAGGAAGCGCAGCGGTGGGCTGAGCAGGTGCGCGGCAATGTGGGCACGCTTCGCGACATTGGTGTGTCTGCATCGCTTAACGACACTACAAGACAAATTGCTAACATCACTCAGGAGGAGAGCTGGGCAGTCGCGCCCTCCCCACATTCACAAACATCCTCAACACCCTCGCCCCGCCCATCTCGCAGCACGAACGCCTGCAAATCCACATCACGCACGACCTGATCGGTTACCCATCTCTCGATCCCATAATCCACCAGTCCTTCTCCAATGTCATGGCGCAGGTCGAAGGTGGTGACCTGCTCGTCATCCAGCGCGGCACCGAGTCTACACAGCGCAGCTCAGTCGACGGGTACAGGGGTGGTGGTGGAGGCTGGAACGACGGACCGTGGTGGCGCCAGACCGACAAACGCGACCTGAGCGTGGTCGAGGGACTGGCCGAGGGCACAAAGCTGACCAGGGTGAGCGCCGAAGCATACGCGAACGAGTTCTTCGCTGCAAGGGGTGGCGTAGAAGCTGCTGCAAAGCAAGCCACACAAGCCCTGAGCGAGACCAACCCCGTGCGGAGCAGCGACATCTTTATCGCCATCCAAGCTATCAGCTACGAGGCGGACGATGAGCTGTTCGGTAGTTCTTCGTCAGAAGAGGATGAAGATGAAGACGATGACGAAGATGACGATGACGAACAAGTCCTATTTGCCATCTACCTCCACGACCCCATCCACAGCATCAGCTTCAAGGCCATCAGTCAGGCCTTCCCATCCAAGTGGGTGGAATGGCTGGACGCGCCCGCCAACACAGAGGCAGCAGGCGAGGAACTCCAACTACCCGACGAAATCCAAGAAATCATTGAAAACGGCGGCGTTGACCCTCGCGAGTGGGTGGCTGAGTGGATGGAAGAAGCCATCAGTCTAAGCGTCGGCATCGTAGCCCAGCGATATGTCGCGCGCCGAATGGGCGTTGGTGAGGGGGGCCTGGGGAGAGGGATAGTGCGCGAGACTGCTCTGGAAGCAGGCGGGGGAGAGGCTGCACGAGCGGGTATCATCTGAGAGGGTTCATCATGATTGACGCGAGCTAGAACGGCAGACAACAGGTGCCGTTATCATTGGCACACTTATGAATTCACGATCATTGTCCCTCTGCAACATAACATCCACCACTCAGATGAAGAATATTGCAGATTGTAAGCCTTCTTCCTTCAAGATGACCTTATCCCGCCGCAGCAAGCCCGATGGCATGTGAACGTGGATCCGTCGCCATTTCCCCGCAATCCGCTACACCGTCTCCAGCCTAGCGCCAGGGCCCCACCCAACTATTTCGAAATCTCGACGCGAAACATTCGCAACACGCATCGCAGCAACAGCAACCGCCACAGCACCACCCACCACTCCACAACGTCGTCCCCGCTTCTCCACAGCACACTCGCACACGTCTCGAACCACCTTCCTCGACGCAAATCCCCCCCACGCAAAAATGGCCCAAGGCGCCGTCAAAAAATCCAAACCAGCCGCCGCGCCAAAAAAGTCCGTCTCCCGTCTCCCCCTCTCCCCACCCCATCCCATCCCATTACCACACACTAACACCCCACCCCACAGATCCACAGGCCCCAAACGCCTCGGCGGGCGCGTCATCAAGCCCAAGAAAACATCACTCGTCACGCAGAACCAGATCAAGAAGAAGAGCGCGGCGGGGCTGGTGGGCATGACGGAGAAGTTTCTGGCTGAGAAGGCGGGGCATCTCGAGATCTTGAAGGGCGGGAAGAAGGATCGGCTGGAGAAGGAGAGGAAGGAGAGGAAGGGGAAGTTTTGAAATTGGGATGGGGAAGGAGGGAGACGGAAAATATGGAGAGGGATGAGAGGGGTATGTGGCTTGATGCCATGCTAGGGGGAAAGAATAGATATAGAGTGAGATGGTAGAAGGGGATTAGAGGCGATTGGAGGTGATACCCACACATCGGTCTGTACCTCGCACACACACAACTACGCGGGAACATGTTTAGCGTTGTAAGAAGATATATGGATACGAACAAACAACATATCAGAGAAGGAGACAGACTCGTCAGTGCTATGTGGAGATAAACAGAAGACTTGATCTATGTTGAAAGCATGATCTGTAGCGGATGAAAATCAACGATACCTGATCACGATCGCTTGCTTTTCCATACACGATCGAGTACTTGTCACGGTCATTTCTTGCGGGCGGAATCTTGTTATGCACACGATTGTATGCGAATCTCTAGATGCGCCGATACTCCATGCAGGGAGAGGTAGAGCTCCATCATTCTCTACGACGGCTTCTGCAACACCATGCCAATGTGAAAGTAGACCAAATAACGCTCAACAGCCGTGCATAGTGAGGAAAGCATCACACGCACGTTGGCATTGGCATGTAACAACCAAATGTAGATGTGACAGTACGACTCGATGTTATATTCTCCACCTCATAGCATCAGAACGCGAAACTCGGAATTCCAGACCAAACGCCTTGCTGAACGCGATAACCATCCACCAACCATCCACCATCCCCTCAGAAAGCAGCACCAGCACATATCACCACCGACTTCCTCCTCTGCATCCACTCTTCGCCACAAATTTCATGGTCCTTCCCAATCCCCTTCAAGGTAAAGGTCCCTCCCCTCCACTCCCACTCCCCACCGCAGCACCCGAGCTCCCCGGCCCCTTGCCCGCCTTCCTCCTCATGCTCTTGCTGCGGTGCGCGTAGTAGTTCTCCGGCTCCTTCATCTCCGCCTTATCGATTTGGGCCTGCGAGGGCTGGAGTTTGTTGCCCGAGGACGAGGAGAGCTTGCTGGCTTTGGATCCCATTGCGGTGGATGAGTGTATGTGTGTGATGGTTCGATGTGAGGCTGAGGTTTGGGGGAGGGAGGTGTTGAGCGGTGTGTGGGTGGGTTTGAGTGGTGTGGTGTGGTGTGTGTACTGCAGAAGAAAAGATTAGCTATGTGACACCGCAGCGCAGATAACAAAAAAGCCAGCTTCACATTCCGTCTCCACACTCGCACGACGCGTGGCGCGTGCGTAGCTCCAACGGGACGGGGCTAAGCTGGGCTAGACTGGAATGGAATAGACTTACTGAGGCGCAGCAGACAGGCAGACGTAAGTACACACAAGCAGATGTGAAAGCAGGTTTCCTGTTGACTGAGATGCTGAAACACGGCAGTCGATATAAAGTAAATAGGTGGGTTCCGCGGCAGTGGAGAGCGCGTATGTGAAGTCGAGTGTTTAGGCAGCTGGAGAAAACAGGGCGCTAGGATGCGCAGTCAGCGAGCGTGACATACGTCAGGGATTTGGCCATACGATCTGCAGGGTCCAGAGCGGTAAGTGGCTAAAGATAGACATTGCCAACGGGCGCCAAGGCGGTGGGATGTGAGGTGATGATGATAATGATAGTGATAATGCAGTCAGTATGTATTGAACATGCAAAAATGACTCATCGACTCGTCAAGATCTGCACTGTGTGAGAGCATATAGGTACACTTTAACGGTATGCACGCTGACGGCGAGGATTGAGGTTACACAGAGAGAATTGCATGGGCTGTTTACCGCGCTTTGCGAGGTGTGGTGCTGGTATCTACTGGATACGAGAATAATGAGTTGTGCAACGTTACATTACGCCGTCTCCCTCCCAATGCCCGCTTTGTATCGCGCAAGACACCTCTCCCTCGCCATCTTATGCTCGACAATCGGCTCCGGGTACCCATTCTTCCTCGCAATCCCCGCCGCGATCCCGCGCTTCGCGTAGGGATTGTGTATCTCCACCCCCTCAACTTCCCTTAGCTCCTCCACCCACTCCCTGATGAACGCCCCGTCAGCATCGAACCTCTCACTCTGCAGCCATGGATTGAACACGCGAAAGTACGGCTGCGGATCCACGCCTGTCGAGGACGAAAAACCCCAGCCGCCGTTGTTGGACGCAAAATCCCCGTCGATAAGATGCGTTATGAAGTACTGTTCGCCTAGACGCCAGTCGAGGAGGAGATGCTTGGCGAGGAAGGACGCGGTTATCATGCGGAGCCGGTTGTGCATGTATTTTGTAGCGTTGAGGCAGCGCATTGCTGCGTCGACGATGGGGTAGCCGGTGCGGCCTTGTGTCCAGGCCTGGAAGTGCGAGTCGCTGTATTCCCAGTCGATGTTTGTGTACTCGAATTTGAAGGGTTTGTTCATGCTGGCGTCTTGTTAGCTGACTTCATTTATACCCGTTGAGATATCAGGAGTTGGTACACACCAGGTGTACGGCCAATGCACGAGGACATGGCGGTAGAAGTCTCGCCATGCAACCTCGCTGATCCAACCTTTGATCCCATCGTTCCCACCGTCAAGCTTCTTCGCTGAGTTGACATCTCTCGCTGTCCTGACACTTGTCCGCGCCGCCAGCGTACCAGCTGCGTGGTGCACACTGACCCTCCCTGTGGTGTTCAGCGCCGGGAAGTTACGTGTGGCTGCGTATTGGCGGACCTTCTCGGCCAGGAAGCGTCCGAGGCGATCGAGGGCTGCCGCTTCACCTGCTGGCCACATATGTCCAAGTTGATCCTTTTCTTCTGGAGATAGGCGTTTGGACTCCGGCGCCTCTGGGATATGAGAGTTGAAAAGGCTGCTAAACTTTTCGCGGAAGCCTGCAGGGTTCTTGGACGGCATAGGCCGCTCCTCGAGTAGCTGCGGGTGAGCGTGGAGATGCGCAATCCACTGTCGAAACCACGGACTATACACTGCGTACTGCTTCCCACCGCCTGTTTTAAGGCTCCCCGGCGGCACCACGCAATCGTCATGGTAGGGGTCGAAACTAACGCCTGCTTCCAGCATCAATCGCACAAGCCTTTCTTCTCGCCGCAGCTCATCTGGCTCATACTCCAGATTGCAAAATACACTCTTAACATTCCACTCCTGCGCCAGCTCCACCAATCGCGTAGTGACATTCCTTCTCTTCTCTACTGTCTCGACATACAGCGGTATATCCAGCTCATCCAATTCCCTCCTCAAGCACTCCACAGATCGAAGCTCAAAGTCGCATTTCGCAGGGCTAACCAAATGCGCCTCCCAATCCTGCGGACTCATAATCCAGACACCAATCACGCCAACACCCTTCTCTTTCGCAAGCGTAGCGGCTTGCGACAAACCAGTGTTATCCCGCACGCGCAAGTCACGCTTAAACCAATGTATCACCGCGTCGCCACCCTTCCCCGTCCGTATCGCCTGCCGCGCCGCATTCGTCTCTTCCAACGTGTTGTTCAGAATCTCAATCGGTCGGGGTATCTCGTCGGCGTTGTACATTGCGCATCGCTCGTTGCTCATCTCGGCGGGATAGTAGCGTCTGTCTACGATGCCGGCGCGTTCTTCAGGCCGCGAGTGGTCGAAGGTGACTTCTTCCTTCTTGATGGCTTCCCCAGGTGCGCCATTTTCAGTGTTTTTGGCGATTGCTTCGGTGGGTGGCGCTATGATTGTGAAGGCTTTGGGGAGAGGCTTCGAGATGCGCGAGCGCTTGTTTGGCGCGTCGCCGGAGACGTCTGTGTATTCCGCGGCTATTGCGGCGTTGGATGCTGCTTTGCGTTTTGGGGGCATGGTTCTTGTGCTTCTTGAGGGTATGGTAGTCTTAGGGTGGGATACGAATGGCAGGCGCGTGGTGAGTGAGGCGCATACGATTGAAGCTGGTTATTCACAATGGCGTCGTTGGAATTCGTGTCGTCGCCTGCAAAAGGTTAGAGGTAGAAAACACGCGTACCGCAACGGTTTAATGAATGATAAAATGAGAGAAAGACCAGGAAACCTCCTGAACCACGCGCTCGAGTTCATGACCGCGCTTAAGCCCTGTCGATCTATGACGCAGATCGGATCCACCCGTCGATTGGCGAGCGCACCCCTGTCATAAACTAGTGCGTGAATGGGTACGCGATGATCAATTCGCTGTCGGTTTGTGGTTGATTATTCTTGCTGATCAACACTCTTGTTCTGTCGAGCTTGTGTCGGGACAACAGGTTCTCAGAAACGAAGGGTGAGTGGCCGTCATTCGAGATTTGTTTGTGTGTGTGCTCAGGGCCACAAGATGGTGTACGAGTACCTAGGATATAAATGGGATTGTAGCTCCGAGAAGACGTGCGAATACAAAAGTAAGAGACTGACAGTTGGATTACTTGCCGTAGCCACGACTGAACTTGCAGTTTCCAAACTGGGAACAACTTTTGCTCGAGGACGTCATGCGTCTCATACATGGATTATATCACGAATTCAAAGGTAGGTTGAGAGTGTGTAATTCAAGAAGAATAATATTCTGAACTGCTGTTTATCACCTATGTAGTCCTTCGTTTTCAGTGTTGTAAAGAGTCATTCTATTTGCTGTGTTAGTCTAGATTGACAAGAGGGGATAGTACCATACATAGTTCGCAGAACCCATCAAAAGCACATACCCATCATGACTATGCTATGCTAATCATGTTGCCCATGCTCGACTCGTAACTACGCTGACCTATAGTATTCAAGCTTGTCGCGCTCCAGAACCCTCTTCGCGCGTAGCCTTGCTTTTCCTGGGACGCGATTTATTCTTGACCGACTAGCGTTTTCAATGCTTTGTATGATGGGGGATAGAGAACCATTCATGGGGGCGCTTGATGGAACGGAAAGTCTTGGTCGGGTTCGGATCTGATGCTTCCTCTTATAGTTTAGAGATCTTCTCAAGGCTAAAGAAAATACCCTTCTAATTGGGATTGACACTAGTAGAATGCGCGTTCTGTGACGCCTCCGGCCTGGTTGTACCCTGCGAAATACGTTACACAGTTTGCGTGAGGCGGTGTTATCTGTGGAGGCGTGTACTCTGTTATGTCTTTTCGAAAGTTTGGAGTAAGTTTCCTTTGAGAGCACTACAGATACCACAAAATTCAAACTGAATACAAGAAAAGAGCACTCAAATAAACCAGATCTAGTTTGTGCCGACCGAGTCTTATCCGAAAATATTCGTTTGGTTTTGGTAAGATGGTGGCTTATAAACGTATGTATGTGTACAGAAACTCTCCACCAGCGATGAAATTATGGTTGTAGGGTTTCATAATGTTTTATGATGCAGAGCGCGTCCTAGACCCGTGCTGACCTTTCAAACCGTGTGTGGTCGGATATACGTCATATACAGAACGTGCCGCTGGGAAAGCTTCAGTAAAGTTGATTCAAGAATGGTGAGGCTCATGGTTGACTTTGCTTCTTAAAGGAATTGGGATGGTTGGGAATTTGCCCAATGCTCAACAGCGAGTCGAGGGATGAACACACAAAAGTTCATCTGCACAACATTGACAGCAGAAAACTTGGATATTCTTGGTCATGCTTTCGACTTTTTAGAGTCGTCCTCAGCAAAAGAGGCTTGCGGGCAGGAGGTTAGACTGGAGTAGTAACCATCGTGGCGCTATATGGGTTTACTACCGGCCACTCAAATCACCTTGGAAAAGGGTCCCGCGCCCACGTCGCCACAACCATGGTCTTTGTTCTAGCCTCGTGTCGTATGTGGGGCATGATAGGTCTTTGGGCGACCCAGTTATCATTGATCTCAAAAGAAACTAGTAGCTAACTATGTAAGGGGTGCTCTCCGAGTCAAGCGCGATCACCCGGCAGTCAATAGCCAATACCATGAAAGTTCTTGGTATGGGTTTGTGATTTGGTGTAGATGAATGGTGGTCCGGTCTTGGTTCTGAAGTGATGCCATCAACAAGTATCTATCGACAAACATAGCCACTGCCCTGGAGATCGCATGAGGATACGTCAGAACATGTGCTTCGATAAAAGGCACGCATCTAGTCGAGGAAGGTGAGGAGTATCTGATCCCGTAGAGACCGATTAAGAGGATTCACACTAATCTGTGCCTCAAGCAACCGTCGTGTGCCACCCCGACCGGCACCAGGGGCGGGCCGGTAACCGAACGAAACCCAGATCCTGCGCGGTCGGAAGTTCGAAGCGACACCGGCCCGTCTAGTACGTCAAAATCTCTTGGTCGATGCTCTGAGGCACGGCGGTACGCTTGGATTAGGGGCATATGAAAACTGGACTTATCTCGCCGCAGCCATGTTCTGTGCTGTGCAGAAGCTAGCCAATCCTATCATACTGTCTAGCACTCAACCCCTGCAGGTGGTAATTGATGTAGGCCCCAGCGTGGAAGGTTCGAGAAAGCTCGTAGTCTTTGTGTCAGCCTTGTCAGACATGAAAGCTCAAACGACATATTTCAATCGCAAGTTGGATCATACAATGTATATTATGCTTGCCTGAAAAATTGTTAGAAGGAGCAGAAGGTAATCGATGTAGGGTAATCGTTGTTGTTTAGCCGTGGGATATTTGGGTCTGGGGTAGGTGGAGAGCTCAGACATGCCCTGGGTTTTGCCCCATTCTACCAGCCTTGCTAGCGTCTTCAGAAGGAGATCAGCCGACAGTGAGACGACGCAGCCCTATCCCAGCATCTTCCACTCTTGTCGATGTCGATCCAAGCGACGTGGACGAGGGCGGGACCGGGACGATACAGCCTTTGTCTCACCGCCTCTCGTGAACAGTGCGGAGATAGGAACGATTGTTGCCGTGAGGATCTCGCTTACAGTAACCTCGACTTAATCCATCCATGGCGTCGTACAGGCGTCGTCCTTGACACTGATTCTAGGCCGAACATCAAAACGGGTCAATTTTGAATATGCCCGGCCTGACTTGGGATGTCAGCCTAGACGTCAACTTGCCAGGTGACCAGCCACTCAAATTTCCGCCTCGTATACAAGGACGTTAGCAAATATGCGCATGAATCAAGTCAAGCGCATTGAATTTGGCATGCTGCCAAGATAATCCTCGGCAGTTCTAGATGTAAATCTTGTTCTTTTCCTATCTAAAGGTCAGTCTTCATTTTAAAACTTGACGCCCAATAAGGCCAAAACAAACGTCTACATCGAGATGACGCCTCTGTTTCCTCCAAATCCCTATACTGATACGTACAGCAAATTTGAGCGCCATGTTTGCATTCGGAGTAACGCCCGAATAAAAGCTAGGATCCATATCAGATCAGCAGAAAGGGTTGGAAGGGTAGCTCTTGTGGTAGCGCGAAACCCGGAACTAAGCTTGTCGTCTCAACAAGTAATGTTCTACCGCAGCCACTACAACAACTTACTGCAGCAATGGAAAATTTTAGAACAGAAGTTGTAGACTTCTAAAACACACTTAAGGCCTTTGCGACTGTTGAAATTTACTAGAAACCGTACTATTCTGCCTATTCTTTGCGGTGTTCGTCGGACCCTATCACTGCACTTGTTTTGGGTTTCGCGTTGCCGCGAGAGGGTAGATCTTTGTGTATTGCTAGTGCCAGAGCATCCAACAAGAGGGCCACAACTAGTTGTAGCAATGACGACTGCGGCTAGCACTCGCATTCATTTCGAAGGTGGACAGTTCGAACGCCACTTCCAGCACCGAATAGCATCCGAAAAGCACTATTGGTTTGACAAACGTCCTGATTGCGATTCTGTAGGATTGTCAGGGCTGATTCAACGTTCAGCGGTCCGAGCCAATAAAGAGCAGTTCATAAATTAGTTATGCAACCGGTGAAGGCATTCATTTTATGTTTGTCTGTGCTCCACGGTGGGTCATTTCACCTCTCACCGTTTTCCCCCAGCGAGGCTCGAGCGCCTTTCCCTCAGCTGCCTGTCACTTCCGTGCGCTTTCTTCTCTTTGCCGGCAAGTTTACAAGGTACATGCATCCAATCGAGTCATACCCCTGTATATAACCCAAGCCCTTGGGTTGCGTACAGCTCGCTTGCCACGTGGGAAGACGGCACAAGCTTAGGTAGGTTCGGCCTAGAGGATATTTAGTGTCCGCAACAGCTGCTGCAGGGCTGCCGGGATCTGCTATGCCTTCCCCGCCACCAGATTCGTCGTCACGACAGATAGGACGCACTGTCAACTCTCGCAAATCGTGAAATTCAACTCAGAGTACCCCGGTATGCTCCACGGCCAGCGATTTCACTCCTATATAAGATGGATATCGTCAGCCCATCATCTCCTCAGCCACGAGAGCTCGCCTCTGCGCGAACTTTCCATACTCGCTACATTTATTTTGCCCTTCAAAATCGTTACTGGGCTCTGACTTTCTGCAAATCAAATCGTCCCCAGTGCCGAAGTCCGCTGCTACTTTGCTCTTCTCGATCAAACTTTCTTGACCCATTGGCGTCACTAAGTCTCTACTCATCTGTTTGGGTTGCCATCATGGAAGCCGGCGATGATTTCTTGTATTATGACAATGGTCAGAACTTCCTGGATGCTAGCGTCTCACCCACTCTCCAAGCCGAGTCCAATCTCGCCATGTCGTTCGACCCCAGCGGAGTTAACTATCATTCCGAAGATGCGACTATCGCCTGTACTGAGGAACATTACGAACAGGCGATTGAGACTGACTTCGGTCGTACGTTATCGCCTATCCTCTGATCGATATAAACTAAGAAGATACAGAAACAAGTATGACAACTCGTGCAAATACCAACTATTATGCACCTACTTCAGTCTTTACTGTCGCATATGATTCCGGCATAGCTCTGCATCCTCCTTTGACTAATCGTCACACTGCCGATCAGGTTCCCGTACTACCGTATGAGGACAACCTGCCGGACAACCAACCTCCCCGTACGAGTGGGGGAAATACCCCAACAGTGGAGCACTCCTCATCCAAAAAACGAAAAACGGCGCAGATCAAGTCATCAAAAGACGGCAAAGCGAAAAAACAGCCAGTGATATGGGAGCAACATTGTTGTCCGTTCTGCAGTATGGGCCTGGCACGGGATCCTATCGTAAAGATCAAATATTGCCAGGTATTCAAGAATCATATCATCAACGCGCATTACGGCTTCTTATTGGTGGGAAGTAGCAGCAAGAAGTTTAAATGCGGGTTCTGTACTTGCCTCGGTTCTGCCGCATGTGGAGGTCACTTTCATAGTACTCTTGAGCTGATGAACCATCTATGGACCAGTCATAGTAGGAATTTGGAACATCTCCAGTGGCATATTCACTACTGCCCAGAGGATGACCAGGGTAGAGTTGCTGAGTGCTTCGATACCACCTTCGAACGGGGCTCGAATGAGGCCAATGGAATCCGCAATTAGTTCTTGTTCTGACAGGTAATCAACACGATGAGGTTAGGGTTAGATTACTGTAATCGGTTATGGGCTCAACGGCATTCATTGGGAATTTGCTCGTAGCTTTGTACTACCGGATATAATTTTTGGGAACGATATCATGGTTGGAAGACGCGTCACGATACATGACGCAACATGGATACCTCTTTATAATGCTATCATTATTCTTCTACCACGTTGACATATACCTGCCAATTAGAGGTCTTCATAGTCCAGTGGGGGTGTCAACATATTCTTTCTTGACCTGGTACCTCCTTCTACACGTCTATATTCATATCTTCCTTGCCACCTACGACATGTATGCTTCTACTCGGATTTCATACTATTTTTCCAGATGTGTGTTGACATAGTGGCCCATGACACGCTGTTGCCTGCCCGCTTGTTTCACAACACTCCATGGAACCATATGCGTGATGTGAAGGCGTGATGGCGGAAGGAAATTGGACGATAGCTTTGGTTCGAGATGTTGGGAATCAACACAGTGATATGAGGGGTGTAGATTAGATATTATGATCAGCACTAAGTCTATATAAAAACGAGCTCTCGCTTGGAGACATAACATGCCGCATTCACAGGTCGCATCATGAATTCGTGGTAAATAGAAATAGTGCAAAGCGTGAAGGATACTATTCATATGATCCGCTTCAAGAGCTCAGACAAGGATACAAATACCTTCGACGCTGGTTGCTCCACCACCCAAACAGTTCCTCAAATCATATTTGCTTTCGGCAAGTCCAATCCAAACAAAACCATGCCAGCGTCTCGAGACTACACGTACACGATTCCCACCCCTGCACCCTCCGTCGACACACATCCTCCGCCCCCAGACCCCAATGCAAACCTTGGCCTAAACGATCGCCCTGTTGCATCCGCGACCCACAACCCACCCCTTCCTGTGATATTCAAATGGCGCTGCTGCACGCCTTCTTGCTCCTCCCTTGCTAACCCCGAAGTTAACACCTACCACACGGCCACACACTTCATTCCTGTTCGCACCACGTTCGGGCCCCGCAATCGACCGCAATATCATTGGTTTCATGCATACCGCGCTGATACATGCACGTCATGTGGACATCGAGCGTGTGACAAGTGCCAGTTTTGTAGTGTGGAGGGTGAGAGCGCGTGGCTGGGTTTGGAGGAAGAACGCAGGCTGGAGGCAGAGGGTGATGGTGATGTTTGGCAAAGATGTGGAGTTTGGAGGGCGGGGCAGCGGCGACCAAGGTGACCGAAGAAGATTAGGGGGAACGAACGATGAGGATGATGAGTAGAATATCTTTGTTCAATAAATTGCGACACTCTCACTCCTCACTCCATTTGAACAGGAAAACTAGTGACGATGATAACCATCTCTTCTCAAGTAACATTTGTCAAGATCTACTCACGTATTATGATCTTGATAAGATCCTCCAAATCGCAAAAGCATTACTCATGCTTTGTATACACCTTCACGTATCTGATGTGCTCATTGCCCTCCCGATCCTCGTATCTCTCACTCATAATCTTGTATCCTCCAAACTTTGGCCAGACCTTCGTCCAGCAGAACCAGTAAACAACACCGAGTAGTAAAACACCGACACCCACGATGGGAAAGACGTAGTACGGGTATCCTTCGCCATTCCAGTCACCACTCGGAGGAATGAAAGGAACTAATGCAAGGAAGATATTCGCTGCGAGGTAGAGAATCGCAACGGGAAGGTACGTATGCCACGGTGACTCCCAGCGCTCGCGCTTCGAGTAGTGCAAGTAAATCAGCCCTGCCGTGACGAACCCGTTGATCCACGCGCCAGGGTAGGTGTACAAGTCCGTAATGAAGTTGTATGCAGGGCCAGCGGGCGGGGCTACCAGTACAACGACTGTTATTAGCCAGTGAAGGAACAGCGCAGTTGCGGGAGCGTTGAAAGGCTTGTTCGATGCCCAGAATCGGCTCCATGGAAGCAGACCTTCTTTGGCAAACTCCTGATTCAACCGCGCGTGTGCGAAGCTGACTGCGAGTACGTTACCCAAGTTACTAAGGGCGACGAAGGCGGGAAGACTGCGTGCTCCAGCGCTGTTACCGAAGACATTACGGAAGAAAAGGCCCGCAACAATAACCTCACTCTTTGCCAGGTCTGACTTGGGGATAGCAGCGAAGTAGGCTACGTTGGCGAGAACATAAAGTATTGTGGTTCCACCGATAGCAAGAGGAGCAGACCAAGCTAGCGTTTTCTTGGGATTTCTAATCTCGCCCAGGACGTAATTCGCATTTTCCCAGCCTTTGTAGGAGTAGATGATGCGGAGCAGTGCTTGGCAGTATTCGTAGGCGCCACCACCGCCGTATCCATCGCCGACTTCGAGTCTAAACGCATTGTCGAAGTTGTGTGGTTGTGGGACCTTCAAATGACCTGCAAGGGCAGCGAAGCCAGAAAAAACGATGAAGAGGAGGAGGATCACCTTGAATATCCCCAAGACGTTGAAAAGTCGAATGCCCCATTTAGGTGCTGTAGCATGTAATCCCACAGAGAAAGTAACACATGCAATTGCTATGCCACGTGCGGCCCAGCCATCTGGTGCCTCAGATCCGGAAGCGAATAGTACGTAGCGACCAAACGCTAGACTGTTTCCAGAGGAGAAGCCGAGCAGAAGCATCTGTGCTGCCAGAACGCAGGTGGCCATATACTTTGGATGGCGATATACTCGTTCGAGGTAATTCTTCTCACCACCGCTTCGAGGTATCGCAAGCCCGAACTCCAGGAAGACGGACAAGCCGCAGAAAGTCAAGATACCACCAATTATCCAAAGGAACAGAGATACGCCGACGGAGCCACTGACAGCGAAGATACCGGACGGTGTGGAAAAGACTGGGAGAAGAGTGAGTTTGAGTAGTGTTCTGTGGGTCGTTAATCATACTGCCCGTCCCGATCATTTTATTGAGAATGACAAAGACAGTTGCTGTGTAACCCAGCTTCTGGGAGTCGTCATAGACATAAGCATTGTCTTCTTGAACGCTCGCATTGTCGTAACCTGGCGGGGGAGATGATGTAGCGACATTGGTCTGCGGTACAGCTTTGCGATCGTCATCTTCATACTTGATGGCCATGCTGCCGGAGGAGTCTTTGCCTATCTCAGGCGGTTTGCAAAACGGTTGAACAAAGCGGTAGTCTCTCTCAAGCGCAGCCACGACCAGGGGCGAGGGTTAACAACGAGAAACAAACAAGACGTTCTACGGTCAATCTACAGGAGACATTGAAGTTCATATACCCTATCACTATTGCGTGATTCGTCTTGGAAGAGCATTGAGTCGCATTCTCATGCCTCCTGGCACGCCTAGTTGTCGCGCGATCGACACACATGTTGACGTATCCAGGCTTAGGTTACATGCTCTCCAGATAACCGGTAAACTCAACAAACGCTCACTGGCTCATGAACACTCGAAGAGGCAGGTGAGACCAAGGGTGAGGTGAAAATTGCTTGGTACAGGCTCGTATGCGGTAGATTAATAACGCCGTGCAATGACGTGCTCAGGAGCGGACTTGGCGGCCGTGAAGTACAGGCGGACGCAGCGCCGACGTGGTAAAGACTCTTTCTTGGAGACAATTACAAGCGTACCACCTACCCACGGTCTACACCTGTATGCGCGAAGGACCGCTCTGTCAGGTTCGCTCTGGAAGACAATCTAAGAGTTGGCGACACCGCGTTTCAATCGGAGTCATCGTTTGCCTCGTCGCCGTGCTCACTACACATGTGGTTTGTGAATCGGGATCGTTTCCAGGGAGCGTAGAGCAACGAGAAGGTTCGTGTGATAGGAACGATTCAGGGGGTTGGGGTGGAAGAAGACGTGGGATGATGCGAACGGCACTCTTGCCAAGCCATCTTCTCCACTCTCTGTTTTGGGCTAGCCACAACGCTAGTGAGACATTCTCTATCAACACCAACATCGCTCTGGCGCTCACCATTCATCATGTCCATCACGTAAACCACCTGAACGTTGGGTTTGTGTCTTTCTTCAACGTAGCTATATCGTGTTTTGCCGACTGCGTCTTATAGCTGAGTGCAGGGAATATGCGTTGGCGATCTGAGCCTTGGCGTAAGTGAGATTGATCCTCTGTTCAAAGTGTATCTTTTCTTCTCATCGCGGCGACGAAGACGACATCCAGCTCAACCCAATTTTGGAGGACGGTGATTATTCTTATGCCCTTCCGAAGGCTAAGCTTCTACAAGCCGTCTTGCGAAGCTTGATTTACGCCACACCGCGGCAGGACGCGTACTGTCAGTCATGGAGAATTTCCGCGTGGCTTTGAACCAATGAGCATTCCACCGTTCCCCTGAAAAGTTACTTCCTTCCCCAGGAAGTTCTCAGACTGTCCCCTCAATAGCCACGTCATCCCAACATCGCTTGATTGGTGGATCTTCATCGTCCGCCTGTCCGTCTTCCCCAGATCCCCCAGGAAATCGTGTGGGGCGCCATGCTCTCCCCGCATACGTCGGGACCGTGAACTCTTTGATGAGGACGGTGCGACGGTAACTATATTTCAATATTGCGGGATGAAGAACTTGCTGACCCCTGTTTGAGGACTGTGCTCAACAGTAATCACTGGGATCATTGCACCTGCATTTCTTGCACTTTGTTGAGCCGTGGTTGATATCAAGTCCAGGTTCCAGCCCCATAAATAGAAGACCAGGGCCTCCCCATTGAAGATAAAGTCGCGGTCGTTGAAACGCATTTGCAGATCCTAGCTCCCCATCAGTATTTTTCACTATACGTTTGTGTCCTGATTGCTACCATGCGGTTTGAAGCTATTATCGCATGTCTTCTCCAGACATGCGTTGCCCTCTCTACCGTAAACCGCAAAGCATGCCAACACCCAACAAGAAATCCACTTGAGGGCTGCTCAAACGGCACTATTCTTGTCGGACCGAACCAAAAGTTCGCAACTATCCAAAGCGCAATTCTCAGTTTGCCAAACAACACAACCCCATACCAGATACTAGTTCTCCCCGGAAATTACACAGAACAAGTTAACGTCACTCGTCCGGGGCCTGTGTATCTTCTCGGACAGACGAAATATCCAAATGACCAGACCAAAAACACTATCAACGTCATTTGGCGCAACGCTACGGGCACCGGTGTCAACTCTACTCTGGACAACGCTTATACCTCCACATTGACGGTGGCGCCTACGTTCAACTCAAGCCTGACTGGAAGTGGTCCGACTGGAAATCCCGTACCTGCAGATACACCGTTCGGAAATACCGATTTCCGAGCATACAACCTGAACTTTATCAACGACTTCAAGAATTATGCGACAGGACCAGCTCTGGCAGTTTCTGTGAGCTATGCGAATACTGGGTTTTACTATTGCGGTTTCTACTCATACCAGGATACGGTAGGAATGCACCGACTATGTTTCACAAGAAAAGTAGCTGACAAATTCATCCAAGGTGTATATCGGAAAGCTTGGAAACGCTTACTTCTACGAGAACGAGATTGCCGGTCAAACTGATTTCTTCTACGGATTTGGCACTGCTTGGATCCAGTCTAGCCTCGTCACGCTCCGCAATTGTGGCGGAGGTATCACAGCGTGGAAGGGCACCAACACTACATTCGTGAACAAATACGTATGTTCGAAACTATTCTTTAAAGATTTTCCGACTGACTTCAAATGATAGGGTGTTTACATTCACGATTCAACAGTGAAGAAGGCCAATTCATCCCTTGCGCTGACCGGAAAGTGCGCCCTTGGCCGACCTTGGAACGCTCTGCATCGTTCGATCTTCGCAAACACTTACCTAGACGACTCGATTATTCCAAGTGGATACATTATCTGGGGTGCCACTGATCCGCGAACAGGCGCTAACACGACGATGGCGGAGTACAAGGATTATGGACCGGGCTGGAACGCGACTGGAAGGGCCGCGGCTAACATCACCCTCGTGATGAACAGCAAGCAGTATGAGCCTTACTCCACGCTAGAGAAGGTGTTCCAGTATCCGTTTTCGGGACAGTTTGGAAATGTTGCATGGATTGATAGGAAGCCGGAGTAGCATGTATTCTATTTGAACATGGTAGATGCGTTGAAGATGGAGCTGGGTTTATAATAGGAGCTACTTCCGAAAATTAGAGATTGTTCTTACACCTAATGACGATGTGAATTCCATACGGGCCAAAGAAGCCTTTGTCGCCCAGTGGTGTACACTCGATCGATGTCTTCCTGATTTTGAGTTCACATGTGAAAGTGAGCTTTGCTGGTCAAGGAATATAACAAAACGCTCATCCACAATTCGTATGAATAGGATTTGCTGTGTATGAGCACCCCAGGGGTTGCTTGTACGCTTTCGGCAATACTCGTTTTTTGGAGACAGCTCTTCCAGTCGAAAATTGATGTGGAATAACGGATTGTTCAGAATACTTGTTCCTAAGGTGGTTTACGGACATCTTGAGAGACGCATGCGGTATGGTCAAATATTGTGGTACCTACAGTCGGAGTGGGAAGTAAAACTTTATCCCACATTTAGGATAGCGCATTGTTCAGAATCACGTCCAAGATGTAAAGTACGTGTCAAAAGCACATGGTAGGGCGATATGTCGGAGTATAGTACAATTGAATTATATGTTACTATTATTCTTCAATGCCCTGATAGTAATAACTCAAGGTGAGTAAACTAGGAGTTTGATCCCGTTGTCCCGTTGGTCGTGCAGTTGACCTGGCTGCTAATTCCGTCGATACTTCCACATGTGAACAAGTTCGTACCACTCGGGCTCTTTACATCAATGTTCTCGACCGTGATGTCGTAGCAAACAGACGGGCTGGAGCAAACGAGGTATCCAATGAGCGGGTCGTACTTTGTGCTTGTCGTGCCCTTGAAGTTCTTCATGGTGATATCCGAGATGGTGAGTTTGGAAGGGAACTAAGGATCTCATGTTAGTTACTATTGACAGGAAACAGTGTTGTCTATCACTTACCTGATTGCATAGTGTGATGTTCTTTTGGCCGTAGCACTGCGTGACCTCGATCGCGTAGTCGACGTTTGAGACAGTCATACCGTCGTACGTGATGTTGGAAACTGCGCCAGAGCCACCTCCGCCTTGCAAGTCGCCGGAGAGGGCTGATGAAGCACCGGGCCAGACCTTGATGCGGGCTCCATCAGAGGCATTCGACATACTAATGTTGTAGACCTTGTTTTTGTTAGCCATTGTTTCGCTGATCATGGACTGGAAAGATGTCTTACGTAGACGTTCTTGACAATGTCGACTTCGCCGACGTACTGGCCCAAACTTCCAACGCTGATACCGTGGCTGCCATTGCACGAGAGATTCTGAACAACGATGTTGGTCGAGTTAGGCTTGAAAGAAACGCAGTCGTCTCCGTTGTCGATGTGAGAGTTCTGGATGACGACGTTGTCGGAGCGGTAAGTGTCCCAACTATGAATCTCGTTAGCTCCTACTACCAACGTAGTGCCAAAATGACAGGAAAACATACCCGTCAGTATTCTTGGCCGGACTCTTGCTGACACTTCCTCCAGCGATGTCGATGTTCGAGAACACAACATTAGTAGAGTTTGCAACAAAATTGTACCATTGCGGGCTGTATCTGAGTTTCAAGTCCTCGATACGGCCTCCATTGAGGCCAATGGTGCCGAAGAGAATGGGTCGGAGGATGTAGATATCCTTGGCATAGAGGTCATACCAAGCCTGACCGTTGCCGTCAAGAGTACCGCCACCATATACATTAACGTCTGTGCCACCTAGCTCGAAGAAAGTTGTAGCATTCTGGTAGATCTGCTTGAAGGCGTTCGCCTGCCAGTAGTCGGTGTCGTTTGTGAACTTGATAGTTCCTTGGATATCTGAATTGACCAATCAGCAACGATACAACTAATATATAAAATATATGTAACTTACCAAGATCGATATGCTTGAGGAATGTGAGGTCCAGAGCGGTTCCAATGGTGAAGTTCTTGTCCTTGGGGAAAACTACATGACCGCCGTTGTTGCAGTCTTTGATGGCTTTCAGGATGTTCTTAGAATCGTCTGTGCCGGAGGTGTTCTTTGCGACCACACACGTCTTTGTGCGCTGAGGAGAAGCCGGGAAAGCGCCCCGTGGGTGATATGGCGCAACGGGATGACCCGGTCTCTTGGAAGGAACGACGGTTACGCTTCGGTCATCCAGAGGCGAAGTCCATGCTGTCGATGCTTGAAACAGAGCGACGGTAAGAAGATCGGAGACACGCATCTTGTATTGCTTCGATGTATCGAAGTACAGTTATCAATGAGAGAGAAGTTGAGCACGTCGACAACCTCAGAAACGAGATGTCCAGGGCTCTTAATGTACACATGTCGCCGCACGTTTTGCCGTCCGTGCCGCGGCACTGCACCCTGCCCCAGAACGTTACCCCAGGAAATTATCAAGGGTGCGGATGAATTGTTTCTCTCTACGGCGTTCCACGTAATCCCCTCAGGCCCGGATGAAGCTAGTCTAACCGCTAAGCGGGAATAAGGTAAGCTTTTCCGATGAGCCTCGGCGCTTGGCTCTGGGATTGGTGGACTTTCTCACTCCACCTTCCTCACCCCGGATTTTGATTTTACGTCTTTGACAACGCCACAAAATCATGATTGCCCCTGAAGATTACATCTTCGACTTGGGCAGATTGATCACGATGAGTTGCCGCGGACAACCTGGATTCTGCCGCGGGCTCGTTCCGCAACCCTCATCACCGACTGCTAGATTGAAAGTCCATCCGAGATACCAAGCGTGTGATGCACGTACCGCATAGCAACTGGTGTGTGTTAGAGACAAGTTGTCGGGCCGCCCCACGACCATGCACCAACGTCCTTCGAGAAGTGTCATTATATTGTCCTGACAAAGACCGGAAGACATGCTGACTTAAGGTTAGAGTGTTCTAGACTAATTGAGCACTCCTCGCATGACAGATACACGACAGGTGGAGAACTTGTACACGGGAAACTAGATTTCAGCATCAACATAACCATGTTCTTTCATTTCATTACATTAGATTCTTCTCGATGGAGATTTCCCGCATCTTTGTGTCCCCGTCTCCCTCTTTGCATATAGTTTTCCCTCTGCTTCTGCTTCAAAAGACGGTGCCTCTAGTCTGCCTACCCTTCTCTTCTTCCAGCTTCTTAATGTTGATATTCTTCCAGATGAGGATGGAAGCGAAACACAGGGGGACGAAGCACGAGCCAGTAATGACCATTAGACGCTGGGCATGAGCATAAGCACCTACAATAGCATCTCGCTCCGGAGTCCCATCAAGAAAAGACGACTGAATGACTATGTCACTGAAGATCTCAGCGGCCCTGGACTTGCTTTCCTCGGGAAGGCGGTTGTATAGCTGCGCGGGCATTACATTGTTCCAGATGGCACCAGCGATAGAGTACCCGATGGAGGAACCAAAGCTGCCGAAAAGACCCCAGAAAGCCAATGCACTCGCGACTTGTTGATGGGTAACTGGAACCATCACCGCGAGTTGAGCACACGTAGCGAAGATGCCAGTACCAAGACCGACGAGGACCTGTGTGAGAGCCAGGACGCCAGGGTTGGTGGAGGGTTGGCGAAAGGGAATCAACAGCGCCGTGCCGAGAAGCATGATTGGCACGCCGGTGTAACAGGTCCACTTGAAGTTACCGGTATAACTGATGATCCATGCGACGAAAGGGCTGAAGAGAGACGAGGCCAGGGAAAACGAGTTGAGGATGTAACCGGCGTGTGTGATACTTTGCCTGTGTACGACCAACAGGTACGAGTAGTAGAAACCGTTCCAGGTGAAAACCGAGATGAACATGACGCCGTAGAGCAGGCATGATCCAACAATGGTTCTGTCCTTCAAGTATATCCACGGCATGAACTGAACAGGCGCGAAGAACTTCTCCCATACAAAGAAGGCGGGGAAGAGTAGGACGCCAATCACGATCATGGCAATGATATAACCAGTATTCCATCCGTTCGGTGCGTAGGAGACAAGCGTAAACGGCAGCATGAAAAGGCAGAAGCCGAACATGAGCAAAAGCATACCAACCACTGCGAGCATCTGTCAGCTAGCCCGATATGCTGGTAATTGAACCGTGCTGCAAGGCAAAAGCAAAACGGCGAGATAATGGTCTGATCAAAACATACCGTCAAACTGAACAAAGTAGTACCAAAGGGACTGGAATATGTTGCGATCCGATCGCTGCTTTCTCCGGAGGCCGGCCTTCAGAGCCTTGCGGTACATGACGAACATCAAGCCCATGGCCGGCATACTGCAACCGAAGAGGATGATGGCAAAAGCACCAAACGCCCATCGGAAATTGGACTGGGTATAGAAAAGCTCGCCAATGGCTGGACCAGCGAATGTAGCGGCGATACGAGGGGTGCTGTTGATGGTGATGATGATCATGCGGTTCTTGAGGGTGGTCAGGTCGGAGCACATGACGCTAGTGACATATAAAAGACCTATATGACCAGCCCAGTACAAGACGTGTGCGGCAAAATACGTCTCCACGTTTCGGCAAACAGCTTTCATGATCATGCCAACGAGAACAATGAGAAGCATGGCCATGAAGCCCTCAACACGACCCCAGATGTCGACAATCTTCGCCGTGGCCAAGGGAATGCAACCACTGAGGGCAGTCGCCATAACATTCGAGACGGTGAGCAGGCCGTGCGAACTGAAGGACGAAGTGATGTAGGGATTGAGGGCGGTATCGACCGAGTTCTGCAGGAACTCGACAAAGTCAATGAGGTAAAGCCTGTCGTAATCAGCATTGACAACTCGTCAAGAGTGGGCAGGGTTGTTCACAGGCAGAACATGCTGAAGAGAGTTTTCTTGGTCCAGATGGCTGTGATTGCTCTCACGCGCTCAACGCCGGCCTGGAACTCCTCGGAGTTGGCATCGCTGCTGTCCTCTTTGTTATACTCAGCACTGTTGAAGTTCTGTTGGTTTTGCTTCTCCGTGTCGGCGTTCTCCTCCACAGAATAACGAATCGTTGGACCGGCCGCACCGCCGAAACGCATCTGCTCCACGGGCTCGACAGCAGGCATTATGAGCTCAAGAAAGGAGCGCCTTCTAGTTCTCTGAACGAGGAAGACCGAAATAGATGAAGTACCGATGGATGCTCGGGCAGGGAGAGGAGGTAATCCATCACTTATAGCTATCCGCGATCAACACGCGCCGAAGACCGGGCCAGGAAGGTGGAAATCACATGAGGAAAGATATGCGCCACTCCACACCATAAGCTTCTTGATCTCCCAAAGAGCGTACGGTTCACGTGTGCCTAGAGACCATTCATTGGCATTAGATCAGATGAACAAGGGCTGAGATGATCTGATAAGATGCTGGCTCGCCCTCTGATTCAGTCGTTGCGCGGAAAAGTATCCGATTCTAGATAGGCCGCGGCGTCCCTGTGTGAAAGGGGAAGTGTGGGTTCCTTGGCCAGGGAACATGACATCCTCGCCCAACAAGATTGTATTGGAACGCGGAGTCTGGATCTTGGCGGTTGGTTAGAGATGAGAATTTCATCTGATTAGATCCTCCGATAATCTTTTCCCATGGGTCCTGTGGTCTCGTTTACACCACGGATCCTTTTTTGGTGCGTGCCCAGCCTTGGAACCTTCTTGGCTGGGCGGGAAAATGAAGACAAACGGGTGGCCTGACGCTACATGATCACGTTGATCAGACTTGTTCGACCTGGACTTTGTGGTTGGCGTGGTATTGTACGTACTTGATACTACACAACCCGCGTAAGCGACAAAAGTCCTCCGGCCCTCGTTCCAGATACATCACCAGTATTCGCCAAGACGAAAGGGGCGGAACTCGTCTTGGAAAATGACTAACGCGCAGAGAGAGTCAATGAGAGAACAAAGGCTCGGAGACACCTAAATGGAAGACAACCAGCGTACGAACCACCTTTTTTGCTAATTGAGTGGAGTCAACCTCAAAGCTCCAGGCGCAACAACTCCAATATGTAAACAGAATGAAGATACCATCCAGGAACCACTACGAGCCGTGGCCCTCGCCAACCAACCCGCTTGTAGCTCTGTGGCTTTAGCAAAAAAGCATAAGGTTTTACAAGCCAGTCTGTAGTTGGCAAGACGTGAGTCACTGAGGTACGGAGTATGGGTGTAGACGGAAGAGGGCGAGTATGATTAACATGTTGAACACATTGATTATGACTCAAGAATAAAGAATAAGAGTAACTTGTCGACAGATGACATATGCCAGATGAGGTAATTACATGTAGCTATGATGACAGATACATATAGTTACCAAAGACCAAGTTATTTCCCAGCCAAACGCCTCCTCAAATCACTCAACCGATCAACTATCTCACTCAAACCCATCCACCGCTTCCCTCGCACTCTGTTCGAAGGTCATATCGTAGAAATATCCCACGTTCCCCACTTCGCATAGAATACAAGTTGACAACGCTATCATAATCATAAGCAGGAAACTCAACTCCAGTTCCGAAAGCTAGATGTACATGATGACGACCAAATACCCAGTGACAAGACACGCAAAGCCATGATAGCACATAAGCTACTAGCATCCTACTCCGTGATAGAGTCCCGCACACATCGTCTTGCATCATGAAGGCAATGCAAGAACACCACACGCAACCATGCAACGCAAGTCGATATAACCCTCCATATGCAGACAGACCAAGCTTTCCAACCACAGGACAGACATTCATAAAAGTCATGAGAAGATGGACAGACAGGCCAACTACCCAACATACCCACGACAAGCCATCTCATCAAAGGCGAACGGCGCCCCTCCAAGCCCAACATCCTCCTCCCACCCACCCTGGCTCATCGGCGTGCGCGGCTCATCAGCACTCGAAGCCGGTGAGTTGGTGAAGACGGACTCCGCTGGGCCCAGATCGGGCACATACGCGCCGTGGTCACCGAGAGGCAGGCCATGCATCACATGCTGAGACTGGAACATGCCGAGTTCGTTGCCGCGACCGTGGTTATGTGCATGAGCATGTGCGTGTGTGTGGCCGAGAAGCGGGCTGTCGTGGGACCAGTCGGACATGTTGTCGCTTGTGTAGTAGGGGGAGGTGGGATACGGCATGGACATGTCGGGGTTGAAGGTTGGGTCGAAAGCGGCGGGGACGGAGCGGTAGGTTCCTGCATAGGCGCTGTCGTTGATGCGGTTACGGCGGCGGAGGTTGGCGGAACGACGTGCTGCTTGGCCACCTTTTGCGCCGGATGCCTGGCGTTGAGGGAGAGGGTGGTGCGAGCGGGTGCCACGTTTGTTGGGCGCTTTGGAACGGTAGCGCGTGGTGGATTTGACGCCTTCGCGAATGGCCTCGGTGGTGAGGCGCCACATGAAGCCTTTGCGGGCTTCTTCGTGGGGCTGGTCGACTTTCTCGAAGGCCTGTGGTGGGTTAGTAAGGCGAAAGAATAAAGGGAGTTATGGGGGAAGTGGGATAGATGAGGAAGGAGAGAGTGCTTACGCCGTTCATAGACAAGTTATGCCTGATACTGTTCTGCCACCCTTTCGTCTCCTTGTCTTGTGCCTTATCGGTATGCTTCTTGAACCAATCATAGATATCCCTCAGGATCATCGTGTGGTTTGGGGCGTCCATGAGCGCGCGGTAGATCAGTTGCGCATACGGTTGCTCCTTGTCGATTGTCGCATCGTCATTCACACCAAAGTCCTGCGGATACCTCGATGGCTCGTCATGAGGAGTGGACCCACGCGTGATGTCGGAGTCGTACGGGCTGTGGTAGCTACCGTGATCCTCGACTTTGATATGATTTCCAACTGCGAAGTGACGGTCATAGTCATCGCTCAACTGCATGAGTTGACCGTTGATTTCCGGGTCGGCGAGGTCAACGGGGTCATGAGGTTTCGTCGGCTCGAACTGGTAAGTGCCAGGAGGGAAGGACTCCGACATGCTCATGTCGTTGGACAGGCTATTAATAGCCAGGCCGTTGTATGACCGAGGACAGCTTGAGTTGAGAAACTGCTCTGGATATGCGAGGTTGTAGTTGCCATTGTAAGAAAGGCCGTTCTGAGAGTAGTGGCTGAAATCCGCAGAACTAGGTGAGAATTGCATGGGAACATGGAAGGCCGTACCATCTTGACTTATGTGGTTGATAGGAAAGTTGCCGGATGTTGACCATCGCATCGATTCTTGTTCGTCGAGACCCATGGCTGTTGGTCGAGCTTGATAACTGAAGGAGGGGCCGGATTCATGTATAGCAGTCGCCATGGTGGAGGCTAATTCTGAAGATCTGGGGGAAGCAGAAGGCAATGGATCCTGGGCGTGGAGAAGAGGCGGTGCACAGAACACACTATTCGGGAGCTGCTCATCACCGAAGCCACCAGACAGGTCCGTGGAAGATGACCGATGAGGCGATTGCGATTGTGGCATCATGGCTGTTGTGTTGTCCCCCGTTGATGGGCTTCAATGGGAGCGATAACGAGATAGCGAGCGTGTGGTCGGAGAGTACACACGAACGTTGCCAACACCTACTGTGAAACAACAGGACTGGTAGACCTTGAGCGGGACCAAGAGCCGAGAGTATAGTTCGAACAAGTGAAGCGACTGTTAAGACATTTACATGCTCCGTCTTGCCCCGGTGACGAGGATAGGGTGGAGAAGGTTCTCATTGTTACCTCAGATGCTTGAGGACGGGTAGTTGCTGCCAACGCACATGCAGAGCTTGATGGTGCGGTTAAAATGACAAACAAGTCGCGAGATGTCAAGACGGTCAAGAAGACTAATGCAAGGCTGATGTCACGGACCAGGAGCGTCAAAACATTTGGCTGAATGATGGTAAGAGGGATTTAGTATTATATCTAGTGGGCATTACGTAGCAGCCACAGTTAGGACCACCTACTTGGGAGAACAAGATAGTACATACTTGAAGATCGAGATATCTTTGAATGCATTCGATTCTAACCCATCGCCGTCAATTGCTATGCCCAGCCTCCCCATTGCCTTCTCGTCCCCCATCTCCCGGCGCATACTCTGCGCTTGATACTGCAGCTATGCTCGGAGGCGACAAACAAATGCGAAAGATCTCAGAGCCATGACCGGAAGGCCGATGCAAGGCTGGTATCACGGGGCCAAAGAATCGCTGTCGCAAATACCTTACGGGCCGTGAAAAGCGAGAACGCGTTGCTGGACGGGCTAGGATTAGTCTAGCATGACATTGTGTTGTACAGCAGTAGCATCTAACGGGTATGCAATTAACAGGGCTCGTTTAGGCAGCGGGTAGGATCGTGCATAGCCCCGAAAGTCGATCACAACTGTCATACCGGAAGTCATCGGGACGAGGGAGGCTTCAGTTTCCTTTACGCAGAGAGTATTCCAAAGTAGTATCACAAGACTGAAAGCATCGATCTTAGATCGTTACGGCAATGCCTCGCGGGCCGATAGCGACCGAGACACCATGTTGTACAACCTTGATCTAGAACTGGCCTGACATTCGGTCACACAACAGCAGGCAACAGTTTTCTGGTTAGCATCATCAGCCAGGGCGGACGACGAAGATGCACTGCCCAGTAGTGCTAGCAACGTTTAAGGGTGGCTAGTAACCCTGTTGGACGATGATTCCTTCGCTGTCTATGCCCGTATTCCATGCATGTCTTCTGGAAGATGGGTGACAAGCCTCGTTTCTTACGTTACAACCGAGGTGAAGAAAGAAATGCTTGTCTTAGCATTGTCTTTGTCATCCAAGACAAAGAAGAGATAAAGACGTTTGAGACATCTAGTTGAGCATGAGCAAGCGATTTGTCACTTCGATTGGCAGTTATCACAACTCACGTACGGGTAACTTGTCTTGAACGAGAGCAAGATAGATCCAACGTGCCCAAAGGGGAATGAAACGAAGCTTCACCGGAGAATAAAGACTGAGGAGCTGTGTCACATCCCGTTGTGGATAGCATATGTCCGAAACGGTGGTCTGCTGCTGCTTCGTCGCAGTCAAGTTCGATTTGGTTGGATTTGCCGGGAGCCCCACATTTTGCCGACATGCACGCGGCCGCTGATGTCCTCAAGGATTGTTCCTCTTCAAGCGTGCAGGGGTGAGTAGATGTTGTATATGATTGGCTACCTCTTTGAGGAGGGTATTTGTCACCGCCTGTGTGATGAATACACCGCCAGCAGTCCCCAGGATCAAAAGTGATACCACATGTTGATGGTTGGCAGACAATTTGGTACGTGAAGCTGACCCAGTAGTCGTGAGGCATAGCGGCTCGTGTAAAAGAACTACCAGCTAAGATGTGGAAGTGTGCACCAGCCGCTGTTGCTTGAAATGTCTTTCTCATGCCCTGTGACAACCATGGTCTGCGACGCAACTACTCGTTGAAATTTAGTCTCTGACAAAGAGCCACGTTTCTGCCATGATAGCTTTCTGTGGTTGGTACCTGACCGGAACGACGTGGGTATGGCTTAACGGACGTCGTGCAATATGCGGGCACACGGGTGCGTGTGCGTGTGCCCCAATGTCTCGTTGGCAGCTCTACCGACCGTCACCGCCATTACATAGTGGTCGCACGAGTGAAAGAGAGGTGTGTGTTGTAGACTGAACCCTTCTTCTTGGGGTTGATGTGATGTCAATACGCAAAGCCGGTGTAATACCTGCTCCCCAGAGAACCTCAGGCGATGGCCGACATCCGAAAGGGTGTCAAATGTAATGAAGTGGAGAATCGCGGGATCGAAAGGTGTCGTACAGATGAATCCCCTCGCGAAGAGATATTGGAATTCAGAGGCTAGGCTTATGCATTTCCGTAATCTAATAGTGTTTCTTCGCTCGAACCGATTTCGCAAGGACACTAAGTACATGCGGTCATGAGGTTATAGTAGGAAGACCAATCACTTTCGGTAATATATCTGTAATGTGTCAATTGGAGCCTTATTGGTTAAAACACTCAACGTACCTTCTTGAATTGAAAGTGGAGCTGCAAGATGCCCTGGAAAGAGTTAGTAAGTGCTTCACTGTTGCCGCGCAGGGTGTACCCAGCGTGACAAAGACTGCGGAGAAGCCCGGACTCACCTTGTCGAAGCTGCTCTTGAACCCCCGTTCCCGTTTGGCACTGTAATCCCATTCCTTATCGACGATCCTAAACGCAATATCCTCATACGGTGCGCCAGCGATGAACCTAATAAGACATGTGTCATCCTCGCCAGCTGGTGCAAACGACTGTCCGCGCTTGCGCCCGTTCTCGCGTTCGATCTTGTACGTCGGCGCTTTGACTTTGTCGATCAAGTCAGGGTAGAAAATGTTGAATTTGTAGCCTTGCACGACCTTTGGGGGCGGGTTGTCGTGGTCGTAGTGCGTTTGGTTGTACTTGTTCCATTCGTAGCCCATCTGAACGCGATTGAAATAGCGTGGTTTTCTGGGCTTGTAGTTGGCTGTACCCTGTGGTCTCGCGGTTGTGACGTCTTCTTCGGCCGTAAAGATTTCCTCGCCCTCTTCGACGCCTCGCGCGACCTCTCGCTCGTAGAGGGCCATGGTGGCCTGAGAATAGTCCTCTTTCTCGACAGGCGCAAATCGGGATGCGCTTGTGGTGACAGCTTGGCTGGTGTGTGACATATTGTCGGTGGTCGTGCGATGTTGGGCCTCCTTCTGCAATGGTACATATCCTAGTTTCTGAATCTTTCGTCGATCGTTGGCCTACGCATGTCAGTTAACGAGCCTGAGGGTTGACTGTGTCCAACACTCACCATGCTATCTAAGAACTTCTGCGTGGCGACCTGCTCGAGCGCCTTATCCTCAGCACGGAGCTTCAGCAAGGGTTGAGGGTCGAGTGTTGCATCGTACGCGACAGTGGTAGGCCGTCCTTCAACCGTGTCATCCCCACCGGTCAACAAGTTGTATAGTCTTTCCTGCACAGACGCAGCTGCCACCGCTTGTTGCTTGCGTAGCGCTTGAAGCCGCTCTTTGACAATGTCCTGCGAGACGCGCCGCAGCTTCGCCTTGGCCTTCCACACGCGCAGGTTCCGCAGCAGTTGCTCCCAGTAATCGTAGTCGATGGGCTCGTCCGAGTCGAGCTTCCTCTTGACCTGGACTTCAAGTGTCTCGAGCTCCTCGTATGACTTGGGCGCCAGCAGTCGGTCGATGTCTGATGAGACGGAGCTTGTGCCGCGCGCCTCCGAGGCAGAGGAACGCGACTTGCGTCGTGTGTCTTTGCAGATGACTTTGAGGGCCTTTTCATGTCAGGCAGGTACTTGCAACATAACGCGACTCTACTCACGTTCCAATACTCTCGGTTGCTCTTGTTTGTCTCGAGGGTCAGGTAGTTCTCGATCTCCTTGTCGAGTTCTGAGAGCTCTCCCTCACGCAGACCCTCCAACACGCCTTCTGGATCTGCAACTTCCAGGTCATCATCGCCCACCTCCTCGTCGTGTATGGTTTTTGTTGGGTCGACGAAGCGCAGCGTGACGGCCAGCCAGTCGATGGGTTTGGCGCGACCGCCCTTGACGCGCAGGGCTGCCTTCGTCTTCGCCTGCTGCAGCACAAAACGGTCCTCGTCTGCCACCCAGGCTTCTTCGGCTGCATTTGTCGACCGCTTGGCAGGATGGTCATGTGCTCGAGTGTCGGCGGAGCGTTTCGCGGGAATGCTTGACGATGGTGCGGCGCGTTGGGGAAGCCCGTCGCGTTCGTTGCGCCATGGTGGAGGGTTACGCGACGACATTGCTGTTCAAGCTTCAATAACACGTGTGTGGTGTTGATTATGCAATACAATAATTGTCGACTTGATGCTAATCACGAAATCTTTTGGTTAGGGCTGAGGTTGCAGCCGCGCCGTGACGTACCTTCCGCACGAGTCTATGCTGGAGGGAGCCTAGCGCTTGGCACTGCCATTCACTTCACGCAGACCTCATCTAGCTACCTAGCCCAGCGCGCGTCGTCTTCTCTCATGCTTCTCACCGTCCCCTGCTATCTTTCTCGTTACTAGCTACGTGTATGAGTCTCGTTCAACTTGCTTGGTTGACGCGATAATGTCCTGCTGGCGCGTGCTAGAGCTATCCAAACAACCAGACGACGAACAGATTCCACAACTTCTTGTCAAATCAGTCTTCCAAGCGGACTCATACATTTTGCATATCACAGACCTAACTAACATATGGAGTGAAGAGCTAGACCTGGAGGGAATCGTGGACCGAGCGTCACGAGAGCAATCACCAATTGAAGTTAGCAAACACGACACTACGCAGCTCGCCATCCTCCTCGACAACATCAAAAAATCCTTGGAAAATTGCGAGGATGCCATTTGTCGTATTACCCGGGATGGTACGGAGGGCATTACCTTACACAGTACCGTCAACCTTCCAAAACCCCTCGACTCTCTGACTTGGAAATTTCGCCTGCACAAGAAGACCGCTACAGCGCTCAGAAATGAGCTCATTCTTCCACTGCTTGTCTCGTCGCACATCCAGAATGAGCGCATCAATGACCTCGTCTTCATCATGACGACAAAGGATAGCGCAATTGATCGGCTGGTGGAGCAATATGAGTCTAGCAATCTGGATTTAGCTGCAGCTTTCCCCAGTATCGGCCGTCTGAAGGCGGGAAGAAGAACTATCAAACGTGAACAGGCGGCCAGGCACATTCCCGCGTTGCAAACCTTCCGCGAAGATGTTTGGAGAAAGGAAACTGGTCGACTAGAGGACTCGGATGTTACCACACTCGGAATGTTCCAAGAGGCTTTGTCGCAATGCAATGCTGAGGTACCGCCAGAGCTCAGGTCAAGTGATGCATACGGTAGCTGGTGGACTGCGATCCCGAACGGGACCTCGCGTGCAAGGACTGCTTCAGAGAGTAAAGCGAAGAAAACTGCGTATATACCAGAGCTGGTGAAAAACACCGCAGATTCCACCGAAGACGAAACAGACGATGATTTCGAAATACACGAGCATTTCAGGGTAAGCAACACTGTGCCTTTTTATTGCAATTGACGCTGATATTTATAGACGCGTAAAACCTCAAAGCAGCCTACCACGGCACCAGATCCGACGCCACTATCAAAGCAGAGTCAACCAGATCCGAGCGATGCTGAATCTACGGAAGACGATGACGATTTGGATGCACCTGCTAAGAGTCCAAGCCTAAGTACAAACTCGCAAAAGTCGCCTTTGCGCGCAAAGTCGGCAACACCTGAAGCGACTCCTCCGACCAAAGAAGATCCTCCATCCGTTGTGAAGCTAAGGGCGAAAGGCTTCCGAATAGGTGGACAGGCGAAGAAGCAGGTGGCTGAACCTCCGTCCCCGCCGCAAGAGAGCGGAGGTGAGCTGCCGGAGGGAGAGCCTCTGCTACCTCAAGAGTCCATGTTACCGCCAACCTCCCAAATTGATTCGCAAGTAAACACCACGCCCAAGAAGCCGAAGAGAACATTCAAGATTGGAGGCAAAGGAAAGGCAGTGACAGATGGCGACGATTCACAACCCATCATTCCAAACACGACTCGTTTACGATCGCCGACCATTGATCTCACGTCTTCTCCCCCGCCGAACAGAACGGTAGAGGAGCCACCGCCGGTAGAAGAGGTGCCCGAAGAGACACCAGAAGAGAAAGCTGAACGAAGGAGGGCTGAGCTGAAGCGGAGAAATGAGGAAGCGGCCAAGAAGCAGGCACAAACTAAGAAGAAGAAACGATTCTGAGGGATATATCAAGGACTTAGAGCGAAGAGACCACGTGAATCATCACTCTTGGATTGCTACGTGCCGTGAAAACCATGTGTAAGTGTTTTCGGAAGTCTAGCACATTCCCCGCTGAGTGATGTCTCTGTTTGTATCGGTCAAGCTGGATACAAGAATTCGGGCGCCCATCAACCATTCACTCGTGGATATATATCTGTTCCATGGAGGATTTTATCATTTTAGAGCTTGGAAGACTCGCCCACTGATATAACCTACTACACAACTGCGCTCCACTGGGTTGTTTGTCTCTTTTTGGATATTTCACGTTGCGCGCCTTCCTCTTTCACCTGCTGGACCCTTGAGGCTGCTTCACTGTCGAGAAGCCGTATATCCCTTCCACGTAGGTTGTTGTCAATCGCTTATCGAGCGCCACAACATCAATAACGCGCCTTCTCTCACTTTTGGCCACCCCTTCCTTCGTCTGCTTTTGGTCACCCACAACTATCATTGGGCGTACCTGCGCGTCGCGGGCGACAACTGCCACTCACCGCTATGTGTCTCTATCACTACATCTATTTCTCCACTTGTCAACACGCCGAACTCAGCAAAGTGACCTATTGCGACACGGCGATATCTCTCGGCCTGCACAAGCGGTACGTCTCCCAGCACTCGAAATCTACACTCCCATGCTGACAGGAATAGGGACAGTCATTTGTCGCGAGGTGTCAGTGCAGCCAATCACCCACCTGGCCGCCACGGTCCATTGCCTACTCCTCGACCGACACATCCTGCAAACAATAACAGTTCTTCGAATTCGTATAGTCAGCAGCATCATCACAGCATGTCGACACTCACACCCTTCGAGATTGGGGCGCCTCTCGCGTGGGATGTTGCCGCTGCAAAACGAGACGAGCGTTTGGATCAACATGCAGCATATATTCCGCGCTCAGTCCTCAAGGATGGCGTTGTGATCAGTCGGGAGAACAACATAGCACACGCCAGCTCGCTATTGAATACGCCAGACTTCCGAACCTTGAACATCGATATATCCATAGACACTCGGCCATCGCTCCCTGTAGAGCTCACTCACGACGGTAAGGTCATGGAACTCATTGCCCGCTTCGAGACTTGCGTTGGTTGCAAACACTCTGACGCGCCTCAAGTACCTCACCACGATCTCGTCCGCACGTCCACCAAGTCTACCCGTCGGCCCTCTGACTTGGATTCGGAGACCGTCCGGGGGAGCCACGATGCTCGTGCCCGGATCCACGCTGACAGATACACTGTTGGTCACAGTGGCCAAGGGTCTCGCAGCCCCCGCAAGTCAATACCTACACACTGGCTGCCCAAAAGCAGCGGTCCGAACTTGGCCACAGCCCAACGTGCACGGGTCCGCGACGGCAAGAAGGGATCTCAAGGTGGTTCTCCAATCGAAGTGAAAACCCTTCGCGGAACACGCAGCTCGATCGATCTGGCCAGGATGCATGCCGCCGAAGGAGCGACCTTCCTCACCAAGGAGACTCTCGCCGCTGTCGAGAACAACCTCACGTCGCCCTCACTGGCGCACAGTCCTACCAAGCTCCGCCACACTACATCGAAAGCGACGCTGAAGAGTCCTGCCGGATCGCCAATACGCAGCAGTCCGCGACAGCAAGGCACTCTTTCGGTGAAGACGTCGCCGACCAGAATCTCGTTTCTCAGCACCGACCCCGCATCGTCCGACCACAAGCGAGCACCTAGCAGCATTGTCTCATCTAGTGGAAGGGCATCTTTCCATACTGCAGATGGCTCGCCAGTAAGAAGTCCTGCAGACTCTGAGCTCAGCTTCGAGTCGGCTGTAGAGTTTCTTGATAATGTCCATCTCCCTGTTTCTGATGTGAAGGCTAACAGTGAGGATGATCAGATCAAGAGCTCTGGTCGTTTCTCGACATCTCCGACTAAAGCAAAACCAAAGCTCACTCTCGATACAGCTTGTGACACGTTAGCCTTTACGGATCTCAATTCAGCAACCACATCGGCGTCCACTGCCAGTTCTGGAGACGATTTCTGCCAAGGAAGCAGCCCGACCTCACCCCTGCAGGCGTCACGCATACCTCGCATGTTGGCAGCAAACAAGTCAGGTTCTGCGCGTGACTCCAAACCAGCTTCAGCACTGAAGCAGTCAAAATCTGCGTATGCCACATCCCCGCAGCAGACTAAACCGCAGCAGGAATTGCCAATGGAGTCGCGAGGTGCGCCTCGACACGTAGGTCCCAGAACTGTATTCCCGCGTCATGTGCGCACTCTCAACAGCTCAGGCTCAACTCCTATCTTGTCGCGTCACCGCACGATTGAAAAATTGTCATGCTCAAATGCTACGGATCTTTCGACCTGCACCACTGTCCAGCAAGTCGAAAATCAGGCGGATGAAGTCCAGGCACATTCTTCTCGCAAGAAGGAGACACATGCGCATACACAATCAATGTTTGCATCCTCTGACTGCATCGGCACATCCAGTCAAGCATCTAGAGCGTCGAGCGGCTCGACTATCAAAGTTGGGTCAAATATCGAAGATTTCGCTCACGCAAACCCTGTCGTTATCAGTGATCGCAAGAGATCGGACGCTTATGGTACGATACTCGATCGACCATTGCACATTTCTCCGCTCATTGTCATGGTAACTCACATTGTTGACATAGGTTCCGGGTATTCGAATGATGTTCATGACGATACTGCCTCGGTCACTTCCAGTCACGCAACCGTAATCACTCACAATATCTCGCCAGTCCGGGGCAGAAGTGCGCAGTACGTGCCGAACGATCGTAAACATGCAGACGGTGTACGCTCGATGGACTCTAGCTTAGCCTCAGAACTCCGTGCAACTGCTCGAGAGTTTATTCCTGGAGTTTCCCAGGTATCGAAGGATAACAATGCGCTTGCAGGAGAGGCGACACCTGTCCAGCTAGGCGAGTCTTCTGTCATGCCCAACTTTTACACACTGGACAGTTACGGTGTACCGTGTCTCTACTACATGTACCCAGTGCCGTATGTCTATCCTCCAGGCTTCGGCAAGGGCCGAGCGAAGTCGCCGAGAAAATTCCGTCCCAGGAAGCAGCGCCCAACTGCACTTGAACATACTGAACCACAGTACTGCGCTACCCTGGCGGAGATTGCAGAAGCCTCCAATACCCGTGAGGCTGAACCTGAACTACGTCAAGCTTCTCCGTCGCCCGAACACCGCCTTTTGGACGTATGTGTGCCGGAGCTGCTGCAAGTTTCACAACGACAATCTTCTGCTCCGACCCATACAGCACACAGTCTCAAGCCATCCGCACAAGCCGTGTCCCTTGAGCCTGAGGATCGATTTCTGACCAACCACTCTACCGTTCCTTTCGCCTGCCAGATGGACTTTATCACCCGTCAAGCCGCCATCCGTAACAAGGACAATGGCAACACGAAACACAGTCCACCTCCAGATGTCGACCTAACCACAATTCGCAACGTCGGCATCCCCAAGGGTCCGCGCAGTATGCGTTCGGGGCACAACACTCTGCCCTCCCGCCGCCCGTACCGCAGCAATGGACTTTATGGCGGCCGCGCCGCGGTTGGCGTACCGATGTACGCTACGGCTCCTTTCCCGGATGCTGTCGCGCCGATGGGGAGACCGGATCAATACCTGGGGTATACAGTGGGTAGCGATGCGTGTGGTCGTGTGGATATTGACGTCGCGGCTGAGAGGGGTGGAGGCCCGGCGTGCAACGCTTGTGACCCTGATCATTAGGGCGTTGAGGGAGAGTTCGTATGGAATGAGGTGTAATGGCAGGTGTTAGAGTTATTGATAGAGACTCGTTTGTTTTTGGGGTTATGGATACGCAACGATAGTGTTTTGGGCAACGAACGATGCTTGGATGGGCGGTTTTTTGATTGAGTGGTATTGGATATGAAGAATGAATAACGATGTGCATGGTTACATTTGAGAAGTTTTGAGGCTCTCGTGAGTTCCGATCTTGCTGTGCATGGATATCACGTAGTGTGGCAGGATAATGGGAACGATGATTTTCGGAAGAGCGGGATCGCGGTCAGTTCAAGTATCGTATGCACGCACTAGCCATACTCACTTGAAAGTGTGACTGAACTCGCCAGTACTGTGCCTTGATCGTGTCAACCTGTGCGTGCACGTAACGCCATCAAACTGGCTCAAACTAAGTTGGTCTTTGAAATGCTCGGATCGGCGTGATATGGTTACAAACTTCTCTTGAAGTACGAGTTGAGCATTGTCAGGTCGATGTGAAGTCTTGAGTTCAAAGGCTGGGGAACGAAGGAACATGCGGGATGTCACTGTGATCCCGGATATGTGAAGAGTGTATAGCCTGGACATGTGGGGTTTATTCTTTTTATTTGTTTGTGGCTTATCTATGGAAGGTGTCTACCTGATTCTTTCTCAGATCCTTTGTGCAATGCGAGCTGTAGCTGTAGTTGCCTGCATTGCTAGTGGGATATGCTGATGCTGAAGGGGTGGGGTGTGCAAGTGGTGATTGGATGATGCTTGTGTGCTCGAGGAGTGGGAAACAAAAGATGTGTAAAGAAAAGGTGAGATGTACAGGTGGAAAGGGGGAGTACATGAGGTGTTTTTTTTGGGATAGTGGCGCTTCTTGCAGAAATGGAAAGAGGTTGGGATGCATGAAACGGTCAAACCCTTCAAGAGTGATGAACAGTGTCGGTGATCGTAAGCTACGTCCCCTCCCAAACATGACAGTCGACTTCATTTTCCGTAGTACTCCAAGTAAAGCAAGTGAGCAAGACGACCAATCAGGGAAGTGTCATCATGCGGTTCGAGGTCATCATGTTCAGATAAGTATGAGCGGGCCTGCTCAACCCGATTTTCAATGACCGAGTCATTGATGTTGCTTTCATGGTTGGTCCAAATGGGTGACTTGCCAGCTTTCGAGTCGTAATCTGCCTCTCGAACATCGCCTCTTCCATCCATCCATACGACGGGAGGTGGGAGATTCTCGTATTGGGGATACAACTCTAGAATGCGATGAAAGGCGACTACGATACTGCGTCGCATATCTTTGAGCGTCATTGTATAGCGAAGATTCCGTAACATCTGACCATCCGATGAGGCAAGCTCGATGTCTACGCTGGTGTTCCAAGCATAGTCAAGTGTTGCCCAGGCAATGCTTGTGGCGTCGAAGCGAACCTCGTCCAATGGTAATGATTTAGTTAGGTCAAACTTCAAGGTGAACGCCGTCGGAGCCTTACACCAGGATTTATTCCCAGGTACTATTACTCTGTACCAAGAGTCAAGAGTCGATAATTCGCTGGTAAATGAAGTCTTCAGCCTTTTGGTGATCATGCTTGCTCGGATGGTGCGTGGGCAGTGGGAGTCGGTGAGTTCAGAACGTGTGTCTCTGTTGACCATGAAAATAGCCGGAATTTGTGGGCTGACACCTCGATTGGTAAGGTCGAGGGTGATCTCTCTTATTGGTGGTGCTATCTGCTCCATGAGGCACTCCCGGATGTGACTGCTAGCCATGATTCCCTCGAAAGTTTTCGGGTTGCTAGAGTGATGTATTCCTTGAACTTCGCCGCTATCGCTGATGCCGAAGTCAATTCTAGGAAAAGTGCAATCCGTTCTGTTCCCGGTAGGCTTGAAGTGAACAGCGCCATAACGCCCTGTGGAGTTAAGCACAATGTTGATACTACTAAGTATGTGTGGAAATCGTTTGTATCTCGAGATGCCAAGGACGTCGCTGTATGTCAAACAGGTGAACACCTTGTTCAGTTTGCTTGTACCAACCTCGATGTCCCGTAATGTCGCATGTGAGATCCCCACCGGAGCTGTGAGTGACAATTCTAATTTGAGACCAGTATGCTGCCAAAGATGGAGTAAGATAGGCAATACATTCGCGCATACTTCATATCCGTTGGGCATTCCATAATGGATATCAACTTCGATCTCAACAAGAAACTTTCTCACAAACCCTGCTTGGCGCCCGATAGACTTCAACCAGTCCCCTGCTGTTTGTATTGGATATTCAAGGCAGTCGCTTTGAACGACCCGAAAACTGTTCTGAGAGTAGAGGATTCCTGCAGCTTCGAAATTGATCTGGTGGCACGTTGACAGGAATGCAGTGCCTGGGACGATTGTTGAACGCATAATGTGTTCGGGGTTCCACGAACAGTCATGGTCAATGAAACCGTCGAACTCGAAGAGCTGTTTGTAAACTAAGTTTCGAATCTCCGCAGGAAGGGTAAGAAAAGACGGTGCGGCGGAGTCTATAGGTTGAGAAATGTTTGGAATAACATCTGTATCTCTGGTTGACAGAGATGAGGTGTTGGCGGCAGAGTTTCCCATGACGGCAGTGACGGCAGGAACCGATTCAGTTGCGATGGGGAGTGGTTTTGAGCAGGTGACATTGGGCACCACAGAAGCGGTAGCTGAACCCGGGACGTTGGCTACGTCTGTGTCTGGGTCGTCTGTCATGCTCATGGTGCTAGCTGCGGGCGACAGGAGGCTTGCAAACTATCAGCAGCTTTGATCGGAACACAAATTCGCGAGAGAGACTAGCACTGACGTGAAGAGAAACAAGCTCAGTGGTGAGGTGGTTGAAGTGACTAATGGAGAGTGAGGGGAGTACTGAGGACAAGCAATAGATTTGAAGTGAGAGGCGCGTAACTTCCAGACACCCAGACGTGCCTCGTTTGACACTCGAAAAGGGAAAGAGCTACGTCATCATAAGTCATGGTTTTGGTGAAAGGAATGCAAAGCGTGGGCAGTTCGCGTTGGGTAAGAGGACAGTTGCTGATAAAATGTTGAGAGATCGTCAGCTTCCGGCTAGAGAAGGAGTAATGAAATGGGTCGTTGTACAGCTTGAATGCTTCTCAACCGTGGAGTGAGGCGGCCTAACTCTTAAGCGGTATCTCCAGCACGGCTTAGTTTTAGGTGAGAGATAGATTGGAAGGATGCATGGCAAATCCGACCGTTACGAGATCTAAGTCTACGATGCAAGAGGACGAATTGGTCCGTTGAGTGGCTGGCGAAATCTGGGCGCCGAGACTCGTCTCTGAAACTTCCTCCAACCACAACTCATCGATGTCCATCTTATCAACCCTCTCCGCCGCTTGTAATATGGACATCTCCACGCCAGTGTTTCGTGTAGGCTGTTCGCTACAGACTCGGTCTTTCGGAGTGGATCGTAAACCCATTGGCTTCAAATTCGAAGAGGAAGGTGAGCACTACGCCAAGTCTTGCGATCGGCCCTCCCTCCCCACGGACGACGCGGCAACGCCTTTCACCACCTGTCTGTACGCCACTCACGGGTACCTGCAGGGGGGTTGTAGTGTCTGTTCACTAATTGGCTTATCCGCCTCGAGATGAGACTTTCAAGCTTTCTCGAAATAACTCTCTACAGCTTGGAGTCAATGCCACCCAAACCCCAACAGGACATAGTTGTTATAGCTCATGATCATGGCCTTATCAGGAAGGTGAACGGCTCTCCGCCACAGTTGATATCGAAATATAATGCCCAAAGTACAGATGGCCGGGGTTGGAGAGACCCACTTGCCTGTTGTGATCAATCGCCAAGCTCCAGCGGTACATCGCGTCAGAGGATCTCTTGGAGTCGAGTCCAGAAAAGGCAGTCAGGCGATAAGTATAGCGGGAGTGTAAGTTAGTTCACGAGCTCACACTGTCACCTTTTCTCCGGTGGTCACGCTTCGAATAGGCGCAGGGGTTGGAAGATTGAGTCAAGTCAACAAGAGATGGGTGTGGAGACAGGAATACATAAGAAGTGGTAGAGCTCGATTATTGCACAACCACCTTGAGTCGTTGGTTTCTCTCTCGTTCAATCCACATTCGTTGTATTGTTATTATTATCGTCATCATGCGGTCCGCCCTCATCGCCACTTTGGCTTCCTTAGGAGCCGTCGGCATCCGTGCCCACCCTACTGCTCATTCGAACACGCTCGGTCGAAGGGCTGTAGATCTAGAGTCATTCCGCATGAAGATAAAAACTGACTACAAGAACGCCACTGAAGTCTTGTCGGACCCTTCTATTCCATCCCTCACGAGGCGCACTAGTGCTGAAGACATTGCAACGCAATTGGTGAAGACGACCGTACCCGGGGCCACTTTCCGCCTTGCGAACGATCATTATGTGGGCACCAATGGTGTAGCTCATTTCTATTTCAAGCAGACTGCCAATGGTCTTGATATCGATAATGCGGACTTCAACGTCAATGTGAGTACTTCGAGTTATAGGAGTTCCTCAAGCAGGGTCATCCTGATAGAATCTTGCCTCCAAGATGTGCAACAAGAACTCTTGCTAAAGCTGGATAGGTTGGCCGAAATGGAGAGATTTTCTCGTTCGGAAACTCCTTCACCTCAGCTGATGTCTCTGCTCTTCCGAAGTTAAGCAAACGCGATACCGTAGATCCCGCAGACGCCCTCAAATCAGCAGTGGGAGCTCTCCAGCTTCCAGTCTCAGCCCAGAACGCGCAAGCTACTCCCAAAACGGGTGTACAAACCTTTGCTATCACAGGTACCGAAGGAACCGCGTCAGAGCCCGAGGCGCGCCTTGTCTATATCCAGGATACGGAGGGCAAGGTCACCCTCGTTTGGAGACTCGAAACCGATATTCTCAGCAACTGGCTCCTATCCTATGTCGACGCCAAAGATGGAAGCAAGGTTCATGCTGTGGTTGATTACTCCGCCGATGCGAGTTACGAGGTCTAGTGAGTTTTACCGATCAAAACATACCTGAGGTACGACTGACTCTTCGAAGTCCATGGGGTCTCCAAAATCCTACAGAAGGATCGCGTATCGTTATCGAGGATCCGTTTGATTCGCAAGCCAGCGAGTTCGGCTGGCATAGCACAGGTAGTGACAAGTTCACCGCCACACGTGGAAACAATGCTGTTGCGCAATCCAACTGGGACAACGTACAAACCGAATCGCTTTATTTGGGCTTACCTCGGCCGTCTGATCCGAATCTCGAATTTCACTACCCATACTCTTTGAACGAGACAGTATGTTGCAATATCTATTCATGCAGGTGATCAGAGTCCAACTGACAATATCAGGACTACAAGAAATACGTGAATGCCTCAATCACACAGCTCTACTACACCGCAAACGTTTACCATGATCTTCTACATAGGCTAGGCTTCAATGAGCAGGCAGGTAACTTTGAGATCAACAACAATGGTGCAGGTGGCATTGGTAACGACTTTGCCTATCTGCATGCGCAAGATGGCTCTGGGAGCAACAACGCCAATTTTGCAACCCCACCAGACGGCCGACCGGCTCGAATGAGGATGTATATGTGGACGAATACCGAACCCTCGCGGGACTGCTCCTTTGATGCGGGTGTCGTGATTCACGAGTATACCCATGGTATGTACATTGATCATTCACGTACGGTCTGAACCATATTTCTAACTTGAACAGGATTATCCAACCGTCTCACTGGTGGTCCCGCAAACTCTGGATGTCTAGCTCTCTTGGAATCAGGGGGTATGGGTGAAGGTTGGGGCGACTTTTACGCAACAGCTATTCGCCTCAAGCCTCAGGATACCCGGGAAACCGACTATGCCATGGGCGAATGGGTCAATGGCAATGAGCTGGGAATCCGCGCATATCTTTACTCGACTGATATGGCTGTAAACCCACACGTGTACACAGATGTTAACGCTATTACACGAGTCCACGGAATCGGAACGGTGTGGGCTACCATTTTGTATGAGGTTCTCTGGAATCTGATCGACAAACACGGAAAGAACGATGCTGGAACTCCTGAATTCGATGCAAACGGTGTACCGACTGATGGTAAATTTCTTACGATGAAGCTTGTGTTGGACGGTATGGCGTTACAGCCATGCAATCCTACCTTTATCTCTGCACGCGATGCAATCATCGATGCGGACAAGGCTCTTACCGGTGGATCCAACGCGTGCGAGCTGTGGAAAGCCTTTGCGAAGAGGGGTGTGGGTCAGGGCGCCAGGTATATGGTCTCCAACAGGGAAAATAGCTTCGTGGTTCCGGAAGGTGTATGTTGAGAAGAAGTGGTATGCTTTGGCGCGTGGAGCGTTGATCATCGTTCATCGTAGACTTATGATTTCATATTCTGTTAGCACTAATGATAATGCCAAACTTCCAAACTCAATTTCGATGACATAACTTGCTGTCATTGAACGGACAAATCTACCTTGCTTATGTGATCGTCGACGTACCATGAACTGGTTACTCTGAAGCAATGGAAAGAATCTCGATCACGGCTTACAGCAATGATCTCCTTATAGATTTGGAGAATCATGGCACTTGTGACTCCAAATTGCGTGACGTGCATTGTATCGTACCATTATTGTATTTGACGAAGCACGTAGGGGATTCAATCAACGCTGGAAGACTCACTGCTACCATAACTAATCGAATCTCGGCACTCCCAACATTTAATTGATAATCTATGGGAAGAGTAGACACTCCCGTAGTCGGGTAGCGAAACTATGAACCGATGAAGTCCAAACGATGCAACGTCTAATGTCAGAAATGGCGAGGAAGACTTACGAAAAGAAAGATGAAGGGAGAGCGTCGCACAAGTAGACGTTGAACCATGCGTGATGATCGCGTTGACCAAGCAAGAGCATGCTAGGAAGCGCGTAGTGGAACAATACTATTGAGTATGTCTACGAACACCACCAAACCCTTACACAGTGTGCAAACTTGTGATAGAAAAATAGTAGGGTATGAGTGTGTACATGGAAAATGGTAAGACGAAACGAAGGAAGAAACTCAACTTAGGGTATCGTAAAGCGTGTAACATCAATGTAACCATTCAGTCGCGCCGTACGCCCAGTTCCTCGAACAAACAGATAAAGAGTGCAAGCCGGTCTGAAACATTCGAAAAAGCAAAAGGTATCGTTAAGTCGTGTGATGAAAGTACCTATTGAAGGTGCATATAGGGCAAAAAAGAAGGTGGGTGTTCGGCAGGACTCGGAGTGTATCCGTGATGTAGTTGGGGTTTGTAGTGGTCGTATGTATCTGGCGAAGGATCGATCTCCATCCATTTACGCACACACTGTCGAGGCGTCCATTTTTCCTGCGCGCCAAATTCGAGCATCTGCAACAGTCAGCTTGCGATAAGGAACATATGAGAACGGCCGGTTATGTACCTTTTGCGCAATGATTTCGAATTTGTGTTGTGCCCAATATTCAGTCGCCATGCGAAGAGCCTCGACATCCACTTCGGTCCACACTCGCATCCTTTCCCGTAGACGTTTGAGACGCATCTGCAGCGCCGGGATCTGGTATGTTTTTCCTAGCTCGGACTGGAACCGAGCTGCGATATCTTTCCATGGCATTCCATCTTCTTCTTTGAGTTGCAAGAGTAGCTTGTCTTCTTCGCTGAGTTCTAATTGCTGGGAGCCAGTGGAGTCCGATCGTTTCTTTCGCTTTGACTCATCTACAACCTCTCCATCTTCCTCCCGATGCCTCTTGATTGTACTCGATCTTGGGGCTTCCATGGGTTGAGGTGCGATTGGAGTCCATAGACGTCGTGGTTGCGGTGAAGCGAGATGGTTTGACGGAAGTTCCAAAAGGGGCTCGCTCAAGCGTGGATTGCGAATCAAAGAAGGAAACGTCGGGTAGTAAGAATCGTGTTGCATGGTGGGTGTGTGTATCCCGAAAGGGCTTGAGGTCCATGAAGCTGCGACAGGTACGGGTTGCAATAGGTTTGGACTGCTATGAGGACGATCGATGGGGTGTGAACCTATGTTCAGACTTGTCGATGACTTTTCTCTCATGCAGTTTGGATCTGATTGTGGCTCCTCCGATGGCCGCCTGGACTCAGGTACAACAGAGTCTCGCGAGTAGACGGAGGCTGGAGAAAACGCCGCCAGTGAAGAGTTCATTCGCGCGAGTGGTACCGAGAGCTTTCCCACATATGATGAAGTAGGCGTGGGTGGAGACAGCGTAATGGAAGATGTGTGTGGAGGTATGTATTGATCATATAAATTATAGCCTGACTAGAGGGTAATCGTGTGAGCAGTGTCTCGACTAGTATTAGGGGAGTGACGCACCTCTATGTGGCACTCTGTGGCAGAAGTCGCGGCGCCGTACCAGCCGGATGTCGGTAGAGTGCTCATGTCTTGTAAGGGTATCGGGCTCTTAGACGTATGTGGCATGTAGGACTGTAGGGATTCGGGAGATACGGGCATCGGTGTGGAGTAGAACGTGGGGTAGTCGTGAGGACTATAAGGAGATGGCCACGAAGTTGATCTTATTTGTGAAAGGTGTGGCGCGGGCACAGCACTTTCATGTCCGACAGACATGGAGGCTGGCTTTGTAAATCGGTCGAATAGTAGTCAACGTAGCTAATAGAATGGATGACCAGTTAGACGAACAGGTCAACGCATTGATCCGCCGGAGCTCGAGCTGGTGATGTAGGGAGCAGATGGGGCGTGCCGCAGCCATATTTATCACAAGTCAAGATGTCGATAGAGGAGATTGGAACTCCCGTCAACTCCATCGAGCCCCCAGCCAAAGGATCCTGCCGTGCACTGACTTAGAAAAGACCTGCAACATTAGCGCCCAATCCGTCACCCTCCTCTGTGAACATCCCTTTCCAGTCTAGTGCTATCAACCCTGGCCGCCATGTCATTACGCTGGAGCCGCGAATTGGCTAGCGATGTCTGCCTCTGGACGGTTATGCCCGGTCCAATTACTGCCCAGGAACGGGCTGCTAAGATTGGCGTTAATGTGCTTCAACGGCAACGATCGCGGTCGCCTAGTACGGGAGCAGCCTCGCTCTTCGATATTGTGTCGAGGCGTTGTCGCGTTAGCAACTACAGATCGCGAGTAACTATCCCTGCACGTGCGGATCTCTGTTCAATCATGACCCACAGAGAGACAAAGCACGAATGGTCGGGAGTGCCTAGCGAGGACAATCTCTCTTCGATGCACCGTGATATTGATCAAACGGTGCTGGTGGCGCCATATAATCCCGTAGCAAGGGTGGAATTCCTTCGCGCGGGTCTTGAAATTTCGCAGGCCGCCATTCGACGATGAACCTATTGCGCCCTTGATGTGCAGCAAAATGCCTGCAAACGGATCACGAAGGGAGGAATGGCGCCTAAATGAATGGAAATAGCGGGTAAATTTGGAAATGACCGTTAATATCTACATCTTGAGAGGCTACTTGGCATTCTTTTCTTCCATATTGCGCCACATGCATCATCCCTTGCTCCACTCTCGCTGTGATAGTTATCAGACCTCACAGAAGCGCTTCATGAGACTGTCAAAAGCTGCGCCGCAGATACTTACCCCTACTGCTACCATCCTTTTCCGCCTGGTCGAAAGACGATCACGCTTCGTGGGCGGGTAAACCTCGCTGATGCTAAGATTATTACTCCCGTTGATTTGAGATCTTCTGCCAGCAGTTTACTGGAGGTTCATGACGAGTCGTGCGGCTGAGCAAGGTCCAGGAGACGCGTCGCTCGATCTTCTCGTTACGAGGTTGAAAGCACAGCGTTCTTCACCAAATTTTAGATTCTCAGAGCTCATGACTCCTAGTAAGTTGTTCTGTCTGGTAACCTAGAAACGTCGTTGTTCTTCCTGGATGATACGCGAACTTGTTTCTGTGCTTCCTTGCATAGGCAAGGGGCCTTTCTCAATACCTCCCATTGAATGGGTAGGTCATGCGTGTTATTTTGGTGTAATTCCGATTTCAATCTTGTGTCAACCTACCGGATTCCCCAACGGCCAAACATGTGCTCATATTTGAGGGTTCTCCAGTTTATCCCTATCTTGTGTGGTTGGTTATTACGTCGTTGTGCTTGTGGAGGTCTCTGCTAAACAATTTGAGGAAAGATTAGATTGTGATCAAAGTCGGCCACGCATCTATCTCGAGCTGGTCATTTGTAAAGGCCGTTCAGTGTTTCCCACGAATCAGAGCGCTTTTGTGGGGATCCAGGGGTCAAGTTCCAAAGCGGAATAGCGTGTGATGCAGGCCAAGACTGAGGGTTCCAGCTGGATGTTTGGAGCATGACCGTCAACCAGCTGTCTAAAACGTCACGTTTCTCTCACATCCCAACGGTCCCTGTTCATCATTACTGTGAGGCCAGAATCGTCTCCAAGATACGCCCTCCTCATCTGCGTCGCCTCGCGCCCGCGCCCAAGATCCTGCGACCCTGCGACCTTGCGACCCGGCACCAGGCAGCGGGCCTCGTGCTGTGTAGCTACTGCGTAGTTGCGCGATGAAGTTCAATCTTTTCCATATACTCGGCGACGTGTCGCACACATCGTCGAAGCTCATACTGATATGGGCCATACATTCCAATAGCAGCGCTGAAGGTAAGCTGGCCCCTCGTCTTGATATTGAGAACTCGAGCTGACGCGTACATACATAGGTGTTTCTCTTATCACACAAGTCCTCTACGCTCTCGTTTTCAGCACGCGCTATCTCGACATATTCACATCGTCGGCGACAAGCGATATTTGGCATACATGGAATTTCTCTTTGAAGGTGCGATTAGCCGGCGTGCCATCGCGTTAACAAAGCTGACGTCTGCTAGATATTCTACACCCTATCGTCATTGTACATCATCTTTCTGATGACCAGCGTATACGCACGCACAAGGGAACGGGAGAAGGCATGGAAGCTCGGCATGTACTGTCTGCTGGGTAGTGTTGTCGTCGCACCCTTCTGGTTCCTGGCATTCAAGAAATGGGTCATTGGCCACAGTACATTTCTGAGGGTAGGCAACGACTCCACCTACACAATAACTTGAGCTCTGTAACTGACACGCAGTAGTTTCTTTGGGTATTTTCCGAGATTCTCGAATCTGTTTGCGTCATCCCACAGCTATTGCTCCTCCGCCAAACAACTGTTCCTACAGTCGTCGACTCGTTTTATCTAGTTGCTTTGGGTACTTACCGCCTCATGTACGTTTTGAACTGGATCGTTCGCAGCACCAGCGAAAAAGGCTATATTGACCCCACGAGCTGGGTGTGGGGCTCCATTCAGACAGCTCTGATAGTCGACTTCGCATGGGTTTACTACACAAGACAACGTGTCAAGTTGCGACGAGGCGGTGTTGTAGATTCAGAAGATCTAAGTCGCGGTTGGCTGGTTGGACGTTTCGTTGGCAACAAGCACGTCGACTTCGATTTTGATGAAGAAGCTGCTGCAGGCCACACTCAAGACGAACACCCACAGAAGAAGTGGGGCAGACGTGGTATTTCTGTTTCCGCGGACGAGGGTATCGAGGGAGCACCCCGCAGGAAGACGCGTGGTGCGAACCCAGAATCACAGCCTCTGGCGGATCCGGCGGCGTTTGAGGACGAGAGTGACGATGAAAGTCCACTTGTCGCGTCTGCTCCATCTTTAGCTGCTCATGACAGCGGTGTGAGGGGAGACGAGTGGGACGATGATGTGGATGATGATGCGCGGGAGCACACTGGTGCTGCGAGATGAATTTCGAGCAGATTTTGAAAACAATGTGATCAGGAGCCTGGTATCGTCTACATGATCTACACCCTAACTATGTCTTGCTAGCGAATCTACACAGTTCAATTGAATCTTCAGCATCGTGTAGGCTGTACCTAGCCTCATCAATGTCGCTGTCTTCTTTCTAGGCGCCTATCCATCCACAAAAGGACGCGTGACGTATCAATTAATCATCGCTCTTATCTCCGTTACGTCCACCCCGCACTCTCTTGAACCCAAACATGGACATACAGCCCCTTCTGCATCTAGTCACTACTTAAAGCATGAGAACCGCACTCTCACGCCTTGGTAACATACGCAACCATCTTGCGAACTTTCACACGTCACTGCCAGCCATGGCAAATCTCACCATCAAGTCCAAATATCGCATGCCATCGGGCTATGAGATACCAGTCCTCGGGTACGGTGTGTACCAAACCCCCGCAGAAGTAGCCTCGGAAGTTGTGCAGCACGCGCTGGAGGTAGGGTATCGACATGTAGATTCTGCAGTCGCTTACCGCAACGAAACACCTTCCGCCGATGGCATGAAGAAGTCTGGCATTTCCAGAGAGGACTTGTTCTTTACAACCAAGATCCCGCCCAAGGATATGCGTTACGAAACCGCGAAAGAGCATATCGAGAACACGCTCAAGATCACCGGGTTTGATTTTGTCGACCTCTACCTCTTGCATTCTCCATATGGCGGCAAGGAGAACAGAATCGGTGCCTGGAAAGCGCTTGTAGAGGGCGTCGAAACCGGCAAGATTCGATCAATCGGAGTGTCGAACTATGGTGTGCATCACCTTGACGAGTTGGAAGCATGGATCAAACAGAGAGAAGAGGAAGAGGGCAAAGGAAAGGCAGGTGTGATCAGTATTAATCAGATCGAACTCCATCCTTGGCTTGCGCGGAAGGACATCGTGGAATGGTGTAAGAAGCGAGGTGTACTTTGCGAGGCGTATTGTCCAATTGTGCGCGCATCGAAGAACGAGGATCCACTGTTGCTCCCACTAGCGAAGAAGTACAACAAAACACCGTCTCAGATCTTGATAAGGTGGAGTTTGCAAATGGTATGTACCTTTGTCATCTACCTCTCGAAGCTGCTAACGCCCACTCAGGGCTTCATTCCTCTTCCCAAGTCCGTGACCAAGTCTCGCATTGAAGAGAACGCCAATGTTTACGATTTTTCGCTCACGGAAGAGGACATGAAGAGTCTGGACACAGGGGTATATGAGCCTTGCGCATGGGATCCTACGGTCAGTCATGATTAATCGAATGCTTTTTAGAAAAATGAACCGCTCTTTCCGAAGCACTTCTATCACAAAAACCGAAAATGAAACGTGGCGATTTCCCCGGGCACTCCACAGTCTGTTTGCGGTAGCTGGAAGTGCTATGTATCCTGTACGAGTCAGCCATGACAACACTCGCACGTACGAGGGTCGCTAGATAATTCAAGGCCAGTGGCAATGTAAACTATACGATACTGAGCGAATCATTAGAAAAGTTTGGACCTGTTGCTTGCCTGATGTAGGAATCTGCTTGATTTAATAATGATCTATGGAGCTTCGACTTTTTCACTTATCACCTGGGGTCCAGGCAACCACAGTTGTTCTCGATGGTAATATGTGACATCCTGGTAGTCTGAGTTTATTTATCTTCTTTACATTCTCCTAATTTTCCTCTGATTGACTGAATTTCAATGCCAGTGCCATCATGCGTCTGACCTCTTCCATCGTCGTATTCTCCCTCCTCCCCGCCTTCATCGTAGCACGCCCATGGGTACCCACAGATGAATGCCCCATAACAATAGCGGTCAACATATCGAACCGAGAAGAATGAAGGGACAGAACTCAAGAACGTAACATTCTGGATAGGAGATTGGCATAGACCTTGGAGCGGTCCCATTCATGATCCTCCATGGCTAGAGGGAAGGCGGAGCAGGGTTATTTGTGGGCTTGAGGGCGAGGATATCTGGTGTAATGTGGAGCGTAGAGAACTGTACTGGGAAGTGGAGGATTGAGAGGAGGACGATTAATGGCTGGTAAAGCATCAAGATAATCGTTGCCTTTACCAGTTGAGTCAAGTATGGATACGAAAGCGATAAATCCATACATTTTGCATCAAACAGCTTGAACGATTCATTTCGCAGCCATCATCTCCAGCATCTTATCCCCGATCGCATTAGCACTCATCGGGTTATCCCCCGTAATAACCTCCCGATCCACAGTGATATTGCCCAAGCTCTTCGCAACACCCTCAATCATCTCCGCCCCATTATCCCTCAATGTACTCTCACACTTGTCAATCTCGCCGCGGAAGATCGTCTCCATAAGCTTCTCTTCCACATCCGACCAGCACGTAAGCTTATACCCCTTGTACGCAAACGCCTTCTCAGGCCCATACTTTGTCGACAAAAACGCCCAAGGACCATGACAAAGCGCTCCGGTAGGTTTCTGCTTTTGATGAAAGTGCGAGAGTATGCGTCCCAACTCAGGGTTATCGCCTAAATCGCTCAACGGCGCATGCCCACCAGGGATAAATACACCGCTGTACTTTTCCAGATCGCTATCGCTGATGTCTGAGAATTTACGCGGCTGGCTGAATCCGTTCTCTTTCTTCATCTTCTCCATGAGCTCTAGTTCGCGTTTCTGCTCATACCAGTTCCCTGCGAATGCTGCGAGGGATGTGCTGAGGGGGTCTGGGGTTGGTTCCTTGCCCTCGGGCGATGTGAATGTGACTTCGTAGCCGGCGTCGAGGAACTTCTGGAGAGGCTTGGCGAGCTCCATGAGGAAGTAGCCCGAATCTTGCTGGATGGTTTTGCCTTCATTGCCGGTGTTGTGCAGGGGGAAGGAGTGTGCGTCTGAGACGATGATAAGGAGTTTTTTGGACGACATGGTGGGTTTAGATCTGGAGGACTTGATATGATTCGAATGTTGGGAAACGTTTTTCGGGCGATGTTAAAAGGGTTTGAAAGATGCTGTGGAAATGTTCAGTTGACGTTGATGTTGACGTTAGTAGGAATAAATACCCAGCACGATGATCCTCCTTGAATGAATATGACGTCAGAGTATGTCACCGACGTCTCTATTGTTCTGCTACTTTCTCTCGTACAGTTGCACTCGCACGGTCAACCTCGGCAAGTTCTTGCATGTGTTTGACCTGTAACTACATTGCAGATGAAATGACGCAGATAATCACGTGGTATGTCATGTCCGTCTTGACAATAAATTCATTCTCACCTCAGCAAATGAAATGAAGTGCTGCGGTAAGCCCGATTCGATGTTCTCAATGGGCCTACCTACTATTGGTGATACTTACAAATGACTGTCGAAGATATCTTCATTGACGTCGCCCATGCCTTCCCGTGTTTGTTCTTGTCGCCGCGAAACCACTCCCAGTTGACAACTTGGGATACCTCATATCCCACCCTCTTCCCATCAGACTATCTTCACTGTGTCTCACCACTCCGGTCTGACTTCATGAGTGATCAGCCATCCCTGACTGTCATGGGGAAGCTTGCATTGCATGTCTTCGCAAATCCCAAGCTTATGCTTCATAGAGCACCTCCATCGAGTACATAGGGTGTCGTTCTCGGTACAGTTGCGGCATCGAGATTTCCCGTCGCATGAGATATTCTTCGCATAACACTCAGCGCAGCTGATGACAGTACTGGGGAGCTTAGTTAGAAGGGCAGGTTTGACTAGGTGCGCGCCACCTCGAAGACTTTCGCCATTCTTTGAGAGAGCCTTGACACGGGCCAGGTTCAACGCCAAGTCACGCTGGGCAATTCTAAGATCATTGCGCTGTCTATCGCAGAGACTGCTCTTCTCGCGGAGCTTCTGCTTTAGGTCATCGATGTTCTCCTGATCCATCTTGAACTTGAGCCTATCCAGCTGATCTTCGAGGTCGGTAGCTCTCTTGTGTTCCTCAAGGTGCTTGTGCTTCAAATCGTTGATCGTCTTTTCCCTTTTCACAAGAATCTCAGTGAGGTTCTGAGCCCGAGCCATATGGTCACGGGCTTTGACCTGCGCTCTGATGGCGTCGTCGCGCTCCAAGACCATCTTCTGAAGCTTGTCTTCAATTTGGCGCGTGGACAGTCTCTGCATGCCGAGCTCACGATCCTTGATGGTACCGAGACTGGCTAAGGCGCCATCGTGGTTCTTCTGGATGGCCTTTGCCTCTGATAGTTGTTTTGTGAGATCTGCCACCTCGAGTTGGTACTTCTTGATCTCGACGGCCTGCTGCGCTAGCGAGCGACCCATATCTGCCTTCTGTGTCTTGTTGCTTTCGTTCTGGTAGCGAAGTAGGCCGAGTTGTGTCTCTGCTCCATCTTTCTGGTCGAATACCGCATGGTTGTGTTGTTCAAGAATGGAAACCTTATTCCGCAGCTCGCAGTTTTGTTCCCCCAAGCTATTCAGGTCTCTGCCCATAGTTTCCCATACGTGCTTACTCACGTAGACCTTGGAGTTTTGAGAAGGCTCGAATGACGACAACGGAGGCTGGGTAGAGGCAGCAGGTGTTGGTGGCTCGACAGGACCTAGATAGGTAGGACGCTCGAAGACGGAACGAAGAGGCGACTCCTCGTTCGATGGTGAGGGCGTCTGTGGATGGTGTACATTGGTAAGGGTGTCTTCGATCGGATACAGTTGAATCTGGTCGAGCAGAGACTCCAGATGTAGAATACCCGGCTCCCTGTTCCCCAATGCTTGAGGTGATATGGTGCTCTCGCTGAAAACGGAAGCGTCCTCATCTCCATCCAGATACGCGGCAACAGAGCCAGCGCGGTGAAACGGTTTCGCCGTAGGTGAGAGTACATCGCGGTGAGCAGCATCCAGACTCGCAATTCGCATGCCTGAAGGGTGTCAGCATGTGATCAGCCAATGGAGTTAGCGCATCTCACCGTTCGTCTTGACAGACAAGGGTGGCTTTCGGGTAGGCGGCGGGACTGGAGTATAAGGTTCCTTGGCTCTCATCAGGCCTGTCAAGCTGGAGAAGCTGTCCCGCTGCACTGGCTTATGACAGGTTTCGGCCACCGTCCTACCGATAGAGCCAAACCTTGTCGGCGAGACGGCGTTGAAGACCCCACCATCGCTGCTATCCACAAGGCTGATGAGGTCGTCTTCGGTGTTTGCGTCTGAGCACGGTCAAAGACTGGAGCAAACAAAAGTGCGATTGGGAACTTACACAGGGCCATGTATGCGTCGATGGAGGCGATACGTAGGGAAAAGACTGTGGTTGTCCGGTGATGGAATGAGGGTGTTGTCGAATGTGAGAGGAAATCGCAGTCACCGCGTGCCAAGAGAGTGGATTTCGGACTCGGGCAAGAACAAGGCGATATATGGACAGCGCGCCACGTAGCGACTACCGTGAGTGAAGGTAAGGCAGAGCGACCTTCTCTCGTGTAGTCAGCTGGCGGTGAGATCTCGGCACGAAGAGCTATAGAAGATAGGTAAAACAAGAAGTCGCTTATCACCACCTCTACGTTTGCAATCGATCCGAGCACTTCTTTGACGTACGCAACTGAATCGAGAGGTTCAAGCAATTCTTCTGGAAAGCAGTCGTACATGTTGAAATAAGCCAGACCAATGAGCAATGTAAACAAGAGATGACACAGGAGCACGTTGGACTAAGACACCATAATTGAAGTATTCAATAGTGATCGTACTCGCGGTGTAGTAACGCAATACACACTCAGTAGGACTGTCTTGATAGCATCGTGGCAACGTGCTTGAAAAAATGGAAATTGGACATGTAATGACAGGTATTGAGTACAAAAGAGGGGAGATGTAACGAGATACATAAAAGTACTGAAATACTCACTGAGGCTGAGTTCCGCGGACACAGAGCTGCTATCCAGAGTCTAGTGAAATCAGCGAGAGCGTAACCACGTGAACCCCTAGATGGAGCTCTAGATTCTCGGTGGAGTGCCTCATCGTCCAAACTTTTTCAGCTCCCACATCCTCAATGGTGGATACACGAGTGCAGCCCAGGCAAATCCCACAAAATTGCCCATCTACCATCAGTCAGCAAGTCAATTCCAAACCAAGCATTGAGTAAGACTCACGTCACCCCCATAAGTCCCCACCAATTTCGCAATCGGCCCAATGTACCAAACCTGACTCATACACAGGATTGCACCCACCCAGCCCAACAGAAAAGCGATCAACGCCGCAATACCCAGCGGTAGCTTATCTTTTTGGTTCCACGCCTCCCAAATGAATCCCGTCTTTCTCCTGAAGATGAAATGCTCCTCCAATATAATAGCGACCCACGCGGCGACAAAGTAGCCCATGAGCGCTAGGAAGTTGGTGAAGATCTCAGCGAGGTGTTCACGCCCAGCAAGTGCACAAACGGTAAATATGATGACACCAACCGTATTCCATACCACACGCGGAATAGCTCCAGTCCAGCGACCGAGAATCTGGGCGTCGATGCCAGAAGAGTACGTAGGAACGATAAGATTTGCGACGAGGCCTAGGGCGACCACGACGCCGCAGAATGATCCGAAAGTGCCAAGGGGCTCGTATGCTTGTACGATAAGCGCGCCTTGGGATGTTCCGTATGCGGCTTCCCATGCCGGGTTAGTTAGCATGCCGCAGGCAAGGCCGATTCCAAGCACGAAAGCGAATGTGAAGCTACACATCAGACCGATCAAAGTCATGCTGAATATTTTCCAAGAAGACGCATACTCGGGGTAGTAGACGCTTGCAAGCACGTTAGACTCCATTATCAGCAGTTAGAGCGAAGCTGCTTACAAGAAGTCTGCGGCTCCCCCGCCATATGTAATCGCCGCCGCAAGATTCAGACCAAAGAAGCTGATGCGGTTGCCTACGATTGTGTCTGGGTTCGAATCACCTTCAGATATGGCGGAGATATTGAAGTGTGGGCCTGCGACACCTGCTAGGATGCAGAGTACGACAAGTTGGGGCAGCCAGGCCCAGCGCTCATAGAAATGGAAGATTTGATAGCCAAACGTGGTTACAGCCCATGCGATGACTGCGACAATTATTATACCCACTACAATGGACATGTCATTGCCTGACACAGCGGAGAGAATCTGGCCGGCGACTACACAATCAATCATTGCATATCCGAGGAGGACAATGAGATTGAGGATCACAACAAGCTTCGAAGGCCACCAGCCCATGATGTATCTGAACCTACATCAGCATCACGCGCGATTTCCGAGTGAACAAGGTGCGCACCTCGAGATGATCATGGTTCTGTTTCCACTCTTTGGGCCAAAGGTCGCAATGTACGCTACGGCGAGACAGCCAACAAATGCCCCGAAAACAGCCAGCAAACAGCTGTCCAGGAAGCCTAGACTGAAGACGGCAGGACCTAGCATACCCAGCGTGATGTTGTTGGCCGCCAGATTGACGGAAAACCACATAATGGCGACCTGGGAGTACCCCAAGGAGCGCAAGTCCTGTCGTTCATCTGGCTCGACGCGTTGGATTCCACGCGCCTCGAGGTTGTACGCAACAAGCTGCGTCTCGAGGGCCTTGCAGATTCGCTGCAGCCTTGCTAGCGCGGTGATGTCTTCTTGTTGTGTCACATGTTCGGTAACAGGCAAGATGTGGTTTACGTTTGTCGTGGGTGGATCGAGCTTCGCATTCTCGGGCTCGTGGGCGATCGAAGTCATGGCGGCGACCTAGGCGCATTAGTAGCAGGCTCGATGGAGGGGCGCAAAGCATGAGTCCTTTTCGCAGGAGTTAACCTGATCAAGTTCAGACCGTATTTCTCAGATCACTGCCATGACTTCTCCTCCGCGACTGGGGTACAAGGAAGAGAAGAAACAGCAGCAAACACCGGTCTCATGCAATGGCTATCAGAGATACCTTGATCGGGTGGGATTCTGCTACTCAGCTGCATCTTGGCTGTTGTTGCCCTACTTGCGGAGTACAGTGCGACGTGCACTGGGAGATCACTCTGATCGACTGAGCACTGACTGATGGGGCGATGTTTGAAGGTTGAGATTTGACTCGAATCGCATCAGCCCTTCGAGCTCGGAAAAGTCCGTTGCCACCCCACTTTAACGCGGGGATACCCCGGCAGTATTCCTGCGGTTGTTTCATTCACCACGGCAAGGCCGTGTTCGCCCGCGCTCGATAATCTCTGCAGTATACGAGGTGCCTCCGTCCCCAGTCAGCCTCAACCGCTTGGCCCATAAATGGTAGTCGTTTCCGACGTTGACAAGACCCCTGCACGGCATGTCACCACCGCCAGCAACTCCCGCAGCTGCTCCAAACCCCTACAGATCAACTGCCTCGCAACATGGTCTCGCGAGGTTACCTACTCATGATGCTGGGGTTCGCAAAAGAAGATCTTCACCTCGCTTGTGGAATCGATATCATCTCTGCATGCCAATGCCAGCATCTTTATTGAGCCAGTTCATGCAGATTCCTTACCCTGTGCATCGTGTTGCCGTAAACCTCGCATCTTTGAATCAACGCTAGCAAGAGGAGATGAGACTGGAGATGGTCATGTTGTCGACGGATTATCGGTTGCGGAGAGATCAGAGCCATTAAACTCTCCTAGGCCTAGTGCCCGAACTGAGCCTCACGGAGCTCAGGTACCTAAACTGCTAGAGTTGTTCCCAGGGACGAGATTTCGCGGTAGTCCGGTCGGCGGCTATCTGCGCCGTACTCAATACAGCGGGTCTACACATGTCGTGGAACATGGGTCGGTCAATTAGTTTTGTTCCAGAAAACGCGTACAAGTATAAAGACCCAACTATGGAATTTGTCTTCTTTCATCATCCCACAACTCATCATGTTTTCCAAGGACGTTTTGCTGCTCATTGCAGGCGTGTGGCCCGCCTTTGGCCTTGCTGCCCCAACTCTTCATGCGAGGGATGGCTACAACAGCACATGCCGCAAGACTACCGTGGCGATTCTGTATGTTCTTCGCCATTGACTACCCAAGACTGGCCTACTAACAATTTTCCACAGAGGTGGTGGCGTCGCTGGAGTAACAGCAGCAGTAAGTTCATTGCACAGACCACCACATGACATCCGCTAAACAAACTATAGCATGCCCTTCACAACCAATCAGTCACAGACTTTCTCATCGTTGAGTACAACAGTGGCATTGGCGGCCGGATGCGAAACACCAAGTTCGGATCAGACCCCAACGGAAACCCCTACCTCGTAGAACTGGGAGCCAACTGGGTCTCTGGAACCGGCACCCCCGATGGACCCGAAAACCCCGTTTGGTCGTTCGCCAAGCAAGCCAATCTAACAGCGCCATTCTCGGATACTCGCTCCATTGCGACGTATAACGAGACTGGTGCGGTCAACTACACCTACCTCATCGATGAGTTTGAGGATGCTTGGGCCAAGTTTGAGCAGAACGCCGGTACTATCTTGACAGAGAATCTGCAGGATATGAGCGCGAAAGCAGGTTTCTTTGAAGCTGGATGGAAGGCGAAACAGAACGCCATGCGCAAGGCGGTCGAATGGTGGATGTGGGACTGGGATGCCGCACAGACGCCCGAGGAGTCGAGTTTGGTGTTCGGTATCACCGCTTACAACCTCACGTACTACCAGTTTGCGGAGGAAAACTACTTCAGCGTTGACCAGCGTGGATTCAACACATGGCTCAAGACACAAGCATCGTCATTCCTCGAGGCAAACGATACCCGACTGATGTTCAACACTGTGGTAACCGACATCAACTACTCAGAGACTGGTGTCACCGTCACCAACGAGGACGGCTCATGCATTGAAGCCGACTACGCGATTTGCACCTTTTCCCTCGGTGTCCTGCAAAACGATGTCGTCACCTTCACCCCTGAACTGCCAAGCTGGAAGCAGACTTCCCTCGCCACCTTCTCCATGGGTACTTACACCAAGATCTTCCTCCAGTTCAACGAGACCTTCTGGCCGACAGACTCGCAGTTCTTCCTCTACGCGCACCCCACAACCCGTGGGTACTACCCCGTCTGGCAATCACTCTCAATTGATGGTTTCCTCCCCGGCAGCAACATCTTGTTTGTGACCGTCGTAGATGAGCAAAGTTACCGCATCGAGGCTCAGGATGACGAGACAACAAAGGCAGAAGTCATGGCCGTCCTCCGCCAAATGCTCCCCGACACCGACGTCCCAGACCCAATTGACTTCATGTACCCCCGCTGGACGTTGAACCCCTGGACGTTCGGCAGCTACTCCAACTGGCCCGTGGGCACAACCCTGGAGATGCACCAGAACCTCCGCGCGAACGTCGACAGACTGTACTTCGCCGGTGAGGCTACGTCGGCCGAGTACTTTGGTTTCTTGCACGGTGCGTGGTTCGAGGGACAGGAGGCGGGCAAGCGCATTGCTGGCATGGTCACCAAGGACTGCGAGAACCAGGATGGCGGATGTGGAGAGTATGTTAACTACGAGGTCCTGCACGGAACCACGGAGAGGGAGGAGTACAACGCTACCAACGGCATGGGTGCTGATCCCATGTTCTATGCGGATAGTGGTGAGGAGGAGGCTTAAACGGGGTGATGCGTTTGAGGAGCGTTTTTTTTTTCTCAAAAAGATATACAGCTGATCTGACGAGTGTATGAGTCGGGCAGTATTAGTTACTTCATAATCAATTTTCTTCCACCTTTCAACCCTGATATTAGTCGGTGATGATGTGACAATTTGTTTCACTTCTCATCAAAGAACGAGGAGCTCCTAAAGCTGTTATGCATCTCACGTTTCATTGTGATACAGTGCAAAGTTATTCAGCGCGATATCACGCACCGTATCAGGTATTGCGGTTCATCAAGAGCATATCACAAGCAACTCATGCACGCCCGCTGCCAGACATCCCCGCCTTTAGTAGATCTCGCCATGCTTCCCTACACTACCATGTACATCCCTTGTCTCCCTGTGGACACAGCTGCGAAATGACCGTGGTCAACCGGTGGTGTGCGCTCAGTAACAGGCTCCATCGACGCGAGGTGAAACGTTGGTGTTGTATCTAGCATGAAGTTGAAGATGAAGCCCAGGGCTGAACCATTGCTGATGGTATTCGTATTCCAGACATAGTAGTCGTAGTAAGTTGCAGGCGAGAAAAGTAAAAAACGCGACATGGACTTGCTTTCACTTCAACCCGCCTCCCGACCTCCAGGCACCCATACAGTCCATTTCCCCAGCTTTCACCACCGCAAAAAAAACGTTTGCGTACTCCACTGACGCCCCGCTCTTCTTCCCTTTCTTTCGCGCCCTTCACCAACACGCTGTATATATGCTCCCAAACTCAGCAACCTCTCATCAATCCAGATCACTGATCATTATCTTCGGGGCTACAATCCTGTGGGTAGTGGACTTTGGCCAAAATCCTTCTAACCAAGGTTCGTGGGAGTACTGTCGGACCTAGTCCAGCCTGCGATGGATTGATTTTTTGCTGCTCGTTGGTTCGAATCGGGGTGGTGGCAATGTATTTTGTGGGTGTTTTTTGTTTGGGAGGGGGTTTCACTCACTCGATATGGAGCAAGATGTGCTTTGTGTGTGTATGTATCTATATAACTTTGACGTGGTGCCCTTGCATCGTGGTGGTGGCTTGAGGGGTTGTTTGTTGTCTGGATGTAGGCTTGCGTATGTCTCGAGCTCAGACAGTGGATATGAGATGTGTGGCAATACCATAATTGATTCAGTATGAAGAATCGGTCAGTGTACAAAATTTCAACTCACACATGCAAGCATATCAACCCTGGACCACTATTTGAGCCCGATGAGACTAGCTACATACTACCTACTGCACGCTAATGCACCCCAGGTTTATCAATCAATCCGTAGTACGTGAGGGGTACATCTCCCGCTGTTCTAGTCCCACATCTCCATGCATTCGAGGTCGGCAACAACCTTCTTACATCCAAACATTACTCGTCTGCAAACCACTACCGAATACCTCCACGATCAACTCAAACAGCCATGGCCACCCCATACATCTACACCGGCGACCCCAAATCCCACGACCCCGCCGCCTTCAGCACCGGCATGAGCACCACCTGTCTCTGCGGCAGCATCCGCGTGACCATCACCGACAGCGAGCTCTTCACGCGCAAACGCGGGCATTTGTGCCACTGCGCCAACTGCCGCAAAGTCGCCGGCTCGTATGTAGCGTCGAACCTGGCGATTGAGAAAGAGAAAGTCGAGGTTGAGGACCCCAAGGCCGTGTTGAGGAGGTATGCGGACTATGCGACGGCGAGTGGGAAGTGTGTTACTAGGTGCTTTTGTGGAGTTTGCGGGAAGTGTGTTTACCCCTTCGACTGTCCTTGTTGCTTTGGGGTGTAATTGGGCGTGCTGACGCGAATATACAGTCCGATTATGAGCCTTGCGGAGATTCTGCCGGATATGATTATTCTGAAGATGGGTATTTTCCCGAGGATTCCGCAGCCGGAGTGTGAGAGCTTTGCGGCGCATAGGCAGGAGTGGCAGGGGACGCATGGGGATATGGTGCAGTTTGAGATTACGCGCGGGGGGAAGAAACTCGGTGAGTAGAGGGGAAGAGTGTGTTGGTTTGCTGTCTTTGGTAGGAGTGACTAGAATCCTGTTAGCTCGTCCAAGTCACCTTGTGTCGTCGCTATTGCTTGTTAGACTTTTCTTTGCTTTCCACCTCAAGCACAACGTCAGCCCAGATAGGCACATGATCGCTCGGTCCTCTCTCGACAATAGCCTTCTTACATCTATACATTACTTGGGAATTGGGGCAGGTGCCTGGAACGAGCGATATGTCATTTGTTGGTACAAGCACTGGTTCGTTTGCAACAACGTACCATGGAATACAGCAACGCTTCACTATTAAGGCACCCCCCCTCCCCCAATAATTTTTCTATCATCGATTATTTCACGAGACATCTTCGTATTACTCGCTCACTCAACAATACAGCCTTGCATTAACAATATGTTGTCCTTCAGTAAGTAGTTCTAGATCCTGAATCTATAACATGCTAATAAGAGTAGTTCGTTCGCTTACGTCAAATCGCTACACCCCTCATGTCGCTATTGCCGTCGTGTCCGCTGTCGTAACTCTTAGAATGAGTAAAGCATTAGAGCGGCTCTCAGGGCCATCTGAATCAGAGAAAGCTCTAAAGAGGCGCACTGATCTGCTGGAAATCATTGCCAAGGTTGTGATGGATAGCTGTCCACCAGAGAATCTAGCCAAGGACAACACCCCTGCTGCCGCCGACTCTGCGAGCATCACCAAACGCAAAGATAGCCCCAGCTCTGCAGCACCATCCGCGTGATCATCACCAACATCGACATCTTCACCGTGTCCGGGCTCCAGGGTGGTGGAACGAGAGGCGGCGACGGTGTATGTGGAGGAATTGCCGGTTACGCAGAAGTCTTTCGCTGCTTGGAGGGCGGTGGACTGATGTCACGATCCATATTTCCATTCTGAACGATGCGATGATTAGATTCGGTGAGTATGGAAAGGGAGAGGGTCTAGATAGATGACGTCATAGTGTTGAAGAAGCAAAGTTAGCGACGCAAGCAGCCATTGCCATTCGTGAGCTAGAACAACAAACATGTCGAGTCGCCTCCCAACGCGACGCGTCCTCCGCTACGTGTATTCAGTGGAGCCATGCATGTACTAGCACCAGTATGGCAGTGATCAGAGCGAACATTCACTACCCCTCTACCCCTCCAACGCCATGACATCTACGCAGCTCCCTCGAAGCCCCTATCACCAACACTACAACCCACACCCTCTACACCACCATCTGAACCGCCCCCCAAGATGTCGTACCGCCGCAAAAAGAGCCTCCTAATCGGCATAAACTACGTGGGCTCTGCCCACGAACTACGCGGCTGCCACTCAGACGTCGACAACATGGCGGAATTCCTCTCCTACCACGGCTACAGCAACACGCACAAAGACCGTGTAATGCTGACGGACAACCCCGCCGTCTCCCAAGACTCGCCCTACTACCCGACCGGCCACAACCTGCTCGCCGCCATGGACTGGCTCGTCTCAGAGCCCGGATGCACGCTATTCCTGCACTACTCAGGGCACGGCGGGCAGATCGCAGATGTAGACGGCAACCGCGAGACCGGCGTAGACAGCAGCATCGTGCCCGTCGACTTCGAGACCCGCGGGCAAATCAGCAGCACGCTCCTGCACGAGCACCTCGTCACACGCATGGCGCCAGACTGCACGCTCTTCATCCTGCTCGACTGCTGCCACTCGGGCTCCGCCGTCGAGCTCCCCTACGTCTTCCGCTCCGACGCCGACGGCCAGATCAGCCTGATGGACAACCTGAAAGTCGGGGCGCAGCTGTTCGGCGAGGCCCAGGGTATTATCTCCGGCGGCTTCTCGTACCGCAAGATCGGCGAGGCGCAGACGCTGCTCGCGGGCGCGAGTACGTTTTTCAAGGGCCTGCGCCATATGAGCGAGCAGGAGGAGGAGGAGGGGCTGCAGGGCGGCGAGTTTGCGGGCCAGTACGGCAGCGAGCAGAAGATGGTTACTATGTTCAGTGGGTGTAAGGATGATCAGACGAGTGCCGATGCGAGGATTCAGGGGAATGCTACGGGGGCCATGACGTGGGCGTTTCTTGAGACGATGAAGAGGAATAGTGCGCCGACGTATGCGCAGGTATGTTTTCTTCCTGTTGGAGTGCGTGGGTGGGTGGCGTGATGTGGACTAATGCGAAACAGACGCTTCAATTGACACGCCAACTCCTTGACCAGAGCAAGTACACGCAGATCCCACAACTGAGCTCCGGGCTGGACATCGATCTGGAGAACCTCTCGCTGGTGCTGTAAATCCCAATGTTGACTCACAAGCACAATCTCAATGGGGCACCATGGCATGTTAGCGAATATTCTGTAGTATATACTCCATGCCAGACGGTAAGGCTAGAAGAAAAGGAAAAATCAAAATAAAGATAAAGATGAAATTAGATCACACTTTTGCATACATTATTACTATTACTACTACTACTACTACTACTACTACCACCCCGTTCTTCCTTCGTCTCCTTCGTGCATCATGTTCGGCTCCTGTCGACATTTCTGGTAAATGAGAATTATCTCACTTCTTACCACGAGCACCCACCAGTCGTCCACATTGAAGAGCGCGAGACGGATCGAAGCTAGACACAAAGCAACAACGCCGTAAACACCAATACAAGCACAAGCACAAGCAAGTATGACAAGGAATAGATATACTCATATTGTACTGCATCTAACCAAACCAAACCAACCCAACCCATCCAGTCAACCACCAAACAATAAACAAAGGTATCCCAAACACACCAAAACACCCAGCTATCAACCCAACAAAAAAGTCTCAAAAGATCGAAAACTTCCCCCAATAACGCCAATCAATGCCCTCAAACCCACGTATGCGCGTTCACTCCTTAGCAACCTCTGTCCTGACCTCACCCGCGACATTCTCGCCGTCGCGCTCCGCCTCGCCCTCCGCTTTCGCCTGCGCAACCTCCTCCATATCGACGTCAGCGGTAGTGGACGCGAGGACAGGTGCAGGCGCGGGGATGGACGTAGTAGGCGCGGGAGATTCCGGCGGAGTGACGACGCCAGCCGGGGAGTGCTCGAGTACCGACGCGCGCGCAGCAACGGGCGCATCCATATCGACGTCGCCATCGTCGTCAGCGTCAGCGTCGTGTTCAGGTGCGACGACGGGGGTCGATCTAGCGAGGGAGGGCGGTCGAGTGGAGAGCGCGCTATCGCCATTCAGCGCATCCAACTCATCTACGGGGGCGGCATTTGGGTTCTGGAAGTCTGTGATGTTGCGGCGTTGTTTTGTGCCTGGCTGGGGGCGCACGCCGAGGTTGTTGTTGTAGTCTTCGTCGTCGCTGGCGTCGTAGAGTTCGCCGTCGTGCTCGATTTGCTGGTCGCGTTGGCGCTGCGTCATGCGCGCGTCCGGGTGCTGGTCGGCGTCGAAGTCGTCTTCTTCGTCTTCGGCGTCGGATTCCATGTCCCGCCTGAGACTGGGTGGGATGTTGGTGAATGCCTCGACGGAGGGTCTGCCGGTTCTTCGGATGTTCTCGATGACGGTTGACTTTATTTTGTGCAGGTAGTCGTGCGAGTTTGCGTTTTCCATGTTGGAGGGTCGGACGTCTAGTTCGTAGTCAGGAGCAAAGTACTGCGTTCGGTTAGATGTGCGCGATTTCAGGATGAAGTTTAGCATGTACGTACCTCGTAGTAGTCATTGAAGGGGAGCTGCTTGGACATGTTTGTGCCAACGAGGGTGCCAGTCTCGAATGCCCAGGTTCGCGCGACGTTTCTCATAGTATAGCCCCCGCCACCAAGCACAATGACGGGCACTCCAAAACTCTTGACGTAGCGCACGCAGTTGGCGTGGCCGTCCATGCTCAGGTTGAAGCAGCCCAACCTGTCTCCGGACAGACTGTCACCACCGCACTGCAGCACGATGGCTTCGGGCCCGTAGTATGTCATGACGGCCTCGATGACAGGCTCGAAGATGTTGCGGTACGTTTCATCTGTGATGCCGTCGCGAAGGGGGAAGTTGACTGAGTAGTTCTTGCCGCTGCCCACGCCAATATCGCGCAGCTCGCCCGTGCCGGGGAAGTACTCGCCGTACTTGTGGAAGGAGACGGTCATGACGCGGTCGGTGGTGTAAAAGGCTTCCTCGACACCGTCTCCGTGGTGGACGTCGATGTCGATGTAGAGGACGCGCTGCTTGTACCGGAGGAGCTCGATGATGCCGAGGACGATGTCATTGACATAGCAGAAACCACTAGCTTCGCTCTTCTTCGCGTGATGCAGACCACCGGCCCAGTTGACGGCGACGTCGCACTTGCCCCGGTTCAGACGCGCCGCGCCCTCCATGGTGCCGCCGGCGCTGATGCCGCAGAACTCGAACAGGCCGTCGAAGACAGGACAGTCGTCACCGACGTTGTATTTGCTCTGCTCCTTAGCAAAGTTGTCCATGTTGTCGGGCGTGACCTTGTGCAGGAACTCGATGTATTCGTCCGTGTGGAACTGCGTCATTTCGTACTTGGAGGCGGGCTTTGCGCGCTGTGGGATGGTTAGGTGTGTTAGGCGTGTTAAGAGGTGTGATGTGTAGAGTGCAAGCGTACGTAAATCTCCATCTTGGTGTACAGGCCGTAGTTCATGATCAGGCTATGCGCCATGCGTATGCGGTGCGGCTTCATGGGGTGCCCCGCGACATAGGCGTAGTTGCCCACGTCCGAGTCGTAGAAATAGGCCACCTTCTTGGGCTGGGCTGCCGTCATCGAGGCCAGGCTGTGCGACGCCTCGGTTCCGTTGCCTGCAGTTGCTTCGGCCATTTTGTCTCATACGCGACTGCTGGGGGGTGTCCGCGACTGGGCGTGGTGGGTCGTGGGTACGCGATGAATACGCGATTGCGAGACGATGGTGGGCTTGGGCGGTGTGTGTGTGTAGTGTGTGCAGTGCGTGGTGTGTGCAGTGTCTGCGGTACAGGAAGAGTGAGGAGAGGAGGGGAATGGGCGGTCGGCAGGGCGCGAGATGGCAGGGCGAGCTCTGGCAAACAAAGAGCTCCAGCTCCGCATCTAGGAAGGCGTCCCCCCTGCTAGCCCCGGCGCGGCTCTTGTTTCGCCCGTGCTGCCGTGAGGGAGCTCGCGACAACACCAAAGCTCATCATCGCCGCCGCCTCATCCACGCCCTCGCCCCCGTCCACGACTCCCAACACCCCCGCCTACCCCCTACACAACACACCCACATCCACCCTTACCAGCACCACCACCCACCATGGACCGGTTAAGCCGAATGCTCGCCGCCGCGCAGGGCATGGGCGGCATGGGCGGGCCCGCACAAGACACCAACCTGATCGACAACTCGGAAACCGTCTACATCTCGTCGCTGGCCCTGCTGAAGATGCTGCGGCACGGACGCGCCGGTGTGCCTATGGAAGTCATGGGGCTGATGCTGGGCGAGTTTGTCGACGACTACACAGTGAGGGTGGTTGACGTCTTCGCCATGCCGCAGTCGGGAACCGGTGTGTCGGTCGAGGCCGTGGACCCCGTCTTCCAGACCAAGATGATGGACATGCTGCGCCAGACAGGAAGGTTCGTCTCGACTCACCTCACCCAGCCACTGCACGTCCTCTAACAACCCCAGGCAAGAGACAGTCGTCGGCTGGTACCACTCACATCCCGGTTTCGGCTGCTGGCTCTCGTCCGTCGACATCAACACACAGCAGTCGTTCGAGCAGCTCACCCCCCGCGCCGTCGCCGTCGTCGTCGACCCCATCCAGTCGGTCAAGGGCAAGGTCGTCATCGACGCCTTCCGCCTCATCAACCCACAGACGCTCATGATGGGCCACGAGCCGCGCCAAACAACCTCCAACGTCGGCCACCTCAACAAGCCCTCGATTCAGGCCCTCATCCACGGCCTGAACCGCCACTACTACTCCATCGGCATCGACTACCGCAAGAACGCCCTTGAGGAGAACATGCTGATGAACCTGCACAAGCACGTCTGGACCGAGGCTCTGCTGATGGACGACTTCAAGGAGGAGGGCGCGCGGAATAACGACCGCTTGCAGAAGCTGGTCACGCTGGCAGAGGGCTACGAGAAGAGGGTCAAGGAGGAGACGGAGTTGACAAAGGACCAGCTGAAGACACGATACGTCGGCAAGGTGGACCCAAAGAAGCGTATGCATGTCATTCTATCTCTGAAATACATGACTAACCCCCACCCCAGACATCCAAGACGTCGGCCAGCAACTCATCGAAGACAACATCGTCTCCGTCTCGCGGCAAATGATCGACAAAGAAGCCTCCGTACCAAAGTCCACCCCCAAGCAGACAGGGCACACAACCGGTGATGAAGATGTCGACATGGATGACTAGGCATCGTCTGAGGATAAGAGTCTACACATTACCATCTCCTACATGGAATGATGCGTCGTCGCATTTGACGTGGAGGGAGGGGCATATTTTGAAGTGAAGCGGGCGCCTGGCGCACAAATCAAGTAATGCATTACGCAAACACCATAGATGGTAGTGAGTGCAATGAGCATGAAATAACGATATCCAAACAAACACTGCAGAGAGAGAGCATTCTGAAAGTGACGTGTCACATACTCTTAACAAAACTTTGTACCAACTATTCGACAATACACTAACCACGAAAGACATGCACAGATAGATATGACTTCGATTACCCACAAAAAACACCATCTATATCCATTGTTTTGCTTTACTTTACCTATACACCAACCAACCCACCAACCAACCAACCAACCAATCAAGCAGTTACAACACAAACACAAACACAAACACAGTCATACCATACCCAACAAACAACAAAACTCAAACGAGACGAATGAATACACCGCCCACGCTCCTTTATACCCTTATACCCTCATCCCCCTTCTGCTATACTGTCAAAACACACTAGACGCCACGACACCAATCGACACGACAACCCCCCCTTCTTGTTCTGAAGATACACATAGTCCGCTCGGTACAATATTTTCTCCCTAGAGAATATCGTTCTCCATGTAGCTGTAGTAGCGATAAGAGCGAAAAAGAAAATATACCGCCCATCCATGAAGCCATCGATTCGTTGATAAAGATTTGTTTTTTAATCGTACATGATGTAAACCAGCGCAAAGAAAAGCAATAAAGCAACGTAGCGTTTTCTTTCCATACAAGGAGTACAGGGGGGATATTGCGGACCAGACAGGACGGGACAGGACAGAGCAGACGAACAGCCTCGAAGATATAATGTTTTGAAGTTTGTGTATTTTTGCTAGTCTCGCGACTATGAGAAAAATGTATAGATTGATAGATAGATAGATAGATAAACAGATAGATCGATGACTCGATAGATAGATAGATAGCCTCGATAGGGCGGGGGTATGGAAAAGCCGTGCGTTCATCTCGAGGGAGAGGGGGAGGAAGGAAGTGTCTATGTTTCATTCTGAAAGACTGCCTGCCTGCCACATCCACTCTGATTCCAATGGCACAAGTCTTCCATCGACGAATGCGTGTACGATAGACATGATGTGTAATAACACCACGTCCGCAACACGGCCATATTACTAGCCCACATGCGCTGCGTCGTCTGCGGGTGTCGCTAAAAGGGTAACTTTTCGCTCAGACTATGGGTGTCCGAGGGGTTTCCCCGAGCTAGGAGGCGCCGCGGGTACGGAGCGCAACATGCGCTTTGTGCGCTCGTCGTCCGACGATGACGTCGAGTGGCTGCTGCTTCCGTCGTCGAGCTGGCCGTCCTTGGACTCGCGACGCAGGCGGTCGGCCTTGTCTTTGAGTACCTTGGCTTGTTCTGCTGCTCGCTGGGCCCGGATCTGCTTCTTCCACATGGACGCGTATTGCCCGTTGCGTTCGAGCAACTCCTCGTGTGTTCCGCGTTCTTGTACCTTGCCCTTGTTAAGGACAAGGATCTGGTCTGCGTGGGTGATGGTGCTGAGTCGGTGGGCGATGATGAGCATCGTCCGCCCTTGCGCCAGTGTTGTGAAGGCTTCCTGGATGTGCTGTTCTGTCTCCGTGTCCAGGGCTGCAGTGGCCTCGTCAAGCATGATGATTCGTGGGTCCTTGAGTATCGTTCGCGCAATGGCAACACGCTGCTTCTCGCCTCCAGACAGCCGCAGTCCGCGCTCGCCGACTTTAGTCTCGTACTTGTCCGGGAACGTCATGATTTTGTCATGGATGCTCGCCGCTCTGCAAGCCTCGTAGACTTGCTCGTCCGTCGCCTCAGGATTGGCGTACTTGAGATTGTACATGAGAGTCTCGTTGAATAAAACGGTATCCTGGGGAACAACACCAATGTGACGTCGCACTTGATCAATCTTGAGATCCTGTACATCGAGTCCATCGACCAGGATGCTGCCGGCCGACGTGTTGTAGAATCGGTAGAGTAGACGGAACACGGTCGATTTGCCGCCACCAGATTCACCAACGAATGCAGTCGTAGTGCCTGGCGCACAATGGAAATCGAGCCCTGTCAGCGCAGGCTTGCGTGCATCATAGGAAAATTGAACATCCTGGAATCGGAGGTCGCCCTCGCACGAGGGGAGATCAGCAGCATCTTCACTGTCAACTACAGTCGGTTGCTCCTTGAAAAGCTCGAGCATCCGCTCCGAGTTGATCATGGCCGACTGGATCATCCTGTAGAACGTGCCGAAAAAGTTGAGCGGCTGCTGAAGTTGGCCCATGTATGTTACCAACACGACGAACTTGGCAACTTCCTGCTCGCCCGTAGTGATCTGGTAAGCGGCGATGAAGCAGGTCACTAGCAGGCCGAGCATGAACACCATGTTTTGGGAAACGTTCATTATGTTGAGCGAGAACAGAACCTCGTATTCAGCATTCTGATACTTCTTGACGGCTTCGCGGTAGCGGTTGAATTCGTATGCTTCGGCGTTGAAATACTTGACTGTCTCGTAAGACACCATAGAATCGTTTCTGTGGACGTTAGTTGAATTCTGCAAGTTCGTGGGGACCAACATACTTGACGGCATCTTCTTCACGATCCGCATTGACCATTTCTCGGCGAATCTCCGCGCGCCACTGCGCCATGCGAATCGTCAAATAAATGTACCAGAACGTCACAACGGCAATGATCAGCGCGTAGTAAGCATCGAATCGGATGAGAAAGTAGCCAATGGCGACAGCCAAGTCGATCATCATAGGCACAACCGAAAAGGTCACCTGCTCAAGGAATGTGTTAATGGAGCTACCCTTGCCCAGCGCCGAGAGGACTTCGCCCGTCTTCTTGCCGAGATGGAAATCCAGACTAAGACTGTGCACGTGCTCAAATGCGGCGACTGAGAGTTCACGGTACGAGTACTGCGATACCGGGATCCACAGAGCCGCGCGCAGAGCGCCAAGCATGCCGTTGCTGCCCTGCAAGAAGCGCAGAGAGATGAATATGATAATAGCGACCCAGGGATTGCCAGAGTCCGTGCCATTGAGACGGTTCACAATGTTCCCGAGCTGGTCAGGGATCAGCACGTTGATAAAGCGCTGGGCGAGAACAAGCAGGAAGCATAGCACGACGACGATCTGCAGACGGCGATCTTTCGAAGGCCAGAGGTACGGGAAGAAAACGCGGTAGCCCTTGATGTACTCCCACCAGCTCCGTGCGGGAGCGCCTGTGGGCCGACTCCAGGCGGGAGGTGCTCCTTCCGTGTGCTTGTGCTTTCCACCCACGGGATGTACCGAGCCGTATGAGCCGTTTGCGTGGCCGTTTTCTGCGTGACCATTCTGGTCGGCCTGGGCGAGGAGTGAGGCGGTTTCCTCGGGACTTCCCACCTCGCTCGACCTCTTCCTCTGCGGCAGGACGACGAAGACGAGGTAGAAGCCAATCAGGGCGAGCAGGAGCACAATGCGGAGCAGATCGACTGCGACCTCGGCCGCTTCCCAATCCGTCATACCGAGGTGCAGCTTTGGCGTCGGGCGGCCGACGGTGGTGGCGCGGTGGGCATGGGTGTAGATGGCGAACGAGCAGGTCACGAGGACGATTTCGATGAGAGCAGCTACGCTCCATGTCGCCAGGTGGGCCAGCGTAGGCGAGGGCTTCGAGTCGAGGAGGGAGATGAGGAACAGGCAGTAGACGAAGAAGGCGCCGACGAGGTAGATCTGGGCGGACAAGTCAGCTGAGACATTCAATGCGCCACGTGCTGGGGGTGTGCTGGACGTACCACGACGGCCTTGCCCGCCCACCAGTTCTCGCTGCGGAGGGCCAGGGCCTGCGCAATGACCAGGATGGAGTTGCCCAGGAAGGTCAGCGTCACGGCCAGCGAGAGCCACTCAAAGACTCGCTTCTGCGTCTGCGTGACGTCGTCGTGCACCGTCTTCTTGACGAAGTTGCGGGTCGGGTCCGTGGCGGGCAGGGCCTTTCCCCCAGGGCCCGTGGTGGTGGGCTTGGAGACATTAGAATTAGAATTAGAGGCGGCGATGCTGCGCAGGGTGAAGGCGACGAGGAAGAACAGCAGCATGAAGATGGGGTAGGCATAGTGGACGACGGCGACGAGGTTGCGCAGGGCGTGGGCGTGCTCCCATCTCGAGTCGCCGGCGCGCTCCAGCTCCAGCGCCATGTCGATGTCGATGTCCGGGGCCAGGGTGGTGTAGCTTTTCTCCGCGTAGGGGCGAGGCGCAGGTGCGAGGGCTCACCAGTGGCAGAGACAGGGCGGCAGGGTGGCAGAGGGGTGGTGGGAGAGAGGGCAGAGGGCAGGAGAGACGGTGTGGTGCCGCGAGAGAGAGACGCACGGAAGCCGACCTAAGACATGGCGCCGTGTCTGATGCAATACGTCGTGGGCGACCTGGGACCGGTGGCGCACTCGCCTTGGCAGATGGGATCGCGCGTCCAGAAGCCTCGCCGGCGTCCGAGCGTCCTGCAATGCACCGGCGCTGCAGGCACAGGAACACACGACAACACGCGTCTGTGGGCTCCACGCCCGTCACAACGCCTCCTGCCACACGGCCCTGCCTCGGCATCCCTACCGCTGCCTCCGAGCACTCGCTCGCGTGCGGCCCTCACCGCAACTCACCACCTCTTCAGTCACCCTACTCCCCCCCCGACTCTGCCATGCGACGAGGGCCGTGTTCTCGACCCAGCCGCGCACATGACCGACCCCCGCCGAGCGTCAGCTGCTGCTGCTGCGCCATCCCCGAGCATCCCGCCAGCGCCACCCTTGCCACCCAAGGCCCGACGTTCGTACTTTGAGCGCTTTGTCGCCCAGCCGTTGACGACGGCCTATGCAGCGCGCCCGCCCAGCCTGCAAACAAGTCGTCCCGATGGCGGGCCCCCGAATCCGCTAGTGCCAAAGCTCCCCGGGTAGGTCCACCTTTCCTTCGTGCGGCCCACTATGAAACCACTGCTGTCGCTGCCTGACCCTCCGCACCCCAATCGCGTGTGCCTGCGTGTGCCTGCATGTCCATCAAGTGCCATTCTCCGTGCTGCTCCCTTGCTCTTTCCTCGCCAGCACTCCACCCGTCCCGTTTCCACTCCTGCTCTGGCCCCTTCTGTCCGTCTTGCCTCTCGTCCTGCCTCTCGTCTGCCCTCATCGCTGAGTCCCGCCCTGCAGCATCCGCACTGGCTCGTCGCAGGATGCAAGCCATAAAACAGGCCTCGAAATCTCGGCCCTCGACATCAACCGCGAGCGCACCCACGCCGTGCTTGCTGGCAGGGAGATTCTCAAGACCGTACGTGTGCAAGACGCCAAGATTGTCGACGAGACCAATCTGCGAGCCGCTGCCCTCAGCTATGCCGACTCACATGCGAGGCAGCGTGAAGGCCTGGGCATCCACGACGTCAAGTGGTCCCACGGCCAATTCAGCTCGCACATTGCGACTGCCGCAGCCAACGGCAAGGTCATCCTGTACGACCTGAATCGCGCCAGCGTAGAACTTACTAGGCTACATGAGCACAGCCGTCAGGTACACAAGCTCGCATTTAACCCCCACCAAGGCCACTTGCTCCTGTCTGCAAGCCATGATGCTACCGTTCGCCTGTGGGACCTGCGTGACATGCGAAGAGATGTCTCGACGTGTCGTAGCAGAGATCAGTATCCTGGCATCAACGGGGGCATACGCGATGTCCTGTGGTCGCCCACTGACGCTGTAGAGTTCGCGTTTGGTACTGACAATGGAACTATACAGCGCTGGGATTTCCGCAACAACAAGAGCCCCAAGCAGAAGATTACTGCCCACGAGAGAACATGCACCTCTATCGACTGGCATCCAGATGGGAAGCATCTCCTCAGCAGTGGCGTGGACCGGACAGTCAAGGTCTGGGACTTCTCCATCGACGGTCGCCGTCAGAAAGCTGTCTGGGTTTTGACTACACCCTACCCCGTGCACAAAGCGAGATGGAGACCGCCGTATTGGTCGGATGAGTCCTACGAAGAGGGTGTGTACCAATGCACCCAGCTGGCTACCTCGTACGATCGCGACCACTCCGTGATCCATATATGGGATTTCAGGCGGCCATATCTACCTTTTCGGGAGATCAACAAGTTCAAAACTGCACCCTCAGATATGCTCTGGCACTCACGCGACACACTCTGGACTGTTGGCAAAGAAGGCATTTTCCAGCAAAATGATGTCCATCATGCCCCCAAGACCGTGGATCGACGCAACCTACAGGCTCTCGCGGTATCACCAATTGGAGAAGTCGTTGGTGTTGCGCAGAGAAGACCGCGGCAACGGCGTTCTGCAGCTTCAGCGTATCCAGAAGATACGTATACTGGTGATCCGCATGATAAGCGCAGTAATACAGAGAAGGGCAGCTTGCAAGGTTCTGCAGATGACGGGTTGGATGACAGCTTTCTTACTGCTTCCCTGAAGCAACGCCATGGTCGTACTGCTAGCAACAGATCGGTCAAGTCATTCAGGAGCACTCTTCCGTCAGATGCGGCTCCCAAAGTTATGTTCCTGAGCGACTCTATGACTACCCAAAGCGACTTTCTGAAGCCGAATCAACTTGCTATGCGAGGCCCGTTGCCGGGCGGTGTCAACAATCAAGTTTTTGCCTATTTGGCTCAAAAATACAAGGCCATACCTCTAACTGATCCTCCAGACATAGATTCGTTTCTGTACATAGAGCGAATTTTCCAGCAAAACGCTGACTATGCACGAAGAGCCGCATTCCACCGGCTTGCACAAACATGGCAGCTTGTGGGCTCCTCTGTTGCCAGTGCTACAAGGCGGCGTGCAGAGTTGCACCGAGAGCGCAGACGATTGCGACACAAACCTGCGCCACTAAGCCTGTCAGACGCCAAACATAAGGTGATGTTTGGACACTTGGGTACACAAGATAGGCAATTGACGACTCCACCAAACCCCGCAGTGCGTGCCATTCTTAGCACACTTGACAAACCACGGGCAACGTCACCAGCAGGCTTATCACAAACGAATATTGAAAGCACCTCTAATCTGACCACTCCCCTCGCAAGACCAGTCACAACCTACCAATCATCTTTAAATGATTCACACAGGCCTGCTCTGCCCGATCTCGATCAAGAAGATATTATCCAACTTCCGCCAGCGGCCAATGCACCGCAGCCCAACGCTCAAAACCGGTTGCTCAAGTCTGAGATGGCGACTAGAACGCTCTCGCCCACACACCCGGCATTCAGTGGACCTCACTGGTATCCATCTGCAGATGATCTCGATGAACGTCGTGCTATGGTTGGGAGCTGGCGAGCATCCCCTCGAATACCGCTGAATCTCGGACCAACGAATGCTCAGGGAGAGAGCTCCAGCTCACCACCGCCATTGGAACGCCACCACTCAGGAGAGAGTTTTACCATGTTTTCTGCCTCCTCGGATTCCCAGCATGGCAACTCTGTTCCAAGTTCGTTCGCAAGTGGCAAATCGCAGAGTGCACAGTCCTCCTCCAAGAACTGGCAACGCAGCCCGGAAAAGTCAAGTTTCGGCAAGCCTAGATTCGCGACAAGTGATGATCAGCAACAGGATCTCGGCATAAGCATGCAGGTATCGCCAAATACGGTGCCTGTCAGCACTGGACAACCCAGTCGCGAAGCGTCTTCGGGCCTCGGCGTCCAACCAAATTCTACCCGGAACGGCACGGACCATCTGGTAGAGTTTAGTAGTGGAGAAAGAGCGGTTCAAGAAATGGAGTTTCTGCGTCGGAATAATCAACTTCTTCGCCACGATAGCTCCGAATCAGAGGCATTCTTCGGCAGTCGAGACGGGATGTCGAATTCCTCAATTGATTACAGCGCAGATATGGAGGCAAGCGGAACGATTGTGCCCGATGCTTCAGGAGATGTGAGATCACCACATGGCTTGAAGCCTGCGCCTCCACTGATTCATACCATGGAGAGTACGATCCTTGTGGATGACCCGACAGCAGAAGATTCACTACTGCTTTCGGATTTCCAGGCTATGCACATTGACGTTGAGGAAGAGTCAGCATACACTGTAGTTGGGCTACTAAACAATCTCATGGCTTTCCACACAACCACGCAGTCAGACGCACAATTCTCCTCACTCCTGCTCCTCCTTCTGGCACCACTGCTTCCACAAACTCATGTTCCTTCTGCTGTTTCAGATATTGACTCGGGAGAAGTTCTCACCACATTCGCGGACACCTTCACTTCGCTTGGCTTGACTCCCACGCAAGCGAAAGCCATACTTTCTACGCAACTCAGTCAACTGATAGCCACAGGCATCAACCCATATCAAGCAGAGTCTATTCTTCACACCTATCATGCTCAGCTGCACGGTCTCTGTCTTTTCAACTCTGCGGCGACGCTCCGTCGACTTGCGTATCCCACCTATCCCGCCGTCTACGAGCAAGCACTCAAAGATACTCAGCTTGGACTTCTTTGTCTGAGTTGCAATACTCCTATTAACAATCCCAAGGATAAGATGCGCTGTGAGTCATGCAAACGCGCACAAGCTCCATGTCCCATTTGCTGGGCCAGATACCCGGCCTTTGACCTCATGACTACCAAGAAGAAAGATAAGGCCCAATTCCGGTCAAGCTTTAACGATAGAGAACACAGGCGGAAACGATCCTCTCTCGTGTCCGACGTCGGCCCCAACTCCGATGGTATCGACGAAGAATGTTCACCTGTCACGCCAACGAACTGGTCCCCGTCGAAAGCCACACTCTGGACCTGGTGTCCACTTTGCGGACACGGGGGTCACTCAAATTGCCTGTCAACCTGGTTTTCCGACCCCGTGCTCTCTGAAGGCGCATGTCCCACCGAGGGTTGTCTCTGCGACTGTGTCAACGGGAAGCGACGAGATGACAAACTCGAAGAAGTGCTGCGCAAAAAAGCAGAAAAGTCCCGCTCAAAACCAGTCCGCAAAGGCGATGACTGGAAAGTCAACGAAAGCCGAGCCGTATCCGCCGTCCGCAGCGCCCTCGACAACAACGACGACCAAGCCTCACCGCGCAAAGACGAAGGTAAACGCGTCCGTGTCCTAGCTCCAGAATCGCAATTCAGCGCACAGAAGATTCCGCGAACCTAGTCGTCACCGGTCCGGTGCCAGAGCTGGAATAGCGGTGTCCGATAGAACAGATAGAAAAGGCGCGTTTTAATATATTTCCGTTACATCACCCTCCAACGGGCATGGTGCACGGGGACGCTGCCTGCAGCCCGCCTCAGTCACATCACACCGCTTCCCATGTGCGCCGCCAAGCCGTGGAACTTTGATACGGGGACCCGTGTCCCGGGCTGCGGGACGCGCCACTGCCACGTTGAAGCGGAGCATTAGTCGCTGCTGCGTTAAAATTCGCGTTTATTAGATAGGGTTGGGCTGGGACGCGATGTGATAGGGTGGGAGGATGTTTTTTGTCGGTGACGCGACTTGATTTGCAACGTCACTACACTTTGCGCCGAGAACTCAAGTCGAACTTTTTGCTGTCTAGCTGGATTACATACAAACCTTGCTATCTATCTCTTCACCGTACGTTGTGCTTTCTTCTCTTCTGGTTTCTTGCTTTTTCCTGTCGTTGTCGGGTTTCAGGTTTATCTGCGACTTGCCCGTTTCCCACAGCACCACGTGCACATATACATACACGAGCACGAGCACGAGCACAAGTTAGAAAATAACAACAATAACAAGACCAAGCACGAGTATCCAACACGTCGCAGGCATAACCCAGACAAAGAACAGATAACGCAGAAGAAAAGAAGCTTCCAATCTGCAACGTCAGTCAATCAGTCAGCCAGTCATGCGCCGGTGCCACTTGTCCATCCACACGTATATGATCATATGTATATATGACCACGAAACTTCAATATTCTAGCCCAATTCCTAGGCCCTGGGTGTGCGCATATGCATGCACACATACAAGCATGCAAGGATGCACCGACAGCCAGCCAGCGATGGGGTGTGCAACGGTAACGGTCGATTTTGTATGCGCTGTGCTGTGCCGTGCCGTGCTGTGCCGTACCATCTCCCTTGTATCGGAACACCGACCAAAAAAAAATCCCACAAGCAATTCTTCGGCGCGAGATAATCTGGTCCCTAATTCCCATTGGTTCGTCACCATCCCATATCAAGAAAACCGGGGATGCTTTTTTCGCTAGACGCGTTACCTGGGTGGGACATGTCGCCGTTTCGAACCTTCACACACACGCACGCACATCAACGCTGTACGTATCTACCGTGCGTGCAGAAATGAGCATGGGATGGGACGTGATGTGCTGCAAAGGACGGGGATGATCGCCGGGCGTTTGCGGCCCGCCTCCGCTCTGCGTGTGGCTTACGACCGATCAGCGAATCAAGCATGGGGGTGTGTGTGGTACAAGGTTGTGTTTATTCAATCTAGACTGGGCTGAAAGGGAGAGTGTGTGGTAGGGCAGCAGACGGGGGTCTTGACGGTTGGGAGGTTGGGGAATGTGTGAGTAGGTGTGATAGGTGGGTGGGTATGTGTGTGTGTGTGTGCAAGGATCGATGTATCATTGTGAAAGTGTTTAGTGACGTGGTCGACGGGTGGTGGATATGCGCTCTGTCGCCTTTTTCGTATCACCAGATGGGAATACTGGGCATGACGGATATTGGGAGGATCGTGTTGAGTGCGTTAATGCACTGGCGCGTCATTTGTCTGGCGAAAACGAGTTTCTCGCAGAGTCAAGTTATGTGTGCATGCTGCGGCTTCCAAAGCAACATTTCACCATGCATAAGATGATGAAAGCGCATCATAGAGATGTCTGAATGCTCGTGTCGACATCCGCCTACACGGATTGCGGTTCGCTCTTGCTGGAAACATACGCCGTGACGCAGTAAGTGGAGATGTTGAGAAAAAGACCTGTAGTTGAGCGTCATCCCGCTTGCACCATTGCGCATGACATGATGATAGTTCGCGGTGTGAAAATGTCTCACTGCTTGACGCGATTGGAAGATGTTACGACGCGCAACGGGGTGGAGCCTTGTGGATTCGAAGATTTTGATTTCTTAACCGATTTCCATCCCTCGTGATACCGTAGTCCTCATGAGAAAGGAGATGAAGGCCTAAGTCGCCATGAAATGCATGCCCACACGTCCGAGACGCAGCTCAGATTCCGAATTCCTACACCTCGTCAGCCGTGCTCCTCACCCCTCCTCATCAGCACTCCAGGGTATGCCCATACCTCAACTCCATGCCCACAACCATTTACCGGGACCCGCTCCAGACAGACTTGAGGAAGCCGTCCTTCTGTGCAAGCCTGTTCATGCTGTCGTCCGACTCGCCCATGGCGCGCACGAAGCCGCTGAGGGCATAGACCTGGTTGTCGCCGGTGTAGCGGCCGTTCTCGTCAACCTTGCCGACGCTGAGCTGGACCGAAGCGTGGTCCTTGGCCTTGATGATGCGTCCGGTAGCGGACTTGAGCGGGTTAGTATCGCGGTTCGAGGGTCAAGGGCTGGCAGTTCGGGAACGTACGCATTTGCGGGGGACGTAGACTGTGGGCGCTGTTAGCATGCATTCGTGAAGTTGGCGGGGTGAGATTGTGCAAGTCGCGGTGCACAATCATCATATAGAAAAGGCGTCCTTACGGTCAACGAGCTCGCCGCGTTCGTTCTCCATTTTGATTGATTTGGGGGTAGACGGCGGGGTGTTCTTGGGGATAGCTTCGTTGAAATGTCGACGTCGGTGTTGCTGCTCTCGAATCGTGAATTCGTCGTGGGCCGAAGCCATCACGCTAGTTAGCGAGTCTTGGCGTTGGAACGTCTCACGAATGCAACTTTCGCAAAGACAACCTTAACTTGGGTGGGTCTTTTGTTATGCAGTATGAGATGGATTTCTTGATATTGGTACTTTTGTTTGGAAAATACTGTGAGATTCAGCCAAGTCGAGCGCCATTCATGTCCAGTAGCTCAAGGGCTTGGAGTTGAGATATGCACGAACATTCAAAGAGACTTGGGAATCAACAACGTTCATTTGGAAAGAATCCTTAGATAGAACACGACAACCAAGGTTGGTCAGACTACGTAAAAAAGGAGACCAGTAAGTTTCTGCACAGATGTCCCGACATGTTTGAGTAGGATATGTCGTGGTCAGATGCAGAAACGGGTCTAAAGTGATGAACATGAGGATATTAAAATCATTGAACGACTGCTTGACTCCTATGACAAACGGGAAAAGCTGAACTTACACTAAGAATTACCATAAATCCGGCAACGATCAAGCTCATGGTAGCTAATAATCCTATGCTCCCACGTCTTGATCCCACACAACGTATCCCTGTCTCTGGTTACAGCTCAGGCTGTAAAATGAGCATCTGCCCTCAATGTGATGCCTCGCTGACCGCTACCAGGCAACTACAGTACCAAAAAAGGAGTCGCATCAAGCGGAGGCCGTGTGTTAGCCCTCTGTACCATGCAAAAGATGGGAAAAAGACACGAAGTCGACAAAAATATAGATTGCATCGGCCGGGAATCGAACCCGGGGCTAGCCGAAGTTGCGATGGCAACGGCTAATTTTACCACTAAACCACCGATGCGATGTTGAATGACTTGATGGATCAATGGCCATGTTTATAATCTATAAAGCCAAAATATTCCAGAAGTTCGTTGCGCGTCGTATACCACATCCAATGAATCGATGGCCACATCCATGGTCTATCACTATTATCACCCATCTCTAGAGTTCTAGCCTCAGAAACGACGGGTCGGAGAAGACCATCAGGAGCAGTGGCTGTGTACTAGTGTGTGTAGGACCACTTGCTGGTTTTTGATCACTCCATGTAGCGTAGTATCATCAATCAGGCTCGCTCCCATGCATACATAGATACCTTGAGTTGGTGAACTTCTACTAGATGAGAAGGGATTATGCTGATGTAATTCCTCGACCAAAGTTTGTTAGCTGGCTGTGATGTGAAGGAGCTTGCTAAATTATAGAGAAGTGCATAGAATATGCGGTTACTGCAATACAATATGATCTTGACAGTCGATGTTGGGCTTCATTACCGCGCAGATTCAGCAAGTCTCTCACGATGTCGATGAAGTTGATTTTGAGGCTATGTGTATATTAGTACGTCTTGTAAAGACTACAAGGATTCTTCGTTCCCTTTAAGGAACTTAGAGCCGCTGGCTCTGAGTTTTGTTTAGAGCTTCTCATTCCTGCATGCCTCTCGGTTGGTTGAAATATCAGGAACTAATGTGCAGCGAAATAATGCAACAGCTAAACAACTATAAAACATATTAGTAAAAGAGACTTGTGCCTTTTTCCTTAGCGGTATACTCCTTGCGAAGACTTCGGTAATATGTATTAGTAGAATTTTGCAGCTCGTAGGGGCCACAAAGAACGCAGCTTACTTCCTAGTTTGAAGCTTGACCGAGAGAAAGCTTACCTGAAGGTGTGTAGGCGGATGGGAGGAGTTTATCGATAGAGCAAACGGCATGACGGCATCGATCTGCCGACACCACGAACCATGAAAGCTCATCCACCTTAACCACAACGCTACTACTTCTGCTTACAACCTACTCTAAAATTCAATCTTTAGAGACCAATACAAACCCCTCGCATCTGCTGTTACAATGCCAACTCTCAATAAACGCAACTTCCCACCCCTCCCTTCGCAAAGGACCAAGCGCCAGCGCCAGAGAACGACATCAAATCGTGAAGATAGGTCTAAGAATGTTGGTTCAACCGCCACGATTGATGACCTCCCTGATGAACTGATCCTGGACATCCTGGACTGGCTGCCCGACATCGCCACATCAGGAATATCTCGTGTGCAGCCAACGCAGATACGGACTGTGGTTCTACCAACACTCGCAAGTATATCGTTGACAAATCATCGCTTCCATCGGATAGTCAAAGACAAGCTATACATGACATACCACAGTTGCTTCTGTGAGCCGTACCTGTTCCTGCGGACAATGATCACCAACCCTGAACTTGCAGTATTAGTTCGGAGAGTGGAATTCGATATTCTGGTACCTCTAGACGAAGACGAAGACAGGGAACAGTATGCTGCGACCGCAAAAGACAAGAAAACAATCAAAGAGGGCATCAAAGCGCTCAACATACCCAATTGGAAGGATTGGGCGACTGACTGTAATTCCGCTGGAGACAGTCGTGAGGCCTTGCAAACCGCAATTATGATGCATACACCAAACATCGATTTTCTAAGAGTTGCTGGAAGTATTGATCGACAATCTCCCCCAAGATGGACCGGTCTCATCCGGCAGGCAACAAGCGGAAACTCTTTTGGGAATACGCACAAGTTCCGACATGTACGTTCAGTCCGAGTAGCTGCATGTGTCTCCACCATACAACAGCTTGCACCGCTATTTTTATTGCAGTCGCTGCGAGAGCTTTACCTGAATCGAATGGTTGATTCCTACCAAGTTAGAGGAACCTCAATGCTACAGCGCCTAATTCCACCTCTTTGTAACAATCTGGAGACCCTTAATCTGGAGGATAGTTTTTTACACACGGACGAATTAGGAGTTCTAGTTGCATCTTCCAGGGGGTTGAAGTCATTCAAGTACGACCTAACAGTGAGCTATTTCGGGTATGGTGTAGAAACAGTTGTCGAGCTAGGCCCAACGACACTGATCACCGTTCTTGAACGTCAAAAGAGCACACTTGAGAGCCTTCAATTTCGTCATGATGCTACAGACGGAGAGGTCTACGATTTTGCTAATCTTCGGGGCAGCCTCAAAGGTTTTGCCGTGTTGAGACAGCTCAGCTGTCCACTCAACGTAATCTTCGATTCGCAACTAAAATCGCCCTCTGCCCTAATCGAGACCCTGCCATCATCCATAGTCGATTTTCACGTGTTCGACAGCGACTACAAACCAGATGAAAGATTTATCAACGCTTTGGAGCATTTAGCCATGTATGGTCACGTTGATGTGCCTCTTCTGAAGGAGGTCCGAGTTCAAGGCGCCATGTGGGCCACGCGTGACAAGAAACGTCTCTTTGCCCTGTTTGTGGAAGCTGGCATTGCCTTTTCTGTTATGGACGACGAGTCCAGTGACATTTGGGGAGACAATTCGACAGATTCAACGCAGTCGTCAGATGAAGTCGACTTATATAGCGACGACGATGACGACGACGACGGCTCGAACATGGAGTTGGTACAATTCTAACCAGTTCGACGATGGCGTCACTTACAGTCAATTTACGAGGCGCCCGAACAAGTATCAGACTATGTTCTGAGCATTTCAAGCAAGGAGAGCACTGATTTTCGGGGGAAGCTTAGTAATATAAGATATTCGCCGATTAATTCTTCGAAATTGCCGTGAGTGTGTATGTTCACTGCCCATCCGAAGGTCCACAATATACCCAACGGCTCGCCCGTCGACCGACGACTGGTGGGGGGCGGTTGTCGAGGGAAGTGATGCGCGAGAATGGATACGTAGGATTTCGTGATAGAAAGTTTGGTAGTGTGCAAGAGGTTTGACGGAGTGTCAAAGGTGTCAATACGAGTCAAAAGAGAAATGGGCGAGTAAGATGTTAGGCTTGAAAATACGAGGCAGACAAGAAGGAAGACATAGAGAAGAGGGATAACGAGTACCGCGCTAGTCTCTCGCCCGTAATATGAATATCTTGATGGAGATTCAATTGCTCAACCGTATTGTTTTCGCAGCATTAACCTGTAAGTCATTTGATATACATTGAGTTAGATTCTCGTAGTAAAGAAACGTCTTCGCACTCAAAAGAAAAATCTATAGAAGCTTGGAATTGAGTCTTTTAGCTGGATCAAATACTCGCATTCCTTTACTCAGCTCGCCCGAGCGTCGCCGTCGACTTCGAACAATTTCGAGGGTATAAGCAGTCAAGCTTTCTCCGATGACTTAACTGTATCACTAATATATTCACAATAGCATTGCAATCTTACAGGAGTAGATGCTGTAGGTGTAGTAGAAAGAAGTGCCGAGTCGTCTGCTACCTTGATCAGAATGTGTTTTTGGTTCCGTGTGGGAATACAGAGGTATACCCTCAAGTTTACGCCTGCCTTATCTTGCATCGAGCAGGTGGCTACGCTCACGCGATGGCTCTCCGCCATGTGCTGTTTCATCTCTTAGAACCACGCATTAAATTCTAGATATCGACTCTGAATCACACTATGTTGCCTCGGTAATTCTTGCAAGACTGTTGTGATGGCTGCTTCATCAATGTTACTTCCTATTTCATGTTCGATTGCCTCAGTCTGGAATGTAGATAGCAGCAAAGAGTCAACAGTGTGTCTTCTTTGCGAACCGACCCCGTCGAGTCCCCGCACTCTCGTGGCAGTAATACGGGTAGCCTAACCCAGTACAGAAGGTCAACCTGTCAAGCTACCCAAGTGGCGGGTGCACGTCTAGAAGAGGTGTTCAACCCTAGTCACTTGTGATGCCCAGAGCTGCACTTCATTTGAGAAGTAGGGAGGTATTCGCTGGTTGTCGGGAAAGTTGGGAAGTGTGCAGCACATGACTTTAGAGGCGTCGCTCTTTCTGCTGTTTGAGCTCCTAGTCACTGTTGAGAGGTAATGCTACTACCCAAACGTAGTACGAGCCAATGGTTGATCAGATATAAGGCGAGATCAAATATGCTACAGCTCGGAGATTCGGCTGGAACGATGATCCGTGGTGGGTTTGTATAGTCTTGAGTACTATGTAACTTATCTTGGCAACACCAGTGGATCTTCAGGAATGGCATTGGATATCGTTTGTGGCAGGAGGGCGTACTAGAAAGATGTTGGCATTCCAGAATCGGGGATGGTCTTCCTTCCACGAGGAGCAGGTGCTCAAGATGAATCTCAGGGGATCGTATGTATCAGCGGTGGGCGTCGATGCTTCGCTCGAGCATAAATACTCCTTATCCTTCCCTGTGCTTTGATTTCAACAGACACTTCTCTTTTTCCCAAGCAAACCCTTCAACACCTTCATTCCAATACATATCATGAAGCTCACCCTCGTTACTCTCTCACTGTTAACTACCGCCCTCTCTCTGCCTTCAACTTCTCGTGAAGTCTCTTTTCCAATCACCGACCTCGAGACCACCGATCTCACCGCAGAGGAATACTTCCTCACCCTCGCTTCCCCCCTCGCAAAGCGCCAGTATTCCAGCAGCACCTATAACCAACTTACCGACGGCACGCCATGCCGCCCAGTAACCCTCATCTACGCCCGCGGCACCTCCCAGCAGGGTAACGTGGGAGACTCTGCAGCCGTAGGCCCACTATTCTTCAACAACCTTGCCCGTCTTGTCGGGGGAACTAGCCAGCTGGCTATCCAGGGCGTAACGTATTCGGCGAGTGTGGCGGGTTTCCTTGCGGGAGGAGATGCAACGGGTAGTACGACGATGGCTAATTTGATCAGCACGGTGAGTTGGACGACGGAGCTGAATGGGAAGCGGAATGCTGATGTCCATTAGGCGGCGACAAAGTGCCCGTCAACGAAGATTGTTCTCTCAGGATACAGCCAAGGTGCTCAACTCGTGCATAACGCTGCCCAGAAGACATCGGCCGCCAATGCTGCCAAAGTGGCTGCAGGTTAGTCACAGACCATGTTATACCTTCTCATCTAGGGATGCTGACATGATGATAGTCGTTGTTTTTGGTGACCCAAAGCGAGGCCAGACTTTCGGTAGCATCTCTACCTCCAAGACTCTGACCGTCTGCCACACTGGTGACAACATCTGTGAGGGAGGCTCCACCATAACGGCCGCGCACTTGAACTACCAGCGGGACGCGCCAGCTGCAGCGCAATTCGTAGCTGGCAAGGTTTGAGGCATATTGTTGGATAAAACTGCGCTGGGAGGGAAGTTATACATATTAGACTTTTGTGTTGACAATGTTACAAATGGCTCATCGAGCCTGACCCACTAAGCTGTCCGTCGTATTCATAGCCGAATTCACCACGACATCAACGTGAAACCCCTTGTCCTTGCGAATTCCCCGTTCCACCTCCTCATCGCTCAGTCTCTGCCACTTGTCCTCGGGCCTACCATGCACCGGGCTTAGATTGAACCCTGACTCCGTAGGACTCCGGAAACCTTCACGAACACGGCGCGATCGCTGTTCAGGCTCTGAGTCGATGCGCTTATTACTCCGTCCGTTACTAGGTCCAGAACTGCTATCGCCACTGTGCCGGCGGAGGTAATGTCGCAGGGATGGGATCGAGGAGGCGATGCAGCCAATGCCTGTTTCGATATTGGAGCAAAGTACAGTGTGTGCGACCCAAACTGCAGCAATGTCAGATGAGCATGGGGTTATGATTGTGGTTTCATGTGCAATGGAGTTTATGCTCCCTCATACGAGTGATGTGGTGATAGGACTTGGACTTACATTGCAGGTTTGTCATCTTTTCGAATTTGTTGACATACGGTATGCGCACCATGGTGATGATTGACGCTCTGTTGGAGTGGATATAAGCTGTTGCCATTGTAGAAGCACACAAACATGAAATGAACTTACACTGAAGCAAACGACAACAGTCCAAATGCTTGTAGTTTCGCCTGCCTCTTCATTTGTGTGTTCCACAACAAGACTCCAGGCACTATGACCAGGGCTAAATCAGTCGCAATTGTACTGACAGTGGCTGTATGGCCGATTATGACAAAAGTGTCCACAGGTGCACACGTTCCCTTCCCGCTCAGAATCAAAGATGGCGTCCATATGGCGTTGACTGGTCGGCAGTAGGTCAACGTACCCACAAACGTGATAAAAAACGATGCCCAGGTGACCGCAAGTAGGACCCAGACAGTGATCCGTAGAGGCGTTTTGGTGGAGGCGATGCGCAAGATGGTAATGCAGACTGAGGATTTGATGAGCGCCAGCGCAATAACATACATCAAAATCCAGATGATGTAGATTTTCATAGCTTCAGACCATTGCCACAGATTGAGGTCCTTCTCTAGTCTTCCTAATCCGATGAGAACTCCGTAAATTGTCAGACCGACGACGGCTGAATAAACGACCTGAGTACAGTTTGAGTTAGTTACTGTTTGTAACGTGGAACGACGAGTAGACTTACAGTTCCGGCAACTACCAAGGTATCATCCAGACCAAATGTCTTCCTTGCGAGTCGAATATAGGTTCGTAATGCCACTGAAACGATGGAGAGTGCAAGCAGCACGCATGACACGCATAAGATAGCTAGTGGAAATCCATCTAGCGGGATTGTTGTTGCGTTGGGGTCGACCGTTGTTGACATGCTGTGATTCTCCTCTAACGTGTGAGTCCTATCCTGTTGTTCACTCTGTGCTTTTGTGTATGCACCAGGGCTGATTATTGAACCTATTTCAATAGTCTATAGAGGGGGTCAGTAGCTTGCTCGCCAGCGAACCACTACAGTCGGTATTGATGAAGACTTGTCGAGCGGTATGCAAGAGTTCTCCAGATGTGATGTCGCGATGTTTTGGAGATATAGTCGACGAAAGGGACTCTCCAAGATGAGACGGCGATCCCGCTCCTGTTATGCTCAACCGTTCAGTTTCCTGCTCCTGCTCCTGATTGGATCGGTTTCTTGTGCAGGTAGTGTATGGATGTTGAATAGAGGTGCAGAATGTGGTCAAGCCACGAGCGCGGCCCCATGATATTGAGCCGCAAATCCTCACCCCGTTCGTGCCGTGCTGAGAGGGTAATTTGTTTGTAAGCGAACTAAAAGACTGGAATGTTAGTGTCTCGAGCATGCCATACCCTTGCACAGAGGACCTGAAGGCAACATTGTGAGTAACGAACCCTGCAGAGCTCCTGAAACTCATCACAATGCATGTCTGCAGATGTGTCATAGCTTGCGAATCAGTAGGTACGGCTCCTGATCATACCTAACTGATAGGGTCGATTCCATCGCTCGCGACGTTTATATTCTAGTGTTCGCCCGCCTGGGCATGCCAACTTTACGCTGTTAATTGGTATATTAGATACTAATACATTCATGGATCGAGCCTGTGGCTGGAAATACAGGGATAATCATGCGTTTTGGGATGATCTTACTCTCAAAACAGCTTTCCAAGAACGGTCTGGACAGAGATGGATGTAGTGAACGACTCGAGCGGGACTAACGGCAGCGGAATGGTACGAATAACATGGGTGAGTCGGACCGACTCCAGCTGCCACATGGTTGACAGTCCGTGTAAGTCAACCACTAGGAACACGAGGAGCCGTAAGCGTGGACGATTATTGTCCCACCACGGTTTGGTTCTCGAGCCTTAGGCTTCAGGCTTTAGCGTCGCAACGGGTAATGCACCCTTCGGCAAATCAAACACACCAGACGATGGGGAAGACATCAACCCTGAGGAAAAAGTCAATATATAATATAGAGCAAAAGCTGTCGCGAGGACAATACCAACGTGAATATAAAGTTTATGCGGACTTTCCAGCGGAAGATTATCATCTGTCCGCATCACGTCAGGCCGCAGTCTGTGCTAGCGAGGAAATTATCTCCCGGTATCTCGATCTGCCGGGGAGTACTCTCATAATTTCGAATCGTACCACCCGGCCAGGGTTATGAAAACCACGTCACGCTTCGATGTCTGCATTTGCAGTGGCATGTTCATTCGCTGTGTGGCCTGCATGGCAGTCGGAAGACTTTCCACAGGTCTCCCCAACTTTTCCCCTCCCCTCAACAAAACCGGAAACATGAACGCGACTCGTCGAGTTGCCTGAAACCTCGCGTGTCCCTGATGCTTGTCAAGTTTTCGACATGGGCTGGCACGATTTTGTGTATCAAATCACAAAGCGAGCTGTGGTGCCACTCGAAATAAAGGTTATGCCCACCGCATCGCAAAGACGAGGTTGTGCGTTTATGTATTCTCTATACCCACTTGCGCGAGACGTCTGACATGTCTGTCAATAACCGACGATGCACCAACAACGGCAAATGGCTGATAATCCAGAGGCATACCATACGAGCCCCAGATTTATTCGATCTCCACTCGCACTCCTCTCCCGTCTTTCGTCATGGGAATGAACATATCATGATGGTATGCAAGATCCTCCATCACTGTATCAGACAAACGCATGTGGGGCAGAACGCGAAGCACTAGTGCGGCAAGGCACAAGCTGAGCTCACACAACGCAAGACTGATAATCAAAGTCAGCAAGTTTGGTCCAAAAAAGGGCTGTAAGCCTGTTTGGCAGATCGGGAACCACTTACTTCATGCCCAAACACGATCTACTTCCCTTGGAGAAGGCAAGCATACTGCGCTCCACGTCTTTCCTTCGCCGGTTGTTCTCATCCAGCCAGCGCTCGGGAATGAAAGCGTGGGAGGATGGAAATGCCTTTTCATCGTGGTGTGTAATGACTGCCGACATGCCTACAGCATAGCCTCGGGGAATGACGAGCTGGACGGATTTCTTGTTCCACTCTCCACGATAGACCAAGTTCTCGTCGGTTGCGACACGAGCGGTACGTGCAGATACACCGTACGACAAACGCAGACCCTCCTGAATGACTGCGCCCAGATACGGTAAGTTTTCAAGTGTATTCCAATCCGGTAGGTGACGCTCATCTTCCACAACCGTTCGCAGTTCACTTGTAAGTTTGGCGAGAAGTTCGGGCTGAGTCAACAAATGGTATGTTATGACGGTCAAGGCCCAACTTGTGGTTTCGGTGCCGGCACCAATCACTGCAGCAGCCTCATCGGCCAGACGCTGCGGCTCCTTATCAAGAGCCTCCAAGTCAGACTGCAGGAGAGACGCAAAAATGGTGGGACGATCGTAGGTGATGCCAGCGTCGAGATCTGCTCTTACCTTCCTGACTCTTGCAGGCATGTCAATTTGCAGTGTGCGGACAAACATGGCTTGATCTTTTGGCATGTAATCAACGATCCACTTGCCCAACCCTGCACTAGCTCTTGTCCAGGGAAAAAAACGGAAGATGAAGACGGGTCGGAGGAGAGCGGCTGTTGGCTCACGGAAGTTGGGATACCACCCTTTCTGATCCAGGAAACCAAAGCTTTCTCCGAAGCTGTAACCGGAAATGGCGTCACTGGTGAAACAGCTGTAAGCCATGGTTATATCAAACGCCTTCTTGTCTCCAGATTGCGCAAGGAGCTTATCACAGAGCTTTTGTACTAAGACGTGAACTTCGGGCTCGAGCCGCGAGATCATGCTGCGCGAGAAGAACTTGGCCAACGGGATGCGCCGAAGACGGTGGAGGTTGTGGTCTACTGTCCCAAAGCCAGCTTGTCCGAGACTGGAGGTGGTGTTAGCACATCTTGGAGATGATTCGTCTTGTGAAGGCAGCTTACGCTGAGCCGTTGATCTGATGCACAGGCTTGTCGCGTTTGCGCCCGCCGACAGCATAGATGTCCTCTGCGAAGCTGATATCGTTGCAGTGTACTTCGTGGGGGTTGATTCGAACGATAGGGCCTGGTTTGGTTAAATTTATTCTAGCATGTGTATTTAGAAGTCCATCCACGCACCATATGTCTCATGCATTTTCATGATTTGTTTTGTGTAGCACCCGAATTGGACGACATCGTAGTAAAATTCCGGCAGGTACGTTGCTGCAGCCAGCTTCGGTCCGGGGATGCCGCTCAGCGGATGGAGAGGGGACAGGTTGTACAGGGCCTTGAGGATTTCGTATGCCAGCCAGACGCCTGCGAGTAGCAGCACAGTGCGTAATGTGACGACGGAAGTGTCCAAGGACAGCGGTGCAGCCTGTGTACTCATGGCTGGAGAGGTGGTGAAGAAACAATGCCTCTCTTGCAAGTGCAGAGAGGTGCACTCTTCAGGTCTTGTCATGCATGCTTTGTAGAGGAGCATCAACTTAGTGCCGGAGATTGGTCGCACATTCGGGGAGCCAAGTGCGGTCCGCAGAAACTACGGCTGCGCTAGGCCCATATGTGCGAAGTACCGTTGGGTGACAGTGGGGGGTTGGAGTAGGAACGTGGCATCCTGAGTAATGTCTGGCGTGCATGTTGCACGTAGACACGGTCGATCAGGGCGTGTTCTGGCGGCGTTGGGGACGGGATCGTCGTCGTGGTAACGGGTTGGTAGCATGTGAATACGACCTGGCTCCAGCACGCAGCCGTGCACATTATTCAGAGGGACGCAGGCGCAGGGTGGGGCGGTGTGGTGGAGGGAGGGGATGGCAGGAAGGACGCGCGAAGTCGCTGGAAGGATCGACATGCCAAACTGCGCTGCTGTCGCTCTTCTTGGCTAATGACGCAGCGCCCTGGCCGCCGCCCATGTTATCGCTGTCGTCTGAACCGTCCCCTCGACTGGCGCTGCATCGACTATCAATGCAGCGATTGGCAATCCCTCGACTCGCAGCCCCCTAGATCATCATGTCTCTGGTCCTGGGCCTGTTCCTCGGTGGCTGCGTGACGGCCATCCCCATCGTCACGGGCGTCGCCGAGGGCGTCGAGTACCAGAAGAAGCAGAACGCAGAGGCGGCAAGCGAGACGCGCATGATCAAGTTCAACCTCAACACGGCGTGCGACGTCCAGGACGACATTGCAAAAGAGGAAGTCGACAACGGGACCCTCGTACTGCGTCACGACAAGGTCTGGATAGTGCCGCGCGACCAGGACGGCAAGCCGCTCCCGCCAGACGACCAGGTGAAGATGGACCCGCCCCTCCATGCCTTTGCCGGCTTCTACATCCAGTACCCCGACGAAGACCGGAGCCCGCCCCAACGAGGCCTGGTGAGCACCATCTCAGACGACCCGCCCATGCTCAACTGGCTGTACTGCGACCGCGCGACGTACGAGCTGCGCTACGGCAACCGCACCACGTCCATCACCCACATTGTCGGCGAGTGGGACTGGACCGAAGACGAGTCGAACCTCATCCTCGATGGCTGGGAAGGCTTCGTTGCCATCGACGAATGGGACGGCGCCGACACGGACCCCACAACACCCTGGGGCCGCGAGGGCCTGCGCTGGGCGCTGTACTTTGACAAGGACGACAATGGGCTGAAGGGCAAACACAAGGGCAGGGACATGTTTGAAGTCATGCTTCAGCGGAAGATGCAGAGCGAGGAGGATCAGCTGAAGATGATGGAGGCGGCCGAAAAGAAGATGCAAGTCAAGAGTCGTGGCGGGCTGAGCACGCAGTTTTCTGCTCCCGCCAAAGAGAGAGACGAGGCCTGGGTCAAAAAGTATGGCAGACACACCGAAAACGAGAAGAAGAAAGCCTTCGACGTCGACGCCTCAGCCTTGCCTTGGGAGGGGGGAGAGGAATCTTGAAAGACGTCATCGGACCTCAACAGATACCCAAAAGGCAGAGACTTGGAACAGAACCTTGCCATCAGTGAGAAGCAGAGGTACTTGATAGACGACTGGACCTATCGCATGGCAGCCGCGCCGCATCAGCCCCACCCGCTCGAGAGCGCCTGAACCTCGACAGTGCGCAGCCTCGTTTCAGCCTCGTCCCTGCAGGCGCCGATAACCAGACTCAAGCCACTTGCTAGCACGCAGGTTGTCACCATTCATTGATGGCTGGTATGTTGTCTTGCATTCTGACATAGCCACACATGCATGGGCTTCTCGTCCTTTCGGACGCCGTGTGTATGTCTGAGACATGCAACTGGCATGGTTTGGATACAAGTATATATTGACCAAACCTGATCAACATACCGAGCTTTGCACAAACATTTCACTTCAATCACTGCGATGCCTTCTCAACGTGAGATCTACCCATCGACGTGGGTCCCGACAGACGTCTTGGAACTATGCGACGACGGTCGCTGTATCGGATACGCGCCATCCAAGCGCCGCAAATGCCTAAACCCGATATCATATGCAAACTCGCAAGCCTTGAATTCTCTCGTTGAGAAGATTGCCAACCAACAACCAGATCCTGTGTTGTTACGACCAATATTGGAGCAAATGGCTGTACATGGGCTTTGTCAACGAAACCACAAGCCTCAAGTCCACGAGATGATGGAGAAATGGGCAGACCGGATTATGGCTGCTTTTCCTAATGCGGAAGCAAATACTACACGCTCGACTACATCATCCCATACGTCGACCTCCGATGCGGCGACTGTTTCGGGACGATCGAATCCCTCAACAGCCTCGTTGTTTTCCTCTCTTCCAGGAAGGTCCGAAGCTGAGACGCTCCAAGAGACCACTGCGGCAAGGCGGGAAGCAATGCAAACTGTGCAACGACATCTTGAGAGACTGCAGTACGCACCATACTCTTCCACTGTCAGTCCGTCACTTTCTCGTGTGTCAACATCCGATATCTCGCTTTTAGATTTGTCGAGATCGTCCACATCTGTCTCCAGAGCTTCCAATAGCGCACGGACTCAGTCCACAACTGAAAGAGAGGTCCCAATCCCGACCACACAGGGACATGCTGAACCCGGAATTCCGTCAAGAATTGTTCCGCCAGCTATTCAGACATCCCTTCCCATGAATCGTTTATCAAGCTCTTCAACGATAACTTCGTCAACGCCAACGACTGCCACCCTCCCCGTAGCCGGACAATGCACGCGTCAACACGCCCGTCGCATAGCTTTTGACGAAGCATGCCCTATCTGCTGCCGGGACACACTCCTCTCTTCCCTTGACCCCTCGGAGGTAGTATGGTGCAGATCTGGTTGCGGTCGTTCCGTGCACAAAACATGCTTCGACACCTGGCGCACAACGTGCGAAACCTCTGACCCGCCCCGGGCCCCAACCTGCGGAATATGCCGAGAAGTTTGGGCACCGGACTGTGAGTGCTGCGCTCGTGTCCATGTTCGTCGGCGATCAGTTGAGCCTGAGTGTTCTATCTGTCGCGAAGAGATGTTACGGGGCGAGGAGCTTGAGTGGTGCAAGTCAGGTTGCGGGAAAAGCGTGCATAAAGACTGCTTCGCTCCATGGCGTGCACAGTGCGAGGCTGGTCAGAGAATGGCGAGTTGTGTGAGCTGTAGGGCGGAGTGGGCGGGAGAGTGTGGATGTTGAGGTGAGAGCAGGACATAAGTCTGGTTCGTTTCTGAGGCGTTCGGGTTAGGTATGAGTTGGTTATTCGATCGTTGCGCCCTACGATTGATCTCAACTACTACCAGGCTTATAGATCTCCATGTTCATCATGTGTCAGTTTTGCAAAACTATCAGTCTGCCGACAACGTGTGTCTGCCTTAACCCTCATGCCCTATCTACTAACTGGTTTGCTATATCATGCATGCCTCAACTCCACGACTAGTCATAGATAAGTGATCGCTTGATCATGGTGACGAAAGCTCTTGCGAAGTTTTCAATACTCAGTGTGACCGACTCAGTATGGGTATCGCTCGCTCCTTCTCCATGCTGCAAGCGGATTAAAGATAAGTGACGTAGTGGTGCCTCAACTCAGGTGCGAGACAAAGCCACATTCATCTACAATCCACACACTTCTGAATCTCACACATTCTTCTACAATGCTCTTAATGACCTTGTCTCTCCCCTCTTCCATTTCTCTTCCGTCTTCGCCTCAAACCCGACGTCACTTCCTCAAAGCACCCTAACAACTACACGGACAGCATGGCCGAGAACATCACCTTCTCAGTCTGCGTCACTACAACATCCCATCCCACCGTCACACTGGATAAGCTCTAAGACTCGCGCCGACAGAACACAAACCGTAGAAGAACAGAAACCCATCATTACCAACCCGCCAATCGCTCAACCCCGGTCTTGCGAGCAAAGGCTACAAGTAGTCAGAGATATCGCCGCCGGAAACGTCGTATTAAAAGTCAGAGATTTGTGAGTGCTTCGTTACTTGCCGTCAGGGTCTGCCAAATGCTCTTGATCGATGCCTGAACGCTACGCGGTCACTCGCGCATGGCATTCGGAACAACTATGATACCGAGAGGATGCTGTGCTGTAATAGCAAATACCGTAGGCCTATGTTGAGGAGAAGCGACCCTCAATACTAGCCAAACCGATCTATACCATACGATTCGACTCAACCGAGTGAAACGGTCATCTGCCGAAAATTGCCTCGTCAAAATGATCAATTGGGATCTTTGTGCGCGTTTCTCATCGATAAGGCAGCAAGGTATCAAGCAGCCACCGAGAGGTGTCAAATACAAATGGGAACCGCATATAAACGCGCAGAAGAAGTTGCAACCCAATACACTAATTCGTCCATCTCAGTCGCCGAGAAGGAACAAAAGTTGTACGAGGCTTCCGCTCTTGCCCGTACTGCGCTTCATACCGCAGAGGTACTTCATGGTGCGTTCTGGTAGACTTCGCTGGCAGGAGACATTCGAGAGAGTTTCGTCTTCTCGGTTGCCTCAGGCAAGACTGACGCGGCTCGTACCTCTCGCGCGGTGAAGGTAACACGGTACCAAACAGCCATCGAGATGCTCTAAGACGAGATCCACAAAACCTACAAACTGGCCAAAGAAGCCGCAACGCATCATGCCAGCTCATGCACCTCAGAAGCTGAGAAATATCAACGGCTGAAGAAAACTCGATTCTTCAGGGAATTGAAGAACAATTTCCATGAACTTGCTCTTGCCCGCACTCCACTTGTTGTAGCGGCAGAATTGCGTGGCACATTCATGGAGCCTCTCGCCATGCGTGAGGACTTGGAATGCGTCGAGTTCTGGCAAAAGCTGCGAACTAGGGATGTTCGGGCGAGTTTTCTCGGTCACATCTCGTTGATCGTAGATCCGCTGTAAGTTTTTGATTCATACGATTTCATGATACTTACCTGCCCAGTCAATTGTTTGAGCACCAGGTTGCCAGACACATGCTGACCCGGCGTTTAAAACATTCATGCACCTTCATACGCTCCTACATCATTGTCCTCAAATCCATCGAGCTGCGCTTGCAGCGGCAATAGACAGACTACATGATTCGAGCATAACGAAAGTCTCGTCCAGCGCCTTGTTCAAAGGTGTGCGGATGCGGAATTCGGCCCTTGGATTCACCATCTACTGTTGCCAAAGACAGGGCACAAGTACGACTACTACGGCGAAGCGGTTTCAGTTGCGAGGACGACGGCATCATGAACGCACAATGGCCCACGAGGGTGTCAGGCAGAGGAGCTGACGGCTCGCTGTAAGGCATGAAGCCGCATCATGTTCATTATAGCTGTGTAAAAAACCGACAGGACTATACGCAATACATAAGGCCAGCTAGGCGTATACAGGAAAGGTTCAAGGTTGATGAGTTTCTTGCTAAGATTGTGTGTAGTTGTCTCAACGTTCTAAAACTTTGCCGCAGCTCCGGCTTTGACACTTGGCCGCAAGAGGCGGCACTACGCCGACGCAATTCCAATTGGATACGTGCTCCACAGGAATGAGCACGAACCAGTATTCAGCTAAGAGCTGACTAAACATTGTGCTTAAAGTCTCTTCGCCGCTCGCGCTTCAAAAATTAGAAAGTTCACCCAGCCTGAAATTTGACGTCAGATTTACGCCTCCATATCCTGAAGTTGAAAGCGCTGGGGAGATCGTACATCGCTGCTCCCAAGAACCGCCTGCCCCCATCGAATGGGCTGGTGGTCCCGTAGCTCCGAGACATTCCATACCACATACACTCTCTCATACTCAATCAACCACTTCTCACGCGATGGATGCATAGAAAGCCCTGAGGCGACGGCGAGCGCGCTTCAGCGATTGCACAAAACTCTGACACGATGAGACGCAAGGCCATGGACATTGATGCCCTCGTCGCGCAGATGGAGACGATGGGCATGAACGATGTGGCCGCCACGAAGTCTGATGTTGACACGCAGCCTTTCCGCTTCTTCGACCTGCCTTCCGAACTGCGCCTGCGTGTGTACGAGCTCTGTCTCATCTTCCCCAAGACGATAGATCTCGACCCGACAAATTCTCGCACCATTGCCCCACACCTCCGCCTACTCCGCGTGAGCCGCCGTATGCACGACGAGGCCTCGCGGGTCTTTTACGGCGCGAACACGTTTCGATTGTTCCCTATCCACGGCAGCTACATCAACAAGAAATACCCGCTACTCGCATGGCTACCTCGTAGGCACCGTGCTCTCATAACGAGACTGGAGTTACGCCTCGGTCCGGGCTTCAATAGGCCACCGAAGGCATGGGTAGTGGACAAGCGTCTTGGGCTCCCAGCGGCGACCAAGGTTTACAAGCTCAAGATCTTCGTCGAGATTGACCCTGCGTCGAGCGACGTCTTCGAGGGCTTTAGGGTTGCCGCCGACTTCTTCACCGAATTTTGCGTGAGCTTGCTGAGAAGCTTGTTCACCCAGGTGCCTTCGATACACGAGGTCGAGTTCGACGCCTATCCCAGCGTCTCAAAGTCGAGCCCGCTGCTAAAGGGCTTGTTGGAGGAGACGTCGTTAAATCAGAAGCGCATAACGTGGGGTCCTGAGAGGGGCTGGGACAAGATTGTCGAGGTCGACCTAGCCAATGTGCTGCAGAAGATGGGTCTTGGGGCCCTCTAGTTGCTCTTTGTACAAACATCTGGCGTGGAGGGTTGCGATCACCGTTGACATGACTATCGCTCTTTTGCTCAAGTATGATACAGTGATTAAATCTCAAATGACGGCCATGGTGCCTCCGTTCCATGCGAAGATATGGTCGTGTCCAAGCAGGCGTCACATCCAAAGTAAACATGAATTCAATGAGTCGCGCAAACAGATCCAACCCTGTCCCAAACCAGTAAAGAAATAGCACACGCTAGAAAAGAATCGCGGATGTCCTGCCAAAATCCAACGTCGAGAAGTCATTACTCGCGCCATACACGAATTCATTGCCGAATAAATGAGAGTAGAGTGGTGACGCAAATATACACTTCGCTATGCGTCATGGTGCATCATATGTCGCAATCTAGCACCTCGTGTAGGGAAAGCAAGAGAGAAGCTCCGGTATAGTCCAGACGCCGCTGGTACGCCTTAAGAGCATCGTTCCTGCGATGCTACTGTCCCTGACCGTTGGTGCGAAAGGGAAGCTCTAATTTCAAACCTCCCATAGTCGCAGCGCCACTAACCTCCGTTCCTGGACAGATAGATCAGCGCGGCTGCAGCATCAAGAACGGGTGGCGTACGCAGATCCTCGGTCACATGTATGTTCGCAGAGGTTGAAGCAGAAGCCGCAGTGTTGGAAGTCTGAGCAACTTGAACCTCCATCGACGTCTCGTTGGTAGCAAGTGTGTCGTTTCGAGCCGGAAGTGAAGATACTTGAACGCTGCCGGCCTGTCGCGGAGAAGAAGCCATCACATCCTCCATAATCTGATCGGCATCTCCATCTTCTGTCTGTTGTACATCCATGCCGTGGTCGTTAGAACTATTAGGTATTAGCATAGATGTGGAAGCGAGGAGGCTTAGTGGCAGCATGTACCGATCTGTGTCTCTACCACCGTCACTGTCGATTACGTCCCTGCCCCTTGTTTCCTGAGTCTCGTCATGGCCGCTGTCATTGTTGTCAGCCTTCTTCTCCACGTCTTCGCCCTGATCTGGAGAATTGACGTCGGCTGGCTCGGAGGATATTGTATTACCCATCTGGCTATCGACTTCGGAGAGCTCTTGAGCAGCAATGTAATCCGCCGAAAGGGGTAGAGTGGCCGAAGGAGCATTCTCGCCAGAAGCGGAGGTAGTGTTTCTCTTCCTTCGCTTGGTGGTTGTTCCCTCCTTGTAATTCGGATCGGCTTTACGGCCAATCTTGACCCACTCATTGCGATTCGCATTCGACTTGGCGTTGGTTTCAGCGGCATGCAAGAGCTTTTGCGGTGAGCCGACTAGAGTGAGGATTTTCTCGCCCTGGAAACGTTAGCATTGATATGCGAACCGTCCGGCCAACAGCATACCTTGAGGAGGGTAACGGCTATGTTCTTGGTGGTCTGCCCATAGTATGAGTAAAGTTTCGGTACATAATCGAGCATTGAACATACCTTGAGAACGTTACAAATCGTCTGGATGCGATCCTGGAAGGTCATCTCTCTGGACTGCTCGAAATGCGACAGCAATTCCTTATCAAAGACAGGACCGTTGAAACCATTGATGTAGATTTTCAAAGCCTCACCCTAAACTTTGTTTAACTACATGGTCAACAAAATTCTCATGCTTGCCATTGTACTTACGAGAATCATCCAAGCACAGACTTCGATGGTCCAATCCGGATAAAATCCAGTGTTAGAACTACTACCCGCCTTCAGGAAGCGACGTATGTAGCAGCCAGTCTTTCTGTCCCTCGCATCATCAACACTCTTGAAAGCCTCCACAAGCTGTCGCACGTGTTTCTGGCAATCAGCGTCGGTTTGTGGGACAGTGGTATCGTCCGCAGGTCCGCGCCACATAACCCGGTCACATGCTTTCTGGGCTTCCTGCAGGCTAGAAAAGTGTAATCCACCAGCATTGGGCCGAGTTGGATACGATGTGTCCAAGAAATATGGAGTTGTGGTCTTGGAATTTCGAGTGGCTTTGGAACCTTGTTGAACTATGGGAGTTGGCCCTGAATTTGAAGCTGTGACTGACGTCGGGACAATGATGACTGGACGGGTAGGCATGAGTCCTTGAGGAATCGCTGGAGGCGGAACCAACGGTGTAATAGACGGTCTTGAACTCGAAGCTGGGTGTGGCGCTGGAACTGACGCTGGGACAATGTTGACTGGCCGGGTAGGCATGAGCCCTTGGGGAGTCACTGGAGGTGGGACCAAGGGCGTAGAAGATGGCTCTGAACTTGGGGTTGCTGTCGAAGCTGACGCTGTCGTAGATGAAGAGCCGTCGCCGGTAAATCCGCGGCCTTGCGGCGCAGCTGGTGGTGGCGGCGGCGGCGGCGAAGAAGACATGATCTGGGGATTAATATCAAAACCTGCTAAGCAAGCAAGTAAAATTTGGGATAAAGAGATCTTTATTATGACACATACGTTAGACCTGTTCGGATCGCATGTCAGATGGTCATGATGAGCGGCCGTACCTAGTTGTCACGGGTTTGAGTTTGAGTTGGTCACTGCAGAGAATGATTCCAGGTATACTGCGGCCGTGGTTGAGGTCGATAATGCTATTGGGTGCTTGTATGCATATTGCGAGCGGAGCGTTATATATACATGGGGCGGTGGAAACACCGCGTCAGTCACATGTAGGGTATGTTTCTGTGAAAGTCGATGGCGATATGAACAACAAGTGGGGCTTTCGAGATTGGGGTGAAGAAACGCTTTTTCCTGCGTGCTGGGCTGCAGGCCGTTGGACGGCCGTTCCCCGTAAGACCTTGCGCTTCAACGTACAGCAAGGGGGAAAAGCGACTTGCGCATCAAGATTTTTGTCGGATGCGACTTCAGTAACACATCATAACGAAACCAGGCTCATGCAATGATGGATATTCGAAAGTCGAACCGCAAAGCACTGGACCCTGCGTACAGATTGTGGAACGGAGGTCGCAATCCAAACTGCGTAGGCTTTCACAGGTTGTCGAAGGCACGAGTTCGGAATCAACCATCCTATTCACACGTCAACTTAGTCCCCGAGATACGCAAGACCATCTCTTACTGAAGCCCACCTAGCTCTCGCGAATGCGGCTGTGATTGGATACTTGCCGGTAGTTCTTTCTAGAGAGGTTACTGGCGCGGGCAGTGAATAGTGGACGTGTATCAGATCAAGAACCTCTTATCAGGATACCATGTGACATACCCGCAGGACGAGTACTTAGATCATCACCTGTTCACCCGCCAAATGGGGATCGGTACGATAATCGGGTTCCACAAGGTCCTACTTCGTCCTTCTTTGAGTGCGTCAAACACGTCGGATGTGCGTTGAAGGTCAACTCTTTTACTCTGCCGCTCCATATTTAAAATAACACTTCTATGAAGCTGCTTGGTGTAAGACAAACATGCACGCCATATCGTTTGGAAGTAGCAGCATCCAATTCACCCTCGATGTGTCCTGCGGCGTAAGAAGAGTGCCTTGTCAGCCTTCAAAGAAGCCGTACAAGACTCAGAATCTGCAGAGTAGTAGAAAAGGGCGAGCGCGCGGAGACACAGTGTCGTTTCTTGCGCTGAGCCATGCAGATACGTCGTTGGTGGTTGAGGACAAGAACGTTTGAGAGACGCTTGGCCTTCAAAAGGCGTGAATGCAACTCTTTTGGTGACAGTGTAATGCGTCAGACCAGTCTCGTAAAAACTCTAAACTTCGAGATTGCTGATAATGTCTGAACATCGAAGAGTGAAGGACAAAGTCGATCCGCAGAGATTGTATGTCTTACAGGGCTTTGTAACTTCATCTCAGAAAGACGCATCATTTTCGGATCCTAGCATCGGGTTTCGTTGTCGCCTGTCCTAGAACACACGCGTTCCCCTTGTTGAATGAGATTCGTCAAGGTGTTCTTGCGACTCGACGCGTCGCGTGATGGCCGATCTCGGTCTGCGACTCACGAACTGTTACAAATGACCCCGCTCGAGTGTTTTCAGCAATGGTGAATGGAGATAAAGTCTGGAGGAAGCTCTGAGCGGAGACCGAGTATGCAAACGGCTCGATAACGTTGTGGAAGTACAGGTGAGATTCAAGAGAGGAGGATGTGAGGTGGCCGTCCAAATTAGCGCAGGCACCAATCACACCTCGTGTTCAACCTCACACCTTCTTCGTCCTCTGTTGCCATGCTTGCCATCTCTTTAGCCCCTTACAAGATCGTTCTTGATCTCTGTAATCTTCTGCATACACTAGAGATGTAATCCAGGCTCTTGTTTGTCAGCTGCAAGCATCATTATCTCCGAGACCGAGTCGGAGCCCATGCGATCACGCCTGCGGACCGCCACACAAGACAGCGATTCAGCAGGTAAAGTCGTTCGATCTTCACAAGCATTCTTGCCATTCTTACCACTTTGATCTCTTGCTGATAAGAAAAGGTTGGTATTGAGTTGTCTCTCGATGTCGCAGCTTCTTCATCGTGTTGTGCTCCCACTTTCAGACCAACAAGCTGGCCATTGACTCCCGAAGCCGTATCTATCAGCGCCTTACCTTCTTTGAAGTGGATGGAATATCACCTTCTTCGCGTCTTGCTCTCATACATGGCGGCATGATTCTCATACGAGCCTGCAAAGCAAATTATTGTCTCAGCCGCCGTTCCGTCGTCCGTCATGGCTCAATCCAAACATACCGAACAAGGAGAAGAAAGGGATCCTAAGATCACGAAGATTAAGCATCAAAGATCAACCGCGAGGAGCCAAAGCCTCGGGGTGCACAGCGGACCCTTGTCTGAGAGTCCATCAGACCCGGACTCTAGTTCGTATTGTCGCATAGGTGCTGACCACCGATGATAGCTCCCTCCGCATAGAGAGATACGAACAATTGCCATGACAACATATTGTCTTCAGCCTGCTATCTCGTAAAACAGATCTGTGGAGGAGAAGCACAACCAGGTCGTTTGCCCATCTTGCCGACACTGATCGATGAAGGACAAAACTCTTGCCAATACTCGGCACATGCATCCTGGGAATCGTCTGCCACCATCATCAAATTTTGAGACCAACATAAGTGTTGGTGTTGTCCTATATCGGTGGCCCTGTCAGTACTCCAGGTTTGCCACGACATGTCATGACCTTGTCCGCTCGTTCTTACCAACCAAGTAGACGATTGCTTTGGAGTTTGAATGCTTGAGAGGAAAAGTTCAAATGATGAGGCCCGGCAAACGTCTTGGGTTGATCTGCCTTTTGTCAACAGAAAGCCTTTATGTGGGCCATGGTCAGCAAGTAAGCCCTAGGATTGTTGAGAGTCCATTGATATCAATGTGTATAGACCGCTATAGGTCGAGTCGGTTGCTCGATCAGCTCAAGGCGAATTATAAACACACACCAAAGAAGCGAAAGATCGGCTGATGGGTATATCGGCTTTCCAATGTTCTCAATCAATCCATTTCGTCCGACCTCCTACGATATCAGGACCATACCGCCAATGAGTTCGTATGCGAAGAAGCACACCCCATTGACCATCTCACTATACTCATATCAAAGAGGTACATCACTCCCGGGCTAGCGGTAAGCGGCGTACGCATCACCGCGAAATTCCGTGATGCGTCTGAGTTTCAGTACGAAGACGTCACGTCGTCAGCTGCTCTTGCAGACTCATTTGGTGCGGTGCGCCTAGATCTAGTATGTCCGGTGTGCTATGGTCAATACCACCGTCAATCCATACCGCGGAAGCCCTGGAACAAATCAGCAAGCTCGATGAGAAAGTCAGCCGTGTGAGGCGGCGAAATGACACCTGAGGAACCCGACCGCTCGCGAATTACCGAGTGTAGCAAATATCGTGGTGTATGCCTATTTCGTAGGGTTGTGCCGTTTGCGAACCCTCAGAAGAATGTGAGAGTTGGTTGAGTTGATCAGGCTGACTAGAGAGTGAGCAGCTAGTCCTCGATATACTTGAAAATACCCTAGCCCCTGCTGGTGTGCGGTCTATCGGCGACTCAAAGAGAGGGAAACACAAGGGTTCAATATTCAAGCCACTGACCTGCACACTAGGCCGCTGCCCGTTGACATACTCACCCATTTCGTGGTCCTCTGTCAAGCCATTGTGAGATTGCCAGACCCAAATTCGAATATCTACCGAGTAAGCTCGATGACTTCACCGGGCCGGCCAACTCGTACAATGTCTATAGTTTCCAGCAACATCCGATCACAACGTGGAGGCGCCTTTGTAAGGTGGTGTGGCTGCGGACATTGACATCAATAACAACAACACGAAATCGCGGTGGTCCATGCACGCGTCTTTCTTGCAAATCGAGATTTTATCGTTATGAGACCCACAGATTTGGTTCTGCAGACCGTTCTATCATCGTCATGTGGCTGTGCACAGCCTTTTCCCGTTTAATGGAGGCTGGGGACTATCAAGTGAAGGAGAGGGCTGCCCTTTGATTGGATGGCGACCCCATCTTCGAGCGAATATGTGCTCACGGCGTGTTTTCTTAAGTACTTGCTCTCACTAGCCGCACAAGGACTTCTCAAAATCGCTTCGGTCATTAGGTTCAACTTTCCTTTCAACCCAACGTCTTATTTCTTGTAACAATTTTGGTTAGCCAACTGCTATACGCACTTCAACATCACGATCAGTGACACTTGACTTTGTCATTCTCGACTTCAAGCTTTGCATCTACTTTCTCGCCGGATCGAGATGGCGCGCAACAGCTTGTCCCGCCCCTCTACCCCAGGAAATAGGTACAACTACCACGTCGCTTCGCCGATCAGCGAGCCAGGCCCTCTCTTTGGCCATTCAGTTGTGGACGTTTCGCAGTATGCCTTGCGCCCCGAGTCGCCCTCCTTCATCATGCCGCTTGGAGAGATGACGCCTCGCCTTGACTACGCTTTCGACACTCATTTCTCAGGTCTGCAGCCTGGTAGTGACTTCTATGGCCAGTTTCAATCAGGCTTTGACCTGCCTGAAGACGCTCACGACTTCAGCCGAGTCAGTTGTCCACTCCAGCTCAACCCAGAGGCTTCGGAGTTCACGCCCCGCGTCACGGATCTCTTTTGTGGGAACAGTAGCAACTTCGCCTCTGCTTTGGATGAACTGGAAGGCCTTCGAAATACCCCCAGCCGTGAATTGGCGATGGATCACAACACTACAGGATATGGTGAGTACTGTTGGCTTCGAGCCTTCGAGGTTCAGCACGCTAAACAGCTTTCTAGTCATGCCCGGCCCGTTTGACTTCAACGTTCCACATTACGCTACCCCTCCAAGCTCTCAAACGTCTGATTTTGCTGGTGTAAGCCTCATCAGCTTGGACACAGGCGACGTCTCTTACGGTATCGACGGCGAGCATGGCAACTCCATCTACCCCAGCATCGAGCCCATCCATGGTGATAATCATAAACCTGTCAATGAATCCGATGGTGACCTCAACTTTGCCGACTATCCTCAGGCGGAGCCCATGGGAGCCATCACATATTTGCCTACTCCCCAACAGGTTACTAAATCGCCAGCTACAACCAGCCTCGACATTGATGGAAATGCGAGGTACGACAGCAGTCTAGATGCTGAGTACGATGACGAAGACGACGATCAGACACCTGGTCTCACAGGCTACGATTCAGGTTTCGCCTCGGCTGATGTCACCCGCATCGGAGTCACTCAGCGAGCAACCGTGATAACCACAGAACAAGACATCACACTGAAGCTCAAGCAGGGGCTTGCTGTTTTCAAGGAGCATGAGGGGACTCAGATCACCCCCGGGCCGGATGGCGTTTTTTGGACGGCTCCGCCTCGAGACAATACAATTCCAGACTCCCAGGAGGCCAAAGACATATATCATGAACAGCTCATTGTTGCCATATATAACAATACTGGCTGCATCGAGACCGAGACCAGCAAGTCTTACCAGAATCGCTGGGGAGACGATGCTAAGTTCTATACGCGATGTGAGATCGAGGCTGCCGCTCTGGAAATACTGGTTAGTATTCCTCTAACAGACGTTCTCTCTATCTCTCGTTCATACTGATTTTTGTAACAGTCCTTAGCCATCGAAATCCACCAGATAGGATGGACCAAGCCTATCTTCGATGGACACATGCGCGAAGAAATATACAAAACAATGTTCTTCTCCTTCCAAGAGCGTTTCGACGCACTCATTTCATTACTCACAGTAATTGCGTTCCCGCTTTCGTCCATGAAATTATTCCTAACTCTTACGACAGATTTCCAAAAACACCTGTGAGGCCCTCATGAAGTGTGAGCGTCTTCACGCCGTTGTCGGAAATCCATGGTTGCTCGACAAGCGCGTGAGGAGCAACAAAGCCTCAAACGGTAAGAAAGCTTCTCGAATCGCCTTCGCTACCGCTGTGGAGAAGGAGGAGAAAGTCGCTGGGTGGTGTGAAGCACCAGAGGTAGGTAACGGCAGGAGTAAAGCCAATGGTATGAAGCGCGTTCGTGAGGACGACGACACCGGTGAGTTGAGCGCGGCTCAAGTCGCCGTGCGACCGACAAAGCGTCCTCGTCGTTCTACGAGAACTAAGATTTAGCTGCATTACGGGATGTTGGCCAACAGTTGTAGACTCTGGTGCACATAGCGTATGGCGTATTGTTTGGCACATCATGTTTATTGGTGTCTGTATGAGGCATATCATGGCGTTGTATACCCTAGCACGACGTTTGATTTAGCGGCGTCACAACTTCGTCTCGAGAGGATGGTTCTAATGTAGCTTGCGTTTACTTTTGAAGCCTTCTTGGAACCTTTACTGTACATTTGGCTCCCCAATTTAATTTCACTATCAATGTCGATGCAGTTGCTTCTTACAATCACTTCACCTCGCATTTTCCGTGGAGCTCTGTCCTTGTATTTAACGAGTGTGCCACGTATGACATATGTAAGTGTTTAATTTGATGAAGGCTTCTCCGCTAAGTTATGATATGTAAGTTGATCGGCTGGATAGAAGTAGCTGGGAAACTCCAGATCTCAAGGTGAAAGGGTCTGGAATTGTATTGTCTCGAAACGGAGTCTGTCCAAGAGAACGCCTTAGCAGAGCTCGCCAAAGCATTCCAAGAATTATACTGTAAAACTCAAGCTCCTCAAATTGTTGTTAGTAGGGGGAATATAGCCGCTGGAGATAACGAGAACTCGATTAAACTGACTAGATCAGCTCATGTCTGCAGAGAAAAGTGGAATAAATTGGGTCTTTCATCCCTCATAGGCTTAGTGTATGTGTGGAGCCTCACTCGTCCCCTGCTAGCGATGATGTAAAGTGCAGGAATTCTAGAGCAGTACGTTGCATAATATCCTCGTATAATTTGACCTCGAAATAATACCTGCTATCTCAATCAAAACTGAGTGGATTCGTCTCAGAATCCACAGATACTAAATACAGTAGATGATTGTATGCGGAGCTCTGAGTCGAACTTGTTATCCTCCCTTGCTGCATTCTTTTGAAGTATCCTTTTTAGTAGACTTCAACTCTTATCATGTCTTAACAGTGAGCTTGGAACTTTCGACACAATGTCAGCACAATAACTAACCGTTTATCAACTCACCACCAGTCATGTAGTCAAATTATACGAACCTGTTACAGAAGCTACCCATGAGCTCCGGCGTGCCGAAGTTATAACTCTCTCCTAATGAGTTCCAGTTGAGGAAGGTAGTACGTACTGTGGTATCCGATAAAGGTAGTGTACAGTGAAGACAGTAGTGCAGTAGCTGATGGGGTGGATAACATAGACTAGTACAGATGTTGCATCCAACTAGATTCTGCGCTGGTCTCTTCCCGTGTTTCTAGTGGAACCCCGGCGATATTCCAGCCATGTACACTACTTTGCCGGATACCACAACGAGAAGATCAGTTCCGTTTGCACATTACCCAACGCATAGCAAAGCGGGCCCAGGTCTCGGATATGACAAAAGACGGCATAGCCATCCGAGGATCAAGCGGTATAAAATCAGCGCTTTGCCTCAGGTTCTCTTTTGCTATCCTACACCACATCACATCACTACACACAAGCTTCAAACTATTCAACATGAAGTTCTCCATCGTTGCAGCAGCTTTGAGTCTCCCTTGCGCCATGGCCATGCCATCCGAATCGGGCCAGGGTCGCAGCTTGCTTACTAGAGCCACACCTAAGTTGAATCAGTACGCGACTCTTGATGATTGGTAAGAGAGTCTTTTGCATCTTGGAGACTCTGCCTGACTTATCTTTATAGCCAGAATGATAGAAACATTCTATACCATGCCGCTCCCGTTGCCTTTAGATGCTATGAACTTGACGGCAAGACTGGCGCTTTCTTCTACAATACTGGTCCCTATTTGGAAAGTTTTGGTAAGCCAAGCTCTATCACATATCATGTTCGCCAAGTTCAGCATAGTAACATTTCTTTTCGAAGTTTCCGGTTCGCCAGGGTGCAACCCAAATAGCCCTATCGTCGAGTATATCTCTGGTAGCGGGTGCAGGAACAAAGGCGCTTCAACGTCCGTCCAGATGTCGTAGCTTCTGCGTTTCGGGCATTCCTACTCAAATGGAAAGGCGCCAAATTGGCTGAATTAGAAGATTTCAGACAGAACGCACTCACTTAATCTCAAACATCTGTCTATATAATACTCAATTGGACCTCAATCTTGTGTTGTGATTAAGCAATGTCAAAGAGGATTTATATAGGGGTGTTTCCTCTATCGCAGGTTTAGCTTCACTTTTGCCACACAACATCTCCCGAAGCTAGTGTGTTATTGACCAAATACTCACGTGCTTCAAGACCAGTGTCACCATGGGAAGCGGTCAAAGTATGTCATTGCGCACAACAGCAGTGGACCCACAGTTTTCCGCATGCTCGTCAAGGTTTCGCGCGTTAGAGTAGTTATACCTACCACCAGGTCGCGCGTTGATATACCTCGAGCTCGTTATAGGGAGCCGTTGACCTGATCTTATATGGTCGGTATCATGTGGTAGGAAATATCAACACACGACCCGGTGGTAGCAAAGACACAATGTTTCGAGTTGGGTCCCTGCTTGTTAGGCAACCAAGGCAACCACGGCAAGTCGTGACTAGCTGTAGTCTATGATTTCAATCCGCGATGTGGACTCGACCCACTTCTCCTCCATAGCTATGACAAAATATTCGCGCCGTGGTGGGGCAGTCTCGGACGTGCCTTTCTACTATATCTACGCTACGGGCAGTTATCGCAGTACCTTCGTATAACGTAGCTGAGTGGGGCTTACTTTCCCACTCGATCGCTAGTATAATCTTAGTGCTGACAGCTTGTAGGAAATCAAAATCGAAAACCAATACATTTGGTAGCCCCTCAAAAGAGATAATCACGAGGAGACCGTCAGAACAGGAAAAGACAGCCAATGTTTCTGAAATGCAAAGAAGTACATTTCTCACCTATATTATTTGAACAGAAGCTATTGAATGTGAAATCGGCTGTTTTTGTTAGACAAAACATACTGCTCAAGTCTCATTATATCATAAGGTGTTTCGACGACTACTGTGTCCAGGTATCACAGGGTTACAAATTGACTTAATTCGTCATACCAGACACCTCCGGCTTCAGTAGTCCACTCAGAGCCTTTCACAGCCAAATCATATACGCCGTTTACTCGAGTCATTTAACCTTCATCTTAAGAACAGTCAGTTATTTTAAGAAGCCGTCTCATCGATTTTGATCTAACCTCGAGAACGTCCTAGCTAAGAAGAAAACACATAGAAGGCGAGCACAAGAGGCCATGGATCTTATCAACAAGGAACTGTGAATAGTTCATGGTGTTTAAACCATGCGAACAGATGATATAAAGAGCTAGTGATTTGGCCACTACAAAACCGCTGAAAACCGTAGTAGCAAAGATGTAACTCTGGAAGTTATCATACCTTTCCTCGCTGGATTACCTTGTCTTTCTGACTTCTACCATTTTCGAACGAGTTGGGATAGCTTGAAATTGCGGAGGCCGATAGCCTTTCACTCCCTTGTTGTCTTGGCAGATCTGGTGCGATATATTGTATCCCGACTTTGTCAAACTTTGTGCATCTCCTATATCTATATACGGTCAACTCAACTACCAGGTCAAGGATAAACAACCTACGAGGCACACAGACATCGGCAAACTCAACCACCGGAATCTTTGGAATGCTCGCTCCCGAATTCATTGGCCTGCGCTCGCCGGAAGACTTTGACTTTTCTGACTTGGTGGACACGCCGCCGACGGACGAGTACGATATATATGTAGACCAACGATCATTGGATCATGTCTTCAATATGCCGACGGCAACTGCAAGGAATCTCGAAAACGGAACGATAGCAGACCTTCGAAACAACGTTCTACCACAATCGCAGTCAATCGTGAGCAGTAAGGCTGAACCAGCTGGAATACGGTTGCTCACGTACTACAGTATGGCCAAAACCCAGAACTTCGTCGGCGTATGCATAGCAGAAGCCAGTCTACGGGCAACGCTGCGACCCAACAAGCGATGGTATCTAGCTTGTTCCAGCCATATGGTACTGCTTATGTGAGTGACTTCGAGAAGAAAACCAGTGTTGTATGTTGATGGAAACGTAGACTTCGAATCAGATGTTGTTCGGTACGATTCCGAGACGCGTCCTATCTCCTCAAAGTTTTCCACCGCTTACCGAAACGGATATCCGTTCCTCATATCGAACAGGCGAACAGAATTTGCAAAAGATTGAAATCAATCAGTACACTCAATCGATGTTATCTCCCAATCAGCGCAACGTCCAGCAACTTCACAACCCATTCGCCGCGCACACGTCTCTCACTCACAAAGCAACACGAACAGATGGAAGAACCAATGTTACGGAGGTGGGTTACGACACTGAAGCCTTGCCCACTCAGATGTTGTCAGCCAGGCAACTTCCACCTATTCAGATGCTGCCGAAGCTGGGATCATCGCCTCCCCAGATGCTACAGCAGATGGGACAGCTGCCCCGTTTTGGTAGACCGCAGTTCCAGAACGGTAAATCAGTAGCTGCATATCTCCACCAGCCGATTTGGTTCCCGTCGACAGGTGATTACGGTGTGCCTCAGTCTGTCCCTGCCTTGTTCAGCTACGTGGGAACCATCTACAACGCTTTGGTGGATACTAGCGACGTGTGGGATATGGTTACAAATCCTGACGAGGCGCAAAGGTTTCGCTCTGGTGGCGAGTGGAGCAACCCAACAGATATTGAGGCCATTTCACACCTCGTGGTGAATTCCGCGATCAACATTCACTTGCGAGGAGTTGTTGGCCTTGCGTTCAATCGCTCGCCAGATCTTGCGCAGTGCCATGCATTTGATGTCACGTTCACTTTCGCCCAACGAGTCTACTTTGTTGCGCTTCTGCTGGCGAAGTATAAGGTATTCGCGACTCAGGTGATGAATCAGTTGTGCATTGACAGATACGTGGCGAGAATCTGGTCGGTATTGGGCCGCAACAAGACCTTTCAAAACTGGTGGAATCGTCTGACCAACGAAGAGAAGCACTGGTTTTTGAAGGTATCCCCATATGCAGCTGTGCCAGACAAACATCCTTCTGATGAGACTCTGAAACAGCTTGCTGCGCAGACGCAAGCCAAGACCAATAGGTTGCCGAATTTTCGAAGCTTTAACATTGCTACTGTCTCGACAAATCAACATCAGAGCATGGGAGAAGAGCGTGCTAGGCTTAACCCGTTCGGCCACCAACCATCACAGTCTGCTACGGGTCCTACAAACATATTGCCTCAAACAACGTCGTCGCGAGGTAAGCGATCAGTTGCTGAGAGTGCAAACAACAACGTTAGCACCCCCACCAGGAAGCGCCGGGCTACCGTGTGTCTACGCCAGACTATAGAGTCATTGTCATCTGTTCCGGTGGAAACCCGTCAGCAGCAACCATCTGTCCATCATCCTCTACTCTTGGACAATTTTCAACCCCACGAAGACGCAGCGTTCAATTGGCCAGACACGCTAGGATTTGAACAAGATACTTTCTTGACTTCTGAAGCAGCCGAAGAATATAAAAACTACATATCTCCTTGAAGTCACCTTGACGCAGAGGTTAAAAAAAAGAATTCAGACGGCGAGTAATCTTTGCTGACTGAATGAACAATTGGAAGGTCTTGCAAAGAACTCTTTTCAAGACGAAGAATGCTGGTAAACGGCGATGGAAAGCGCACAAGGCCAGAATGTTAGACTCCTAGCTTGGCAACAGAAAGGAAGAACTTCTTTGTAGCTTCAGGGCCATGTGCTATGTCAGATGGATGCCTTGACAGATAGTCTTTTCGAAGCCGCCATTGCTTGAATCTTGAAATATTCTAGATCACCGTGCGATGATGCAACAATGTACTTGATCATTGAATTCAGCTGGTCTTGCACCAGTCAACCGTCCTGCTTGAATACCTGTCTCATAGTAAGATCTTGTTGTTTCGTGTGACCCGACCTGTTGGTGGCGCTCGGATGAATGGATGACGGAAGGAGGGACGTGATGCAGGTCCTCCCTACGTTGAGAGTGATCGCAACATCCTCAAATTATTGTCTCAAGAATGCTGTCCATTAATAGGACTTTTTCCGCCGTATATAGCAACCTTTCCGCGAGTTCGTGAAATTGACGTTTCACAACGTTGAACGTTACTCATAATAACCAGTACTTCGACAATGCTTCCATTTGCGTTGAGTCTTCAAAGATCTGGGTAGTCGACTTGTGCGACCAGTAATTAAGGAGAAACCAATCCATCGTCGAATGCCTATGACCATTGATGCCTTTCACATCCAAACAAACAATAGGCAATCCAAGAACCGAAGTAGTGGAAGAACCCATGTTCAGTGCAGGCGAGGAACCTCCCGTCACGTCTGATCGAGATATTAAATATTTGCAGGCGCAGCGCCGACCACTCGTACACCTCAGACGCTCAAAGCTTGTGGAGAATGATCATGACATACATCCCTCAAGTCTGCATTCTGGACGTCCGCCTATGAACCTATCAAAGTGTTAAAATCACAAGTTCATTTTCATTGTATGAAGATAGAATACCCACTCAAGCCAGTAACAGAAACAAGGTTGTAGGCAGATAGGTAATCTCGAGAGTCGTGTCGAGAATGAGCCCCCTTCAACTAATGGGCCTGCTCCAGACCAGCAATTACTGGCAGAACTCACAGGGTATGCCTCCCAGGACACTTATTTCTCCTTGGAACATGGGGTTTCTAACTTAGTACTCGAAAATATGATCAATCAGCCAGAAGTACCTACAGGCTTCCATATTTAAGCATCAGCCTCTGTCGATCAGTAACCCAAAATCAACCAAGGCGACAGCAGAGACTTTTGACCTCAGTACATTGACGAATCCTTTCATCCAAGAGCCCAGACAAACTGTCCTCTATTCAGAGCCAACATACGTCTGGCTGAGATTAGCAGTCATCCAACCATGATTCACCTCATTAGCAATCATGATCTGCTAGACAGAACAAGTAACAATACCAAGAACGTGACTCAAATGTCCAACATATAAAAACCTATAAACTACAAGCAGTTGGGGAAATCCTGGACGCTATCCAAATGAGGTCAGTGTTCTTGGCAAATACCTCAGATAAACGATTCACTTCCCAGACGAAGCTGACCCTTTTGATGATACTCAATATCGAAATGGAAAAAAGGGTTTGAACAACTCACAGTAGTCCGGATGGTTCACGTTGTGTTCTCAACATAGACTAGTATACCAAGCAATGCAAGAAACGAAGAATGAAATTGTACAAAACATATCGCTTAGTGAAGTAAGAAGGGAATCACACTCGGAGATGATATGACTCAAAAATAGAGTAGTAGCACAAACGCGGCAGGATTTGGCTGGAAGTCTTGTATAAGATCTAGAACAAATATCGCGCTGCTTCTATCGCGCCGCTATAGCCAACAACTCCCAACACGGTGTCGCTCAGTCGTGCTAGGTCTGCATTTTGTCTCATGCTTGTGCGCTTATTATAAACCCCATGTGAGTATAGTGATTTCATGATCAACGTTGCAGTCAAGGGTTTTCTTTGACTGCACAGTCTGACCCCTCGTAGAAGAACATGGACATGGGGACACGCACAAGAGTTGACGAAAGAAGTCAACTCCGTGTTCAACGTCGGACATGACACGGCGCTAATAGGGCCGTTGCACTCATTTATCAGTGACCAAGCCTGCCAAGACCAAGAACAAGATTCGAGATAGACCAGTTGGCCAATCAAGCAATGAAGAACAGGAAGCAAGACGGGACATCCCAGGCGTCGCACCATCATCGCCAGCACCGGAAACAAAAGCTTCGACAAGATGTTCACTACGGTCAATGCGCCCCCGGTACCGGGCGGGGGCCCCCCAGTACGGGGCGCGCTAACCCCTAGTACAATTAAACTTCCCCCTAGTACTAGGTAGTATCCCTCTATACTAGGGGCCTACCTACCTAGTACTAGGCGCGTATACCCCTAGTATAGGGGGTAGCTTAATTATAGCATAGGTAATATTATATAAAATAGTTATAGTATTAGAGAGTATATTAAGTAAGTATATATAGAGTAGTAAGACTAGTAAACGCTTACTACCTACTATAAGTTATACTAATTTTATAAGCCTATTAAAAGACTCTAAGTAATTAAAAGCCCTTTACTATATAATAATAGTCCTTTAGTTAAGTACTTAAGGTACTTAGACTAATAGGCTATTATTTAGGAAAACCTTACTCTAAGTAAATAAAGTTATATTAAATCTACATTACTATACTCTAGAGTAAATACTTATTAATAAATACTAAAGAGCCTATATAAAAAATAAGTAGTAATAATAACTATACTATATAGAACTACTAAAGTAATTACTAAGGGTATATACCTAAGGCTAAGCTAGTATTATAAAAACCCTTAAAGCCTATAGAAGCCCTTAGTACCTATAGAAGCCCTTAGTACCTATAAAAGCCCTTAAAGCCTATAAGTTATACTAAAGGTAATCTACATTAATATAAGTATAAGTTTAATTATAAAGAAGGAGAAAAGAAACTTTCTAGAAAGAATAAGAATAGGCTAGAAGGTAAGAAGAATATAACTATTAAAAGTAAGTAGAAGTTTAGTAAAGGTTTTAAATATAAAAAGAACTCTAAACCTATTTAAATACTTTATAGTTATATAGTCTAATACCTATATTAAATAAGATACCTCTTACTATCTAAAGTATTAGATTACCTAACTATAGGTTTCTTATAGCTAAACTTAACCTATCCTTTAGTTAATAAGGAGTACCTTATTACCTAAAGAATAAGTATAAAATAATAAGTAAGTTATTAGATAGAGTCTAAGCTAGGGCATAAAGAAGGCCTATTTATATAAACACTAGAGTAGATACTAAGATATATAGTAATAGTAAGTAGTAAACTGCTAAGGATTACCTAGATAGGATAGTTATATAGATAATTTCTATTACTAGCAGCTAAATAATTACTAATAGAGAGCTGTTTAACTATAAATAAGCTAGAGTAGTAGTAGTAAGTATTTATAGAAGAGTTAGGAGGAAGCAGCTAGAGCTTAGAGAGATAATAGAAGTAGATTAAAGAATAAAGACTAGAGTATTAGCGTATAATATTTTAAGATATAGAGTAGCCTTAAAGAGAGTCTTACTTCTAAAGGTAGATAGAGTAGTACTTAGTATAAGTTTACTAGCTAGACTAATTAATAATATAAAAGAAGTACTCTAGTTTATAAGGTATAACCTTAATTTTATTTAGTATCTTACTTATTATAGTTTTAGAGGTTAATATAGTATTTATAAAGAGTTTCTTATTTTATAGCTATAGAAATCCTTTACTTACTCTTAACTTTAATAATACTAATATATATATATATAAATAATATATTATCCTTTATACTTAATAGGTATAAGACTTTATAGGAGTTTAAAGGACTTTAGCAGAGTTTCTAGAACCCTTAATAAGTTTTTAGTTCTTTTACTTATAGCCTAGATAAAAGCCTACTCTATTTATAATTTAATCTACCTATACTTATTTAGTAATTAGCCTAGGAGTTTATAGGACTTTTACCTATTATATAATTAGCCTAGAAGTTTAAAGGACTTTTACCTATTATATAGTTAGCTATTAGTTAGATTATAGGAATGTAGTAATATAGTAGAAGGTCTACCTTTACTATTACTTTTACCTTTACTATACTAATACTAGCTAGTATACTTAAAGACCTTATACCCTATTACTACTTATAAATCTTAAACTTAAACTACTTCCTCTCTCTAATAATAATAATACTAATACTACTACTACTACTACTACTACTACTACTACTACTACTACTATAATATCTACCTACCCTACTACCTATATTATCTACGCTTACTGCCTCTATGTTACACTTAAAGAGAGTAGTATTCTTACTACTACTACTACTATTATACTATATATATTATACTCTAGTACTATCTATACTCCTCTGTAAGTTAAATTATAGAAGCTATACTTATAAAGCTTTATCTCTTTATAGAATATAAATATACTAACTAAGTAATAGTACTCTACCTTACTTTTACTACCCTTATACAGCTTTATGTTACTGCTACTTACTCTTGCCTCTACTACCTACTATTATCTTGCTCTTACCTTTACTACTACCTACCTTACCCTTACTACTACCTACCTTACTCTTACTACTACCTGCCTTGCCCTCTAGGCTTTTTATTAGCCCTAATAATAATAATAATAATAATAAGATAGAGGACCTACTCCTTACCCCTAATAATAATAATAATAATAAACTAGGCGCTATACTCTCTTCTATTTACTCTTTTACCTCTCTCCTATAAGTAACTGTAATAAAGGACATATTAATAGTATAACTAATATAATATAGGCTATATACTCCTATAGCCCTAGCTCTACCTAGTAGTAGTCTAGTTATTAAATACCTACTTTCTAGCTAAGTAGGTTATAACACCTAGGTCTAGAAAGGGCTATTAACTCCTGTACCTTAGGGTTATAATACCTAGGTACTCTTTTTTCTTTAGTAGCTATACT